GGTGTGTGTGGTTGGATGAGAGAAAGGGAGGGGGGAGGTGAGGGGGGGAAAAGAAGGGGATATGTCAGAGTTGATGTCTTTGTTTCCTTGTTTAGCAGCGTCAGAGTTTCTGATGTTCTCTTTTGGTTCGATATATGTGAAGTATCATGTCCAATTTCATGAGCAGGATCTTACGTCTGCCTATCTCATCTCTTGCCCATTTCTGCAACATTAACCGAACGCCGTACAATCTCCAAACCGTGTTTTTGCATAATTCCAGTCCCTACCGCAGAACACGGACAACATCTTAGGTGATTTAGATGAAATATCAAAGAGAGATTAATTGAAACACTGATTTTACTCATGGTTTGGAAAATCCTGAGAAAGGATTCGACAACATTACTAGGAACATAGATTACCAGCCTGTTGGGGAAGCCTCGTTCATACGAAGAGGGACTCTTGAAGATGCGGAGACGGCAACGAAATCGTTTATGCAGACTACGTTATGGTTGGTTCTGAGTTGTTGCTTTGCAGTGTGGAATGCGGATACAAAAGGAGGATGATAGAATAAGGAAGAAAAGAGAAATAGAATAAAAGAAGGAAAGAAATAGATAAATATCCGTCGAATTAATGGATGAGTGACTAAATGTATTCAAGCCGAGCTCAAAGCCTCGAGATATGAATTTAAAGGTCTTGAAGCGACATAAGATAGAAATTGGGAATTTGGACCATGAAAGCAGGTGCCGGTTTGGCTACTACCATTACTAGGGTAAATAACACTGAAGGTGAACGCTGTCACGAGATGGATTGTAATAGAAGAGCAGAGCTATACCAAGACCATTCACGGAAAGAGAAAGCATAGTCTAAATGGACCGCCAAATTGTAGTCGGCAAATGGAATCATCGGGAAATAAAGAAGAAAAATAACGGAGAGAACTGAAGTCGTTTAAGAAACCGGCAATCAGTTGAACGTCTTGCTGGGCCGAGGACCAAGCCCACTCTTCTCATACGCCATATCCATCATTTTCATCTGAGCGATCGAGTCAGACGCACTGATCCAGTGCTGAGTCTCTCGGCCCTTGATGCGATTGACGAATTGTTCCAATTGGTGTCGGTAAGACATCCAGAACGGCTCGCCCGGCAGATCCGCAAACGCACCGCCTGCTTCCTGAAAGCTGTATGCTTTCTTCTGGGACTTTTCCTCGTACCGCTTGACGATCTTGCCCGTGTCGCGGTTACGGACCTCGAAGACATCCTTGATGTCAATGCGGTGCCAGATGACTCCGTGGATGAAGCCGTGGAGGGTCAGCTCGCGTTTCTGAACCAGGACGTGCGATTCAGGGAGTCTCTTATCGGGAACGATGGTCTCCTTGTTGGTCACGGTCACATGCGACGGTGTCCAGTATGTTGGTCCGTTCATGGTACTCGATGCCTCGCCAATCGCGCCATTCGGGAACCGGAAGCGGGCTTGGAATTCATAGTCGCATTTGTCGTGGATCCCGTCGGTGTAGGAGTGGACGTCGCAGCTGAGACACTCCTCCGGCTCAGCGCCAAAGAGCACCCGCAGCGCCGCAAAATTGTAGGTCCCCATCGACATCATACTCCCACCGGACAGGTTATAGTTGAAGTGGATATCATTTTTGCCCGTCATCCACCACGGGATCATGGAGACTGCGTTGACGTGCGCAATGTTGGCTGGGTCGATCAAAGAACGAAAGTATGACAAGGCGGGGTAGAATCGCATGTGAAGAGCCTCCAAGAGAACGGGGCCATTTGGCTGAGACAACTCAGGCAGGTTGAATAGAGACTCTGCCTCGGTGGCGTTGGATACGGAAGGCTTTTCCAGCAGGACATGCTTGCCAGCGCGAATGGACCGGACAGCCCATTCATAGTGGAAAGCGTTGGGGAGGGGAACGAAGATACAGTCGATATTGGGATCATTGAGAATATCTACTGAAATTAGCAGTAATCGACCGAAGATGGGTTGGTGATCCTCACCCTCATATGAGTCTTTAACTTCTGGGATGCCATGAGCCTTGGCGAAATCTTCAGCCCTCTTGCGGTCGCGAGCGGCCACTGCCTGCACAATGACTTCAGAGTGGGATTTGGCCGGGATAATGAGGGAAAGGGGCCTGCGTTTATGTCAGTGGGGTGGTCTCTGGATCTAGGAGTGTCTTGCCCATACGCGGTGCCGGCAGCTCCCAAGATGCCAAACTTCAGAGCACCTTCACGCTTAGCAGGTTGCGGCGGATTGAAAGATTGGTAAACACGGCTAGCCATGGCTGTCATGATGATTCTGGATCGCCGTCAGTACGTGGGTATTAATTGGGATTCCGAGGATGTCTTGACCCACTCACCTAATATAGAAGGGGTCTTGGGGAGGGGTTTGGAGACAGGGTGATAAATTATGTAAAGTATTCAAGAAAAAGCTCGTTGATGAGGGTAGAGATGGCTAGGCCTGGAACAATGTATCAGGGAGGCCAATGACAGATGAGAAATACTTTGGTAGGTAGCGTGTCTGGGTGGGAAATCGATGACACTGATAGCCGAGTGGAAGGAGAGGACTACGGCTATATTTACAGGATGAAAAGTGCTCGGCGAATAATCAGTCGGGCACTTCCTGAGTCAATAACCGCCGGCAGCCTTGCGGGCACAGACCATCAGTTCTGATCATAATTGTCATGATATTAATTGTCAAATCCGTTATCAAGTCACGGTTTGGAAAGGGATCGACAGGTGGCCACCAATGGTCGCTGGTATCCGCTTCTCGGTTCAGCATCGTCAGGGGATCTGGCAACCACAAGGCTGTCTCAAAACGGGATCCAGGCGAATCCTTCATCCGGACCATGAATCTGACTGAGAGGCCACCGGGGCGCCACCAACAATGCCACCAGCGAGGACGCCGATCATCATCCTGCCCGTATTCTCACTCAGGTCTCGGACGGCAGGAAACGACAGGGGCTTGATTCCTGCGAAAATGGCGGAAACAAAGTCAAGGGTCGACAAGTGCTTATGGACTGATGGGAGATAGCGGTAATATGGCATTGCTGGGGTCCGGCTGGGTTGACCTACGCGGTGCTGGACTGCCCTATTCCTTGGCATGCGGTCTGATGCAGCGATAGTCATCAACATAGTGCAGTAGTGCTTACTTCGTGGGCAGTGCGTGCAGTTTGTCCCTCCCATGGCGTTCCATTAATACGTGGAGAAGGCCTCGGATCCACCGGATCGACGGGCTGAACCGGCTCCATCCTCCCATCCCCGCGTGGCGTTGCATCTTCGTATTCGGCACGCTCAATCTGCGGGAGAGGTTCCTGAAGTTCCAAGGGATCAGTACCTGATAGCCCATAGGGAGATATGGAGTAAGCAGAGGTGATATAGACACGTCGTTGAGCTTCAGTACCAGGTAGCAAGATCATTGCAATGCCTGTACCGACGTATATTCGGTGGGTAGACAAGATGACGGCGGGACGAGAGAGAATAATGATGCCTGGCCCCGCAAAATACAGAGGAGAGAGGGCGGGATCCTGGGGAAGTAACCATGACATGACTGCCAGACTGAGGGGACGTGCTCGTTTAGTGAGGGTCTATTATTGGATTCAGAGCCTTGTCCCTCCCTTGTTCACTTTTAACTATGCCTTACGCCTTGTAGAGTATCTTCCAGGGCTGGAGCGTCAAACCTTAGTCAGATTTAGGGCTCTTTCATTCATATGAGTCAGACGACTGGGGAGACGACTGGGGAGGTCCGTATTAAGTTTGAGGGTTATCGAATCATCCTTATGATAAGACGATTCTTGCTGGCCAAGTCTGTGCTCAGATTATAAGCCCCAGAGCTCTCTGACACTCCCCAGCCATGCCCCAGACATGGCCAAGCCGTCCAAGTCCACGTGTTCTGATAGACCTTGAACTAATGCAAGTGAGACTATAGCAATCGTGATCAGCGTTTCAGCCTGGGAGGGGTGGTCAGATCGCACCCGGAGTGGGTGATCTGGCATCCCGTCTGGGGCCATATCCTTTTGACTTCGCCATGTGCCGTTAGTGGATAAGGTTATCAATGTTATTATACTTTTGAGGTACGTTTTGCATCCTACTGGACAAGTGTCTAAATCAGGGAGTTGAGCACCAGTCTGATACATGGAGCTCGAATCAACGCGAATGAGATCATCGCAGTGATCGGCGTTCCGTTTCAGCCTGAGGGAGGGGGATCAGACCTCCTTCTCGGTCTCTCTGCCCTTCCTCCGGAGTTTCCTGCCACGTCATATTCTTCGAGCAGGCCAATCGCGTAGGCGGTTAAGCCCAACATTCCAACCTACTAATTTCATGCCTTGACATCTTTCGCCACGCTACTGGAAGGAACTGAATCAGCGACAACCAGAAGCAGCGATTATCTTTCAAATTGAATTCATTCCTTCCATGATTGATGAGTATCGTAATCCGCCCCAATCTCATGCCAAATCATGTCCAGTTGGCTCCAACGCCGAAAGAGCACTGAAAGTTTGGGGATGGTCAACTACACAACCGGAATCGAGATGAAGCCGTCATCAGCAGTCTGACGCCAGATAGAGGCTTTGATAACGGTGGCAGCGAGGAGCACTCAGTCTAGAGGAATCCTCTTACACTGAAAGGATTCGTCCTTTTCCAACCAGGGACAAACCACCCCATTTCCTTTCCCCACAAGACCCGCTCGTATTAGACGTGTGCATTTGGACGGTTCAATCTAACCTCAGCCACAGACAATACGAAGTGAAGGTAAGGGGTCCGCCTACTTTAAACCTCCCCAGCCCACTGCATCCATTTGTCCATCCACGCAACAGCAATACAGCACAATGACATCAAGTACTACGACTCCACGCCGGCAATCGTGTGATCGATGCCACGGACAAAAATTGCGATGCACCCGGGCAGGTAACAGTGACACGGAGCCGTGCATTCGGTGCATACGTCAAGGCGCTGAGTGCATATATAGCTCCAGCTTACCAAAGGGCCGTCCTAGCATGTACCGCCTGGCCGATTCATCCTGCGACTCTAGCAACATTTCACGATCAGCTGCTCGGCGACCCCGGTCTCGAGAATCCTCTCTCGTCGTGGCTTCAAATATAGACACCAACCTCAATCCCAGTGCCAACACCGCAGACAAATCCAATACTAGTCACAATGCCACATCCAGCCCCGACATGGACGTTGATGCCGTACCAGTCGCGGAATCAAATATGGGCGTGCCTATTACTGCTGATTTGGGTCAACTGTTCCCATCGTCGGTGGATAGCTCCACCGGGATGTGGTCGTGCGTTTCGCAGCCGATTTGGCATGACCTAGAAGGGCAGGCGAACGAGCAGGACTGGGCTTCACACATGCTCAACTCCATCGATCAGCAGATAGACGGACCCTTATCGTGTCTCGACACTGTACCAAGTCTCTTCGCTTGGGGAAATAGCGGATGCACCTGCCTCGGAAGCGAACTTCTCATGACTACCAACAGCATCGGTGGTATGGTCGACAACAGGGACAGCCCTGACGCTGGTATCTCGCAACTGTCCCAGCTAAGCAGTCGCCTATCCTCACTGTATCGTTGGAGTTGCGCTGCTGCGGACAACCAGGAGTCCTCCTCTCAATCAAACGACTCATCCGAAGCATATTCAAATTCCCTGATCAATGATGTTGCCTTCAAGTCAGTGGCATCGTGGCTTGTCCACGTCTCCTCTGATACGAGGGGTTTCCCCTGCGCGGACCCGAAGACAAGCAGCCTTGACCAATTCTCGACGAATGATACCCTCCACAATGTCTTTACAGCCTCATACCAGTTTCTGGAGATCCTGCGTGGCTTACAGCCCGAAGCGTGCAGTAGAGCTCAGGCGTCTATTTTCGACTCACAGGGAGGAATTTGTGATGATACCTGGATCAACACACTACCAGCATCAATTTCCATACCGGATGTACAGATTGTTGCTCCCCAGCCCGAAGAGACTTCATATTGCAATATCGTTGAGCGCCACTTGATCATTGCCTGCCATACTTTGCTCCTCAAGATTTACGTGGCCGTATTCACATCCCTACAGTGTGATGTTGATCGTTGGTCCTCTCGTCTGCGCCCTGGCAATGTTGAGCAAGATGAGGACGCGAAAGCGGCCTCCCTAGCTGATATTCGACTTGTTTTAGTCGTGCAGCTCTGCAACTACATTCTGGAGCGCCAATACCAAGCCGTTTCTGGTTGTTTGGGTCCGCAATTATCTCTCGTACCGTCTCAGCCGGCTGAGCTCTCTGGTACTTCTCAGGCCAAGCTACAAGGTATGAACATTGGGCCGGACTCGGAGGTCCAACGTCGGCTGGTACACCTTCGGCAATCATTGCGCATGTGACTCCTATGTGGAAATGGGTCACAGTGTCTGATATTTCTGGGCAACAACGAGAATACTGTCAAGGAGTGGGCTAGATTTACTTTTTATTTTTTGGTTGGTTCTATTGAGGGATTCTACGGCCGTTGGTTTCCCGTTTATTGATGTATCTAGGTCTCGGTACAGATTACTGTTGCTTTTGTGTTTCCTATAAACCAAGTCACTATATCGATGAACGATTTGATGATGTACAGTGACACGTGTGAAGAAAGTAATTTGTATGCTTCCAATTGCCTACGTAGTCAATCTACTAAATTGGCTACTTCTTGAGCCACTGATAATTCATTAAATATATATGCAAAGATCCCGGGACTGGTGCCCCGACCCCTCGCACAATAATGCAGTACTACCCTTATAAAATCGACAGTAGCGCATACCTTGACCTTGGGTACTTGAGACAAAACCTATTTAGATCATAGTCCGATTCCCAAATGAATGGTGTGTCTTGATGCCAAGAGACGACTGCGGTATGACCACCTGGAGACGTCAATACAACCTGGCTAGGCATCAGCCATAGCCATCAACAATAATGACAAATGGCGTCCTGAATGCAAAGAATAAGACGGGTATAGGAAAAGCAAGGAGACCAACCATACTGTTCAGCGCATTCACTATCGGTGAAAAGTGAGCCAGGGCAGAAAGTCCGCCCCCAAAATTCGTATACTTCGGCGCTTAGTGAGCAATCCTTTCGCTCTCACCCGCTGAGCCTCTTCGGCGCAACTGCATCCTCCTGTGAGTCCGAGCAACCATCGACCACGATGACTTCTGGGGCACAGCTTCAACCTCGGTCAATATTTCCGGTCGGCGACAATACTGATGCGTTTCAGGCGGGCAGGACTCTTGATCTGAGATCTTTAAGAACAATGGATACCCACGAACGTTCACCATCTTCCTTTCAGTTTTGCCATTCCAACAGAGCAAGCCTCACTCTGGTCACATCGTTCCGGAAGTTTCAACATTCTCCTCATACCCTTTACAAATCCTCGCGCAGAGACTGATAGTGAACCGGTTTTCACTTTCAAATATTCTCATTCAGCTCGAGCAATTCCCCTGCAAACAAGACCAACCTGAAAATGGTCTCCCAGCATTCCGAACCTATCGCTATTGTCGGGAGTGGCTGTCGCTTCCCCGGAGGAGCCTCATCCCCTTCGGCTCTGTGGAAGTTGCTCGAGAAGCCTCGCGACGCGTGTCTTGAAATTCCTAAGGACCGCTTCGATACCACGGGTTTCTATCATCCGGATGGGAGCCACCATGGAACCACAAATGTGCAACATGCCTATCTCCTGCAGGAGGACCTGAAGGTATTCGACACCGCCTTCTTCAACATCAGTCCGAACGAGGCGGATTCGATCGATCCGCAACAGCGTCTCCTCATGGAGACGGTGTACGAGGCCCTCGAGTCTGGTGGGCACACCTTGGATGGGTTGCGTGGGTCAGACACGGCAGTGTATGTGGGAACAATGGGGGTGGACTACCTGGACACTCTTCTCCGCGACGTCAACACCACCCCTACCTACCTTGCTACCGGCACCAACCGCGCCATCATCTCAAACCGTGTCTCCTACTTCTTTGACTGGCATGGCCCCAGTATGACAATCGACACGGCCTGTTCTTCAAGTTTGGTTGCAGTGCATCAGGGTGTTCAGGCCTTACGATCCGGTGAATCGCGTGTGGCCGTGGCATGCGGTACGCAAGTGATTTTAGGGCCGGGTGAGTTTTATGAATAACCTAGTAAGCCCATGTAGCGTTGCCACTGACCCAGATATAGAGTTGTTCATCTTTGAAAGCAAAATGAAAATGCTGTCACCCACGGGCCGTTCCCGGATGTGGGATGCTGATGCCGATGGCTATGCTCGTGGAGAAGGCGTAGCTGCAATCGTGTTAAAGCGCCTGAGTGATGCCCTTGCGGATGGGGATCACATTGAATGTTTGATCCGCGGAACAGGAGCGAACCAAGACGGATTTTCCAACGGCATTACCGTACCAAGCACCGAGGCACAAGCAGCGCTCATCCGTCAAACCTACGCACGAGCCGGGCTGGATCCGGCCAATCCTCTGCATCGCCCCCAGTTCTTCGAGGCTCATGGAACGGGTACCAAAGCCGGAGACCCAAAAGAAGCTGCTGCAATCCATCAGATTTTCGGTCAACGAGGCGATGATGAGGCGCCACTATATGTGGGTTCAGCAAAAACTGTCATCGGTCATACAGAGGGTGCCGCAGGCCTCGCGGGCCTCCTGAAAGCTTCGGGTATTATTCAGAAGGCGTTTATTCCTCCCAACCTGCTCTTTAACCACCTGAATCCTTCAATCGAGCCGTTTTATAAGGGCCTGCAAGTCCCCACGAGTCGGCTCCCTTGGCCTCAGCTTCCAGAAGGGGTTCCTCGACGTGTTAGTGTTAACAGCTTTGGTACGTTATCCGTGGCACCTCAGGATCGTCCCAGTAACTGAATATATCCCAGGCTTTGGTGGTAGTAATGCCCACGCTATTCTCGAGGAGTATAAGCCGACAGGAATCGAAAAGGCCTCCGCGATTCAGGCGCAGTCTGCGCCATTGACCCCATTTGTTTTCTCTGCCGTTTCGGACTCGTCTCTCGCTGACCAACTTCAGGCTTATTCCGATTACTTGAAGGAGTGTCCCCATATCGATCCACTGGATCTGGCATACACACTTCACGCACGCAGAAGCCGGCTACCGGTCAAGACTGCCTTCTCCGCGACCACAATTGAGCAGCTGGTGTCTAAGATCGATGATAAGCTTGTTGACTTGAAGCGAACTCCCGGCACTACTGTGGGCATTCGGTCCAACAACAAGCAAGCGACTCCCCATATTCTTGGCGTATTCACTGGGCAAGGCGCGCAGTGGGCTGCCATGGGCGCCCAGTTGATCCGTTCGTCAGAATACGTACGCAGGCGCGTTCAAGACCTCCAGGAATCGCTAGCTACTCTGCCATCCACTGATCGTCCGCCATGGGACCTCCAAGAGCAGATGCTCGCTGGAGCGGAGACTTCCCGGATTGCTGAAGCCGCTTTGTCTCAACCCCTGTGTACCGCAGTCCAGATCGTCCTTGTCGATATCCTGAAGGCCGCTGGTGTCACCTTCAATGCGGTTGTTGGCCATTCTTCTGGAGAAATTGGGGCAGCATATGCTGCAGGCTTTTTCTCCGCCCATGATGCTATTCGCATTGCTTACTATCGAGGGCTCTACGCTCGTCTGGCGGGCAATTCGAGCACCGGGCAAAAAGGGTCGATGATGGCGGTAGGAACCTCTTTGGAAGACGCGCAAGATCTCATTCAACTTGGAGCCTTCAAAGGCCGACTAGCCGTCGCGGCCCATAATTCCTCGGCCAGTGTAACGCTTTCCGGTGATGCTGACGCCGTGATACTCGCCAAGAAGGTGTTCGATGAAGAGAAGAAATTTGCCAGACTGCTAAAGGTAGACACAGCCTATCACTCCCCTCATATGTTGCCATGTGGAGACCCATACGTCCACGCATTGCAATCGTGCGGCATCGTCGTGAATCAAGAACGAAGCACAACTTGTTCTTGGTTCTCCAGTGTTACCCCCAATGAGCAAGCCATGCAACCCGAAGACAACCTCCAAGCTATTTACTGGCGGGATAACATGACGAACTCAGTCCTTTTTTGCGATGCTGTAAGAAATGCTGTTGCAAGTGATCCGCAGCTCTCCCTCGCCATTGAAGTCGGACCCCATCCTGCCCTGAAAGGCCCGGCTGTACAAAACATCTCGGACGTTCGCCCGAGCCCTCTTCCGTACACGGGTCTATTGAGCCGTGGAAAGGACGACGTCGAAGCCTTATCCGACGGACTTGGTTTTATCTGGACGCATACTGGTGGGTCCGGTGTCGACTTGCAGTCCTTTGAGAAAGCTGTATCCGGACGCACATCACAGCCCAAGTTAGTGGTCGGTTTGCCATCCTATTGTTGGAACCACAGTCGAACACATTGGTATGAATCACGCCGATCACGGAAAATGCTTGGGCGAAAGCAACCTTTCCATGAGATCCTCGGCGTCCTGTCTCCAGATTCGACGCCGCGCGATATGCGTTGGACGAATGTGCTCAAAGTATCAGAGATTCCATGGCTCGACGGACATCAGCTACAAAACCAAACGGTCTTTCCAGCAGCTGGGTACGTTGCCATGGCATTCGAAGCAACCAAAATCCTTGCTTCAAACCGGCCTGTTCGGTTCCTGGAACTCGAAAACCTGAACATTCCGCGGGCTATCACCTTTGATGATGATGGAAACACTGGGGTCGAGACACTTGTGACCCTGACAGCTATCTCATCCGACAACGCCGCCACGACGGCTGATTTCTCATGCTACTCTTCCCCGGCATCGGCAGTCGATCAAGAGATGGAACTGACGGCGAGTGGGTCGGTGAGAGTTGTCTTCGGCACTTCCGACGTCGCCACTCTCTGTTCTACCCCCTTGAATGAGTATAACATGGCTACAATTGACGCTGATACATTCTACACCACGCTTGGCAGTCTCGGATATGGATATCACGGCACATTCCGAGGTATGTCATCTCTTAAGCGACGGCTAAACAGCTCTTCTGTCATGGTAGAGACATACGCCTACACCGATGCCGATTCTTCCACCTACCTCGTTCATCCTACCATGCTAGACGTCGCCTTCCAAGCATCGATGCTTGCCTACTCTGCTCCTGAGGATGAACGGCTCTGGTCCCTCCACGTGCCGACCTCCATCCGGAATATTCGAGTTAACCCAGAGCTTTGCTCCTCGTTGCCAACATCCGGGTCTCATGTGCCCGTGTGCGCATCTCTGGATGACTCCGAATCCTTCCGTGCGAGTATTGACATTTTTGCCCACGATGGAAAGCACGCGATGATCCAAGTTGAGGATCTGACCATCAAGCCCTTTGCGCCGGCGACCGAGGCAGACGACCGTCATCTTTTTTCACATCTGCAATATGATGTTGCATCCCCCGACGGAGCCTCCGTCGTAGGTGGCATCCGTCCTTCAGCGAAGGAGATTGAGTTGGCCACCGTCTGCGAGAGAGTCTCTTATTACTACGTCCGGAAGTGGAGATCGGAGATCAGTGAAGAAGAGTGGAGGAACGGTCAAGAACATCACTTGATGCTTCGGGACTATGTAAACCACACGTTCGACATGGCTTCTAACGGAAGGCATCCTTGTGTTCAGAAAGAATGGTCGCAAGATACCAAGGAGGAAATCGAAGCACTGGTCAGCAGGTGAGATTCTGGGCGACGATTTAGGCACGTAATAAGCAGCTCGGACTGACATTAACAAGATTTTCGGACAACGTTGATGTACGGCTTATTGCGGCCGTTGGTGAAAATATCCCTGCTGCCGTGCGAGGAGAAACAACGATCTTGGAGCATATGCTCCCAGACAACATGCTTGATGACTTCTATAAGAAGGGTCTCGGCTTTCAGCGATATAATTCCTTCTTGGCCGGTATGATGAAGCAGATGATCCACCGCTATCCTCACGCCAGAATTCTCGAGATAGGTCAGTGGAACCCTAATTCCTCCTCTTCCAGAATGTGCAACCTTCCGCTAACAAAGCTTATAACAGGTGCTGGAACGGGCGGAGCGACAAAGTCGGTCCTGGAAAGCATTGGAACCTCGTTCTCTTCATATACGTACACTGATGTGTCAGTGGGCTTTTTTCAACAAGCCTCGGAGCTGTTTAAGGCGTATCGCAACCAGATGATATTCCAGGTCCTTGATATTGAGAAGTCTCCATCCGACCAAGGCTATGAGCCACACTCATATGACATCGTCATCGCCTCCAATGTTTTACATGCCACCGCGTCGCTACAAAGGACACTAGAGCATACGAGGCAGCTTTTGAAACCTGGCGGATATCTGATGCTATTAGAGTTGACCAACAACGGCCCGATCCGCTTCAGCAACATCATGGGCGGCCTTCCTGGCTGGTGGCTCGGAGTGGACGATGGCCGTAAATACGCGCCTACCATTACCCCCGGGCAATGGCATAGCGTCCTTCGCAACACTGGCTTTGGGGGAATTGACGCCATCACCCCTGAGATCGACCGACTGTCTTGGCCATTGTCTATCATGATGTCACAGGCCGTGGATGACCGAGTACATTTTCTTCGACGTCCTTTACTGAAGTCTTCGTCTTCAAGCAAGATTCATATTGAGAGTCTTGTCATCATGGGCACTGAGAACCTCGAATGTGCTCGTATTGCCGAAGAGTTAGAAGACCACCTCGGCGCGTTTTGTGACCACATCACTATTCTCAATGGTCTTCCCACCGAGAATGATGCGATTTCGGTTCCTCCGATGAGTGCATTCATCAATCTTGTTGATATTGCGTCTCCGATTTTCAAAGATATGACGGTCGAGAGGATGGAAGGTCTAAAGCGGCTTTACGAATTGGCACGGCACATACTCTGGGTTACTGTTGGTGCCCAGGGTGAGGAGCCATACCACATGGCAAGCATTAGCTTCAGCCGAGCGATGGGGCATGAGGCAGGACATATTTGTCTAAATCATCTGGATATGTCGGATCTCGATCATAATGTCTCCAGGGTCATCGCTGAGGAGCTCTTGCGACAGAGTGCCCTTGATGAATGGCAGTCTTCACCCAGCCAGAACCACAAGCCCTTGCTTTGGTCCAAGGAGCCGGAGACCTTTTACAATCGTGGACAGTTTATGCTTCCTCGACTGATCAGCAATCCTGATCAAAACGCTAGAAACAACTCGGTGCGGCGTGGCATTACCAAGGCTGTGCGTACCTCGAACTCAAACATTGCCATTTTACCGTCTTCGAATTCGACTTTTTCGCTGGTTGAGCAAGCTCTACCACTGCTAGGGGAAGAAAGCCAGAATCTGGTGAGAGTTGAAAGTTCAAGTATGATGGCGCTCTGTGTCGCACCAGACACGTTCCTGTTCCTGGGCATCGGCAAGATTAGTACCACAGGTGAAACCGTGATCACACTTTCATCTTCGAACTCAAATGAGATGGTTCCGCTCGCCAATATACCTGTCCAATTTCCTCATTCGGCTGGACAACTTCTCGTCGCTGTTGCAAGCGAGCTTCTTTCTGCCTCTCTTATCGAGACTATCCCCCGTGGTAGTAGCATTGTGATCCACTGTGGCAACAGTGATCGCTTCTTGATTGCTGCCATATCTCGAAGAGCAGCGACCAAAGGAATCCGCTTGAGAATAACCACCGACTCAGACAATGGCGACGATGCACGAGAGCCTGGCTGGCTGGGTCTGAGTGCTCGGATGCCGAGGCAAGCTCTCCGGCAGCTTCTGCATACGGCCAGACCTACCCATTATCTTGATCTCACGGAAGGAGTTTCTGACCTGAGCCACAGTATCACTGCAATCCTGCCCGTGGGCCACAAGAGAATTGAGCTGAGTGATCTCACCCGACACGGTTCGTTACTGTCATGCGATGTCGAGGCACTGGCTAGTAGACTGGAGCACAGTCTTGCCAGCATGCCCAATACCTCCGATGCTCGAATTCAAGATTTGGTTGTCCATATTGATCAAATTCGGGGCCATCGCCAGCCTAGCAGGATGAGTGTCGTCAATTGGGAGACAAGTGACGAAGTCACGGTGGAAGTTCGACCTCTCGATGCACGTCGCCTCTTCTCTTCCGACAAGACCTACATCCTCTTTGGGCTTTCAGGCCAGATTGGTCAGTCACTCTGCGACTGGATGGTATCTAACGGCGCTGGCTGCGTATGCCTGACAAGCCGCAACCCCAATGTCGACAAGGCCTGGCTCAAGACCTTTGAAGGGAAGAACGCGACCGTCAAAATCTATTCCATGTACGCGAGACTCTCTTCCCTCCCCGAGTGACTAACTCCGAAGACAAAGCTAACCCCTTCGTGATAGGGACATGACGGATAAAGCCTCCTTAGAACGAGTTGTTAGCGACGTCCGGGCCACCTGCCCGCCCATTGCTGGTGTCGCAAACGGAGCGATGGTCCTCAAAGACACGCTCCTCTCGAAGATGTCTGTGGAAACAATGCGAGCTGTTCTAGGGCCAAAGATCGATGGTTCACGCAACCTCGATGAGGTCTTCTACGATGAAGCTCTTGATTTCTTCATTCTGTTTTCGTCATCAGCATGTGTTATTGGCAACTCCGGTCAATCAAACTATGCCGCAGCAAACGGGTATCTGAATGGTCTTGCTAAGCAAAGGCGCAAGCGTGGCTTGGCTGCCTCGACTCTGGATATTGGCCGTGTTGCTGGTATTGGATACATCGAGACGGCTGGTCAAGCTGTCCTGCAACAGTTAACACGGTTTGGCCTCATGGCTATCAATGAGCCCGAGCTGCACCGAATGTTTGCGGAAACCGTTCTAGCCGGATATCCCAGACTTAACGACAAAGCAAACATCCCTGATGCTGTCGTGACGACTGGTATTCGGACTATCCGCGATGACGAAGACATTCTGGGGCCCTGGTTTGACAACCCTCTTTTCTCTCATTGTATCATCGAGTCCAGAGATACCCAGGTAGCCCCCGAGAATCAGGTCAAGAAAATCTCTCTCCCTGTGGCTGAACAGCTTGCGAGGGCATCAACCATGGAGCAGGCCCTTGATATCGTGAAAGGTGAGCATTCATGTTCTCTATAAATCTGAGAGATCTAGAGCTAACATTCTCCAGATTGTTTCACTGCGAAGCTGCGCATCATTCTACAGGTTTCTGACGAGACAATCCACCACGATACGCCGCTGGTGGAGCTTGGGCTTGACTCGTTGGTCGCTGTCGAGGTGCGATCGTGGTTTCTCAAGGAATTGAAGGTAGACATACCAGTTTTGAAAGTTGTTGGGGGTGCATCCGTGACAGAGCTCTGCGAGCAAGCTCTCAAGAAGCTGCCTGAAGGCATGCTCTCAGCCATTGGAGAAACAAAGGAGACTCCTGAGCCAGCTGCTGAGCCGTCTCCACCAACACCAACCGAAACCCACGTCACCGGCCCCAGTACAGCATCGATTTCCAATTCGGCTCCTGCTAGCATTGATTCTGATCATGAGGGCAACCTCACACCACCATCCTCAGCGCAGCTGTCCTTGGCGTCATCCTCTGAAAACCTCAGAGAACTGGCAACCCCACAGACGGTAGCCAAAACCTCGAGAAAATTCCTCAAGAGTGAGCAGATCTCGTTCGGACAATCTCGGTTTTGGTTTCTGAGGCTTCTGCTCGACGATCCGAAGACATCGAATGTGGCCTTCTACTACCACATCACTGGTAATCTACGTATCGGGGACATGGAGAGAGCGATTCGTCTTGTCACTGCCAGACATGAAGCGCTGCGGACCTGCTTCGTCGCAGATGAGACCCAAGCTGACCGAGCCTACCAGCATGTCATGAGCAGCTCTCCATTACGACTCGAAAGGAAGGAAATCCAGTCCATCAGCGATGTGGCTAGTGAATACGCCAAGCTGCAGGAACACACGTTTGATCTGGAAAGTGGCGATTTGATTCGGCTTGTGCTGCTATCGCTATCACCAACATCTCATTTTCTCCTCGTCAACTACCATCATATCATAATGGATGGTGTGAGTTTCCAAGTCCTACTCTCTGATCTTGAAAAGGCATACGAAGGCGAGACTATGGGGGCCCCTCCGCAACAATTCCCTGCCTTCTCGGCTGCTCAGCGCGAGGCCTTCGAGACGGGAGAGATGAACGAAGACTTGGAGTACTGGCAGAGCGTGTTTCCCAAGGGCGAGCAGCCCCCTGTTCTGCCACTTTTACCTATGGCACGAACCAGCTCCAGGATTGCGATGAAGAACTTTGCCGTTCACCAAGTAAGAAGTCGATTGGAACCGGCATTGGCAGCACGCATCAAGTCAGCCGCGAAGTCTCAGCGATCCACCCCCTTCCACTTTTACTTGGCTGCATTCAAAGCAATGCTATTCAGCTTCACCGACGTGCAGGACTTGACAATTGGTATTGCTGATGCCAATCGAACCGACAATACGATGGGCAGTATTGGTTTCTTTTTGAATCTTCTGGCCTTGCGATTCCGTCGCCAGCCGAACCAAACCTTCAAAGATGCCATAGCTGAGGCTCGCGGTACCGCCTACGCGGCACTGGCACACTCCCGTCTCCCGTTCGATGTGTTGCTTAATGAGTTTCGCGTGGATCGTTCTTCCTCGTACAGTCCTTTTTTCCAGGCTTTCTTTGACTATCGCCAAGGCGCACAAGAAACGCATGCTTGGGGCAATACGCAGTTCACATTCGAGGACATTCATCCGGGACGCACCTCATACGACATCACGCTGGACATCACAGACAATGCCACAGATGCCCTGATCATGTTCCGGGTTCAGAAGAGTCTTTATGATCTCACCGCAGCTAACCTTCTCTTGGAGACCTACGTCCACTTTCTCGATACACTCTCTACCGATGTGTCGATCCGGTTACAGGATACCCCTCTCTTTGGTGAGAAACAGCTTGCGAAAGCCACCATGATCGGGCGCGGTAAGCATGACATTCCTCTATTACAGGGAGCTTGCTGATTCTAATTTACTAGGCTATAACTTGGTTTCGGATTGGCCGTTGACCCTTCCCCATCGCATTGACCAAGTGGCTCAGAACAATCCAAACAAAACAGCTCTTGTCGATGGGATCGGCCAAGACTTGAGCTACTCCGACATGGTCAATCGAATTGAGGCCATTGCTGAGGCTTTGCAGGGCGCCGGAATAGGGCCTGGCTCGCGGGTGTTGGTGTTCCAAACCGCCGCTTCTGACTGGGTTTGCTCCATGCTTGCCATCATGCGCATTGGATCTATCTATGTCCCGCTGGACCTCCGGAATCCTTTGTCCCGTTTAGCATCTGTTGCAGTCAATTGTGGCCCCGGCGCAATTCTCGCCGATCATACTACTCTCGATGATGTACCACGCTTAGACGTGCCATCTGCCTCAGTAATCAACGTATCCAGCCTTGGACACAAACCGTCAACTCCAGTTCCCAACACTGCTCAGGCAAACTCTCCGGCAGCCATCCTCTACACGAGTGGCTCGACGGGCGTTCCCAAGGGGATTATCGTTACCCATGCCGGTCTGCGCAATGAAATCGAAGGCTACACGAAGACGTGGGAACTCGGCGCGGAACGAACTCTGCAACAGAGCGCTTTTACTTTCAACCACTCTTCGGATCAGATCTACACAGGTCTGGTCAACGGGGGCACAGTTTATCTTGTCCCATGGAGCAAGCGTGGTGACCCGATCGAAATCACCAAGATGATGCGAGAAAATGACATCACCTACACCAAAGCGACCCCTTCTGAATACTCACTGTGGATGCAGTTTGGAGGCGACAATCTTTGTCAAGCTACAAAGTGGAGTCGTGCTTTTGGTGGCGGGGAGCCCTTGAACAGCATCATCACGGAGCAATTCGCGAAACTTGAGCTGCCGCATCTTCGGGTGTACAACTCGTATGGTCCTACCGAAATCTCCATCTCATCCACCAAGATGGAGGTGGAGTACCGAAACAAGGGGAAGATGGAAGACGGTCGCATCCCGTGCGGTTACTCGCTTCCCAACTATCATACGTATGTGGTGGATGAGCAGCTAAGGCCACTCCCAGCGGGTATGCCTGGAGAGATCTGCATTGGCGGTGCAGGCGTCGCAGTTGGCTATCTCAACAAGGAACTAACCCGCCAGCACTTCATTACCAACCCATTCGCGACACCCGAGGACGTCAACCAGGGATGGACCCGAATGTACCGCACTGGTGATATCGGACATCTCCAGGACAATGGGGCCATGGTGTTCCACAGTCGCATGGCAGGTGATACGCAGATCAAGATCCGGGGAATTCGGATCGAGCTGAGCGATATTGAGAGCAACATCATTTCGACCGCGGAGGGTGCCTTGAAAGAGGCCGTTGTCACTCTGCGCGAGGGCAACCCAGATTTCCTTGTCGCACATGTTGTTTTCAGACATGGGCATGAAGTCACGGATCAGGAAGCTTTCCTCCAGCAGCTGCTGAATCGGCTCCCCATCCCGCAATACATGATTCCAGTCCTCGCAATCCCACTCGATACGCTTCCCTTGACCAATCACTCCAAGGTTGATCGCAAAGCTCTCAAGCACCTGTCACTACCTCAGCGAACTGGGGAAACTCCGACCAACGAAGCGCTGACGGGTACCATGATGCAGCTCAAACAGATCTGGGAGGATGTCCTTGGGAACTCGGGGTCAAGCTTTGAGATCACCCCATCTACCAACTTCTTCCGAGTGGGCGGTAACTCCCTACTGGTTATCCGTCTGCAGCAATACATCCGCCAGGGATTCAATGTCGTGATCCGCCTCGTCGAGCTCCTTGGTGCCAGTACCCTGGGTGATATGGCGCGCAAGATCGAAGAAAGTATCCAGATTGAGCTGATCGACTGGGAGGAGGAAACTCGTCCTCCTTCTATTCCTGACTTTCTTCAAGATGTTTCTGGAGCCTCTGCTGGCCAGCAAAGTCCTAAGACAATCTTGGTGACCGGAGCAACTGGGTACATAGCCAGATACCTTCTCCCTCAGCTATGTGCAAACCAGGATATTGAGACGATATATTGCGTCGCCGTACGAGACAAGCAATCCCGAAGCCCCGGTGACATCTATCGCTCTTCCAAGATCGTGTCCTTTGCAGGTGACCTGACTGCGCCTCAGCTGGGCCTTTCCGATGAGGACTGCCGCTTTCTCTCCAGCAAGGTCGATACCATCATCCACATGGGCGCTCTCCGTTCCTTCTGGGACAACTACCATTCCCTCCGACCGACCAACGTTCATCCCACCAGGGAGCTAGTCAAGCTCGCCACTCCACGCCGGATCCCTATCCACTACATTTCCACAATGGGAGTTCTCTCCGAAGCAACAGGAACCGATGCTGTCTCCGCCGCATCCTGTATCCCCACGACAGACGGCACAAACGGTTACATCGCATCCCGCTGGGCCAGTGAGCAAATCCTCGAACGCTCTACAACAACCCTCGGCGTTCCCTCTTCCATTTACCGCTTCCTCCCTTCCGCACAAGTGTCCTCTCCACAGGAAGTCCTGGATGAATTCTCCCGCTTCGTCGACATCTCTGGTATCATGCCAGACATGAATGGCTGGGAAGGACGATTTGACCTCGTCCCAGCGACACAGATTGCTAGCTGGTTATCTGAGTCAGTCTGTGCGCAGACTCCTGGTGGTACTAAGTTCTCGCACTGCGAAAGCGAGATCGCGATTGACGTGGATGTGTTGAGAGAGCACCTGGAAAAAGAGAAAGGCGGCCAAGGGCTAGAGAGAATGGCTGGACTGAAATGGATCGGACGCATCAAGACCCTTGGATTCGGCTATGTGTTGACATCGCAAGAGATCACGGTGGGAGGGACGCATCAGTCCCGGAGGTGACTGCTTTTACTTTCATCTTGTGCCAAAACCCATTGAGTGGGATTTTGTCTGCTTATAGAGATGTATAGATGATAGATAGATAGATACTTTTCTTTCGATTTTTTGATGTATAGCGTCTAATCAACTCCGTTCCTTTCTCCTTACTTCCAAGCTAATCCGAATCCCAATGACGTCATAACCTGTCTACAGTTCTCATCCATCCTTTCTTTGCCTTTCACTTGCATTTCTCTCGCAGAGCTAGATCTACGATCCTACCCATCCCAATCAAATTCTAAGTGAATATTCTCTCACCCTTTTATACCCCCAATCATACACTCTAGCATCCATGTCAAACTCGACCGGGAAATTGTTTTCTTCAGCACGTCCAGAATCCATTACAGCATACCTACTACAAAATAGTAGACAGCGATATGGCGCTGCACCCTATTGTTGAGATACGACCATATGGATTTTAATGCCCACTGCGACTTCAATTCCATGAATTCTACATGCTATCCACGTACAATTGCGTGTATGAAACTACAGACTTCTGTCAAAAGCAAGAATTGAAGGCAATATGCTATTGTATCTCGTAAGTCGTGATGGGATGTTGATGTTGATGTGATTTGGAGTTGGATAGTGGGATAGGGATGGGCTGATCAGTACATGGGATTGTTGTGGCAAGAAAGAGAGAGTATCCGCGATAGGGCAAAGAAAATGTAAAGATCAACAAAGAAGTCAGGTGAAAGGAAGGATTGAGTACGAAGGAAACTGACTACCACATTACGAGTTTGTGATGGTGGCCAGACGTATTTTACTGAGTAATCGTGTGATATATAAGTGCGGTTCATTCGGTGGCTTTCATTCGGTGGTTTTAGGAGTTGGACTCCCCCGATACGAAGGAATGAGGTGGGTTACTTGTTTGAGGCTCTTAGATAACTAGGGCGCGTTGGGCGTGCCTACATTTACTATTCTGTCCAACCATGTCGATTGGTATATTAGTTGTATTTATCTTATGGCTTAGAGAAAATGAAGATCTCCTAGTATATCATCTCGATTCATTCCCTGGCTAATCTAACTAGCTATGTCTGCACCTCTAACTACCATCTAACACGGCCATCGTTGCAAAAACCATGAGAGCTTCTAATTCGCAGCCGCAACCAGCTCCTTCGGCAGAGAGAACTGATTCGCGAAGCGTTTCACCAGCAGCTGGCCAACCGTTTCCCGGTTCGGATCATTCGGGTTCAACGGGTTGGTGGCATCCAAGTCTCCATGCCAGAAGGTGGCACAGGACAGGCGTTCCGAATCAGCCTTGTTGATGACCCGGTGTTTGGCACTTCTGTAGACGCCCCCAGACCATTTCTGAATCATGTCACCGCAGTTAATGACGTAGACGTCTTTAATGGAAGGGACCGGCACCCAACGATCTTCCTCATCAAGCCAGACCTCCAGACCTTCTTTGCCGGGCTGTTGAAGCAGGACAGTCACGCCGCCGAAGTCAGTGTGGGCGCCGACGCCGAATTGACCGGGTAGGGTTGCGCTGGTGGGCGGGTAGCGGATCATTTTCATGGGGACGATGGGGCGCTGAGTGAAGACGTCCATGACGGTGGTGGGGAAGCCGAGGCCGCGGATGAGGATTTGCCAGATGGTTTTACCGAGTTGAGAGGTGGCTTGGTAGTAGGCCCAGATTGGTTGACGGAATTGGTCGGCTGGGAGGTCGGGCCATACGTTTGGGCCGTGGAAGCCGGGGGGCTCGATGACTGGTTCTTCGCGGCCGATGTAGAAGGACTGGGGTTGTGTTAGCATGGCGGTTTGACGGGTGGGTGGGATAGACATACCTCTTTGGAGTCGGGCAAGGCGTCCCCGTCGCGAAGGGACATTCCGGAGGCTTCGTATCCCCGGCGGCATTGGTTGTTGAGGAATGACAGTTTGATCTTGTCTTCCTTGGGGAGGCTGAAGAAGTTGTTCAGGCCCTGGAGTAGGCCTTCCTGCAAATCCAGGGACACGCCGTGGTTTTTGACCTGGAAGAAGCCATATTTCTGGCATGCCTCACGCACCTCGGTGATGACGGCCTCTTGGTCCGAGGGTGAGGTGGGATGAATGTATCGATCAAGATCGATGATGGGCAGTTCGAGAGTGTTGGCTGCTGCCATGATGATGTGCAAGGATTTTGTTCAAGACTTGAGTCCGGCTCTGTAGTGCGAAAGACACAATGGTTCAGGAAGAAGAGACGAGAGGACCTGGCTCACTCAGAGATAAATAACCCTCGACCCAAGATATACAAATGATCATATATCACCGAACCAGCAGGGCATTAATGGTGATGGTACGGTAAGTATGGTAATGTATGATACATACCATGCCCAATCCCATTGAACGGCGAAGTCATTCGGCGGTTTGTTCGGTGCTTCATCCACTGCCACTCGGATGATCGACAGTTCGGGGATAATCGAGATAGCCATAGAGACACCGATCGAGGATACATTTCGAATTCCAGGTAAAGGAGAAGTAGTTATATCTGGCCCCCTTCACCTCAAATCGTCCAGTTAGGCATTCACTACCTCAAGCATTCAATCAATATCACAAAATGCACGTTCTCATAGTTGGAGGTGGGCTGGGTGGGCTTGCCCTTGCCCAGTGCCTTCGTAAACAGGGCATCTCGTTCGAGGTCTTTGAGCGCGATGAACACGCCGAGGCCCGTTTTCAGGGATGGGCAGTTGCCATTCACAGGTATCCTACCCGGCTCAAGAAAGGTCCATCGTGGGTTGACTCGCGCACAGTATCATTGATCAGATCACTGCGTCCTTTCCATCCGATATGCCAGACCTCAGAGAGGCAACAAACCATCTCGCCCCTCTGAGCCTCCCTGCCCAAATCAGTCTGTACTTCCCTGGTAGGGATGGGCGTCTTGGATGGCAGGTCTGTGTCCTCTACCAGACAACGATAGCAGCAGCTTATAATGTCTACACAGGACTCGCCTGAGCTCCCGGTCATTCGTGCCGAACGTCGTCGTCTCCGGGACTGGTTATCAACCAACATCCCGATTCAGTGGGGTAAGCGAGTCAGGAAAGTCGAGCACGACGATGAAGGCGTCGCCGTCGTCTTCGAAGATGGTAGCAGGGCCGAAGGAGACATCCTTGTCGGTGCCGACGGAATCAAGAGCGTCGGTAGGTCACACCCATTCTTGAATTCTCTGTTTTGTAATCTCACACGCATGCAAGTTCGAGAGTATCTACTCCAGCGATCCAGCGATGAGCTGCTGAAGCTTGTTCCCCTCGCCGCCATCGTAGGAGAAGTGGACCTATCCGGGGAAGCATTCAAGCGGCAGCTTCAACTCGGTCACAGCGCGTATGTCTTCGTCAGCCCAGACATCGGGTTCTGGAACTTCGGAGGCCTGCATCATGCCTATCCCGATGGACGGTCGGGCCGCCACTACTGGATGTTCATGGAGTCGGACGCTCATGTTGCCGACGCCGACCACTGGCTCCAGACCGCCACCCAAGATGAAAAACTGGACTATGTGTTAAAGAAGGTGGCCAAGATGCCTCCGAAATTCCGTGAGGTCTTTGAAGCCACGCCTGCGAGTGGGATCAAGAAGGAGCCGCATATCTGGCGCGATCTGGAGCTCGAAAATGTCCCGGCGGGAAGGGTCATTCTGATGGGAGATGCGGCACATGCGATGACCCCGTTCCGAGGAGAGGGAGGCCATCATACATTTATTGATGCGATGCAGCTGTCCCAGGTGCTGGGGAAGGTGAATGAAAGGGATATTGAATCAATCAAAGCTGCGGTCGCCGAATACAATGCCGAAATGCTGGAGCGAGGGGTCGAGGCGGTGCGAAACTCGAGGACGGAACAGGCGGCGAGGAAGAGTGAGGAACGCAAGTCGAACAGCCAGTCCCCCGCCACCTTGCCCAAACCGCTTCCTGAGGTTGAAATTGTCCTCGGTTAGAACCGTGCAGAGGTTTCGACTCAGTCTTGCTACTATTCTCGAATGCATTTGCTGTTTTAGACTTTTCTGTGCCACCGAATACTATATATTTTATATCCGACTTCATTATAGGTAACAAGATTGGCAATTGAACTTCAACTAACAGTTCAGTTCAGCCATATGTCATGAATATCAATGAAACTGTCGGTAGCGGCCAGTACTAGTCCGCCTGCACCAGGCCAAAATATATACTAGTTGTCAAATGAGCTCCCAAGTAAAAGGTGGAAGTGATCGGTATTCCAACACATCCGACGATCCCTGCATACACAACGTCATCCCACACCATGTCATCATACCCTTGCATCTTCGGTTTATGCAGCCAACTGTCAAGTCCGAGCCCGAGCCCCGATCCATACCAGAGTATAAGATCATTGCATTCTTTGTTATGATCATGGCGTTCTAGGTTCAATTGGAGACTTTGGTGTATTCTTAAGCTCGACTTGGCTGATCGACGCGTCATTTTATATTGGAAAAGATGTCGACCATCTTCCACAATCAGGTTATCACGACTTTGACGTCGAACCCCGTAGTTACGGGGCTATGTGCAACAGCTGTGTGTGGGATTGTCTGGTAAGTCTGTCTCCCCCCCTTGGTATAGTACCATGGCTCACTGGACATCCAATCGACCAGGACAGTCCATGATTTCCACGAATGGATCGCCTTTGGGACGGGCGGAACCCCACCCACCTGGTTGTAAGTTTGACTGCCTCAGACGCGTCCTGTGTACTTGATTATAGCGACCAACGAGCAACAGAGGCTATATCCGCATGACCAAACTTCGCCTCAAACACTTCTTCTCAACCAACAACCTCCTCGACGCATCGTCTCTCCAACAAACCGGCCCTTCCTACCTTCCATCTGCTCCCCTCCCTCAGCGCCGGAATCCCCGCCCACACATCATCCCGCGTATCCTTCCCCAACGCCAATACCCTGAGCCCATTTCCCCGGCCACGCGATCCCGTCTCCACTCCCTCATTCCCGATCTAGCCTCAGCGCATCCGGGCCTCTTTGAGCTCAAGCCCAGTCATACAGAAGGCAAGACGGCGGATGGCTTGTATGCGCGCGAGGATCTGAAAACGCCGAATTCGGTGGTCAAGGAGACGGTGGGCCTGGCCCGGGAGATCGCGCATGTGCATCCCGCGGAGAATAGCTTGCATGTCTGGTTGAGTGAGCGGGATGCCAAGAATGTAATTGAGGGAGGTTGGGGGATGAGGTTTCCCCCGGTGGGGGGAGTGCCGCCGGGATGGATATTTGTTTATGCTCCAAGGGATGACGGGGAGATGGATGTGGTGGAGAGCATTGTAAAGGCGGCGGTGGGGTGGGTTACGGGGGTTAGAGTGTAGCTCGGATTGGTAAGTTAGGCCCTGCTAGTGAGTTGGCTAAATGGATAATTTAGACGGAATCATCAGTTGATTATGGATTGGTACGAGGAGGACAGTCCGATGGTTGGAGTGGCTCCTGACCCCTACCTAGATAGCACGCTGTCCTCCAGTGCTGTATAAGATGCATTGTATAGTAATTATCGAACCCCTAGGGCTGACTAGGGAATCGCGCTTCTATAAATATTCCACCATTCCGTAGATCAGCGCCATGGCTAATGAGGTCTGGCCAGCTAGAGCCAGCTAAAAGTAATTGAAACATTGTGGCTGAAACTGGCAATTGTTTGGTGGGGGAGAAGAATCCTATTGAGTGAAGTACCTATACCTATTCCGATGTCTTCGAGTCTTAAGACAACGAGCCCCTTTTCTGCAGACAATTTCCAGGACCCCCTCTTATTGGGCTAATTGGAGTCGCGCTATCACCGGTTCGTGATAAGGCCAGGGTCCATTGGGATGAACGGCCGTCGGGGTCGGGCGACGGAAGCGTCGGCCAAGCCGTCCGAGCAAAAGCCCGACTCGTATACCAACAGCGGCAGGCCTCCTGATTGGCGGCAAGTGACGCGGACGCCCACTCAGCCGCAGTCCGGCTAGTCAGTTACTGCCTGCGATTTCCGTTGCCGCCTGATTTCCCGGCTAGGCTTCTCCCCATTTATTACTCCGTCGTCGTTGCTTTTCTCCTTCACCATCGTCATCATCAATCCCGCCTAGCCGCCCAGTTTTCTATCATACTCATCAACTTCACTCGTCCTATCTGATCGACATACGAGTTTGCTGCAATATGGCCATCTCTTCCCTCGTCCGTCGGGGTGTGGAGGCTGTCTCAGACATAAGCTCTCAGCAGCCTGCTCCGAACCAACCCACCATCCATTTTGCGGGATGGCTATCCGCCCTGTTCGTCTTCACGGTCCTGGCCTTTATCGCAATTGGCTTTTCGGTAAGCTGCAACCTGTATCTTGGATGAATGTTGATGGGCACACTGACATGTTGTATAGGTGGAATACACATACGGAATGCTGATCCCGACCCTCGCCGCTATTGAAGACTCAAACCCCGATATCTACGTCCGTATCGATACCAACCACGATGCTAACAAGCCGGTCGATGCGAGCGAGCCTGACGTCGACCCGGAGATTGAAGCTCCCCGTCCGCAACCCATCACCAGCAAACTGCGCACCACCATTCAGCACCTGCGGAATCGTGCCGGCTTCTTGTCCCGGTTCCGTGGTCTGAGCATGCTCACCACTTATGGTATCGCGCAAGTGATGGTGCTCTCGATCATGCCTTTCTCCATCGACGCCTTCCTCTCTCAGTTCTTCGTCAGCATGATCACCAGCGTCCTCTTGGCCAACCTCCAGTTGGCGTGGGTTCACATCGTCATTTCCGAGCCCTCTCCCAAGCGCTTCTACCAGCGGATCCCCGGCTTTGACGCCTGGAAGAAGATTGCTCCGGTCGTTGCTTTCGAACATACCGTCACCGCTGCCGCCTACTATATCCCTCTCGCTTTAATTAGTGCTTGCGGTGGCTTCAAGGGTGCTGAGAACCCCACTGACGGTGATGCCCCGGCTAAGACTATTGCGAGCGCTGCTACGCTGGTCGCCCTGCCTGCTCTTCTTTCTTTTGTGGTCTCCATCCCAGCCCGCGCTATCTTCATCCGCGTGGCTGCGTCCATGCTTCCCGAGGAGCACGAGTCCATCGTGCCTTTCGACCGTTCCTTTGGCGGCAAGGTCTCCCCTGCTATCGTGGGAGGCAGCGGAAAACTGAGCATCATGGATGCCTGGAAGACCTTTGATCGACCCGCTCTGACGCGCTTTGTCAAGGCCATTGCCAAGGGCTTCGCCATTGAGGTTGCCGTGGTTGCGCTCTTCGGTACACTGCTGATTGTCCAGGTTTGGGCGGGAGCCGTGACCTATGGTTTCACTGGAAACAACGCCTAATCTAGTCAAGACTTTGATGTGTACAGGTCTAAGATCTGACCAGCTACGACTCTGCTCTTTGTATGACTCTATACATACTCCCTACTCGTTGAATATAAGCGCTATTACAATATATACGTCTGCCCTAGGCGGTTCCCTGTAACCTGATCTGTCCCTGCCGTATGCGCTCCGATCTGAACATGCTGCAGTCTGCAACAGACCCGAAACCCCAGCTTTTCCGATGATAAATTAGTGCTTAACGTCGGGTGTTGTGCGTGACACATGGGGCAAGGTAGAAGTCGGGATTATCCCCTCCAGGGAATGCCCTGGGCCTGCATGCATAGAGGGTTACTTCGAGGGCCCCTATCCCGCCAGGTACTCGTAACGTCGTTATCGCAGCCCCGGCCCCCCACTCGCTCACCGCCCTGGCCCGAGCGATTCTTTCCATCAACTGACAGTCTCTTCGTGACCCTCGGTCTACCTACCTGATCCTAGCTACGCCTCGGGGTTTTCCCTCCTCTTCTTCTCCTCATCCCCTTCCTTCTCCTCTTCTGTCTGACCTCCTCCATATCGAGGGCCGTCTCTCCACACCATACAGCCTTGTCCCTTTCGTCCTCTCAACCTCAACTGTTCAACTCACACCCCTCTTCTCCCCTCCTTTACCCCTCTCCGCCTCCTCTTTCAATCATGGCTACCACACCAGCCGGCCGCATGCTCTCCCGCCAACTGCAGCAAATGCAGTCGGATAAGGACATCCCTGGAATTAGCTGCGGGTTGGTCGATAATAATGTCTTCGAATGGGAGGTTATGCTTATGATCTCCGATGATGTCAAGCTCTATGGTGGTGAGTCGCGTCCGACCATCAGATCTTCCCCTTTCGGAGCAGCGGTCTAACATCCTTCCTTGGAATCATCATAGGTGGTTTCTTTCGCGCCCGTCTCACCTTTCCCACCGACTACCCACATATGCCTCCGAAGATGAAGTTCGAGACGCCTTTGTTCCACCCCAACAGTACGTCCCCCTCCGGACCGTATTAGCAATCAAAATAAGTGCACAATACTGATTGTCTGTCTCGTGATATGTTCTAGTCTACCCCAACGGCGACGTCTGCATTTCCATCCTCCATCCCCCGGAGGAAGACAAATACGGCTACGAATCCGCTGCCGAGCGCTGGTCCCCCGTGCAAACGCCCGAAACGATTCTCCTCTCCGTGATTTCTATGCTGTCGAGTCCGAACGATGAAAGTCCTGCCAACGTTGAGGCCGCGCGGTTATGGAGAGAGGATCCCAAGGAGTTCAAGAAGCGGGTGCGCAAGTGCGTCCGGGATAGCTTGGGGGAGGAGTAAACCTCCTTTCACTTTTGTTCGTGACGGCTATGATGGTGGTGGTGGTGGTGAATAGGTCGCTCGCTATCTCGGCAATTATCACTCAATCCTTTCCTCCCTTTCAGCTCATATCGTTGTTGTGATGCTTGGCCGGTTGCATGATAGACTGAATGCTTGATCTATCGGGACGGGAAATTGGCGGATGCGCTTGATGTCTATGGATGAGAGCATTTCGATTTCATTGCTATCTCTATCTTCTTATTGTTATTTATGCCGCGGAGTTTGTTCCCGTTCTGCTGGTTTAGGACGGAGTTGAGCCTAATTTCTATTCTTTCGATCTTCCTCTGCTCATCCTACTACTTGCATGCGTTTGTTCTGGTCGTACATCATTTCGCTTGGTTATATATCCCGTTGGATTGCTGTGGCGGATTTCGTTCCGGTCGTGGCTATGAATGAAAACGATGGTATTGCTGTAGTCTGTAGATACGTATGAACAGGGAACTGCGACTAAACTCTATCAACTGATCATAATGCCATTGGATGCCGACGCCAACTCCAACGATGGGTATCTATAATATTTGTATGACAGGTGAGATATATACATCAGGCCTTATTCTTGATCCCCTTCCGAATAGAGGGGAGGAACAGTCCCGGGTAGAATATGGTAAGCAAGCTCACGGCCAGCGCCATCATCCTATAGATATCCCTGTCAGTTTCATCCAACCGCAACCGGAATGAGGAACAACAAAGAAAACTCACATTCCATCCAAAACCAAAAACTCGTTCTCCTTTTGCATGAGCGGGTTTCCCCAGCCGCCCGCCATTTCAGGGATACTGCACATCGTCGTTAGCATTGACACACCCACCATGTAAACCCCACAAGTAGAATAGAAGAAGGAAGAGGGCAACTCACCGATAAATACACCGAATCAAGACGGTAAAATAAGCCACGATACCCGCAATAATCACCACCCGAATATTCTTTCCCCCGGGCTGAACCCCGTTATCGAATTTCTCCCCGGACAGGCCCGGACCCTGCCTGACCACCCTGATAAAGAAATCCAGCGCCAGCAACCCACACACCGACATCGTACCAACCTGGAACGCAATACCCGCGACCATGATATCATCGCCGATTTTCAAGAGATTTTGATTAGCGCTCCCCGCGGCAGCAGCGACACCACCACCCGCGGCCTGGAGGATGAGGGATCCGACGTCGCAGCTGATGAAGATCCAGGTGAAGAGCTGGGGTTTGAGACGGGAGTATTGCGGGCCCAGGGAGAGGATGACGTGTTTGAGGGTGAGGTAGATGCCGGCGGCGATGAAGGTGGGGGCGAGCACGAGACAGACGATTTGGAGCTTGAAGGCGCCTTGGTCCCAGGGGTTGTGGTTCATGAGGATGCGGCCGATGTAGCCGGCTAGTTCCATGAATGCGCCGATCACCATGGCGGTCATCATGGTCCAGCAGCGGAAGTAGATTCCTAGGCCGAGTTGGAAGGTGCCGCAGATGCCGAAGAAGACGGTGAAGAAGATGTTGCCGCCTAGATTGGGGTAGTAGCCGTAGGTTGTTGCAGTCACGGGGCATTCGGGCGTGACGTGTGTGCAGGTTAGTGTGCTCATGGTGGCGGTTGGAGTGGGATGGGTGGGTAGAAGGTGGAAAGGAGGGAGTTTTAAAGGAGAGGTGGTGAAAAGAATGACAGATGCGAAGAAGACGGCAAATCGCTAAGAGTCTGATCTATATGCAATATATGCAAGGAAAGGAGAGGAGAAGAACAAAGAGAGCGAGCCTCGACGTCGGCCCTGACACTGATAGGGTGTTCATCTCGATCTGGCTGACGGGGATCAGACCTATTAATATAAGACCAACTAAGAAAACTAAAGTCAACCGTTCTTTACCCCGATTTGCCGCGCCTTGATGACGGCCATATCCGGTGGAGCGAGGCCTGTATAAAATCCTTGCAGGGGGATTGCTGATTGGATCGTGTTCGTTCTCGTTCTCGTTCTCGCTCTCGCACCGCCCCACTGTCGGTCGTAGCCGTTGTAAGGCGTTATCGCCGGGTGCGTTTCTCCGTCAATGTGCGCGCGCTGCTGTGGTCGAGGGTCCGTGTTCTGTGTTCTTCTTTCTTGGCTTTATATAGTTGCTGACAGGGTCAAACCCTGCGGGAACTGTTTGCGTCATCTTGTCAGGGTTGCTGAGCCTGGTGTTGGAGATGATACATATCGCCGTGCCTGGACAGGATGGTAAGGATGCAATTTAACCGACCTCATAGTGGCCGCTGTGGGTACTCACGTCTCCACCAGTGTCATTGCGCCCCTTTGGCGTCGGCTGGAAGAGCAGAACAGCGAACCTGGACAACGGTGTTGATTGCAATGGTGCTCGGGATGCCGATGCTCAATCCGCACTCGCCTTGGACTACAGTCAGAAAAAGAGGGACCGTCTGAGGTGGTCAACGCCATGGAAATGTACATCACGTGACTCGGGAAATTAGTCAGCCCACGTGGGCACGTGGGGCACCGCCGGCATCTCCATCCAGGCCATCCGGATGCAACCTTGCATTGACCCAGATCACGTCGTCAAATGAGCATTCACGATGCGCTATCTTAACAGACGCAGCTGAGCTCACAAAACATAGACTTAGGTCTAAATTGATGGGAGATGGCGCCCAGAAGGACCCACACTAAGTCACGCAATGGCTGTGACCAGTGTAAGAAGAGACGCGTCAAGGTACGCATCACGTCCCTCGCTTCTCTGAAGTACATCAGAGGATCATCTACCCTGGAGTCACAACGGTGCTCATCTAATGTCGGTGCTGCTCTAGCGTTCTTCTGACAGTTCTAGTGCGATGAACAAGGCCCACCATGCTCGAATTGCATGAGTCGCGAATTGAAATGCACCTACTTCAATATCCCGGGGGCACGCAAGGAGGCCAGTCTATCAGCATCGACTCCTGTCCCCGTCCAGTCTCTCCGCAAAGCCGCACCCTCAGAACCACCAACTCATACTAGTCAACCTCTTTCCCGCCATGGTGCATCTCCGTTAAACTTTGCTAGTCTGCGAGAGCTCGAGCTGATGCACAAGTTTTCCACGGAAACCTATCAGAGCCTTTGCAACGAACCTACGGACCATCAAGTGTGGCAGTCCGTTATTCCACGCAAGGCTCTGGAGTACAGCTTTCTCATGAGCGGGATACTAGCAGTTGCATCTCTGCACATCGCGTCGGAGCTTGACCCTCCGGCAGCGTTGTCGTATATAGATACGGCTTTAGAGTACCATGATCTGGCATTTGCACCTTTCCGTCAGGCGATTGATAACCTGACTCCAGCCAACTGCGATGCTGTCTTTGCTCACTCGGTCATCACAACGGTTATTGGCATAGCACTGCCACAACTGGCTGCCGTCCGAGAGGAAACCCAGAGTATGACCGAGAACATCATAGTTGTCTTTGAACTGCTGCATGGAACTACTAACATATTCAGCATTAGCCGTCCATGGCTTCAAGACAAGCTGTTCACTTCCCGACGGGGCTTTTGGGAAACCCCACTGTCCATATTAGACAGTGAAACGGAGGCTGCCCTGGACCGACTAACCGCCCTGAACAATGACATGTTGGCTGGTGCCAACGCAGAGCAACACAGCATCATTAAAAATGCGATAGCCCTTCTTCGTCGCTGTTTCTGCAGATACAACCATAACAGAGACGTTGCTTCCATCCTTGCTTGGGTAGCGACTGTTGATAAAGAATTCGTCCAGGCTCTCAGATGCCGACAACCCCTCGCCCTACTAGTCCTTTTGCACTGGGGCGCTCTGCTACATGAGCTTGACGGAAAGGTGTGGTGGGCGAATAATTCCGGGAGAGCCTTGGTATCGGAGCTACAGAACGCTCTTCGTCCCTGCGATGTGCGATGGGAAGGCGCTTTGCAGTGGCCAAAACGAAAATTAGGTCTTTGAAAGACATGGGCGAGATGTCTTCCGGCGCCTTACTCCATCTGATATATATCTACTGCATCAGAACCTTTGCACGACTCCAAGACAAGAAGGCTTGCAACGTCTTTCATCATATTGAGCACTGTCAGCGTATATATGCATTCGGCTCTATCATCACAAATTGAACGAACCACGGACATGTGATCGGCTCAAATACCACCAATGCAAACGACGATCCGAAGATATCCACAGTTCCTAAAGCTTCCCCATTCTTCTCAGCACCTTCTCATAAGCCACCTTGGTCCGTGCTGAGGCAAGCCTATCCGAGTCATGTTGACATACAGCCAAGCTCAAAGGACCCCCGACTTGCTTCAGCCAATATGATCGCCCGCAGTCAAATAACCAGTTGCGTGTGCCCACCTTGACTAGCTCTGCCAGGATATGCTGAGGGGTGTTCCGATCTTGCACAAAAATGATCGTTGGTAACTCGTTCCGAAGCTCTTCTGGGGCATTTGCCTTGCATATTGCCAGGACCTCGTCGAAAGTAACCCGCACATATAGTTGAGATCCAACTTGAACTATCCCACGCGTTCCTGCCGCTGCATGCAAAAGACATGCATTGGCGACAAAATCAACGGGAATCTCATCCAATATATTTGCACCACTGTTATAACCCTCAGCAGCGTGCCAGATCTGCGTACCTCCTTGGTCTTGGAAATATAAAGTAGAGAACTTGCTCAAGGGCGTTGAGTCTTCGGGTCCATACAGCGGGTAGGGATCTCTGACGGCCGGGCCAAAGATGGTGGGTCGGACAAATAACACTGGCAACGTCGGATATCGCTTGAAGGTCAGACGCTCCATGAGATGTTTTGCCTGAGTGTAAGATGAAGAGAAACGATCGGTGTGAGGTGAATATCCAGTGGCTTGGATGGATGCCAATTCCTCCTCCGGGTCTTCGTCCGAAATGGAGTACAGTCGCTCCGCAACATAGCCATCCGGCAGAAAACTGTTCACATAGGCAGTGGAGATCTGAATGAACAGCCTGAGTCGACGGAACCGTGAAGCGATCCTAGCGAGCTCCAACGCTGGCAGACAGTTATTCTCAAGCGCTTCCGATATGTTCGCATCCAGCTTGATCCTCGCAGCAGCATGAATGACCAGCGTGACCTGTTCACGTAACTGCTCCAACACTTTAGTCTCGATCCCAAAGTCCGGCTTCCGGATATCCCCAATGACGAAATGTATCTTCTTCGTATTAACAATGGCCTGCGTCTGATCCGGCATGGTCTTCTTCCATTTTTGCACCGCCAGGTCCGATGATCCACGGACCAAAACAAAGATCTTCCGCGTCGGAAGCTGCGTGGCCAGCTTATACAGGATACATCCTCCCAACGAACCCGTAGCGCCCGTCAGAAAGACCGTCTGCCTCTCATAAGACGTCGCATACCCGTTCCTCTTGATCTCCTCTTCATACGGGGCGGGACCCTGACCTGGCATCGAGACGACCTATATATCACAATCCGGGCCTTCGAGGCGATGATTTGCTCGCGGATACCTCGTGATGACAACATGCCATTCTCGCCATAAACCACCCGACGGTTACCTATATACGCCCCGTCCTCGTCACATGTTACACTTGACCGAAACCGACAATGGCACACTGCACTACCGTCTTGAAGCGAGGATGCGACCCTGTACGACCCACTGGGATCGTTCCTCGGCTGATTATTAGGCCGTCCACAGAACCCCATATCCATTTCTGCAGATCAGGAACTTAGATGCCTGCCCCTTAAACCCTAATATCGCGCACCTCTTCTTTCACTATACATCACCTACATTAAGAAATACATCTGCCGGCACGATCCCTTCTATATTCATCCCTGATGCTCTTTGCTCATATGATTCATCGTCGAGCTGGGACTGTACTCAATCGTCCTGTGGGACTCTAATCATGTGAAGAGACACAAGTGTAACGCCCACTCCACAGTTAGAATTTGCCGATGAGTGAGTGACTTGCACATCGTATGATTGAGAGAAAGGTTACATTAACTAAGTTGTGGGGATATGAATCCCCTTACAAGGGCTCAGATCCATCTACCGAGGTAATAAAGAATTACGTTCACACAGACTAAGCTTGGAAGGAACGAACATCGGTTGTAGTATTTGCATTGCTTGTTTGCTTTCCCTACATATACATAACCATAACCATCCCAGGAAACAGCCTACTTAGACATATGTATAGAGAAGGAGTTCGAATCCCGCAAGTGCCCCCTAGGTTGTCAATAAAAGCATAGACCAGAACGGTGCACGAGGAATGAGCTAGGGTGAAAGGAATAGAAAGAGAAAAAGACCCCGGTAGCTGGACGGTCTGATCTATCTACCGACTTAACCAAAGTTTGTGTGTGTTCTTGTAGAGAAAGGTAGATGACGAGATTATGGGTTCTTATTTCCGCCGCCGCACCAGCAACGACCGTCTCCTTCGCGCTCGACTTGGACGAGAATTTCCATGCCTTTTTCACGGAGGAAGTCCACGGTGCGTTGGCGGACGTCTTCGAGATCGGAACTGCGGGAGGCGATAACGTGGATTACGCCGAGGACATTGGGGGTGTGCGTGTCATGGTGGTCGTGATCATCGTGGCTGTGGTGATGGTCGTGACTGTGTGTATGAGCGTGGTTATGGCCGTGGTCATGATCGTGATTGTGACTGTGATCGTGATCGTGGTCGTGGCTATGGTTGTGACTGTGGCTGTGGCTATGATCGTGACCGTGACTGCAGCCATGGTCATGGCCATGGTGGTGGCCGGAATCCTTCCCCGTATCGTCCAGCCAGAACTTCGGGACGGTGTACCCGACAACGCCCCGTAAGGTACTGACGCCAGCGAGGGTTTCACGGACATTGTATTCGATGTCAGCTGGCAGCGCGAGCAACAAAGTCTTGGCGGTGCTGCTGACAAGTGGAATTGCCGAGGCAAAGATCAAGATGGCAATCAGACAGGACGCGATGGGATCAAACCCTGGCCAGCCAGAGTAGTGCACGAGGATGGTCGAGATCACAACAGCCACAGAGCCAAGCGTGTCGGCGAGAATGTGTAGAAAAATACCGTGCATGTTCTCGTTCCCGTGCGAGTGCCCGTGACTGTGATCGTGTCCGTGTGCGTGCCCATGGTCGAAAGCCATAATGCCGACAAGGTTGACGAGGAGACCAGCAACACTGACAGCCAGCAATTCGCCGAGGCGGTGCATCTGACTGCCAGAGGAGAGTCGCTCAACCGCTTCGTAGATGATCTCAATGCTTATGATCCTAGGTATTGTTAGTCAAGTTTCGAGACGCTCGTCAGGAAAGCCTACATAAGGAAGATGCCGTTGGCAAACCCGGAGAGAGTGTCAACTTTTCCATATCCGTAGGGAAACCTGGAGCTCGGTGGCCATTTACTCATGACAGCAGCACTGAGACCAACCACGAGCGCAAGGCAGTCGAAGAACATATGAATACTGTCACTAAGGAGACCCAGAGATCCCGTCAAGAAACCATATGACAGCTGCACAAGCATAAAGGCGAAATTAAGACTGGCTGAGTCAGTGACAGCTCAACAGGATTGGTGATGTAAGAGATACCTCATAAAGTAGAAGATGCGGCGCGAGTCGCTTTCCTTGAGGATACTGTACAAAAGGGGATATGGCTCGCTGTAGCGGAGGATGAGCTTCGTTACTGCCGAAGCATCACTTCCAGAGTGCGCGTGGTGGTGATGGTGATGGGTATGGGACGGTGAAAGGCGCAATTGCCTATCATCGAATCTCGCGGCAAGGAACGAGGCCGCAGTCGCAATGGCTCGTGACACATAAGCGAGGTGAATCTTGTCTTGTAGTGGTGGAGAGCAAAGCAGTGCAGCAACTGCGGTTCCAACGGCCAGGCCAATCTTGTGGGGTGAGCGTAGATGAAAGGGAGCAAGGAATATCAGACAGGTTGCAAATGTTCCAGCAGCTGCCAGCTGGTACATCACGTCTGAAGCTCCAAAAGACGCATTGCCAGAAACAACGACTGTAAGAAGTGCCAGAACGATTCCAGAAAGGATAGCCAGAACTGGATCACTAGCCGAAACTTTGCCATATCCCTGCTTTGAGAGTTTTTGAGAGACTGCACCATTGGATGTCGAAACATCCAGATCAACAGACTTCGAGTGAGCACCTGAAAAGGGAGGCCGGATAACGAAGACAGAAACGAGCAGGGAGACGTAACCTAAGAATGGATGAGGGTCTCGCGTCGAATTCATGCCCCAAAGGCTTAGAAAAACAATGGTGGCGAGAAGTGCAGCCGTGACTTTCTTCTGGCTCAAGCGGGACTGCGCACTACTGTGGAGGCCATAGCCTTGAACAATGGTCGGCATTCCAGACGCTACCGTAAGCAGCAAGGCGCATGCGATAAGAAATCCCCCCACTTTCAATGCCGCGTATATCGGCAATGCAATAGAGGCTGCATGCAGACAGACAGCACTTGCCGCGCTGGAGCCCAATTTGGGTAGTGTAACTCCTGAGCCGCTCCCTCGAACCAGCTGTCCACATCCATATAGTATCAACGTAACCGCAGTCAACATGAAGGTCTTGCTAGCGACCTGCTCGAGCCCTCCGCTATCTGCACTAGACGCATTGGTATCATCTGTTACCGATGGAGCCGTCTGCCAATGCGCATGTTGTTGATGATACCAGGATAAGGCGATCCACGGTAAGGCTAGGAGGAGGCCAGAGGAAACGTCTTGACTAAGCAATATTAGGAATAAGTCTGGCTGGTTCACTTGAAGCCTTACATTGTGCTGGATTGGAGCTCAATTGAATTGCTGAGTGACTGAGCTCCAATGATCCCCGTCACGCTTTCACTCTTGCTGTGATTGATCGAGTCAAGACTCCCATGGTGGGTATGTTGCTCCCATACATTATGGGATGATGAGTGCGAATGTGAGTGCGAGTGTGAGTGGGAATGTGAGTGTGAGTGTGAGTGTGAATGGGAATGATGGTGTTCGTGCCACGTTGGGTTGACCGGATGGCCATTGGTAGGGGGTGAAGTCGGTAGAGGCTGTGGGGGCTGTGGTTGCGCCGAGGCAGCATCTAAGGATGACGCTGAGAAGGAGATAGGCCCTTGTGACCAGCGAGATGAGCGAGAGTGACCATGACCACGACTATGCCCGAGACCATGTACCTGAGGAATCGTATCCACCATGGACATGGGAGCCCCAGTCGACATGATCCCCAGTGGTTCGTGGCGGTAGGTGACCGGCGACGGAGAGAGGAAGAAGCGAGACGACGCCGAGGCGGGGGAGGTTGAAACAAGTGGAGCTTTAGCAGCTCAGAGCAGATTGACGGCCGGGGGATTGACAGGGACGAGGCAGCATAGCGCCAGGGAGGGAGGAGGAGCAACTGGGAAACAGGGAGGGAGCTCGCGGGCGCTTGTGGCGACAAGTGATGACGGCCCCCAGCGATGCGCCCGCCATTGATGGATCGGCTTCCCTCGCGATAACCCCGGCCACGTGATCGTTCGCGCCGCTGGCTGAGGATCGCCCGGCCTCGATCCCAATGGACCGCTCCAACACCGCTACCAGGCAGTAAGCATCACTTCCGGTCAAATTGCGCCGTCTCCCTCCTGCAGAACTCTCTCCAGTGCTTTGACGCGGCATCGAGTGGGGTGGCATCGGCCCAGGTTTCCTCCGTCCAACGGAGTACAGCTGGCTTCCCGCACCTTATCCCGAGGCTCGTGGGATTCCCAGCGACTTTCATTCCCATTCCGCTGACTCTGACCGGTCAATGACCATGCGCTGAGCTGTACCTCTCCGGTCTCTTCATGATGGTGTTTATTTAAACTGCCTAACCGTTCACTACCACCCATATGACCCTGCACCATGATCGAGTCGTTCATTAGTATCGCTTTCTACATCTCGACGGCCATCACGCTTGTGATCTTCTTGCTGCCGTCGCGGTATGCCTCCAAACGCAATGCCACACAAGAGGAGCCTGATGCACCCAAGACCACGGTCCAAATTCTGGTCCTAGGGGACATCGGTCGCAGTCCGCGCATGCAGTACCATGCCCTGAGTGTTGCCAGAAATGGGGGGCATGTGGACATCATCGGTTACCATGGTGCGCCAGAAGATCAATTCCCGGTCTCTCATTGCAGCAAACTAATGCGATCGCTATAGAATCGGATGTACATCCCGAGATCTCCTCTCACCCTCGCATCTCCATCGTCCCCCTCCCTCCGCATCCCACCTGCCTCCAGACAAGCAACAAGCTCTTGTTCCTCTTATTCGGTCCGCTGAAAGTCGTTTTCCAAGTTGGCTGTCTGTTGTGGATCCTGGCATATCGTACAAAACCGGCCAAATGGCTCCTCGTTCAGGTTGGCTATACAATCCTCGCCAGCATAGGCGGTGTTATTGAGACAGCGCTGATTGATCTCTCGGACTATTGCAGAACCCTCCTTCTATTCCGACACTCGCGATCGCTTCCCTTGTCTGTTTCTTGCGTCACACAAACCTCCTTGTCGATTGGCATAACTTTGGATACACCATCCTAGCCCTCAAACTCGGAGACGCTCATCCGTTGGTCAGACTCTCCAAGTGGTACGAGAAGATATTTTGCCAGTACGCGACAGCGCATCTCTGTGTCACCAACGCCATGGCAGTGGTCCTGAAGGAGGAGTTTGCCCTGAAAGCGCCCATTCTCCCGCTGCATGACCGGCCGGCCGATCATTTCCAGCCCATCCTGGATGATCGCACGCGCAAGGACTATTTGCTCTCTCTCTCGGAGACAGAATCGGTCGGGTCGCTGATTGTGTCAGATAAGGTCCGAATCCTGGTCAGTTCAACCTCATGGACTGCAGACGAGGACTTCTCGCTTCTCATAGAAGCTCTCTGCCAGTATTCGGCCATGGCTGAGACAAGCCCCGACCTGCCTTCAATTCTGGCCATCATAACCGGTAGAGGACCTCAACGCGATATGTATCTGAAACAGATCGCCGACCTAGACCAGGCCGGTAAACTCAAGAAAGTCACAATTCGCACAGCGTGGCTAAGTATGGAAGACTATGCACGGCTGCTCGCGTCCGCTTCACTCGGTGTTAGTTTGCACACCAGCAGTAGTGGGGTCGACTTGCCAATGAAAGTGGTCGATATGTTTGGCGCTGGCCTGCCTGTTGTCGGCTGGAATCGTTTCGAGGCATGGCCGGAGCTGGTCACCGAAGGCCGTAATGGAAGAGGCTTTGGAAGTGCGGAAGAGCTAGTCAAACATCTCGTGGAGCTCTTTGCAGATCCGGATAAACTTGAGAAACTTCGTGCTGGTGCGCAAGAGGAAAGTTCTCGTCGGTGGGACGGCGAGTGGAATCCCGTGGCTGGAAAGCTGCTAGGACTGATATGAGGCTAGCCGGCGCCATCACTTGTGGGGTACAGCTAGAGATAGAGATTGAAGAATACAAAATTTACCTCAGGCTCCAAGTTCTAGACTTGATATTTGCCATTGCAGTAGACACACGTATCAAACGCATCGAAAAGCATTCGACAGGTGTCCTGTAAGTCAGGTTCAAACGACTCAATGCCATCTTCGTTTAAATATTCTCTGCCACATGACGAGCAGAGTTTCGATGCTCCAGGGTCTTGTATAGCCAATGATGTCACGCCACAGCGAACTGAATAGAGAGCTGGGTTAGCGATTTGTGATTCTTTCAGTGCACATCGTAACATACCAAAGATGTGACCCGTCGCGCACTGAGCTTCCTGACTCGAATACCAATCGATCCCAGCATCGCAGATATCACATCGTTCAAACATCTGGCCACCTGGTCCATCAAGCGCCTCCGCAGACTTCGACGCGATTTTATTCTTGGATATCGAGCATTTGGAAAGCTCATCGGTTACATCGGCACCTGTGGCTGTAGCCAACCTCACTAACACTTTGTGAGCTTGGTACAACAAAGCCGTATTAGTGGATTCGACGATGGTGCAGCACGCTGCCGCATAGAGGATCTTCGAAGACAATGGTTGTCTAATCTCGTCATTGTCTTCAAAGTGTAGAATGTATCCCAGAACGGACTCTCGTCGATGCTGGAGGTCCGGGGAGTTGTCCACTGTTTCAGACGTAGCTCCATCAGATTGAGACGCGTCGGGTGATATGATGATCGTTAACCGTTCCTCTGCTGCTGTGCGATATTCGATCATATCCCCTGGATGCACGGTAATTCCAGCTGCGACCATTCCATTGTAGGAGGTGAGACCCCAAGCTCGCGCAACAGCTAGGCCGCCAAGGTCGCGGTCAAAATCGAACTTCTCACGTATGTCATCGAGTTGACCTTGCCATGGGACCGGCAGAATTGAAGCTTCGTTCTTGCCGTGATGGAAGGGTACCGCGCCTATATATCCTCCGGCCGTGGCGCCATAGAGTACAGGGGTTTGAGTTGCAGTGTCCGTTGTTACAAGCATGGCTTCACTTGTTAGTAAGAGAACTATGAGGAGCGTCAGTTGCTTACCAGTAATTGGTTCCAAGTGCCTCGGGGTGCTGGCTCCTGTTTCAGTCTTGGAAGTCTCGTAGAACGGCAATTCCTGCACTTGGGCCCGACCAGACGAACGTGCGCCTTTTTGATTCTTTTTGGGGAAGTTGATCAATAATAGCCCTGTCAGGATACCCGCGGCCAGACAAAGAGTCGGAGAGTCATCCTAGGTTGGTGATCAGATGATGTCCAGTCGCAGCTATTTTGGGCTTACCGTATGAAGCCATGCCAAAGGTCCCGAGAAGTGGTATCCACTCAAATCTTCATGGCATACAGCGGAGGTGGTTTCTTTGGAAGTAGCATCCAACTTGGTTTGCAACTCGATGTTTGTTCCACGGCTGCGAGATGGTAAATCTACGTCTAGTTGTAACACCCTAAGTGTCGTTCCATGAGTGACAGCCAGATATCCACTTGCGGAGTTTTTCTGGCTCTTCGCTAATGCATGTAGCCATGGCCCCCACGACATGGATAAAACTTTGACCTTGGATTTGAGAATCTTCGCAAAGATCGATGACGGTTGCAGCTGTGAATAATTTTCCTCTGTTTCAGGGAGGGCAGTCACCGAGAGAACACCAGTTTCATAAAGAGTAGAGAGCTCTGCTGGCGATCTTTGAACGTTTAAGAAGATCACATCATTGTCATCATTTGCGACTGAAAGCAAGTGCCAGCCCCATCGACTCTCAGTAGGGAGAACAGTGTAGGGACTTGCAGTCTCCGTAGCTGTTAATTTAAGGGGTGGGGACCACGCGAACGATCGAATGTTGGACTTTCGCAGGTTCAAGGCTTCATCCTGGATAGAGGATTTGAAATGATTTCCCAAGGCGTCGTTAACTATGGCGACTCGGGTCCATTTTCGCTGTAAACCGACCGGTTCGTAGAGAGATAGTATTAGGTTCGAGGTTAGAACGGCGAGGACACAGCGTCTATACTTAGCAAGACCTGGAGGCGACCAGGCCAACGCTACGACGGTACTGATCGATTGCTCGGCGCCCAGCGAGAAGTTGTCTCGATTTTGGGGATCGATCGTCGGCCACTCATTGTTCGTGAAAACATTTACACGAAAGCGACTTGAATGCCAATTGGTAATGGGGGATTGGGTTGAGTCAAATTCAGACTGGCCAACCGTGTTTTTCGGCGTCTAGGTCGAATAAGCATCAGTTTGGATGGGATGGTTCTGGTACGGACTAAGATTTGGATGTACTCTCCGGCGGCGATCGCGAGCTCCCCATCTGCCGACCACGCGAGGCAGTCATAGCAGGAAGGGAAGAGCGAGAGTTCCAGAGGGCCTAACATGATTTCAACAGCAATTGTATGGCTAGCGTTTGTTCATGGTAATCGCACAGAGTCAAGAGCACAGATGTAGGGATCTTCTTGCCCTCAACCATCCACGACGCGCTGCTGTAACAGAATAATAATCCCGAGGCCGGGGAGTTGAGGATCCATCGACGATGCAGAGCTCTCCATGGTTGGTACCCGTTTGGGTTAGTCCCCGTTTGGGCCGTGGAACGTGCGGCCTAGTCACGTGATGCCAATTGCACTTACATAACAGGTGGCGCACTACGCTTTACCCTTCTTAGCTAGGGCGTAGCGGTGGGCTTCTGCAGGCCCAACAACGGCGGCGAGCGACCGCGGGTGTCCGATTCCTGACTAACGGCGCTCAGGAGGAGGCACGGCCCAACACGCCGGTCTTTGGATCAACGCTCATCCACCCGCGGTGGCTATCATCCACTCTTGCATTTCACTTCCCTCGTCACACCTCACCTCCCTTTTCTCCGCTTTCGCCTGGGACTTCGCCCTCATTTTCCCCTAATTCAGCCGCAAACCACTCACCTTTAGGGATCACGGTCAGCATTTGATCATCGTGTGCCTTTCCTATCTCGATAGCTCCCGATTATCACCCGTACCCCGCCGCCATGTCGACCTCTGCCCGTCGTCGTCTCATGCGCGACTTTAAGGTACGTGCCTCAGCAAGCCACCCTTGAAGCTTCCATTCTTTCCTCTTTATACTTCACCTTGATGCCTCCCCAATCTTCCACCGGATTCCTGTACTTGAAGAGGCCTGAAATGCTTTGTCATCGGTTACAGCTATGGTTGTGAGCTAAGTTAACCTGCCATACGCAGCGTATGCAAACCGACCCCCCTGCTGGAGTTTCCGCATCTCCGGTGGCCGATAATGTCATGACTTGGTAAGCTAGTCTAGTCAACTGGTGTTGCTTCTTGCGTCTAACGTTGGTCGGGTTTAGGAACGCCGTCATTATCGGTCCCGCTGATACCCCCTTTGAAGATGGCACTTTCCGCCTTGTCATGCACTTTGAGGAGCAGTACCCAAACAAACCCCCAGGCGTCAAGTTTATCAGCCAGATGTTTCACCCCAACGTCTACGGGACGGGCGAGCTTTGTCTAGACATTTTGCAGAACCGTTGGAGCCCAACCTATGACGTGGCAGCCATCCTTACCAGTATCCAGAGGTATGACACCCATGTCTCCGGGGAGACGCGGAGGAGACGGTGAGACATGCTAATGGGTGTTTGTTCACGTCTAGTCTGCTGAATGATCCCAACACATCATCTCCGGCCAATGTAGAAGCCTCCAACCTTTACAAAGACAACCGGAAGGAGTACATCAAGCGGGTGCGTGAGACGGTCGAGAAGAGTTGGGAGGACTAGGATAGCACGGACGTAGAAACGCTTGTTTTGGTTTGACACATGGTTCTGAGGAAGCAGCCTTGCCCGTCTTCGGTGCGACGGAAGCTAACGGCAAGCTGCTGTGATCGTTTCATGCGTTTGTGGGGGGACGCCTATCTTGGCTTGATGGAGTCTCACACCATTTGATGACGTGCACAGCGTGGGGTTTTGGCGCCTGGTTCATCCTTTTTCGTTCGGTATAGTGGGTAGCTGCATCATTTCCAGTGATTTTGCATATGCATAAAACTTTGTCGGGTTTGGTGGTATTTGCTGCATGTCACAGACGTATCTCCTAGTGCCGTCGTCCGTCCTGCCCGCCCGATGTGATTTGGGAGTCCTCTGCTTCGCGCATGATCATTCCGTCAGGCACAGACAAACATTCCTCGGTGGCGGGATTGCTGTTGCTGCGACTGGCCGGGCGCCAAGACCACTCTAATCGGGAGGGGTGTAAAGGCTGCCTGGGGCCTGCAACAACTCCCAAACAATGCTGCATACCTGATCCTCACGCACGCCTGGTTCTCCCCCATCTCCCCACCTTAGGCCGGGAAATCAGTCCAAACCACGTCACAACCATTCTCGTTGTCCATGGGTGCTGGGTCCCTCGCCTGTTGCCCGACCTCTGATTCTTGGGGCTGCCGGACGCGCATTTATTGCCACGTTCGTTTTGGTCTAGTGCACGTGGACCCCTGACCCAAACAACACCGCCCACCGACCCTGGACTCGAGCAGACTCGCCTCTTGTTGGTCTGAACGACGTCCCTCCCTCTCTCCCCTCCTCTCGGGGCTTTCCTTCTGTCCTTTCCCGTCCCCAGCTGTTTACTGTTCGGGTCAGAGTGAACATGGCGTGAGTTTTCGTGCTTCACCGCTTCAACGTGGGAGCGGGTAGACTGATTTGTTTCGCTTGACAGGTCATCTGGCCCCTCGAACACCATTAAGGGTGCGCATCATCTCCCCGCCGGTTGTTGGTCGAGTTCATGAATGTGATCAAACTGACCGTTCACACACAGTGGTTGCGAGGTTCCGACCGCAAAACAAAGTTGAGCTGGCCTCTGGAGGAGAGCCGATTGTTGAATTCGAAAATGAGCAATCCTGCTACGTTAATGTGAGTTGCGAGAATCGCCCGCAATCCGCTCCCTGAGCTCACCCATGTTAGGCCCGCGATGGCTCTGGAGCCTTCACTTTTGACCAGGTGTTCCCGATGGACTCGAAGCAAACGGACATCTTCAACTTCTCGATCCGACCCACCGTCGACGACATCTTGAACGGGTACAATGGAACGGTCTTCGCTTACGGTCAGACAGGTGCGGGAAAGTCGTATACCATGATGGGTTCGGATATCGACGACGATGTGGGCAAGGGTATCATCCCCCGCATTGTCGAGCAGATCTTCGCCAGCATCCTCACGAGTCCAAGCAACATCGAGTACACCGTCCGTGTGAGTTACATGGAAATCTACATGGAACGAATTCGCGATTTGCTGGTGCCCCACAACGACAACCTTCCCGTGCACGAGGAGAAGTCGAGGGGTGTATATGTCAAGGGTCTGCTTGAGGTGTACGTCTCGAGCGTGCAGGAGGTATACGAGGTCATGCGGCGTGGTGGTGCAGCACGAGCGGTTGCGGCGACAAACATGAATCAGGAATCTTCCCGATCGCACTCCATTTTCGTCATCACTGTCACCCAGAAGAACCTGGAGACGGGCTCGGCAAAGAGTGGACAGCTGTTCTTGGTCGATCTGGCAGGTAGTGAGAAGGTTGGAAAAACCGGCGCCAGTGGTCAAACGCTTGAAGAGGCCAAGAAGATCAACAAGAGTTTGAGTGCTCTCGGTATGGTCATCAACGCGCTGACAGACGGCAAATCCACGCACATCCCGTACCGTGATTCCAAGCTCACCCGTATCCTGCAAGAGAGTTTGGGAGGTAACTCGAGAACGACATTGATCATCAACTGCTCTCCCAGTAGCTACAACGATGCCGAAACCATCTCCACTTTGCGTTTCGGTGTGCGCGCCAAGGCGATCAAGAACAAGGCGAAGGTCAACGCCGAGCTGAGCCCTTCGGAACTGAAGCAACTCCTCCGCAAGGCCCAGAGCCAAGTGACGAACTTTGAAACCTACATCTCACAGCTTGAGACTGAGGTTCATGTATGGCGCAGTGGCGAGGCCGTCCCGAAGGACCGTTGGACCCCTTCTCGGGGAGACGCTGTGAGCATGACGAAGGCCGAGGCTCGTGCGCCGCGGCCTGGCACGCCCTCTCGTTTCCAGGACACTCCTCGATCCGAGACCCCTCGTCCCGAGTCGAGACTGGGTGATCGCTCCAGCACGCCCAGCCTTGTCCTGGAAAAGGACGAGAGGGAAGAGTTCCTCCGGCGCGAGAATGAGCTTCAGGATCAGATCGCGGAGAAGGAGTCGCACATTGCGAGTATCGAGAGGGGCCTCCGTGAGGCACGGGAGGAGTTGAAGAACATGAAGGAGAACTCTGCGCGCTCCGGCAAGGACAACGATAAGCTGACGACCGAAGTGAACGAACTCCGCATGCAGCTGGAGAAGGTGTCCTACGAAAGCAAGGAGGCTGGCATCACCATGGACAGTCTCCGTGAGGCCAACTCCGAGTTGACGACCGAGTTGGACGACATCAAGCAGCAGCTCCTTGATGTTCGGATGAAGGCTAAGGAAACCAGCGCCGCACTGGACGAGAAGGAGAAGAAGAAGGCCGAGAAGATGGCGAAGATGATGGCCGGATTCGACTTGGGCGGCGACGTGTTTTCCGACAACGAACGCAAACTTCAGGACCTGATCCAGCGCGTCGACGCTTTGCACAAGGTCAGCGAAACGGGCGAGACGATCGCGCCCGACGACCTTCTGGAGCTGCGGGCGAGTCTCTTGGAGACCCAAGGGTTCATCCGTCAAGCCGAGCTCACGATGAACGACCGGGGCGAACTCGGCGAGCTGCAGGACAGCCGTAGAGCGGAACTTGAGCAGAAGCTGGCGACTCTCGAGCGGGACTATGAGAACCTTCTGGAGCGGAACCTGGGCGAGGGCGACGTGGAAGAGATCCGGGAGCGGCTGGAGAAGGTGTACGTGACCCGGAAGGAGGCCGAATTGCAGGCAGTCACGGACCTTCGCAGCCAGATTGCAAGCAAGGATGAGGAGCTGGACCAACTGCGCGCGTCCCTTGCAGACTCCCAGTCCCGTGTCACCACCAACGGTGCGGCGGGCAAGAACCTGCAGCAGCAGATTGCCGACTTTGACGCGATGAAGAAGTCGCTCATGCGTGATCTGCAGAACCGCTGCGAACGCGTTGTGGAGCTCGAGATCTCGTTGGACGACGCCCGGGAGCAGTACAACAACGTGCTCCGGTCGTCGAACAACCGGGCGCAGCAGAAGAAGATGGCGTTCCTGGAGCGGAACCTGGAGCAGTTGACTCATGTGCAGCGGCAGCTGGTGGAGCAGAACAGCAGCCTGAAGAAGGAGGTTGCGATTGCGGAGCGGAAGCTCATTGCGCGGAACGAGCGGATCGCGAGCTTGGAGAGCCTGCTCCAGGAGAGCCAGGAGAAACTCACCCAAGCCAATCACCGGTACGGCTTGCTCCACCTTGCTAACAGAACGTACCGCTAACTGTGTGCCACAGGTTCGAAGCGCAACTTACGGCGGTCAAAGAGCGACTGGAGGCAGCGAAGCAGGGCTCGACGAGGGGTCTTCCAAGTATGGATGGCAGCGGCGGTTTCAGTTTTGGCGGCTCGAGAATTGCGAAGCCGCTCCGGGGCGGCGGCGGAGGGAACGAGAGCAGTGCTCCAGTGGCCGGCGTCCAGTCGCAGGAGTCCGGGAAGCGCACCAGCTGGTTTTTTGATAGACGATGATCCACGATTTCTCTTTTGCTGTCTCTTTTATCCATTCTCCGAAAATATTTGAAGCCCTGTGCAATGGTGATCTCCTCGCCGCTTTGCCGGCCGTGGGACGAAATCATTCCTTGTTTCATGATCTTTTCCTTGTTCTTCGTTTCGTTCGTTCGTTGAATCTGGCACATTAGGAGTCCCGATGTTACGAGAGGCCCATGGTTCTCACCGATACCCTTGTACATGACAGATAGATGTGTTGACAGCCACCGTGTGGGATGAGACAGGTGGCTGGTCGATAGAAATGATAGTTTGATTGTGTGATATTTATTCACCGGATTATCCAATAATTCACCAGATTAGCCACCAGAGTAGTGTCAAGTGTTCCCACAATGGTGTCCAATCTTAGTAGTACACAGTGAGCCACTAGTAACATCTCTACGGTTGTGAAATCGTTATATATAAGAGGGATACTAGTAGTAGTCAGTTTAACCTGGAAGAGATCCAGCAACCTGGTCAAAACGGCCCACTCGACACCATTTCAGCTCAGATCTTCCGCCACGCCCCTGTGCACTTATATACATCCACGCACCGCCAAGTCCCGAGCATAGAGCCTGATTTGCTCACAGACACACTTTCTAGTGGTGCAGCACTTGTTCTCTGAACCTTAGCCAGAATACTAAGTATATCCAACAGCTTACACACATGATAGTGGCTATTCGTCATCACCCATACGGTATCCATGGCAGACCACGGAATCTACCTCCACATGGACTATTAGCTTTGCACTAAGAGACCCTGCACATCCTATGGCTCGTTCGCTTGCTCAAGTTCTGAATGGGAGGCCCTATTGGCCCGTTCAACCACCGGTGCCTAGTGCTTATGTTTGGTTGATCCCGCTCCACTTCCACACCGCGGATACCTTCAGAGCGTTCTATAAGAACCTGTTCACAGGACTCTTCAGTCATGCCATTCAGGACTCAAATAAATACTTAAGTCATTCACAGAACACGAACTATCCAGCAGAGAAGACTATCAGAGCCTCGCGATCAATTCCTCCTTCATCTTCAACTTCGACCATGACGATCAACAATAAGCCTCTCGTGGTCATTGCCTGCGCAACAGCATCTGGACACACACTCCCGCTCCTCCCCCACGCTGCCCACCTAACCAAACAAGGCTTTGAAGTCTCCTTCATCAGTGGCCCTGACTTTGAAAAGTCCATTCAAAAAACCGGCGCAACCTTCTACCCAACAGAGAACATCTACACGGCCGAAACTCTCGAGACGCTAAATGCGATCCCTGATGGCCCTGCACGCGCCATATTCGACATCAAGAACAACTTCATCAATGTAACTGCAACCAGAATGAAGACCTTGCAGACCGTGCTGGAGACACTCCGCGAGACACATCCCACCCGGGAGGTAGTCATCGTGCAGGAGCTCTTGTACATGGGGACCTGGCCGTACATCCTAGGGGCGCCTTTGCCAAAGGGGTACGATCGATTCCCCCGGACCATTATCTACGGCACCGGGTCACTGCTCATCTCAAGTATCGATACAGCACCCTTTGGACCCGGCCTGCCGCCAGATTCCAGCGAAGAGGGTCATGCTCGCAACGCTGCTATGTACGGCACCATGAAGGAAATGAATGCCGATCTCATCGACTACGCCAACACCGTGTATGCCGGGCTCGGCGCCACTGTCAAAGTAACCGAGCCGCTGTTCGACTTTTGGACCACGGGTCATGGCATCATGCTGCAGCCATGCTCCCCGAGCGTGGAGTATCCACGCAGTGACCTTTCCCCCAAGATCCGCTTTATCGGTGGCACCCCGCGCAGGGAAGTCGATCCGTCGATGGCGCTGCCGAGCTGGTGGGATGAGCTGGAGGCGAACCAGCAAACCGCAAGCCCGAAGAAGGTCATCTTCGTCACGCAGGGTACATTCCGCATTGACTACAATGAGCTAGTCATTCCCACCATGCAGGCTTTGGCTGATCGAGACGACGTCATGGTCATCGGGGTGCTGGGCGTGAGAAATGCGAGGTTGGATGGCTTTGAGATACCCAGCAATGCCAAGGTGGTTGATTACCTTCTATACGACGCGGTACTGCCTTATGTGGACGTATTCGTGACCAATGGGGGATATGGCAGCTTCACGCATGGGATCATGAACGGGGTTCCCATGGTCATGGCTGGAACGGGTCGTAAGTCAATCCTCCTCCTCGATGGAATTATATCTGATGTTGCATTAGAGGACAAAGCCGAAGTGTCGATGCGCGTTGAATGGGCGGGAATTGGCGTTAATTTGCGGACTGATAGCCCTAGCCAGGAGGCTATTCGGGAGGGGGTGAACAAGGTATTGGCTGATCCCAAGTACAAGGCTCGCTCTTTGGAGATTCAGCGTGAGAACGAGGAGCTCGACTGCGCGGCTGCACTGGAGCGATACATCATGGGAGCTGAGTAATTGTCCGGATTACATGTTTATACCCGGGCTTGGAATTAGCAAAGTTAACTCCACCAAAGTTGATCATAATTTTCTGCCACCTCTAAGGAAATTGAAGCCATCAATGCAGCCACCATGAGAAATCATCCAGTAGCCAAGTTCACTCCGGATGCCCATACCAAGGTGCTATCAACTGTGACATAATGCCACAGGGGCCACAATGCGAGAAAGGAATCAATCACCGCCACATCTTCATCCCCATCAGCAATTATTCTCCACCAACCGCTCAACCACCCCCTGAACCTCCACCTCCGTCATCTCCGAAATCCCCAACATCTCATTATCCGTCTTCCCAAAACGCCCCCCATACCCCTCCCCCCACGCAGCAGTAACAATAAACCCCAACATAGTCTGCACATCCCGCCTTCCCTGCTGAAACGCCGTCCACGAGTTCTCATACATCTCCTCCACCGACCGCCGCTGCACCACCCAGCCATCCGAACCAACCACCTTCTGCGCCATCTGAAACAGATGATTCTGCGTGGTTGCAATATCATGCACCCGAATCACACGATTCTCCGTCTCCGCCGGACGCGCTAACACCGCGCAGACAGCCCGGCCGATAGTCGATAGCGTCGTGGTGCTGAAGATGTGATCGCCGGTGCCGTATAGAGTGACTGTCTTGTTCTGGATGTTCATGAAGCCGTGCGTTAATCCCCAGTCTAGGAACGGGCCGGTGCAGATGATCGTGTATGTGAGGCCGGATCTATCCGCTAGGCGCTTTTGCGTCTCGATCTTGGAATGGTAAACCGGTAGGGCAGCGCACATGGGGTTGCTTGTATCGGAGCCGAACTCGGAGGGAATGAAGCGTCGGACGCCGGCTGCAGCTGCAGCATCAATAAGGAGGAGCTGGTGGTCGAGAGCATTGGGCGGCAAGGTCGAAACAATGGCGTCTTGCCCGTGAAGAGCAGTCATCAGCGAGGGCTGAGAGCCGTAGTCAACATGGCGGATCTTGACCAATGGAGGGAAAGTGTGGGTGCTGCGGAGTCGGCTCAAAACCGTGACTTGAAAGGAGTGCTTGAGAAGTTGGTTTAGGATGGCCTGTCCGAGGTTGCCGCTGGCCTGCCAACGAATAAGCAGGGGTCAATAAATTAGGCGCCGAGCAGGAAAGGAGAAAATACGAGTTGGAAATTGACTTACCCCCGCCAAAGCAACTTTCCTGATAGGAGACATGTTTGGCCATTGGAAGCTAGTGCAGTGTATTGGCTGTACAGAATAATCCGACTTTAAGCCATGGGTCTCGTGTTTGTTCATATCTACTACATCCATGCTTCATCAGGTCTCCGAACCTCCGAAACCAGGGTGTCGATTGGCGAATAGCCGAAAGACCGAACTGCCGTCAAGATCAGCTCCCTCCTCGGACTCACACCCCATCCCTCACTCTCCATTCATAGGCCCCCCTGGCTTACTTTCATCTGCCAGAGGCCCTTACTGTGCTAAATCCGGCTTCACAATGCACCATCGTCCCATGGCACAGCCCAGTGATGAACGGCCACCACCAGCCCTGGTGCGGCGATATGATGTGGAACGATCGTGTGTCCGTTGCCATGAGCGCAAGGTCCGCTGCGACAAAGCCACGCCCTGCTCAATGTGTGTCCGAGCCAGGGTTCCGTGTCGCTATCCCGGCCCCGAGCGGATGAAGCGCCGCTCCCAGAGGCTGTCAACCGCCAGGGTTGGGCCTCGCTTGGAGATGCTGGGGCGAGGCGTGGCAACGATCAACGAGAAAGAGTGTTTGGAGATCAACACCTGTGAGCATGACCTGAGCAAGTCGGAAGGTCCCACCCTGGGGGCGGCGGATGTCACCGATCGGGCCGATCGGTCGGTGACACCCACCAACGGCTTGCTGGTCAAGGAAGGTGCCTCTGCACGATATATCAACGAGTCTCTCTTGTCCCGAGTCCTGGAGAAGGTTTGTCCCAATTATGGTGCTCCACGGAGGGCAGCTGAGGGGGTGACTGACCGTTTCCTCGTGGAAGGAGTGCGACCTGCAATCGGCTATAGACGCCCCTGCCAACCCGACCGATCGCGGGGATCAGACCCAGGGGACTGATGGATTTGACGGCCTTCTTTCAAACCCTCTTCTGACCAAGCAAATCTCCAATCTGCACCCTTCTCGATGGCAAGCGGCGCAGCTGTGGCAAGTATATTTGAACAATGTGGATGCACTCTTGAAGCTGCTGCACGTCCCGACCACCCAGCCTCTCGTCTTTGCTGCCATCAACAGCCCAGGGCAGGCGCCAGCGAATCACACGGCCCTCTTGTTTGCTGTCTACTTCGCCGCGGTGACGAGCCTTTCATCACCTGGTACTCAAGTTATCCTCGGAGAGGATCGGCAGTCCGCGCTCTGTAAGTACCAGCGAGGCCTAGAGGTGTCGCTGCATGCGGCTTCGTTTCTGGATTCTCCCACGATCATATCTTTGCAGGCGATATCAATCTATCTAGTCAGTATTTCCCCCACCCTGCCTGTTATCAGGGACTCGTCACTCATTCATCCCCACGACTGTAGTTGTGCCGTCGCAATCATAGCGGGGGCCGATCCCGCTGGGTTTTGAACGGCCTGGTGATCCGGGCGGCACAATCGATCGGCCTGCACCGAGATGGAGGACAGTTCCATCTTGGCGCCTTGGATTGTGAGATTCGTCGTCGGCTCTGGTGGGCGATTCAGGGCTTTGATACGCGTGTGGCTGAGGATCACGGGTTCTCCACTAACACCGATGACTTGAGAATCTCTGGTGACACGGAGTTGCCTCTCAATGTCGATGATCGCGACCTGGATCCCGAAATGAACGAAGCACCAGCCTGCCGACCAGCCTGGACCGAAATGACTATGTTTTTGGTCACTGTGGAAATGAACCAGGCGATGCGACGGATCTCTCAGGAGTGCACGGCTATGCCCACACGACCAGCAAGCGAGCGCATGGCCTGGTTAGAGCAATTAGTGGAAACCGTCAAAACCCGCCTACACGCACGATACCTGCAATACTGCGACGCCAACATTCCGATTCAGAAGTCCGCTCTTTTGTTAGGACGGGTCTGTCTTGGGAAACTGGAGGTTTTTGTCCGGCAGCAAGACCCCCGAGGGCTCAGCGCCGAGGGTTCTAATTCAACAGTGCCCATTGCAGATCAAACGCTGGCATTGGCCTGTGATACGATTGAGATTGGGAATGAATTGAAGACCGATGAACTCCTGAGCAACTTCCGGTGGCTGTTCTGCACCTATACTCAGTACCACCTCCTCACCTACTCGCTTTGGCATTTGTGTATCCGCCCGCAGACCCCGAGCGCCGAGCGGGCTTGGGCCGTGGTGAACACGTCTTTTGGCCTGGTCGAGAGCTGGCCCAGCCCCGGTCGAAAATGGAACGTCCTGCGCAAACTGCGCGAGAAGGCGCTCCAGATCCGTTCTGCCTGCTGCCTGCCGCCAACCCAGATGTCTCATGAGTTAGCCATGCCCGAGCCGCTGGCGGGTATGATAGGGGACCATGATGCGGCAGACCTATTCGGGGGGATGACGGAAGGCTTCTTCGACGATGAAATCCTTTCGTATTTGGATCCGGTACTACTTCCCGGATTAGGATCGGGGGGGTTACCGCGCAGCCTTTGAAGACGATATATACATCCCGTGAAAAGACATCCAATTTCAGCGTTGGGGGAAATGAATGAGTATTTTCAACAACGGTAACTGCATTCAGTATTACCCGGCTATATACGTAGCACAACAAGCATACTTTCACTCAAACAACAACCACCGCCATATGAAGCGGATAGGTCCGGACCCGAGGCACCACAGCTATCGATTTCTTTCAAGTTCAATATCCAAGCGGCCAAAAATACGAGTGTGTCCCACGCCAGACAATGCTTCACGTCACGCACGCTTCCGCCCTCCTCTTCCCTTTTCTCTCGAACATCACAAGCACATTGCCCCCGATCACTAGACAGAAGAGAGCATAGGGCTATATGTAAAAGCAAGCAACGAGCATGCCAGCACAAGCCAAAAAGAGGATTTCGGGGCGTCAGGATGATTAAGAAGTGACTCAGTCTGGTAAACTCAATACGAGTTAGGGAGCGTCGCAGGACAGGGATGTATTTCACTGGCAAATGAATATAAAGAGGTAATGTTGGCTAGTGCTCACTGTTTGGAGTATTGTGAATAGGAAAAGGTGGAGGCATCTCCCGCTCGCTCAATTGGAGCCAGGCGAGTCCATAGAACGGATCTAAATACTCCCTTGAATCCGCAGGATCGGTGCAGCTATATCGGTTGAAATACAATCCGATCAGTCTATCAATTCTCTGCTGTAGCCACTATATCCTACCAGAAGGAGAATCGAGTCATGGTCTATACTATGTGTCCTAGAAGTCATCTAGGTATTGCGCTTGTAGGTCAGGGTAGATTACCTGTAAAGGTCCAAACGAAGATAGTATCTGGGATGGGGAAATGACTATTATTCTATTCACATGCCAGTGCCAAGAGGTGAAAATGTAGAATGGCGATCCTGCAAGAAACGTCCATGCCGTAAGAAAAGGTAAGACGAAGACCCCAGAGACATGGCGTGTCCCAAGTGGGAAACAGAAGAAGTGAAGAAACAGATCCAGTAGGAAGAGGAAAATCCGGGAGCAGCACGCGAGACGCCGTCTCGCCATCTCAAAACCGCGCCAACACCGTCCAGCCCGTCTGCATAATCCTGGCGACCAGGATCAGAGACGTGCCGGCCAACAACAGCACGCCGGCGAACACCTTCATGCCTGTATACGAGCCGTGATTCTGGGCGAGGATGGCGCCGGCAATGGGGTTCGTGGTCAAGCCGCTAAAGGAGGCGAAGAAGAAGACGAGACCGATGCGGTACCCGATCTGGGGGAAAGGGGAGATTTTGACGACGAGGGCGGCGGCCAGGGCGACGTAGGCGCCGGAGGAGAAGCCGAATAAGATGGCGAAGACGATGTTGGCGGCGGTACTGGTGGCGGGGATCCAGAGAGCGAGGATCAGGATGCCGGCGAGGTAGCAGACAAGGATGAAGATGTTGTAAGGGCCAAAGCGGTCGGCAAAGAGGCCGGCACTGAGACGGCCGAAAAGGCTGAGGGAGTGTGAGTAAGTGAGTGAGTGACGGAGATTGAGGACAGAGGGGAGGGGGGGATCTCACCTGCCGGCGTTGAGAATGGGGAGCATGTACTGGGCGAGCGAGGGATGCATCCCGTTGCTGAGGGATTCGACGACTAAGTAATCCATTGGGATGAAGACGCCAAAGGTGAGGAGCACAAAGCCGACGATGACGAGCATCATCTTCGGTTCGTGAAACGGTTGGAGGAGGGCGTCGCGCGAGAGGGACTTGGGCCGGGGAGGTTGACGAGATCGGATGGTGAGGTTGCCGATGATCAAGAGACCGAGGATCAAAAAGGCGCCACTGCGCATGGCCCAGCCGAAGCCGGCCCTGGTGATTAACTTCTCCATCATGATGGGGAGGATCACGCCGCCGATGCTGGAGCCGCTGGTGGTAATGCCGAACGCGGCGCCGCGCTTGCGATGGAACCAGCCGGGGATGACGCTGATAGCTGGCGTCGGGTTCAGGTGTCAGTGTCCAGAAGATAGGAGAAGGGAGGAGGGGGGGGCAGAGTTACCGGGCTGGAAGATGATCGACACGCCGATGGCACTGCAGACCCCTTGAGACAAAAGGATCTGATAATACTCGGTGGAGATGGAGGCCATCATTAAACCGAAGACATGGAGAAAGCTTCCGACGAGGAGAAGCCAGTGCGGCCCAAAGTGATCATACAGGAGTCCGACCACCGCGCTCTGGGGGGTCCAAATGGGTTAGGTTGTAAATTTGAGGAAGGATGGCAGAGGGCAGGGAGTTCCCACCATGGCGTACATGAAGAAGATCTGTAGCGAGGGGATCCAGGCAATCGTACTGGCTGAGTACTCCCGCAGTAAGTCTGTTTCATAGTACTCCTGGAATGTTCCAATGCCTGGCGGGAGGCATGAAGCATGAGCAGGGGGGAAGAATCCTGGCATAGGGCGATGGTTGACTCACTGTTGATCCACCCAAAGCTGCAGAACAGCACACACCACGACCCCAGGACTACTAGCCACGCCGTCAGCCCCCCATCGGGGGCTTCTTGCGGTGGTTTCGAGCGATCGGCCACCGCCAGATAGGGCTTTTCGGGGTCCTGCCCATTCGAAGCCTCAGGCAGCCGCTGAGCATCATTTTCCTTCGCCGGCGGAGCCATATTCACGTGCTTGAGAAAGAGGAAGAGGTTCGAGGAGCCGAGCCACTGAAGACGAGTTGACTATCGTATACTCCAGTTGAGGTGGTGAGTATAATCCTCTTTTGTAACCGAGGGTGAATGGCCGAACGCCCGAGATGGCCCAGGCCGGGATTTTCGGAAGTTCGACCGACGGCCCTTCGGTCTGAAATTGCCAGCCCAGGCCGAGGTCATGTCATGTCAGCCCTGCGAAGACCGATCGTCTCCACCGACACCGTAGGGGTGCCTGGCACGGGATGGGAACCCATGTCGACCGTCCAGATATCCGGATTGATGGCGTATAAAGGCCTGCGGGGGGTAGACGTCATGCCAGACAGCACCAGCACATGCCATCTTCACTTAACAATCATGACGTCGCTAGCCAACCTACTGGAGAGAAATCGGTCAGTTCATTGCCCGTTGACTGAATCAGAAGCCGGATCTAACCCATCCAATCGCAGGGCGATGGACAACCATGTGCCATTCGACTACATCACTGAGCGGAAGGGACAAGGAGGCCCTCCTCCTCGGACGATAATTGGTATCGTCCCCGACTCACCTGCCCCGTCATGATGGCAAAGCTGATAGCGTCTTTGCACGCAGTATCCTGCTGCGATCCTCGCTGTGTTCCGGAGCACTTCTTTAACCTGAGACCAGGTGGTATGTACTGCAGTGGAGTAGAATCACTCCTCTGCTCAAGACCGACAGACATGTAGAGAGGCGCTAACCGGTCACCAAACTCTACCAGAGGTCGTTGTCCACCGCAATGCGGGTGGGAACATTCGACCGGCCATCCGCGACATCATCATCCTAGACACACTCGTCAGGTTGGATGAAGTGATCATCGTCCACCACACCGACTGCGGCACCCTCCGCTTCACGGACCAGCAGCTCCGTGATGCATTGAAAGCGCGCGTGGACAAGACGCACTGGGACGAAATTGATGGAATGGAGTTTGGAGAGTCTTCCGAGTAAGTCAGCCAGCCAGTCAGTGCTCTGGCTCATGGGAGTGTTGACCAGCGTCACAGTGTCATTGAAAGCGTCAAGGAAAACCTCAATTGGTTCCAGGCCAGTCCGCTGATCAGGGATGGGCTAAAGCAGCGCACGCAGGGGTTTGTGTATGATATCAAGACCGGCAGGGTGGCGAAGGTGGATGGGGCTGGATTGCTGCCATAAAGATGGATTATATAGATTGAATCACTCTGAAGAAATGAACCCAAGTGGCCGGTTATTATTCGAGGCCCTGGCATTATGCATGATAGATGGCGAGTCAACCCTGTACTTCTGCCTGCACCGTGGGTGGACATGATCACTGTTTCGACCGAGATTACCATGGGTTTCCACTTCAATCCCGATATATCACTTTGCAAACCTCTCCTGACTAATAGGTCTCGAACGCGTATGAGGAATCTGGCAACCAAGTAAGAAAACAGACGATACTGGCTTCAAAGCCTCTTCGATGAGACTCCTTTGGCTCATCCTGATCGTGGTTGGCGTGGTTGACAAAAGGCCTCTGCACACACATCTCACGGGCTAATGATACTGCTGGGTACAACTCGCACAAGGTCAGACAGTCTTTGGGTCCATGCGCAAAGATCATGCTCTGAGTGGTGTTGGTCACACATAAGCACCCCATACAACTATTTAATGCTGATCCCACTGCTAACTGGTTCGGCCAGTGGGTACCCAATGATATGTTATTCTGTGGACCACTCTTTAGGTTTTTCAGTCTCCACGTAAATGCAATACGGATTCTGATTGAACTGAAAAAATAGCACATCTACCCTCCTAGATCCGTCTAGCACGGCTAGCATCGTCGACGGCCTCATTGACCGCTGACTGCACGCTGAGGATACCATACATCGGCATGTCCTGCAGAATCTTCACCACCGGGTGCAGCGTGGGGAGAGATTGCCAATCCCCTGCAAAAAATTCAAACGAGGCGTGATCGGTATCCGGCTCGGTATACCCGCTGGCATGGTTCGGGGGTGCTGAACCCGTCGATTCGGATCCATTCACAGGATCTATCTCTCTAGTGGCTGGTGAGTATGGATCCAACACGGCATACTCGGCATCGGCCTTGCCTGGTTGCCCAACAGCCGGGACATATCGATACATCAGGAGGCCGTGATCGGGGCTTGACTTGGAGACGATCTCGGGACACGGGACATTTGTCCCAGATGATTGCGAGGCGGCCCAACGGATACGTCCAAATATGAATCCCCCCCCAACTCAAGGTGATGTTCTTGGACTTGTTGTCGGCGCCGTTGGAGATGTCAATGTCGCATCCCCAGGTAGGGGCGCCCTGCTCGTCACGGCTTGCGATGACTGGGTCGACCCGGTCGCCGAAGAGGACGAGGACGAAGGTGCCTGGGACTGCTTCGCCATTCGGGGGCGTGTACTGGACCCCGTGAAGGTACAGCCCGATGCGGGTGTATCCCGACCCGCCCAGCCATGCGAGATTGTGAAACGAGCTACACACCAAGGAGGCCTGGACCACCGTATCGGCGCGGATAAAGTCGAAGTCGGCTGTGGGGAGAAAGGCCCTCATGTATGTGCTCGACGTGGCGAAGCGGATCGAATGGTCAACCTTCCAGGGCCGACTCCGGCTGGCGTGGAGATGGTTCTGTGGCTGGCTGGGTCCGGGGCATGGTCCGAAGGAGATAGGCTGGCGCCATCGATATGGGTACTTGGCCCATTGCGATTTGCGCAGGTGTTGGACCGAGTGGTGCCACTCGTCGTGGCTGAAACTATAGTTATCGAATTCGTGGGCTGTAGGGTAGTCAGTGATGATCAGCCCCGGATCTATATGGCTACGAGTACAGGATCGTACGGGAAAATCCATGTTTTCTCTGCACTTCCATAGGCTGGCTGTTCAACCGAGACGCTTGCTGGATGCGCATGGCTCGATCCTTGCGGCAACGCTCGTAGAGGGCCAGCCTCTCGGGAACTTCATCGCCGGATGTCCCCAGCGGCAGCACGGCCCCGAGGGACATCGCATCTTCAATGGCCTGGGCAGCCCCTTCTCCGCGGTGAGGAAGAAATGGATGGGCCGCATCCCTGCCATCATCTCGGTTAGCCGGGGTGTTGTCGGCAGACCGGAGGTTCCTACCCAAGAACGGCCATTTTCCCCTTGATCCAGGTCGCTAAGGGGGGCAGGTCTAGCAAGGTCCAGACTTTAGGGATATCTTCCGGAGACTTCTCCAAGATGGCTTTGAAGACAGGGTCGAATTCTTGTGCAATATGCAACATCTGGTCTTTGTTGCTCTTCGGGTCATCTGCCGGCTGTTAGGTGTGGGGGGTTGGAAGACACCAGCAAACTGACTCGCCTTCATTGTGCTGGCTCGACTCCTTGCTCGGATGCAGATATATACAGTTTGTCATGGTAATGTTGGCGCAGGGGTAGCACACCAGCCGTTTGACGCCTGTGCCCATCACCACCATCAAGCTGCCGTCTGGGCCAAGGAGGCCTTGGGTGAGCGGGTCATCGCGAAGGAGCTGGGTTGGGATGAGAAAGCGAAAAGCACTTATGCCACTGTCGAAGGGGACATAGCCCGATCCTTGATCGAGCGCCTTCCGGCATTGAGACTGTCTTGGTTCAGTATGGATCCGAAAGGCCACAAGGCACAAGTACGCACGTGGACCCCATCTGCTCCCAGAACCAAGTCTCCCGAAACCCGGTCTCCGTTGGCGAGGACCACTTGGCCCTCTTCGGGGTTCACCGAGACCACTCGTGATGAGAGGCGAAGAATGCAAGGCTCCCCCGGACCTTCTGTTGCGAGCGCCTTGTCGCGGAGCGTGGAATGAAGATGTGCGCGATGAACGAGACGGCGCAGGTGCTGCCACCGTCCCGACTCTGCATGATAGTCGAAGAAAAAGAGCTTCTGGCCCGAGGTCCCGGCCCATATAGTACAGCCAGTGCACTCAATCGCGCCCGCGACGTGATCGCTGTCGAGGTCGATCCCCAGCCGTCGTAGGGCTCCATCGCAGTAAGGGGGGATGTTGATGGCGGCGCCGACCTCATTGCTAAACTTGGACGACTCGAGGAGCGTGACCCGATGACCTTGTTGTCGCAGTGCTAAGGCTGCGGTCTTGACCTTGGTCAGCACTATCTTCAATGAAACTGCATCTAGGATGAAACACTTCATACCAAGCCAGCGATGCCCGCCCCCACAATGATTACCTTTAAGGGCATCGTTGGGGACGGATAGTCTCCATTGTGGTCGACCTCGCTGCTACTGTTGTCGAAAGTCATGATCCTTTCCTTCCGTACCGTCAACGTCCTGGAGGCAAGAGCAGAAGAGAGAGAGAGATTGTGTGTGTGTGTGTGTGTGTGTATCTCTATACGCTCGGTTGTTAAGAGGGGAAAGGCCCTTCATCTTAATGACTGTTACCGCCGATGTCTAGAGAGATCCCACAGGAAAAAAAGGCCATCTTGGACCCAGTCAAGATGTCGACCCGACACCGATCATGTGGTGCCATGGCGGTGGCCCTGATGTAGATCCGAGGCTTATCCGGCCCCCTCGGCGGTTCGTGGATCAGCCAGGAAATGCCGAACGACCGAGACATGGCCTGGGTTGATTGGCACACGCCCGCTTCAATGGCCAGGATCTTGACACCGAGGTCACCGGCTTGGGGTCGGAACGGTATCACCACCCCCTCAACTTACAACTTGCCCACTCCCAGGAAGGCCTGGTCTCTTTGAGACGTGGTGCGGGTGCGACCTAAGCAAGAGCAGGATGGCTAAACTAGACCTGTCGTTGTGGAGTTCGTTAGACATATAGGCTTAAGGAAGAAAGGGTTACCTCTCGGACAGGAAGAGGTACGTGGATCCGCCTGTCTGCAATGAAGGGGGGGGGGGGGTATATCAAGGACCGGCATTTCTCTGATACTATTTCGGTCTTGGTTACGTGGGATACATTCGAAAGGCCCCAATGTGCGGTACTTTCCAAGCTGTAACTCTGCTCCCATTATGTTCTCCAGTGCTCATTATAACCCCGACAGAGTAGGCCTGTAAACCCTGCTATAAGAAAGAATAAAAAGCAAGTCCCTGGGAGGGGTCGGAACAACCTCGTGTACAGAGAAGAGAAAAAGATAAAACCACCTGAAATGAAGCAACACATCTCTAAGGCAAGTTGTAGAAGCAATCAAATCCCTCCATGCTGGTGCTCATATTGCATTCTGCGTGTTAATCATCCCATCACAACGCCATCCGGGACCGTGCACCATTTCCTCCATAAGCCGAGGCGGGCCGACTAGAAGAAGGGGTCGACACATCTAAAGTAGGTGACTCGCCAACACAATACTCCGTCATCGAGCTAGTCATGCGGTTCAGTGTCTGAGACAAGCACTGGTAGAGGGCCTCTACTGGCAGTTCGTCCCGACGCACGGCACGCGTGCGCAGGAGTGTCAGGACCCGGCTGAGCTTCTGCACTTCGCACAGCAAGAACTGCACCTTCATGCGTTTCTCCGAGATACGGTCAAGTGGCAAGTCGTCAACCTGGATTGCCGCAACAAATGCCAGGTCAGGCGAAGGGCCGGGCTCCCAGGGGGAATCGGGGCCGCCCGGAGACTGGCAGGCCACCACTGCCGTGAACATGGCATTGTATCTGGCCAGGATCTTGGGGGTCAGGGTGGTGGCGAGAAAGAGCGCGGTCGGGTCCCGCACACAGATCCCGCAATTGCAGGATATGAATTGGTGCAGGTGCTGTACTGCGATCCGATTGACCTTGACAGCATTATCGCACGCGTTGGGGCCGCGGCTGCTGGCTTCGCTATAGAAAGTGTTGTACAACGCCGTGAATGCTAGGGTTATGCACCGACACGTAGGGCTGCAAGGAGATTCAGCCTCCAGCTGGACTGATCTAGGAGGTCGTTCGAGGAACACCAGTGCTTCAGAGGGGCGGTCGCGTCGATAGTCAAGGTTCGAATCCAGCAGCGAAGATAATCCTACCCGCTGTTCATCTTGCCGGGACCCGTCTCGACGGTGGGTAGGAAACAGCTCCGTCAGCTGTATGCTCTCAACGCCGCTACCATCGCCATCGCCATCACAGTCGCCATCACCGTCATTTACATTGTTTCGGGCCACGGACTTGGGGTGGACTTCCATCCACGACGCATCGAAGCCGGTGGGCTGCTCGCCCGTCTCGGCTTCCAGGAGCAATTCCCGCCAGTCGTGGCTCGCTAGAAGACGGGGAATGTCAGACGTCCAATCCTCAGGCCCTACGTTGCCCAGCAGATCCTCCGGTAAAGCGGCCAGGGAACGATTCCATGTTGTTGCCGGGTTCTCGGGACGTGCGGACAAGGGACCGGTGGCCGACTTGGCTCTCCATCGGAACGGGCTATAGATGCATTCGGCGCCCGCTGCCGCACATCGTTCGCAACTTGGCTTTCGCTTGTCGCACCGCACTTTGAGGCTCATGCATCGGTCGCAGGTCAAGCGGAGCTTTAGAGGGGCGTTTGGTGGCTTGGGCCCTACCGGCTCGGCTGGTTCCTCTTCCTCGGCCCGGCGGCGGTTGCCACGGGCCATGATTGACGTTGATCGACAGCAGTAGGGCAAAATGGGGAACAAAGGAAAGCATACGAGGCAGAGACAACGGCAGCGCCGCCATCTTGGCTTTTTCTATCTCTCACCGGACCTTTCAGACACTGAATCCTGCGCTTCCAGGTCGAGCGGGGTAGAGATATGCGCGGCCCAAACATCCATGTTGGTTGGTCCTGTTCCTCCTCGTCCTGCAATCCCAGAAAGGCCCCTATCGTGACCCCTGCTAGTCTGATTTTTAGGCGGTAACGCGCCAACATTCTAGGCAGAAATAGGGATGCCTCATTTTCTCTTTAGGGAATCACTTATCGCTTGCGAAGCGCAACTACTGACTGACATTGGCCGACCCACATGCCCGGTCTCCTACAGCTTACTTTGATTGGGTTATCCCTGGAGAATAGGGTGGTTGAGGCCATATTTCCTAGTACCAGCCCTTCCTGGGTCCACTATCGAATCAAGTGTCCCTGCAGCACGTGTGCCTGGGTCCAGGGTCAGCAAGTTCCAGGCTCCATCGGCCGTTCAACCATGATGAGCCCCGGCCTTTCCGACCACGGTAGGTTCCCTTCCCCGTGGCCAGGCGTGGACTGAGCAACACCGAGGTGTTCGTCAGGACTAACCCCCCCAACCCTCAGCAAATCAGGGGATCCAAGCCTCGGAGATTTGACCCAAACACTCCTTGCGAGAGCTTCCGGTACGCCAAGGGGGTCAAAAGCCCGATTCCATGCAAATTTGCTGGAGCGAGAAACCACATAAAGCGCCTTTCCCCTCCCCGGAGGACTTGGCAGCAAGAAGAAAGCATACGCGGAAGACCGACGAGTGAACGACAGAGCCAACCCGATCAGTCCCTTCCTGGAACCTAGCCCGATGAGGAAAGAGGAGAGAAATATGACTGAACGTGATCGCGTTGTTCTCTTTGGAGATCTGACATCAGACTATGTCGCCGGGCTGCGGTCGCTTGTTGCCACCAAAACCAACCCTCTCCTTACCTCCCTCTTCGAGAGAGTTGCCTTTGTACTACGAGAGGAGATCGCAACGCTGCCAGCCCTAGAACGAGCCAAATTTCCGGGGTTCATCACCTTCCAGGAGCTGCTCACTCGCGTGCAGCAAATACCTTCGACCCATCCCGCCTTCGAGATAGCCCTCGCATGCACCTATCAGCTCGCATGCGTGACCAGGTGAGTCGCATGATGGTTCCTTGCTGAGATCCTCAAATTGGAAGAGAATCAACCTAACGAGCATCATGGCTGCCAGCTACTTCACGGCGCCGGGCCGGGAGTATCCCTCCGCCCCGAGCACGCGGTTGGTTGGTCTTTGTACAGGGCTTCTGAGTGCTGTTGCATTGAGCTGTTCGCGAAGTATCACTGACCTTGTACCCCTCGCGGTGCACACCGTTTGGGTGGCATTTAGGGCGGGCCTCTGTGTTGCTGAAGTGCGCGAGAATCTGCAGCCCCAAACCAGTCCCCCATCCGCCTGGTCCGTGTTAGTCCCCGGTCTAGAGGGAAGCGTAGCAGAGTCGATGCTTAAGAGCTACAATGATGAGAAGGTAGGCTGGCCCCAGTTATCAAATCGAACTGGGCTATCATACTGAATGGGATCAGGGTCTTCCCCCCGACCACTGCCACTTATATCAGCACAAATGCAAACGCCGGACTCACGTTAAGCGGGCCTCCGACCACACTGCAGGAGTTGCTCATGTCCGGGTATCTGCCCAGTAGCAGGACACTCAGCATTCCCATTTACGCCCCCTATCATGCCCCTCACCTGTACGGGCCGAGAGATATCCAGCACATTCTTGGCGCAAAGACACTGAGCACTGATTTCCGCTGTTGCACACCAAAATTCCTCGTCCTCTCGAGTGTGACCGGGGAGGCCATTGCCGCCGATACTTTTGATGCACTACTAGAGGCTGCGCTGAACGAGATCCTGAGGCAGCCTCTTCGTCTCGACCGCGTGGTTACTTCCCTTGGGCAAAGCCTCCGGGATTCCGGGCGAGGCTGCACCCTCTTCCCCATCGCCACTCTGGTGGCTCAGAGCTTCGCCGTTACGCTGCAGAAGGAAGGTCAGTTTGACGTGGCAGTGGATCCAAGCATGAACTTTAGTGCCGCGGTTATGGACCACTCCGCCTCGACGACGGGCAAAATCAGTGACGCGAAACTGGCTATCATCGGCTATTCCGGACGTTATCCCGACGCCACTAACAATGAGGAGTTCTGGCAGCTGCTCCACGAGGGCTGAGACGTGGCGCGCATTACACCCGGCAACCGCTGGGACGTACGCACCCACGTTGATCCCACCTTAAAGCGCAAGAACACGATGGGGACCCCATACGGGTGCTGGTTGAAGGAACCGGGGCTGTTCGACGCGAGCTTCTTTATGATCAGCCCGCGCGAAGCACCCCAGGTTGACCCCGCTCAGCGTTTATCCCTCATGACAGCGTACGAAGCCATGGAGTTTGCCGGGTTTGTGCCAGGCTCGACCCCGTCAACTCAGTCGGATAGGATCGGGGTCTTTTACGGCACAACCAGCAATGACTGGGGGGAGATGAACAGCTCGCAAGATGTTGACACCTAGTATGCTCCTTCTGTCCCCCTTTTGTCCCCCTTCACCATGGGGTGCTTGTCTCCATCGATGACTAATGCGGGGATGGCACGGCGGGTAGCTACATTCCGGGGTCCTGTCGCGCCTTCATTCCCGGCCGACAAAACTTCTTCTACAAGTTCAGTGGGCCAAGCTATAGCGTTGATACCGCGTGCTCATCAAGCTTGGCTGCTCTGCACCTCGCTTGTAACTCGCTTCTAAAAGATAATATTAATACGGCCTTTTGCGGGAGCACCAACATTCTGACTAATCCTGGTGAGTATCTATAGAAGTGGATCTTGAGCATCTTGGCTAATTAAAGGGGAACCTCCTACGAAGATATTACGGCTAGCTTGGACTATAGAAATTTTCTTTCCCACACAGGAAACTGTAAGACCTTTAATAATAGAATGGATAGCTATTATTGAGATAAAAAAGTCTATACTCTGATTATTAAGTACCTGGAGAACGCTAAAGCTGATAATAATCCCATTTATATTCTGATCCTGGGAGTATATACGAATTATTTAGCAGAGATGGAGAGTATTATACGTCTACATATTAAGACCTAGAAAGCCATATTTAATAAGATCTTAATCTTAGTGGCTGTTGATCTTTACAGTGTGAACTATGTAGAGATATATAGAACTGGAACATAAATAGATAAGAGAACTTATTACTAGAGAATTAAGTGGTCTAAACTGATTATCTCGTGTCACGTTACCAAGTAATGCCTGTGAGCTAGAATTAGTACTGTCTGTGTTTACTCTGGTAGATGTGACTTGGTAAAAGAAGTATAAAGGACTGTTTTTAGGCTCTGTTAAGACTAATATAGGCTATGGTAAGTTAGTTTCTGGAGTAATTATCTTGATTAAGGTATTCTAGATAATAGAGAGAAATGAAATTTTTCTTTATTACAGGATTAAAACTAAGATAAGTCTAATGTTAACCTTGGTTTACATGGCGCGCAAACTAACTATATATATAGATTAATTATAATTTTCCTGACCTGCTGGCACGCAATGTTTATATTACTATGAAATCTATATCCTAGCCACGCTTTAAAGGGGGTAGCCGTCGCGCTATAGTTAACAACTTCTCTGCGGCTAGGGGAAATAGTTCTATGTTATTAGAAGACACCCCCGTACCTTTTAAATCCGGCCTTGCAGATCCCTAATCAACTTATATGGTTATAATTAGCGCTAAGTTAAGTACAGCCTTGCTTGCGAATATTAAGTTTTTTTTAGCTTATATTATAAAAAAAAGTCTATTATTACTAGATTTATTATATATAATAATTACCCGCTGAATGCATTATCCGTATCAAGTTATAGTTAGTAATGCCCAACTAGTAAGCATCTATATCACCTTAGAAAGTAAATTTACGTTGCTAAGTCTTCAGCAGCGGGTAAAAGCTAACTAATGTATTATAATAGTCTTTACCGGACAGGGATCCTAATATCTTAGTATGGGATAAGAACTCTTCAAATTCAGTACTTTTCATAGTGATCTAGAGTAGTTTAACACTTTTACTTAAGTACTAGGCTTTCTATCTTTTGCACCCCTGATTTACTAGATAAAGGGTAATGTTACTAGCTTGTTATCTCTAGTTATCTAGGTAGGAATAATATATATTCAGATAGTAATAGTGAGACTATAGTAATCCTGGGGTATTGTATCCTATGTGGTGGTAGGTTATAGTTTTAGTAAATATACTATCCTTAACGTGGCCAGCATCCTATCTGAGTTAGATATTGTTTTTCTAGCCGGCATGTAAGCATATTTAATTTAGGATAAGATCTCTACTAGTACGCATGCCATACTCATAGTCAGCATGTTTATTAGTAATATTGAGACTATCTGTTACAGCCTCAAGTATGAGATCGCCTGTATTAATTTAAACATAGAAATAGTATTATATAGTATTAATAATCAGATGGAGCAGGTACTGCAATAAATCTTTCTAACTAGATTTTAGATGATAAAACTCCTAGTTCCATTTATTTTTTATTTATCCTAGATATAGCTAGTGCTTGAGCAGTTTTGAATTATAATCTAGGTTGTAAGATTCTACAACCCGAGTATTCCCGTAATTTCCCTGTTATTTGGGTAGACGGTGACCTCTAAGAACCATTTTAGGACTTACTATCTAGCTAGGCATTATTGGGAAACTGTTAATCTAGTCACAGGTCTAGTAGATGCTAAATAGAAGAGACTTCTGGAAATTGCTGTGTGGGTTAAGATTAGTACGCATCTAATTTTTTCCTGATTACTGCGGGACAATCTTGGAACTAATATAATTATTATTCTAACTCTCTAGTATAGTAGGGATGCATAGAAATCCCTTACAAATATTTTATCCATGTTATATGAGTTAGGGATTGATATTAACTAAAAGAAATATTACTATGACTTTAGTAATGATTTTTCGGTTATCCGTCTCCCATCCTATAATTAGGACTTGAAGGAGTACTAGATATAATATATAAATAACTAAACATTTTATAAGGATGATTCATAAGCTTTTCAGGCTATTAGCTGATTCTCAACTACTTGTATCCATAGATTAGTGGATAAAATAAAAAATAATAGTATTATCTGAATTATTAGTGAAACGGATGTTCTCCGCGAGGATATAGATTTTTTTATTTATGGCTACCGCGTGAATAATATGCTACTAGTCACTTTTTTGGTATACGCTGAAATGGTATTAATCCTTGGAGAGTATCTTTATAAGTAGTAATCCCAATTAGACAGCAGCCTAGTAGATATTTAGTATATAGATATCTAGCGACCACTAATCACAAAGTCTAAGGATAAGGGATCCCAGCTTCTCCGTTATTATATATTTCTTGATTATATAATCTACTAAAGAATAGTTAAATTTTAGAGTGTTACTTCCAAGAGGAAATAGCTTATTAAATACGCTAAGACCTAGATAACTTTCTTAAATATAAAGTAGGTATATGTGGATATCCAACAGCAAGTAGAGTATATCCTAGAATGAATGAACGTAATATTAGTAAAGATAGTTACTAGTAACCAAGTCTAGAAGCTCACAAGAAAGATGGGATACTAGGTTATTTTTTCACTGGCATTATACAATCCTGAGTACATGGATGTCTTTTTAGTCTTACTAGATAATACTAACTAAGAGGTAGTAACCACTGTTAAATTCCACATTCCCCAACAGAGCACTGGAAGTTTCCAGGTCTATCCCTACCTTATCGATAATTTCAGCCAGCCAGCCCTGTTCATCATGAATACGAATAACAAAGCAGACCTAAGCAAGGAGGTTTTTATTAACCATGGATAGACCTCTCTTTATTTCTACTAATTAGTATTCCTGAATGGTACTTATCAGTCCTATATTCAGATGCAAGAGCTTGATAACGACGGCATATACCATGGTAATATAGTTATTTTTAAGGATAGGAACATAGTGGCGCTGTACAAGGAGATCAAGGCATAGAAGGTTTTATAATATCTCATAGACTATATTATCCACATGCGTGATGATATATAAGGAAATAATATGTTAGTTAATAAAGTTCTCCATAGCCCTGTACAGCCAGCCTCGGCTGTTACAGGGATTATCAAACTAGTAAATATTTAGTTAACGGCCTTGAAGATCATCTCTAAGGAAAGTAGTGTGTTTGTTTAAAAGCTCATCCTAGATATGCTGTTCGCTGATCTTAGTATTAACTTATTTCTTTCCTTATTGTGCGCCAGTTAGTTCCGAGAGGAGTTGGGACTGTCCTATAAATCTGCGATTTTCCTAGACTACCTAACCTTATGTAAGCTTAAGTAGTTCTAGAAATAAGATAACACTCCCAATATTATAAAGATGTATAGTCACGACGCACTCTTGACAGTGATATTTATTGATATTATCGAGATTGAGTTAGATAGATACTTTAGTAGTAGGGACCACTTTTACATGAGCGTGTCTTATTAGTTAATATTAAGTTTCTCAATGACAAGCTCCGATACTCTATTAGTATCCGCCTTTTCACTCTTATTCTAAGAAAACCCAGCCTTTCTCTCTACAGTCAAGATGCTATTTCTCTTATTTGATGGCTCTAGATCATGCTTATCCTATACCACACTATCCACGGTCAATCTGGCCATGGCTGTTGTTAGTATTAACTACCTATTCATGAAAACCCCTGAGCTCTACACCTGCGGCATTAACGACATCTGTACCGTCTATATCCGCGAGATCCGCCAGCGCCAGCCCCATGGGCCCTACGCCCTGGGCGGCTGGTCCGTCGGGAGTATCTTCGCGTTCCATATCGCGAAGCAGCTCATCTCCGCCGGTGAGAGCATTACTGATCTAGTCCTAATTGACTGCCCCGTACCGCGGGGCCTCGATCACTTGCCGCGGCGATACTTCGAGTATTGCGAGCAGGTCGGGCTCCTCGGCACGGTGAACGGCGTGAGGCGCGACCCGCCGCCGTGGCTGATTCCGCATTTCGAGGCCTGCATCAACAGCCTCCATCCGTACCACGCCACGCCGATCGAGCCGTCGTGCGAGGCGCCGCGCACCCAGATCATATGGGCTGGTGACGCCGTCGATCGGCATCTGGAACCGAAATTTGAACGGCGACCCGACGATCCGGAAGGGCTGAAGTTCCTCACGGAGGCACGCACAGATTTCGGGCCATGCGGATGGGAGAGCCTCGTGCCGAGAACGAAGATGGACATTGCTCGCATCGTGGACGCGAATCATTTCTCAATGATGCAGGGTGACGCCGCCCGGCAGTTGGCAGCGGTCATGAGGCGGTTTCTGATGGATGCGAAGTGAGCGAAGACATCCGGATGCTCAAGACCGTTGGTGGGTTCCGGAGTGTGTGTTCGCATGTATAGTGGATCCCCATTCGCTCCTTAGATTGTTAGAGGAGAAGCCAATCAATGTGATGACTAGCAATCTGACAGCAATCATTGAACTAAATATAAAGAAGGGGGGGGGGGGGGAGAAGAACAAATAGAATATACAGCCAGTGTATCACCCTTCAACCACTCCCTCTACCTCACCATCCAGACCTAACCAAGAAGATTCAACCAAGATCTTCACCGCTTCCCCCCCCCCATACTCCCAAAGCCAATCCAGCAGTTCTTTTCTCCCGCCGCAAGAACCCCATGCTCTTCACGCCCTCAACACACATACTCATAATTTCTAGGAACCAGATCCTTCAGCAAGCGATACCTATCGAATAAATATCGCACATGGACATAAGTCTTATAACCTTGGAGGTAAACCTAGTCATGTCACCACAACCATTCAACAACCCGCCCGCCAACTAAGCCCGCCACCGACTGGACCAAATTTCCCCTCTGCATTCCGCAACGCGATGAGCACAGCGCAGCATACACATCCTCTCCATGCGCGAAAGGGATCTAATCATCTACTCTGCCTATGATCTTCCACATCCTCTATGGAGGGGATGTTCGGTGCTGAGGTCTTTGGTTTCGAAGCGCGATAGCTCTGAAACAGAGAAGGAAGATGGGTTGGAGGGTGCAAGTGGGGTTTCGCACGAAGACGATGTCGTAAGGGTTGTTGTTGTAGTTGTTGTTGTTTTGGCGGGGTTCGAAGGCGATACCTGTGTACTGCTGCTGCTGCTGCTGCTGTGGTGGTGGTGGTGGTGGTAGGTCGGAATATGATATGTATATCTCCGGTGTCGGTAATTCACCTTGTATATCGAACTAAGCAAATGTATGTGACTATATACCAAACTATATCCTATATACCAAATGCACAGAACGGCCGTGACTTTTGTGCATCCACCATCCATCCATCCAATATCCACCCATCCGATCAAGAAAGCTCTAACAAAGGGTATCTGAGAATCCAATCCACAACGCCACGCACCGTCCACCAAAGCAACTAATCCACATCCACAATCCGCACGCGCACCCCATCCATCCCCATCGTCGACGTCAACTGATCCATCCAGTCCGTCGTCGGCCCCTGCTTCAATGTCGGCGTGATCAGCGATTCCACCACCAGCTGGGGCTGACCCGGGGACCCAGGCGGGGTCATGGGCGAGTCGTCCGACGGGGTCGGACTGAGCGTATCGGTCGGGGATGACGGGCCGCATAACTGCAGAGACTCTTTCGGTAGTGTCGAGCGTTGGCTCGGATCGAGCATGACAACCAGGTAATCCAGGATCAGCAGGGCGGAATGGACCCCCCGCGTGACATGGGCGGAGTATCCTTCGAAGAAGAACTCCGGGAGCGGGCCGATAAAGCCTCGGGGTTTGGCGTGACCGGCGCGCAGCATCGAGATGGAGACGCCGAATTCGGTGTGGATGCCGCGCAGGGCGGCGCGGGTGGCTTGGATACTCTGCAGCAGCGGAGGCTCGAGTTTCGCCCGTTGGGTCAACGGCAGGGCGAGCAGTTCGCGGATGCGTTTGACGTAGCCCGGAATTTTGATGATCTCGCGGAGCCCGCGATCGACGACGTCGGTGTAGAGGGAGGAATCCGGGAGTTTGGCGTTGTCGGTGGAGATTTGCTCGTTGAGGGAGTGCCATTCAGGCTCCTCGAGGAAACATGCTTCCCCCTCGATGAGAGCCGCGGCGATGAGGATCGGCCGGTAGACGATGTACATGGCACGACCGAAGCCGTGCAGGTGGGCTTTAGGCCCTCGGAGTTTCAGCAGGGCGCGAATGCCGTGGGCGTGGTGGATCCACGCCTGGGGCTCGGTGCAGTGGTGTTTCTCGAAGACGGCGAGTACGATGGCGGTGGAGAGTGCTTCGTCGGATTTGGCGGTCGACTCGTCGGCGATCAGGCTGGCGAGGCCGCGCAGAGAGCGAGTATAAAAGGCGCGCGCGGCCTCATGGAATTCAGGGATGTTGTAGAGCGCGCCGGAGTAGGCGAGGGTGCAGGCGCGGATGGCCCAGTCGAAGCACGAATTCATGGCCCCACGACGCCGGTCGACATATTCGACCCAGTTGACCGGCACGCGAGTTTCGGTGCATTTAAAAAAGCAAGGAAACGCAGTGAGAACGTAGTTGGTGAAGACCTGAGTCTGCTGGGCGGCGACCGCCGTGACGGTCAGCGAGGGCGACACCGTCTCATCCATGGGGAGCGGCACGGGCAGCGGCACCGGCGCGAATTGCACGTCGCGCCCGCGGGCCGGGCCTGGGCGGGGGGGAGGAGAACTAGTAGTAGTGGTTGCGGTGGATGCAGCGGAGGGAGGAGTGGAGTTGGACGGGGGGGAGGTGGACGACGATGGGGGCGAAGAACGGTAGCGTTGCTGGAGGCCAGGGCCTTCGTTGCGGAATTTGAAGGTGCGGGCCTGGCTGAAGCAGGGCACCAGGCGGCCTTTACAATGGCCACAAGGGGATTTCCCGTCACACTAGAAGTAGTAGCAATGCACTCGGTCAGATTCAGCGTTTTCCAGGAGGCGGCTGGCCGCGGGTGGTCGGACAATTAAATCCAATCCGGTGGCCCAGGCAAATGGTCAGCACCGTCCCAACCCGGTCACCACAAAGAACCCGTCCGTGCGACAGGGTTCAGGGGGGGATACAGAAACGCCATGAACGGGCGGGCCGGGTCTTGGGCAACAGCTCACAATGAAGCAACCGCCATCATCACGCACCTGAAGATGGGCGTCAGCGCAAGCCTGACAGCCGCGTGGCACTCGGACCATGCTGACGGGCAGGGAGATCAACAGCCACAGCCAGACCGGTCGGATCTGGCAGAGAAGGCATGAGGAGATGGCAGTGGATGATGTGAGGAGGTGGAAGAGAGAGAGAGAGAGAGAGAGAGAGAGAGAGAGAGAAGTGAGGGAGGGGAGAGACGATGGGTGGTGGGTGGGTGAGTGAATGAGGGACGGACGATGGATGGAGGTGGTGGAGCAGCACCATCGAGGCTGGCCGGCTCAAGATCCACCGGATTTTGGGGGGGGAGAGGGGGGGAGCACCTATGCCAGAAGAATAATCATAAGGAATAATCCTTCTTCGACAGCGGGTGAGGGCTCGAGTTTGTCCGATCCAGCGGTGGGCAGGGGAAGCCATTGGCCCATTGACTGCCCGGATCGACGGCGGGAGGCGATCAGGCCCGTCCATAGTATTACCACTATGGGAGACCCTGGAGGTCTCGCCGGCTGCTGGCTCGCCTGACTATCGATCCAGTGGCTTTGCCTTTGTCCTTCATCCACTGGGTGCAGAATCTCGGTCGGGCCCGCTCAGCAACCGTTCCTGACACTGGGCCATTTGATTGGTGGAACGGCTGCGGTGCGAGAGGAATCCCTCAGGTCAGAAATAATTGCAAGCTTACCCTGATGCACGGCGCCCAATCTGGGCCGACTGTCAGGGTGATGCCCGCACTGAAACTTCCGTCCCGGCCGGGTGGATGCATCCTCGGCTGCAACGCAACTTCTCGCTCGCTGCTGAACCAGACCCCTCGATCCCCTCCTCGAATCTGCCAGGTCTGAAGGAGCGGGTCATGAAGCTGCACTTGGCATATTGCATCAGGCAGCTGCCTGGGATGGACCCAATCCCGACCGTCACGATGGCTGGAGTGAACCGGGATGAGTGGAGACCAAGGGGGAGGGATGATCAGAAGCAAAATAGGATAGAAACAGTCGCAATAACAACTCCTACTATATACAAGCATCGAGATGAGTCTCAATCGCACTGCACACCCACCTCCCCTTTGTAGTTGGTACAGCCACCATATCGCCAGGCACATGCAGCGTCGCCTCCTGAATCCCGGCCATCCGCGATAAGCACCTCCCGCTAATGCCAGGCACGCGGCGGGTCCCCCGGCTGGCCATCTTTTTCGGATACAAGCAGTCATGGGAATCCTGAAGAGAAAACACAAAAAGTAAAAGAAAAGGACCAGAAAATAAGACGAAACTTAATCAAGCAAGGAAATATGAAAAGAAAAAGCGCCAATTCACCGAGGTCACATCCAAAACAGGGATGGAAAAAGCCACCATGCCTGCGCCCAGCAGTAGTCCCGACGAGGATCTACACCAGTCCATCGTACAGCGACAAGGCGCTGACAATCGTCTCGTCCCGCTTACTGCCCTCCTTGAATTCCTCCATGTCCAGGCTCCCGTTCTCGTCCTTGTCCATCATCCGGAAGATCTTGCGCACGCGCTTCTCCGGCGTATCCTCATCCTCGGGCAATTTAACCATCGAGCCCACCTGCAGCAGTCCAGCCCCGTTAGCCACCGTGGGGGCCAAAAATCACACCGGGGGTTAAACATACCATCTTGTAGATCGCCTCGACGATCGCCAGCATTTCATCATACGTGATCTTGCCGTCCCCATCAATGTCATACAGTTGGAATGCCCAGTCCAGCTTGTCCTCCATCTTGCCCCGCGACGTGACCGACAGCGCACAGATAAATTCCTTGAAATCGATCATCCCGCTGTTATCCGAGTCGAACACTCGGAACACATAATTTGCAAACGACGACGGGTCGCCAAACGGGAAGAACTGCCGGTAGATTTTCTGAAACTCCTCCTTGGTGAGGGTGCCCGACGGACAGTCTTTGAGGAAGCCTGCCGCACAATCCATCAGCTGCTGCGGCTGCAGAAACACCCCCCAATGCTTCACACACCTTTGTACCATTGTTGCAATTCCTTCTTGTCGAAATGCGTCGCTTTCTGCAGCTCCTCCAGCTGGGACGGGGAGAGCTTCGACTGTCTGCACGCCGGTGAATTAGTTCGATGCGGATAAGCGGGGCACAGGACATCCGGGGTAGCAGGGGGGAAGCATTCCAACACCAGCCGACATGATCTGTATCACGTCGCAGCCGCCGAGTGTCCAGAGTGCGACCACCCATGGATGAACCGGTGTGTCTGGCGGTGGTTCCTGCACCCCATGCGGACCGATCGGAAAGCGCAGCACTTACGACTTGCCCATGTTCGATCACACACGCTGAACGCCCGGTGCTGAGGATTTCGTCGGAGGAGGTCGGAGGAGGGAAATCGTCGGAGGGAGAAAAGTCTCAGGTCAACGTGTCACGGTCGGTACGCGCTGAAACAGACTCTCGGAAGGCGCGGGGTAGCGGTTTGAGGTGATAAGAGGGGCGGCGGCTTGGCGAGGGGCACCGGTCGCAGGTCGAAGGGAGGTCAGGAACAACAGGCACCGCGCGGGAGTGATCGAGCAGGTATGGAGGTGGAAAATGCAGCCAGGAACCCTGATCAAGACAAAGCGCAGAGACAGAAAGTCGTGGCGACGGCGGAGGATCGGGGATGGAGAGAGCCGCGGGTCCAGAACACGGGGCTTGGCGGGTGAGAGGCGTAAGCGGCTTGCGATCCACGGCTCTGGCGGCGTGTGTCCGCCAATTGCCGGCCCGCGGCACCTCTTCTACGCTCTTCTACGCTGGCCTAGACTTTCTCCGATCGTACAACTCATGCGCGTCCAGCATTCCTATCGCCCAACTCCGCCATCCGTCTATGTACACTCATGCCATTACATCAAAGCGGTCAAGCAACGCACGCAAACAAAGCAACTATACAGGGATATCCGAGACAAGCACATCAACCAAATCACCCAACCGATTTTATAGATCAGGATGCAAATACCCTGCAATGCAGCGGATGACCGGGGGCGGGCCGCGCCGCAATGAATCACGATGTCAACGTGACGCTTAGTCGACCTTGATGGAGCCATAGATGCGCTGAACAAACGCCCAACTGGCGAAGAATCCAATGGAGCCTACTCGGGTTAGTGATGAAACCACTGCGGACAGCACACACTTACCGGTCAAAATGAAGACCACAAATCCGATCAGGGCCGAGTATCCCACATACAACACCGCCCCCGTCAGTCCGCCAAAGCTGACTCGAGTGATCCAGAACAGGATCGCGTTCAGGAACACATAGCTGCCCGTCATGCCCGCTCCCGCAAACGCCCGCCAGTGCCACCGGTAGTTCTCCGCGCACAGCAGGAAGTACACCAGCAGCACCGTCGTGGCAGCCGAGGTGATCACCATCAGCCCGTAGCAGAGGAACAGGAAGCCGAACATGTAATAAATTTTGTTGGTCCACAGCGAGGTCATGATGAAGTAGAGCTCCACGAAGATCGCCCCAAAGGGGAGGATACCGGTCAGCAGCAGGGACGGGACGGTGCGCAGCGTGCCCGTCATCGGAGGGACCTGGCGGGGAATCTGGTTGGTCTTGGTGGGACCCTCAATGGCCTGCAAGAGTTAGCACCATCGCGGAACATGGTAGGAGACATACCCTCTGCTTGAATCCCAGCCAGCTACCCGCAACACTCAGCGGCACGCTGATCACGAACCAGATCAGCACCAGGGCAAGCATGGTACCGAACGGCACGGCCCCGCTGGAGCCCTTGGCCCAGACGAACAGGTTGAGGAGGAAGAACACGCCAAAGATGAGGGCGGGAACCAGCACGGGCGTCATGATAATATTGCGTTTCCAGGATTCACCGCCTAGCGACTTGTAGACCCGGGCCGACACGTAGCCTCCAATGAATCCAAACAGCGTGTAGATCAGAAGAATGGCGGTCGCCAGGAAGCCACGGTTCGCGGGGGACAGGAGGCCAAAGAGAGCGAAGACTAAGCTGTTAGCGGGAGGGTGTAATTATGAGGGGCTAACTTACCAACAGTCACTCCCGTCATCATAAAGAGCTGAGCTCCGTTACCGACAAGCACACTCAGGAGCAACGGAGACTTGGGGGACCGGAACACATCGCCGTGCACCAGCTTCCAGCCCGAGTCTTCCTGGATACCGTCCTCCACCGCCGCAGATGTCCCGTCAAAGTCGTCCAGGTTGATCATATCCAGCCGGTTGTACCGAGCGATATCCTTCTTCAGGGCTCTGACCAGAATCATGCTCACCATCGCGACCAAGAAAACCACAAACACGGCCGAGTTGATCAACGAGAACCAATGGATCTTCGGGTCGTAGACATGCAGGTACTTGTCCCAGCGAGTGGCCCACGCGGTCTCCGACTCCCGCCAATACACACTGTACGTCCAAGTCACCATGGTCTCGCCATCCTCGCTGAGGGTGACGCCGACCCCGTCGCTGTCACATTGGGCGGTGCCATCCTCCAGAACCATGGAGTTGCGTCGAGACTCGGGCTGCACCAGAACACCCACGACACGGTACTTGTCCTGGTTGCCGTATCCAACGCGGTGATACTCGATCAGGATCTCAAAGTGGTTGTTCACCATTGGCTGTCCGTCATCGTTGATGGACCCCAGAGCGAAACCCGGGCTGTAAAACTTGGTCTGCGTCACCGCCTCCATGTTGATCTGCGCTCCAGGCAGTCCATCAACCAGCCAGTTGATGTTGTATCCTTGTTGGATCCTCCGGTTCACAAACTTGGCACTGCGGGCATCAAATGAGACCTGACCGCAGACCGACTTGCAGGTCTCATTCTTGCCCATGTGCAGCTCAAACGGCGACGTCTGGATGCGGTCTCCAAACAGGATGCTTCCCAATGACTCTCGAACATCTTTCGGGCCCTCTGCCGGCGGACAGAATCGGAACGCCGGGTGGTAGTAGTCGTAGGAGAAGACGGAATGGAGCTGTTCATCCTGCTGCGCTAGGCCGGGCGTGAGATGGTTGACGTACAGTGGCACGGATTGGCCTTCATCGTAGGAGGTCGGAGCGACACCGGGGAGATAAAAAGCGGCGGATAGCGAGGGGGCGAGGAGGAGGGCAGCGATGGGCGAGGATCGTGGGAACCACATAGTGGGTGTCTCTATTCAGCGATCTCGTTAGTTGTGGTCCTGGCGGATCAAGAGCCAAGCAGCCAAGCTCCAGGAACCTACAGTCTATGCTCCACGCCACAAGCAATCTCAAGCTCGCATGGATGGTGGTCCAGACGTAACCACCTGCTCAGAGAAATCAGAAATATAAAATGGAATTGGACGGAAACCGGCTTTTGCAGGAAGAGGACGCCTTGTCCGGTTGCATTGAGGCCAGCTCGCGCCCTTGGCGCACGTGATGCGTCCTGACTAAGAGTATCACCACGTGCTGATAAGGCTTACCGTAAAAATTTCCCTCGCCAACTCACAGCGACAGCAACTTACAGCACAGCACAGCATAGCAACATGGCAGCCGCCGTCTCTCAGGAGCCTTCGGGCTTGCAGAATATTTCCAATTTGCTCGAAACTCTTACGACGTGTCTGACCAACACGGGATCTTCCCTCCCCAAGACGAAACGAGAGGAGCCTTCCGATGTGTCGATTGAACCGCCGCAGGATGGCATCTCCCTGCTTGACACCAAGTCCGATCTCCTTCTCTCCTACATGCAGACCCTCGTCTTCTTGGTTATCTTCCAACTAAGGGGTCTCAAGTCATCAACCGAAGACGCCGATACGAACGAATCGCTCCCGGAGGATATCGTCAAGAAACTCGTCGAACTACGTGTCTACTTGGATCGTGGTGTGCGCCCCCTGGAAGGACGGCTGAAGTACCAGGTCGACAAGGTCATCAAGGCGGCCGAGGATGCCGAGCGGGCCGAGCGAGGTGCAGTCCCCAAGAAGACCCAGGCGGATAAGAAAACTCGGGACGAGGCGTCCGGCTCTGAGGATGGTAGCAGCGACAGCGAGGGTGACAGCGAGGATGAGGAGGATGAGGATGAGGAAGACATCGATGAGATGGCATACCGCCCCAACGTGTCTTCGTTCTCCAAGAAGGTTGAACCCGAGGCCCGCATGGACAAGGCGACCAGACAAGCACCCAGCGACGGCATTTACCGACCGCCCAAGATCATGCCCACGGCACTACCGACCACCGAGAGCCGGGAGCGGAGGGAGCGCGCGCCACGCCGATCGAACGTCATCGATGAGTTCGTCAGCGCCGAGATGTCGTCCGCGCCGATGGCCGAGCCCAGTATCGGGAGTACAATTGTGCGCGGTGGGCGACAAACGAAATCGAAGAAGGATCGGGAGCGCGAGGCCGAGCGGACGCGATACGAAGAAACCAACTTTGTGCGTCTGGCGAAGGAGAGCAAGAAGGATCGGGCCAAGCGTCTGCGGGCCGAGGGACCGAGCAACACCTTTGGCGGAGAGGACTGGCAGGGTCTTACTGAAGGAGCCGATCGGATCACAAAGCTCACACGGCGGGCGCGGGGAAGCGGGACGGCGCTGGATCGGAGTCGGAAGCGCAAGCTGGATGACGGACAGCGCGGTGATGGAATGGGAGTGGGCCAGATCTTCGAGAAGCGGCGCAAGAAGGTGGACAGCTGGAAGCGGTGATTCATTTTCATTACCTAGTATGCACGATACCAGAAAAGTTCATCTTATACAGTTCTATTATAAACCAATCATATTCCCAGCACGATAACCCCTGACGGCCCAGTGGGATGAGTGACGGAGTGGCAGCGTCGCATCCGGGATTTCATCCACCTCCATGACATCATCACCACCAGCCAGTTTCCATATCATCCCCTGCACCGAGCTGTAAATACTCTCTCTCTTCTTCCAGTCCCAGTAACCATCAATATCCTCACACAAGATACTTCAAAATGGAAGACCCAGGTATGTCCCGGTCACACCCCCGCGATCTATATACATCACCACTAATATACATCCAGCCACCGAAATCTCCACCATCATCCACCACCTCACCCAATCCCCGCCAGATGACCAACAACGCACGATCCAGAAATACTTCACCCCCAGTGCAGCTTTCGTCCACCCGTTCTGCCGCGTCTACCCGTACCCGGGGAGTCGCTGGCTCATTGAGAGAATCTACCAATGGTATAAAATCATGTCGCCGCGGATAGATCTGGAGGTGCATTCCGTGGGTGAGTTCCCTCCCTATCTCTGCCCCACATAATCCCAAACAAATACTAACGATGAATCAAAGCATACGACAAACCCAACCAAAAACTCTACCTCCAAATCACCCAACTCTTCTCCATCTGGGCAATCCCCTTCCACCACGCCAACGTCGCCCTGACCACGGTCCTCGATCTCACCACAGACAGCGAAGATAACCGCACCCCTACCACCGGCCAAGGCAAACGATACTACATCAAGCGGCAGGAGGACTTTTACCAAACGTCTGAGTTTGTCAAGTTTGTGGCGCCGTGGGGGGGCGGGTTGGTGGTGGTGCTGTGGCAGTTGTTGGCGACGGTGTTTTGTGTACTTGGGGTGGTGGTGTTTTGGCCGGTTTTGTGGTTGGAGGAGAGGAGGGTTGTGGGGAATGGGAGTGAGAGGGGGAGGGTAAATGGGGGGAAGAAGGGGGGGTGGATTGGGTTGTAAACTTTGATACGCTTGGGTTTGGATGTATAAATGGGGTAGGGGATGTGTATAGAATGGTTTCGATCGTGGGAGGGTGTCAAACCTGCTGGAGTGTCCGGCTTTACACTTGTGGGTTGCGTTATGGATCAAGTATACAGCGGGACAGGTATGTTTGGTCTTGTTTTATGGGTTTCCGATGCTTAGACTCTAAGGACAATAGTTAATATAGTGTGGGCGTTGTATATAATTATGTATTATTGAACAGAGAATTGAAGCAAGCATATAAGATGGATGTGGTCAAGCTAGAGTGACATCTTTACGATAGGCAAAGGGGTTGATATCGAATTCTTCTGGAAGCGCCGATTCATCCTAGTAATACTTCCGGCTTGAGTTCTCATCTAAGAAGATGGCACTGCTTCAGAGAAATAACTCCCCAGACAATATTGATCGTAATGATCAATGAATGGTCGGTTTATCTAGGGTAGCCTCCCTTAAACATCATTGATCCATGTGCACCCAACGCTTATAGCTATCATTCTATCTTTCAGGGCATAAATGGACGCCAATCTAATTACAACAAAATGCTTAATCGTATCACGCAATGTCTTTTCAATATAGCAGCGTCCATCGATTCATTGATATTTCTCACAAGTTGATCTTCCCTCCCTCGCTACGTCCCATCCTATGGAGCCGTAACAATTGACCAACCTCAACCCAAAAAGCAACAATAGGACCAGACCAGGTCTTTGACTCTCTACCTCACCTTTTGGGCAACACAAGAAGAGATGCAAAAAGACGAGCAAAATAATGCAAAAAAGATGGTCCCAGAGGGGCTCGAACCCTCGACTTTAACGTTATTAGCGTTACGCTCTAACCAACTGAGCTATGGGACCAGTTGATGTCTACGGGCCGCTTTTAATGCAATACAATCAGAACCTTACAGCATAGCTCTATCGCTTGGTACTATGTAGATCTAATCATTCAATATCACCACGTGCACATGACTGAATATAGATCATGTGATGCTGTATTGCTGAGTCATCTTGCATTAGTCGCCTTGGCCGGGTCCGACACAAGGTCGCGTATTCTATCGCCCGGCAGTAGTATTCCTTCCTAGCTTCTCACCATAGCGCCAATGTTCCGTCTATCATCACGACTGTCAAGGCAACTCTTGACCTGGCGACCCTGGGCTCAACGTCCGGCATCGCCAGTGCGCGAGTTCTCACAATCAAACTTCTCTCTCCTCAATCCAGCTGAGAAGCTCGAAGAAGAAACCCTGTCATGGTACTCGCCCAGTGACTTTTATCCCGTGAAAATCGGTGAAGTCTTCCAGTCGAGGTACCAGGTGATCGGTAAGTTAGGCTATGGGGGATATTCAACCGTTTGGTTGTGCAGGGACCTACAGTCAGCATACCCTATAGTTCGGCAGCGACGCGCAAAGAAGCTCATTTGATCCTAGGCAGCATGCTTATGTTACACTGAAGGTATTCGAGCGCAATTCGGAAGAAGGTCAAAGAGAGACAGAAGCCTACTCCCATCTGAATTCCCTCAGCATAGCCGATCATGCTGGTGCTAGGCTCATTCGGAAAGCACTGGATAGCTTTCAGATTACTTCTACCGAGGGCAATTTCAGGTGCCTTGTTCATCCGCCTTTGGGGATGAGTCTGTATGATTTTCGCACCCAACTGAGGGCTAAGGTGCTGCCCGAGAAGATAGTCAAGTTGACCCTGGTGCATCTTCTTCTTGCGCTTGATTACCTGCATACAGAGGCTGGGATTATCCATGCAGGTATGATAATCCACTCTTTATACCTAAAGAAGACCCCTTATTGAGATTTTCCCAGATATCCAAGAAAGGAATATCATGATGGCTATTGAAGACAATTCAATCTTGAGCGACTTCGAAGAGGAGGAGAAATCAAACCCGAGCTCGCGGAAAATCGCCGGAGATCGCGTGATCTACGCTTCTCGCAAGCTCAAGAAAACCAAGCAACATGGCCGTCCTACGCTGTGTGATTTTGGTCAGGCTCGTTTTGGGGCGCAGACGTACTCTGGAGACATTCAGCCCTATATTTATCGCGCTCCCGAGGTGCTCTTGCGAATGCCGTGGAACGAAAAGGTTGACATCTGGAATGTCGGAGTGCTGGTATTCCCCCCCGCCCTTGTTCGGTGTAGCTTGACTTCGATGTTATTCTATTGACTTCTAGTGACTCGTCTCGCGAATATTGCAACCTTACTAACTATGGGACAGACATGGGATCTCTTTCAGCAAGGACATCTATTTTACGCTCGAGATCCAGATAAGAAACCATCCGATGGTCACCATCTCGCCGAAATGATCGCCATTATGGGATCACCGCCGAAAGAAATGATGCAGAACAGTGTCTATGCGGCTGATTTTTTCGACAGTGAGGGTATGTACCGCCTGGTCATCCGAGAAAAGCCTACTGATTGTTCAATAGGACAATGGAAGGGAACCATTGACATCCCTCCTGTATCATTCGAAAAGCTTGAAGGAAACCTAGACGGTGAATCCCAGCAGTTGTTCCTACACTTCCTGCGCAAGATGCTCACATGGAACCCCGAGGAAAGAGCATCGGCGCGGGAGCTGTTAGATGATCCCTGGCTACGGTCGCCTTGACCACTCTGCTTGCTGGCGAGTAGGGCCACGATATGATAGATGATTAGCTCTGGTTTGCAGGCGTATGGAATGATTGATAAGATCGAATATCACAATTTGAACGATGATCCCACCAGAAACAACTGCGGTGTCTAGCATATACATCCCACATATATAAACCCACCCAACCATCCCGACTAACCAAGCATAGCGTTGCCCAAATAGTAATACTCAAACCAAACCCCTACCTTCCAACAACCAACCTCCATTCCCAACCTAACCCTGACCATCCACCCTCTTAACCGACCCATCTTTATGTATATGCAATCTCCGCAACGTCTTCATTTTCTCATCCTTGATCCGAACCGAAATCACCTCTTGATCATCCGTCGGGTCATCATGAGAATAATGAGGCTCGGAGCCTCTAGAAACCGCAATTAGTCAAGAGCAGCATCTGGGAAGGGCTCAGGGTACCGGATCTCCGCATTCTTGAAATTCGGATCCTGGTTGGATTTCATGGGCTTAGTGATGAGTTAGATTAGATCAATTAGTCGGGGGTGATGAATGATACATGACGTACAGCATTCTCCTCCATTTCTAGAACGTCATAGGCAGGGGATACCCATTCCGGGGGTATATCGGTTATGTTTGTTTTTCCGATGAGCTGGTAGAGACGGCGTGTGGTTGCGCATGGAGCGGGCCACCAAGCGAATCCAGCTGTCCGGAAAGCCAACACTGCGTTGATGTCAACCATACGGTCTTTCCTACTAGGAATATCTCTTCTGTTAAATGGGTCAAGAATGATACACATGTCGACCATCCTGATTTTAGCACATCGCCAGCTGGAGAGAAACAATGGACACTGCATACCGAATCACACACTCAGGACATTCACTACGAGGCAGAAATCGTCGTGCCTATCATTCTCCCGGATGGGAAAACGTTCGTTCCTGGCTTTGACTCCTGCCTTGTCTCTCGTTATTATACGCTTGAGGTATCGCTCTCGTACCATTGCGGGGGATTCACTCCTTCTGGGATCTCGCTTCATGTACCTGTTTCGGTTCGATGGCATTCTACTCAGGCGCAACTCAACTGAACTGAGAGTAATATCTATAATGAATATCTGAATAATGTATGTCAGTGCAATATTTAATTTGGTCTGTATGGACAATTCCGAGGCCACATTCTCCACCTCGGAACAATGCTCTCCCTAGAAACCGTGGATTGTTGCCAAACTTTCTAACAAGTCTCAATCCAAGCCCGTGCATTTAAGAACCATATAAATTCATCCTCTATTACAGTAGTAAGTCTCGGGCCCGGCACAAGCGGAAACCACGGAGGCCGCGGAAACCGAGCTTGGTTCTCACTGAGCACCTTGGTATAAATATCACCCTCTAACGGCCTCATCACTATTTCCATATTCCCAGACCAACATATCTATAGACGCAAAATAAAACAATCACAAGAAGGCTTCCACTGGACCACAAAATACGGCTTCCAGTATGGTATGTACACATCTCCCACCACCATCATAAAATACTAACCATACAAGGATTACCCACCGCGGCCATCGTCCCCTCCACCCCCAAACCCGACCTCTCCCCAACCTACGATGTGATTATCATCGGGGCTGGCTTTGCCGGACTAACCGCCGCGCGGGACCTCTCATTCCGAGGCAAAAAGACCCTTCTCATTGAAGCTCGCGACCGCATTGGCGGACGCTGTTGGACCGTACCTACCGGACCAGACACGCAGGTCGAGATGGGCGGGACATGGGTGCACTGGCAGCAACCGCATGTGTTTAGCGAGTTGCAACAATACGGAATGGACGAGTTTGAAGAGACGGTGGCGGGCGGTGAGGATTGTGAAGTCGTGGTTAAAGCATCGAGGGCTGAACCCGCCAGAGCACAGGACCCAGCCGAAGGACGAGCAATGATGGAACGCCTTGAAGGACTCATAAGAAAAGTTCTTTGACGTGGATGGACAGGGCGGTCGCAGTGTGATACCGTTTCCATTTAACCTGGAAGCGAGCGTGAAGCAGAATGCCGAGTATTTGGACGTGGATAAACTGAGCATTGAAGATCGAGTCGCGCAGCTTGATGGACTTACTCAGGAGGAGAAAGCAATGCTGAAAGCGCATCTTGCTTCATTCTACGGGGTACCGCTGGAAAAGACCTCGTTCATGGAAGTGCTTCGCGTCCATGCATTGTGCAACTTTGATCCGGGCATGATGGAGCCAGCGACTATGAAGTATAAGCTCGCGGAAGGCACTACTGCTTTTGCGCTTGCCATTCTTGAAGAGTACAAGGGGGATCGGATCTTTGGGTCTCCTGTGTCGTCGATAAAGCAGAGTGATGGCGAGTTCCCTGTCAGTGTCACTTTGAAGAATGGGGATCGGTATTCTTCCGAGGCTGTCATCTCAACAGTCCCGATTAATGTCATTTCCTCGATTGTGTTCGACCCTCCGCTCTCAGCACTCCGACAAGAAGCATTCTCCAGTGGCGTCACTCCTGCACGAACCGATAAACTCCTCGTCTACACCCCAACCAAGCTCAACAATGGACTCAACATCGCCTGCGAGGGAGATATGCCCTACGCAAGTAGCTTCACCGACGGCATCCACGGCAACCATACCCTCCTTACTTTACTCGCTCATCCAGATATCAGCCTCGACCGATCTGACGAAAATATCCGTCTTGTGGAGACACTTCGGCCTGCAGGCGTGACAGTAGACTCTGCCTATGGCCACCTCTGGTCCGATGATCCGTACGCCGGCGGAGTAATGCCGGTCCGTGGTCCCGGGTTTCTGGAAAAATATCATGAGGAGATACGAAAGCCCCATGGACGGGTGTATTTCTGTGGCTCGGATTTTGCGGATGGTTGGCGGGGGTTTATTTCGGGGGCGTTTGAGGATGCGTATCGAGTAACTAGGGAGGTGTTGAAAGCGTGTTAACATAAGTAGAGTATCAATATCTGATGGTTTCTTTGCTTCTTCTTGTGGATGTGTATATATTATAGACGAGCATAAGTTGAAGGTCAAGAATCGTAAACCATACTGTATCTCCGTGGGGATCTTCCATACCCCCGATTGGATACGCAGCTCACACCACTTTTGATATTAATACCATGCGATGAAAATGAAGGGGTTGGGAATTACATACATCGTTCAAGAAGTATCATATCTGTTCCTGGATGCATGCATCCGATCTCTAGATTGATCGGTTGCACGAGAAAGCAAAACACTTTTGACCAAGATATGAAGATAGTATATCAAACGAGGGGCCTCCGGCTTGTGCTGGGCTGATGGTGGCCGGCCGGAAGATAATGCCCAGTGGACTGCCGTTCCTTCGGAGGATATGGCTTCGACTAGCACGGCTGCTGCCAGCGCAGGTGTGGCGACGGCGTAGATGTTGCTATCCCATTCATGTTCTAGGGCAGATCGGTACACGTGACCACCTGACTTGCAGTTCCCAACTTGTATATGGACTTATATATATGGTGCTTTCCAGCTGACCTATTTATATGAACCTCTCTATTACTATTCCAATTACTGTACAAGAATACTACATCGTGCTTGACATTTACTCTTCACGCAATTAGAAACATACTACACAGCGTAGTGCAGTGCGCTACGATTCGTTCTTCCCCACATTTGATATACCAGTTTAAGATGATAAAAAGATCGATGCTAGAGGGAGAGTACCTTTATGGCAATGGAGCTGCGCTGTTAATGCCCTAGAGTTATGCCAGGGTCCTTAGGTGTGGTCTATGTAGGGATCTGGCCCGGTAAACAGATACATAGGGGGCTGCTGGTGCCTGTGATTCAGGGACTGTAGGTAGTTCCTTCATGCCATGCTTACATGCATAGATCCATGTCTATAGTTACATCATCCAATTAGCTGCATTACTTTATATCGGTATCCCATTTATGACAGGCTCAAGTGTCCGTACTACTTTTCGTGTGCCAGTCCAATCATTCTGCAGCATCATTACTACCAAAGAGAACCAGTGGGCCAGCTAATACATCTACAGCCCTATCCATTCAACAAGTGACAAAGCCACCCACTACTCTAAGCCACCATGATAAACTCACAACCCATCCTTATACTTCCGCCACCAATCCCCCTTCACCCACATCGTCTCACTAACCTCCTTATACTCACTCCCCTCCGGACAAAACCGATACCGATCCAACTCGCGAAACCCCTCATCCGCAATATCCCCCACATGTCTCCAACACGCCGTCTGGCTCTTCGCCCAGCGCTCCAACTGCCCGAAATCGCGACACATGCGCACCTGCCCCAGCCCGCTCTTCTGATCCGGCTGGAACCCCGTATACCGGGGTGTATCGTCCGCATTGCACAGGATCTCGTCACGGAGGACGAGGAGGCAGTGTTGTACGTGGTCCCAGGGGGAGCTTTGCGGACGGGCGTCGTGGAATTCGACCAGCGCGGTGCGGAGGGTCTTCACGCAGTGGAGGTTGTGGTAGCCGTTGATGAGGTAGATGCCCTTCGTGGGGTCCCAGGGGAAGCGCTGTGCTCGGGGGAGACCCATGGCGTGCGCGTAGGTGTCGGAGAGGGCGATGTTGCCGAGGTCGTAGTTCGTGGCCTCCCAGAGGGTGTCTTGCTCGGTGGTGTTGATGGCGTTGTTGGGACCCCAGGGGAGGGGGATGGTGCGGGTTAGGCCCGCTGGGGGGGAAGGGTTGGGTTAGTGGGGGATGGGGTTGGGTCGGGGTTGGGGGGGATGACTTACCGTATTTGGAGCGCTCTGGGGAGGGGGATGTCGTGGTGGAGTGTAGGGCAAGGAGGGCGATGAGAAGGATATTGGCTAGGATGGAGAGAAGTAAGGGAACTCGGGATAGGGGTTTCCTAGGTCTTGCGGTGGGTGAGCCGTGTGTGGTGGTCTCATCAGCATCATTCTCCGGGTCATTGACAGGCTCTGAGACTGGCACCCGGAGATACTTTCCCACAGAGATCTTCATGGCTGGAAAGCAAAGACGGGGAGACCAATGAAGAGCTGAAACGGTTGGGGGCGAGGCGTTTTCCTTTTAAGTCACGCGCTGCGGGGGTGACCGAGCACAGACTTATCCCAGTCAGGGCTAGATGTTATATACCCCTGGAGTGGTGGGTGGCATAATTCAGTGGTAAAGTGGGAGGGGTCTATTCTTATCAGTGGGTGGATTGGCTACCATATTGTCTTGCAGGACGCTACTCGCCATGGCTCAGTGGCAGTACGGATTACAATACATGATCCAAGAATATCCTTCACAATCCCGCATCCAACGACCCCTCACAAGTCCTTCTGAGGACTGGGCTCCTCGCCAGTCGCATGGATCTCGGCCTTCCAGTTTGCCTCGTCGCTCAATTGGTATGCCCCGGCGGCTATCCTGATGTCAGCATCGTTCAAGGGGATTACTGAAAGTAAGAAAAAGAGAAGAACCAACCGGTATCGGTATCCACAGGAAGGGCAATAGCGGTAGCCAACAGGCAGAAAAGGGACAGGAATTTATAGATAGTCGCCATGGTGACTGTGGAGAGGGTGATTTAATTGCTAACACGAAAGTCAAAGGTAGAAGCCAGATGACAAGAGACAGCTGACGGTGGCGTACAGCGATGATCGTTTCCGGCCCCCAATGTCCTCCTTGTCATTCTTATATGCATCTGTCGGACCTGAGCCCCTACCGTTCCTGCTTCCCCTCACTTTGCGCCATCAGACGGCCGGTTTACTAGTCTCGCATTTGTTCATGTCGCCTATCGTTGGGGGCCAAATAGGCCCCCATAAGCTTGGTGTGGTTAAAAGGCTCCGATTGTCATGATGTCCGGATTATCAGTGGCATTCATCTCCAGCATCAGAATGTCCACCAACGAGTTGTCCATTTCCTTTGTCCCCGCGAGCGCAGTATTGGCCGCGGCCATTGCTCTACCATGTGTGGGCATTCTCAGCGTCGGGGTTCGGTTTGCTCTTCGCTGGAAGAATGAGAGATCCATTGGAGTCGACGATTGGTTGATCCTGGTAGCACTAGTCTGTTCCCCTCTTCACTGTCATCCTTCCACTGGCAAAGGAATCATTCTAACCCTCGGAGAAACTAGGTCTTTGTGATAGGCATGGGTGCTGTGCAGGTTTACGGTGCGAGCCCTCATCCCTCGGAATGGTCAGGATTGACATGCATGTGACTAGGAGGCGTCGAACATGCATTGGGCTACTCCACTCCACCCTATTCGAGCGAAGAGGCCGAATTGACAGAACTGTCGAGACCTCAGAGAATCGTCGAGCTGGTACAGCGGTCTTCCCCACTCGTGGCGCATCCGCTAAATTTCCCAGGTGGATTGGATTACTTGGGTGGTGATGACCCCGGCCAACGGACTGATCAAGCTAAGCTCTCTCTTTCTCTACCGTCGGATCTTTGCCGTGGGTCAAGAGAGGGTCTTTGGGATGCTTAGCTGGATTCTGATCGGTCTGTGCACGCTCTGGACGCTCGCCTTCTTCTTTGCCACCATCTTTGGCTGTGGACGGCACTTTGCCTATCCGTGGGGGCCGTTGGGGGAAATTGGCAGCTGCAACACTAATGCACGCCTGGAAGCGATGATGATTACCGACCTGATCACGGATGTGCTGGTCTGGATTTTACCCGTGCCGATGGTGAGTTTGAGTTGGACTGCCCTGGTCAACCTGCCTGATCCTGTCCTTGTTTTAGGTCTGGCGGACGCAAATGAAATTCGGGCGCAAACTCGCCGCGACGGGTGTTCTCCTACTGGCAACCATGTAAGTACTCTACTGGCAATCATATAAGTACTCTGCTGGCAGAGCTGAGACCTAACCTGATGAATGGACTATCAGATCGCTGGCAGCGGCCGTTGTGCGACTCATTGTTCAGGGTCAGATCACCAACGGAGGATATGCGGCACATACCGACGTGGACCGTACGCTTCCCTTCATCCACGGTCGGACACTACTAACGCTCCGATAGAGACCCTGACTATCCTACTGTACTGGAGTATGATTGAGTCGGGGCTAGCCTTGATTGCGTCCTGTCTGCCGACCATGCGACTCCACACGGCGTGGAAAAAAGCCCTGTCGGCCCTCTGTCCGCGGCCGGGGACGAGCCTGCCCTCCTGGCCGGAAAGCACCCCGGTCGAGAGTCACGGCCGGAAGAAACGGATGTCTAGCTCCATGGGCTCCACCTTGGTGCAGCAGAAAAGCCAGTCGTCGCAAGTGGTGCCGCTGATCGAAATGAACCGGGGTCAGGGCCGCCGGGCCAATGATGCGGAGACGGGCTGGACAGCCTGAGCTTACCATGTCTAATACGGACTATATAGGTATCTCTCCTGTGCTATATATATATCTTGTCCGGCATAGCTACTGTCGAATGGAGGCTGGTCTTATGCGTAAGACTTCCCGATGTAACGTTGTCCCAAGTCTAGCCCTACCCAGGAGGACTCCGTGCATACATAATCTAGTATCTCTCACATTCATCCGAATTATCACCCCAGCACCATGTCCAGTTCCGACTCTGAATCCTCCCCCGCCAGCTTCCATCTGGCCGACGGGCTGGGATATGCCCTCCAACAAAGTCACCGGTCGGTGATCCGCCTCAACCTGCAGCACTTTCTCTGGCGCCAAGAATTTGGTTACAGCATCCATCCCTCCATCCCCACCACGCCGGCACCTCGAAAGATAGTCGATGTAGCCTGCGGGACGGCCCTCTGGCTGATCGATGTGGCCCACGAATTACCCCCCACCACCCAGTTGGACGGGCTGGATATTGACCTCACGCAAGCGCCGCACCCGGCGTGGCTGCCCGCCAATGTGCACCTCGACCATTGGGACCTTTTCACTCCGGTGCCCCCGCCCCGGCAGGAGCAATATGATCTGGTCCATGTGCGACTCTTGGTACTCGTGCTATCCGGTCTCGATCCCATGCCGGTGATCCGACGGCTCTTCCAGTTGGTCACCCCGGGAGGCTACCTGCAGTGGGATGAATTGGACTGCGTCAATCTGTGCCTCAAGAAGGTGGACCCGGGCATTGCGGCCCCAGCATTGGAGGAAATTCGCGTGGGCTCGCATGCCGACGGTCGTCATGATTGGGCCTTGGATTTACCGCGGCTGTTGGCCGAAGCGGGCTTTGAGGAGGTCACCATGCATCACTACGCGGAACCCCCGGAGATGGTTCGCGCCTTTAATGACCTGCATTTGTTGACCATGGAGGAATTCGCCACCCGATTGGCGGGACAAGGCCAACACAAGGCTGCCGCTCGATTTACCCAGCTCATTCAGGCGGGCTATCAGGAGTCGGTGAACGGGGCCGCCATCTCATTTCCGCGGGTGGTGGTGGTGGCTAAGCGACCGGCGTGACGGACTCCGACGGACCAGGTTTATGTAGACTCTATCTATAGGTAGATACTCCGGAGCTAGTGCAGACTGTTGGATGGGTCTTGGTCATGAGATGCGCTAAAGATTAGTGCTGATGGGAGAGATGGTCCGTATAGGGCTAGGACAAGGCTGTCCAATGGCCACCACTGATATTCCCCACCCTCCCTCATCGACCCATGCATTACAAATAATAAATATTACCTTTGCTCCGAGGAGTACCCCTTCTGCTCGGCCTAAACATAAAATGAAAACGGAGGATCCGGAAATTACCGCGTGCGGGGAAGGGGACCACCCCGGCAATGTGGCCGATCCCACCCGATGGCCCCTCTGGCGAAAGTGGTCGATTGTTGTTTGTATCGCCTTGATGTATATGCTCGCGTGAGTTCATGTCCTCGACCGGCATGGCTGGAGTTAATATTTTCAGAAATTTCGGAACGATCATCATTGTACCTGGAGTGCCCCGGATTCTTTCCGACTTTCATGCCTCGCGAGATCATCTTTATGAACCCCTCATCGTCTCCATCTGGGAACTGGGTGAGGGTGTCGGGTCCTTTCTGGTGGGACCACTGTCAGAGCAGTATGGTCGCAGCATCGTCTATCATGGCGGCAATGTCCTCTTTATCCTGTGCTCGGTGGCGGCAGCCTTGAGCGTCAACATTGGGATGTTGGTGGCTTTCCGCTTCATTAATGGCCTGGCCATAACTACCATCACCCTCGCCCCCAGTATCATCGGGGATCTCTTCATCCGAGAAGAGCGCGGGGCCGCCATGGCGCTGGCCATCACTCTCCCTCTTATCGGTCCCTGCGCGGCCCCGATCGTGGGTGGATACGTGACCAGTACCCTCGGTTGGCGATGGGCGATCTGGATCATGGCCATTGCGGTGGGAAGCGTTTCCCTCTGCTCCCTGATTGTGATCCGAGAAACCTACCGGTTCAAAATCAAGATCCGAAACCAAGACCAACCATCTGAGCCTCGTGGTCCCCGCGAGACCAAGCTGCAGACCGTCCTCCGCCCCGTCCGCCTGCTCTTCTCCTCTCCCGTGGTTCTCGTCACTTCCCTATACACAGCCCTAACCTACGGCATTTCCTACCTCATCCTCACCACCCTCTCGGAGATCATGCACGAAATTTACGGCTTCAGCCAAGGACCCATCGGACTCACCTTTCTCGGTCGAGGTACGCCCCTCCCCCCCCCCCCCCCCCCCCCCCCCCCCTTTTTCCCCCTCCGCTCCACTCCAACTAACCCATCCAGCAATCGGCAACCTCATCGGCCTAGCCCTCTACGGCCTGACCTCCGACCGCTACCTGCAACACCGCCGCCAAACCACCGGCCAGTCAGTCCCCGAAGACCGCCTGCCACTAATGTTACTCGGGACGATCCTCCTCCCCATCGGATTATTCCTCTACGGCTGGTCCGCCCACTTCCACATCCACTGGATCGTGCCTCTTATCGGGACGGGAATCGTCGGAGCGAGCCTCATCCTGACCCACCTTCCCACGGAGAATTACCTCGTGGACGCGTTCGACCCCGATGGCACATCAGCGTCGGTGCTAGCGGCGAACGCGACGCTCTCTGCGCTGTTTGGGGCCCTGTTTCCGTTGGCAGGGCCAGCCTTGTACCGGACGCTAGGGATCGGGTGGGGCAATTCTCTGTTGGCGTTTGTGTCGGTGGCGTTTTTGCCGCCGTTTGTGATGCTGTGGATGCATGGGGAGCGGTTGAGACGGGAGGGGTGGGGGGGTTTGTGGGTGATTCTGCCGTGGTTCGGTGGAACAGTTGAGGGTTTGGGTGGTCATGAGACACGGGCTGGAGAGCATTCCCCTGAAGCTGAGAAGAGGCCACATCGGAGGAAGGATGAAGAGAATTCTCAGAAAGGGCAGCCGGGCGAACATGGTGAGGGATGAAGTATGAGTCTGTTGAACACCATCGCAGTTAATGGCTCTGTTGGATGTATAAGAAGCAGCTTTTCAATGCGCGACCAGGACGCGACATTGCTGTCTCGTGACCGTCACAGGATGCACAGACTCGGGAATAGTAAGTTAAAAGGTGCGGTGACGATAAGGCCCAAAGTCTGACTGGTTGTTAATTTGACTGCCCACATGGCTAATCACGTACTTAGGATAAACCTGAGCCAGTGGATACAGCCACTAAGCCACGCCAAACTCAGCCGCTATGTACAACACAAAATGCAATCTTACAGCTCAGATGGTCATCGAACACGTCCCTTATCTGCATTGCATGCAAAATTGTTCTTTTCGTGGAGCTAGGCAGACGTGGTGGCATCGGTCGAGGTAGAAGCGCAGGATCTCATTGCATGAGTAGGTGACCCTACAATGCAGCGAGTACGAGGACTGGATTCTCCAATTGAATGCCGTTGATTCCATGTTCAGATTGAAGTACCACGACCAATATGGGCGAGCATTCATCGATACAGCAGTGTCAAGTCGTGATTTTCATAATGGGGCTCGGCATATTGATCGCTTATTGGCTGCTTCCAAGACTAGGCTCTAGTTCTTGAGATATCTGGCGTGATCTGATGTCTAGCTAACCTGAGAAACCTAGATATTCCTGACTATCGGAATCACACGTGATTTGAAATCAGATGGTTCAAGAAGGCTGTAGACTGCTTACCAATCAACCTCCCCTCCTAGTTAGTTAACTACCAAACTGCGTGTGGAACCAACATCACCATTTCCCTCTGCGCAGAAACCATATTAGTGCTGAACAACCAACAGCATTGAAATCCATACTTACCACCAGCTGCAACGTCCTTGCATCTCCAAACCACACAATGCCCCTCTCCACCCACGAACACGGCACTGGCCTCCCCATCCTCATCCTCCACGGCTGGCAACTCTCCGGCCACGTCGACGAACTCGACTTCGAGCCCATCTTCAGCACCATCCCCACCCCCAACCTGCATCGGATCTACATCGACCTACCAGGCATGGGCCACACCCCGGCCCACAACATCCACAACCTCGACGACATCTACCACCAGCTCGTGGAATTCATCGACTCTCGGTTCGGGAAGGCCAGATTCTTAATCATCGGTTCCTCATGCGGCGGATATCTCGCCCGCGCACTAGCCCAGAAATACATCGACCAGGTGGACGGGTTACTCTTACGAGTGCCGCTGATTGAACCGGCGGATAGCCTCCGAGATGTAGATGTGTTGACACCCTTAATTCAGAACAAGGAGGTCATCTCAGAGCTATCAGATCATGACAAATCCCTGTTGGGGAATATACCAATCCAAACACCATCCTACATCCAAGCCCTGAAAACCAAATACGAGGAGGCGTACATCCCCGCTGAGACCCTCTCCGATGCGAAAGTACTCGATCCCATCCGGGGTGATCCGACTCGGTATCGACTCTCGTTTGACGTGGATGAGATGGAGAAAGCGGGGAAGTTTCCCGCTCCGACGCTCATTGTCTGTGGGCGGCAGGATGGAGTGGTCGGGTATCGGGATGGTTTGCGGTTGGTGGAGCGGTATTCGAGAGCGACGTTTGTGGTGCTGGATCGGGGGACGCATGGGGTGCCGGTGGATGGGCAGGAGAGGGGGGTGTTTGGGGCGTTGGTGAGGGAGTGGGTTGGGAGGGTGGTGGAGTGGAGAGTTGCCGGGGGGGATAGATGTATTGGACTTGGGGGTGCTGGGGTTAATTTCTCGTGGGTAGATGATGCAGCTGGGATGACAAGGGGTATTGAAGCGGTCTCCTCCCTTGGAAGTAGTACTCCAGAAACTTATACACCTCACTGCTTAGGCGCTCAGTAAAGCATCTATCCATTCATCTATCTCCATATTCAACCGAAAGAACAAGCCTTTAGCTAATAAATTTGAACCTAGATTGCATGTAGCTCTAGCTATCATCATACACCACATATTAGAAGATAAAACAGAGAGAGAAAAAAAGAATACATACAACAGAAGGGATTCGCTGGTGGTCACCCACCCAACTACTAACCTCCCGGCGTGTGGCTTAAGTACGGCTGAGCGGACGGGAAGCCCTGTTCTCCACACCCTATGGTCGTATGTACTGACCTACTCTCTCAGTTATATTATATTGAGTTGATAGTATATGATATCTGGGGTTGAAACCCGACACAGTATACTTTGTACTCGGTAGACACCGTATAGCGGCAGGAACCGGCTGCCCAGTGCTTGCTTATCATGAGTGATATACTCCTGATTTTACGTATCGAACCTTTATGTCATGAAACGGTATTCTTTCTATTACTAATATGTCTTTTTCATCTCGAGGTAATGACACTACTTTACACTGTATATGAATGTATGAAATGGCAACGTCAGGCCCGATATGTGCTGCGATATATGCTGCGATACATGCTGCCCTAAGATACAGCTTGCAAGACCTAGATGACAGGACCTACCACACAAGAACAGGCTTGATGGTCTTGCCACTCCTCATATCACTTAAAGCCGTCTCAAAGTCCCCCGCTTGATAGAACCCCACCATCTTCCGCAACGGCAAAAGACCAGCCTTCACCCAGTCAATCATCTTCGGCACAAACTCCCGAGGCACCACATCTCCCTCCACCACCCCCATGTACTGCTTTCCAGCCACCATAAACTCATGAATGGGAAGATTGAGCACTGCATTCTCCGGCGCCGACCCAAGCTGAACCACCCTCCCCTTGTTAGCCGTCATGCGAATCCCTTCCGCCACCAACCCCGGCGCCCCGGTCGTCTCCAACGTGATATCCGCCCCAATCCCTTTAGTAATGGCACGCACCCCCTCCGTCACAGCACTGAGATCCGCATTCGAATCAATCCTCACCACATGCGTCGCTCCCACCGCCAACGCCAACTCCAAACGAGCCTCGTTCCGCGCAATCCCAATGATCGTCTTGCACCCCGCAATCCGCGCCCCCATCACAGCACTCAATCCCACCCCGCCCAGCCCCAGCACCGCAACAGTATCCTCCCCCTTCGCTCCCGCCGCATTAATCACCGCCCCAGCCCCAGTCTGGATCCCACACCCCAGCGGCGCCAACAGCTGCAGTTCCTCCTTTCCCTCCACCAACCCGGATACATTCACCACCGCCTGCTCCTGCACAATCGTCCAGCTCGCAAAGCTCGATTGTCCAAAGAATTGGCCGTAGATATCCGCTTCCCCTGATCCATCCTGATTCTCCCCCCGAAAAACATAATTCTCCCTCGTCGCCTCGAAATTAATCGGATCGAAAATGTGGCAATGCGCGGGATGACCTCGTCGACAACCCTCGCAGGTCTGACATGACGAGAAAGACATAAGGATGGGGTCGTTGACTCGGGCGGCAGTGACGTTGGGGCCGATTTGTCGGACGTATCCTGCGCCTGCAAAACAATCATATCAATCAGACATAAAGCATAACCTACAATGCCTCCCTTTCAAGGGTAGGGTGGAGAAGGGGAAGAGGATACCTTCATGCCCCATCACCCGCGGATAATTTACTCCAAGCCCAGTTTCCAACCCCGCGAAATGCAAATCCGTCTGACAGACCCCCGAGGCAACCACTTCAACGAGCAGCTCATTTTCCCGCAGCGGGCGCAGAGACACATTCTGGAGCTTCCAGCCGCCGGTTTTATAGGGGCTGTGAGACACAAGCGCTCGGCCGGTTACGGTGGGTGGTATGTTCGCCATGATGAGTATGGATCGGGCGAAAGGATTACAGGGCAGATTACATGGCAGTAGAGAGTAGTATATATGTTCCTGATTTTATTTAGCCATTGCCGGCTGTAGAGCCGGAATTAGCTGCCAGGGGCATGAAATTCCGGTCGGCATGCCGAGATGCAGGCCGAAGGTTGTTTGTTGGAAGATCCGGATTTCCGGGATTGAATTTTAGGTGGGTCCGGTTGTGAGGGGGAACTGGGTCGGATATAGATTTGTTTGTATGCTGGGACCGGAAGTCTCAGGTCTTGAATCAGTGGGCGGCAAATAAGGATTCTATGTGTACTGCTGTGTATGTATTTTTGTAGCTCCAGTGAAGGTAAGTGGATAATTTGTAGAGTGGAGATCCTGCAAAACCCGGGTGGCGATCCTACTCTGAATACCGACAGCGTCAGGCGAGGGTTGTGGATGAATTTAGGCTATTGTCTGGAGCTAATCAATCTGGTCATTTAGGTCAATAGCATGTCCCCAGCGAGAAGAGCCTACGCGGGGAACCCTAATCTTACTCCTGAACAACCGATGTGAAAGTAGTGAGTGATGCCTGAGGCAGCAATGGAGTCAGGCATACGGGGAGGGTCACGGGACTCCCCCAACCCTGACCGGGAATTGCGAGCAATGATCGCATCATGTACGTGATATGTACATCCAGAATTAGGTAAATCAAAGATAGCAGCTCATGACACCATCTCATGGAACAATTAGTCTGCCACGCTGACCACTTACAGCCTTGAATCTACTTCGGCAGTTATCAGCTGCATGGCTCATTGTAGCGCCGATCACGTCAGGGAGCACGCAACACCAGGTCTCCGATGACAATGTCCCAATGACAGTTCCCCGCATCAACCAGTATATATATACTCCTGCCAGATCAAGATAATCACTTGACTTCTTCCAATTCAAAGCATCATGTCCCCCCGATATCGTCGCATTGCCGTCATCGGCACCGGCCCTTCTGGCCTCTCCGCCGTCAAAGCCCTCCACGATGAAAACACCTTCGACACCATCCGGGTCTTCGAACGACGCGACCGCGTAGGAGGCATCTGGCACTACGACCCAACCCCAGACCCCTTACGCCCTGAGGCCCCCTCCCCAGCCCCCAATGCCATCCCCACGGGCCTCCCCCAATTCACTCCCCCCCGACCCGAAGACCCCAGCGCCCGCACCGGCATCTACCCACACCTGGACAGCAACGTGGGCGCCAAAACCATGGCCTTCACCCACACACCCTTCCCCCCCATCAACTCCGCCACCTCCATCAAACAATTCGGGCCCTCCAACGCTACCCGTCCCTTCCGCGTCGTCGCCAACTACCTCGAAGACCTCTTCATCCCGTACCTCCACCTCGTCTCCCTCAACACCACCGTCGAACGCGCCGAGAAAACCGGCTCCCAATGGACCCTCACCCTCCGCAAATCCAACCAACTCTACCGCAACACCCCCCAAGACTACTGGTGGACCGAGACCTTCGACGCCATCATCGTCGCCTCCGGCCACTACAACGAGCCCGCCATCCCGGCCATCCCCGGCCTGTCCACCACCGCCCTCACCCACCCCCACGCCTTCGAACACGCCAAAGCCTTCCGCCACCCAGACCACTACATCAACCAACGCGTCCTCGTCGTCGGGGGGAACATCTCCGCCGCCGACCTCGTCACAGAACTCCACTCCCTCGTCTCCGGGCCCCTCTACCTCAGCCAACGGGGTAGCAATCCCGCCCTCGAACCCGCCTGGTCCCTCCCCAACGTGCAGCGCAAACCAACCATCTCCCACATCACCCCATCCCCAGACCCAACCCGCAACACCATCACCGTCCACTTCACCGACACCACCACCCTCACCCTCGACAAAATCCTCTTCGCAACCGGCTACACAGCCTCCTACCCCTTCCTCACCCCCAACCCCGTCACCGCCAACAACCGCGTCGCCGGATTCTACCAACATATCTTCCGGATCACGGATCCATCCCTTGCCCTGGTGGGCCAAGTGCGCGCTGGTCTGAGTTTCCGGGTTTACGAGTATCAGGCGGTGGCGGTGGCACGGTACTACGCGGGCCGGACGAAGGAGCTTCCGAGTCAGGCGGAGCAGGATCGCTGGGAGTTTGAGCGGTTGAAGAGCAAGGGCAATGGGGTCGCGTTTCATGAGATTAAGCCGGATTTTCGCGAGTATTTTGAGGTGTTGCTGGAGATTGCGGGGACGGGGGCGGGGTTGCCCGCGTACGAGGATAGGTGGGCGGAGGAGGCGTTTGAGGTTTTGAAGGCGAAGGAGGGGTATTGGAAGAGGTTGAGAGGGGATGCAGAGGGGAAGGGGGGAGAACAGAAGAAGGAGGAGAGGGCGAAGTTGTAGGGGTGGATACAGTTGGTGGGTTGGATATTATGTGAGTGTTCATTGTGTTGAACCGAATAAGCAGCCCAGTTATTTGGTTTCTCAACGATTGGAAAGGCTTTTGTTATACCAATGGCCTATCTAGTTGAATCGGTCCGGACGGTAAATCTAGCTAAATGTCAAGTCTATTACCGAGAGTCTCAAATGGAATTCGAACTAAGAGGTTAGATAAGCCAGAAATCTTTGGTACTTCACATAAACTGAATCCCAGGAAGTATTCGAAGATAATAGACGTTTGTCTATCCTAGCTTAGTTGGCCTACAAGTCTAGTCAGAGGCCATGCGAGATTCTCAAGGCCATGAAACTAGTGTATGACAATACTATTTCGACATTAGTAAATGAGTCTTGTGTTTTCCTGTAGTCCACACTTCCTGTATGAAAGCCAACTGGCGAGATTCATCCAACCCCGCGGGCGGAACAACGCCGTAGCTCCGGCCTGTCATTCGTGCCCGATAGGCCAACCTGCTAGCCCTGCAAGTGGAGGCTCATCGATCGATCCCAGCCTCCACTTTGAGCCAATGAAATCACCGTTAGCTCTAATCTTACACATGGCACACCGCCAGCTCTCCCTCCTCCCTCACTCCTCCCTCACTCCTCCCTCTGCAGCCGGAGTCAAGGCTCTACATTTCAGCTTATATCCATACTCTACTGCGCTGCACTCTGCACTCGCTGCACTGCACTGCACATCCTACCCACCACCATACATTCACTCAACCCATCAAACCTAACCCAACCCCCAAAATAAACACAACCCCACCCCAAACGCACCACCCACCCCACCACCACCATGTCCTCTACATCGGACAGCAGCACCACCCTCCCCACAACCCTCAGCGCAATAAGCACCCTAATCGGATACATCGGCACCGAAGTCGCCACCCCGCACACCACCTTCCACCGAATCCTCTGGCCCCAACGCGCCTACAACAACTTCCAGTTCCCCTCCTCCTCCTCCTCCTCCTCCCTCTCCCTAAGAAACATCTTCATCCCCGCCCTCCTCATGCCCCTCGGCGGACCCCTGCACACGGCAGCCCTCAAAACCATCGACCAGTTCTTTGCACGCGGGTTATTCCTCGGCCCGGAGATGGGGGGGATGCTGGGCACGGCGTTTTTTCCGGATCAGGGGGGGGAGTATCACCTCCCTGGGGGGGGAGTGGGAAAGGTGCGGAATGGGGTGTGGGTGAGGGTTTTGGAACGGGTTGGGTTGGGGGGTGGGAGGTGTCAGAGGAGGAGTATTAGTGGTGGTGGGGTGGAGGGTGGGAAGGTGAGGAAGGTCCGGCAGAAGACGTGGGTGAATCGGTTGGTGTTGTCGGTTCATCAAGGTCCGGGGAAAGGGGTAAAGAAGAAGAAGGTGGTGTGTGTGGAAGGGGATGTTGGGCCGATGACGGGGCGGATTCTCGCGGGGATTGTGTTGACGGAGATCACGGGGATTGGGGTGGCGATTGCGGTGGCGGTGGTGTGGCGATCGGCGTGGATGGTCTTGTGGGTGGTGCCGTTGGTTTTGAAGTTGGTGAGTGCGGGGTGTTGGGTGCCTAGGGAGGGGGTGGTCGTGGAGGATGGGGGTGGGTGTGGGAGTGGAAAAGAGACAAAGCGTTATATGGTTACATCCGGACATGGATTTCAGATCATCGAGGGCCCTCCGCAGATGGTGCAGCAGTTCTTTCGACATTATGGGCATCCGAGACGGAGTCGGTGGCAGGAGCTGGTGCAGATTGCGGTGGTGATTGCGTTTGGGTTGAATTTTCCGGTTGGGTTGGTCGTGTCGACTATGTGGATGCCCATTGGGTTACAGTGTGTGTGGACGGGCTATGTGCTTTATGTTACGATGGTGATGTATGTGTCGAGGTATGCGCATGGGGAGTGGTGGTTGACTACGGAGGAGAGGCTCGCGGATGCGCTGATTGATGCTGAGGAGCACCCGGGAGAGGTACTGGTTCTGTTTAAAGGAGGCGAGGATTGCACGCTGGCGGTGGAGTTGACTCGGACGGTACATAATTCGTACGGAGAGGCCAAGGAACATGCTTTGCTGCTGCGGCAACCGCCCCTACCCAGCTCGGATCATCCCGGGGATGTTCAGTCAGAGGGGTCAACGGGGAACTCGGAGAAGAGATGATTCTTGATTCATCTTGCTATACTACAGCCAAAGACTCTGGCGTGCGATGGATAATGAACTTGATGTCCCAGCAGCACCACTTTTCGTCGACTGGAGTGTCGTTTGTTGGATCCGCCCCCGGATGTTGGGAATATGCTTCTAGGAACCCCGGGTCGTGGTAAGCCACAGAGCTTGTGGGGATCGCCGGGATCCTGTCCCTGCATTCCGAGACCGAGGTTGTATCCCGCATGGCATTGAGTGCAAAGGCATGAAACGATGTGGGCTTGTTCGTCACAATCACCTTGACATACGCCACGGCACTCGAGGTCTGAGTATCCAAAAGACGAGCGTGAGGCAGGAAGAGTCGAATATCAAAAGTCAGATGGCAGGCCAATTGGCCGCGCGCGAGCGTGCTCAGGCTTTCATGGTAGGTCTTTGGAGACAGGTGGGCGATGCCAAAGGCGCTATCAAATGATAAGATGTTGAGGTATATGGTTTCTTGGCAAGTGTTGGAGAGAATGACCGTGGCGTAGTCCCCGGTGAGGAGGTGAAGACATCCATCCGGTCCCACAGTTGGGCTTCTGTGGTTAGGTTTTTGGCTGCCATTGTCGTATCGATACCCTCCAACCGGGAAGATTTTGACTTGATCCATGAGATCGGTGCAATTACCTGAAAGGCCCAGCCTGGATCGGTATAATTCAATCTGGTCGTTCGCAGACTGCGCATCCAACCCATGAGAGTGACGATCAAGCAAGGTCGCACTGCCCCTGACTTCCTTCGCAGATGTCGCATCTACCTTGAAAGGCGTGACGGGTCTTGCAGAACTTGACAGCGGACGAATGTCGTCTACTACAAAGAGGTCTGCAGGAATGGAATGGCTGAGCTCATCGTCTGTCGGAATGAACTGCACTCTCGCGCCCGCAGCCACACCATGCGCGCTTCCCGCGTGGAGGATGAGACTGCACTCACTGCCAACCTTGGTGAGCCGAGCTTGATAGTTCAGTACTGGTGTCAATTCATGTCGTTCATCGCATCCTTCCAGGAACAACCGTTCCGTATTTCCACAAGACTTCACACGGATCCGAATAGCATCGGGCCTCCTGCTCTGTAACCAATGCGTTTCCAACCCGATCTGCCGTACCAGCTCATTCCACGTCATGTCCAAGCCATGCTTTTCCAGGAGACGGAGAATCCAGTATGTAAGAAAACCGTGATAGGTTTTGGACCGCGGGTCCCGGTATAAACTTTCCTGCCGGCTGTATCTGTTTGAATATTTAGACCAAAGCAGCAGATAAGGGGCCCCGGAGTTGGGATTCTGGAGTATGGTATCTAGCCGCCGAGGACACCAGAATCCATGAAACACCGACAGTAATTCTTCTTCGGGGAATTCGGATTCCCGAAAACGATGCTTTTCCTCACAATACCCATAAGCGCCCCGGGTATCCAGCACCACGGTCACGTCCAGCTCTTTCCGGGTGAGTCGGTTCACGAGGACGGCCAGTTCCAGCTCGTGCAGAAATCCCTCCTTGGAGTTGCTGTCAAGAATAGCAAAGTATTCTTCCTTCTCGCGCCGTCCTTGATCCAGCCCCCGGGTGGTGTATATCTCCAGGGAACTGCCGGAGAAATAGACGTAAACTACATCCCCGGCGGTCGCTCGCGCAGTGACCGCCTCAAAGGCCCGTAGGATGTTGGCGTAGGTGGGTAAGGTGGAGGGGTCGGTAGCAGAGGATACGAGGGTGTATACATTCTGCTCTGGAAATTTCATCGTGTGCAGCAGAAAGCCACGCATTCGATCCACGTCGGCCCCGCAGACATCGAGGGGATCCTCCTCCTCCTCCTCCTCATCATCATCCGAATCCGACTCTGAATCCGCACTTGGCTCGACACCGATCAGAATAGCCCATTTAGAAGCCGACATCTTCACTTGCAATATTAATTTGTTTGGCATCCAGCACACCGGCCAGTCTGAGCTAACAGGACGCCACGTGATGGAGGGGCAACTAGCGGCATCCGAGGGCTGCCCCGCATTTGCCCTCCCAACATCATGACCTCCTCCACGGTAAGTCACCCACGCAGTAACCCTGGGCAAAACAGAGCCCTAATTACTGTGATGCCATGCTGCACAGATCCAGTTCCATCAATGGCGTCCCTTCGAGGCCAACGGAAAGCAGACCGGCCACCTGCTCATGCCAGCATTCAGCACCGTAGCCGAGCTGAATTCATCCAAGCTGCACAATGAGTACTGGTCGTCCACAGGCCCCGACTTCATACCTTCTTTCCGACACAAAACCATCTCCAACCCCCGTCCAGTACCGCCATCCGACCAGGCCAAACTGTATCCCAGCCGGCTCGTCACCCCCGATGGCACGAGCGTGCGCATCCAGCCGCCGTACCCGGAATATGTGGTAATTTCATACACCTGGGGTCGGTGGAAGCATCGCACCCGAGAGCAAGACACCGAAGTGAAGGGAGGGCACTGGAAGGTTCCCGCCAACACGTTGTTTACCCGGGACGATTTGGATACCGCCGTGCGGAATATCGCCAAAGGCCGTCACGTGTGGTTGGATGTGCTGTGCATCCCGCAGCTCGATGGGGATCCCGAACATGGCGTCGAGATCAGCAAACAAGGAGAAATCTTCCGCTCCGCATCCGCGGCAGCAGTGTGGCTTTGCTCGGGGGGAGAAGAAACCCTGGCGGAGATCTGTTCCTGGGCCCCAGACGAATCGCAGATGGTGGACCCGGATGTGCTCCAGGTCCCGAACCTGTTGGATATTAGGTCTGGCCACGTAGACCTGTCCGAGACGCGTCGTCGCCTACAATTGATCATCGCTCTGACGACCGATGTCCCGTGGACCACGTCCCTGTGGACCTTGCAAGAGGCCGCCTTGCGGCTGGATGCCGTGTTCTATGATAAGAGCGGCCATCAGATCCTACACCAGCAGAGTGGAAACCCTCTCACTATTCGCCACCTGGTCAAAACACTCCGATATATCCGAGTCGCACTTCACCAGATCAACGAGCCGGGCAATCCGCGCAGCATCTTGCAATATCCGGAGACCATGCGTGCGACTGACGCGGATATCGATAGCTGGTTCCAGGCGACCGACGCCGTCAACCAAATCAATCTCCACAACCTCATGTCCATGAACGCCGGACAATTATTACTGACATCCACCCATCGAACCTGCCGACGACCGCACGACCGCGTGTACGGAATCATGGGCGCCATCGGAGTCACCATCCCTGTAGACTACACCAGAGACCCAGGGGAAGTGATGAACGCGTTTCTCGTCGAATTGCATAATGCCTTCCCGGCTGAAATGCAGAGCTTTCATCGCTCAGGAGCAATCCGGCCGAGTATCCGACCGTGGCTGGCTGACGAGGACTGCGATGAACTGGGCATGGTTCGACAGGGGCAACCGCCGCTGTCACGACCGTTTCGCCATGTGTCTCCGACGGGCGATCTGATCGTCAAGGAGCTGCTGCTGCTGTCCGATCGGGGAATGGATGATCTTGCCATGCGGTTTCTGAGCGAGACGGTGCTGCCTGCTCTCGATAATTATGCTTTTCATCAGATCTCGAAGGGCATGATCTCGACGCAAGGTTGCGAAAGCACGGGTCGAGAATCATATGTGCGGGGTTGTCTAGTCTTGCGGTATGTGAGTACCCGGGTGCAGCTGGGTCTTGTGCCTCTGGGGACTGTCAAGGGGTTGGAGGATATGGGATGGTCGTGGATGTATTTACTGGTGGGGTCGGAAGATGCCGGTGTCGGGGCGCGACGGTTTCGCAGACTGGGATTGGTGCTGTTGGTGGAGGAGATGATGGTGGATGTGACCCATGGGGAGTTTCATATCTACTGATCAGTACGTTGGCGATTGTTGACACTTTGTTGCTGTTTTGCATGTATGAGATACAATTTTTATACGAATATAAAAGGGAAGAAGCATCAATAGCAACAGATCTATCGTATTCGTCCTCCCCGTCTCCGACAAGGAATCAAGATTTGGATATAAACGGCGGAGTCGTTCCCGATCATTTTGATTTCCTGGCACAGAGCGGGAATGGAACCATTTGAACAACCAATTGGTGGGTTCGCACTACATGTATATCTATATATCTTCACAGCCGTGGCCTACGTTGGCTGTCGCTGCCTCGGGAAGGACCTTGGAGTGTGTGAATTTGAGGATAAGGTAATCATTATCATTATCATCATCATTATCTTCCAATGCAAGGGGGGCAGTGAAGTATAATCAGCCCCCCAAGCGCAATCGGTGCGCAGAAAACCAACAATCGCATCGCGCGTATTCCTGATGCTTCGTTCCTTGTCGACCCTCTCTTTCAGATGGGCCCCCGAGCATGATGACCACAACGTGACAGCGCATACTGTATCGAGGGACTCAGCGGTGAGGCTCTCCACCCAGACCAGGGAACGGGGTCCTTACTGCAAACTAAGCGATCGGGGAACAGTGGTGTTATCGAGCGTCAGGCATGGAGGTAACTTATTCTTCCAGTCCTCCAGCCGTCTTTGCACGTCTTTGAGGGTTCTTACCAGCTGATGCAGGGGCGGCTCGAGACCACTTGCCAGGACCATTCGGTTTGCATGCACGTTGATCTCGCTTAGTGCGGTGAAGCTGTTTAGCACGCAGGGGATGTGGGATTGGATTGGGTTGATTTGGCGTGGGTATGGCACCCAGGGATCGTCTGTTCGATGGGCACATGGAAAATGGGGTCGATTTGGTCGGTCAATTGCCAGGTTTTTCATGAGGGAGATTGAAGCAGTTCTGAAGGGTTTAGCTTAAGAAGAAACTCAGTTCATGCATGGGAACCAACGCGGTAAGATTGTAGATGTCCCAGAGGGTAGTGTCAACTGCATGACTTTCGGTCGAAGCTTCAGACGGCGGCGGGTGCTTGTTTGTGAATGCCTCGGCCATCTTGCGCACCTGGCCGAGATACCACCACCCGATGTGGTCTTTTCCCATGGCTGCCATGCTGAAGACTAATTAGTGACCGTATGAGATTGGTGCATTGGGACTCACCACACAAACAACACTCCGCACCCTTGGATGGATGGTAAATCGCGCCGGTCCTCGATCGTCTCGTACAGCCGTCGTGCTTCCTCGTAGAAATGCACGCCTTTGGACTCGGGATCATTCTGGTCGGCGTAGACTTCTGGCAAATCCGAATGGAACTATAATGCTGCGATTAGCCGGCCGAATATGTAATCAATGACATGGTCTCACGCATGCTTCGGCCAGGATACAATTCACAAGGAATGGCGAGCAAAATTGCGAGTTTGGCTTGCCGGCTTGCGCATCGCGCAAGAACAGCTCCCGGTCGATCCAGCTGTAGTATGGATGACTCCAGGTCATCCAGAGGGAAATCAAATGGGAGACCAGATCGTCACTGGTGGTGACCGAGGTCCATGGGGCGGCAGGAACACGATAGACGGGTATATCCACGAGGCGTTGAATATTCAGTGCTCGGGATGACGCCTCGTTTATTATCCTCCCACGTTGACGTCTGGTTATACACGGCCAAAGGGGGAGTCGTCTCTCGTTCAGGCGGCGAAATGTTATGGTCCATGTAGAGCTTGAGTTCGCTAAGAGGCGCCTTTGTTCGGATGAGATCCAGCAACTGCATGGCCTTTGCGTCCGAACTATCTTGCAGTGTCTGAACCAGCTGGAGCAAGTCATTCCGCTCCGCTTCAAGCTTCCCAATCTTCCGTTTGTGGGCCGATTTCCGCCGCATATCCTCGTCCAAGTCGAAGGTACAAGAGAGATGACGTTTGGTGCATCGATCACAGGCAGCAGCGCCGTCGCTGAATTGACACTGCATCATTCAGCATAGGGCACAAACGTGGAAAGCTTAAATGCTTGCTACCCTCGCCTTAGTCCGCTTGCACTCACGGCATGCTACTGAGGCCTTGCGCAGTCGGGGTACCGAGGCGTTGGGCGCAGAGAAACTGGGGGCGGCCGTTCGCGGGGGAGCGGGGGCGATTGGTTGCATTGGAAAAGTTCGAATGGGTTAGTATGAATAGACCAGATACGGCCCTCGTGAAATGCGAAGGGTTCTGCGCGGAGAGAGAAGTGTTGGGGGGAGAGAAACTACCGGTCAGCCAAGGGGGACTCGCGGAACGGCGCTGGATAATTTATCCCCCCCCCCGCAAAACCGGTTTTTCTCCCTTGGCAGCAAGCTGGCATAGTGCAGCTTATTGGTTGCAAACCAGTGATATTATTGGTTTATTATTTATTTCTATGGGGGTTGAGAGACCTTTCCATGACGGATATTAGTCATAAGTGGGGACGGATGGATCCAACTGACAGCTTCAACACTGTAGAGTCCGAATATAAAATGCTTCAATTCTTTGACAGTGAATTCTCCGGTCTTTTAGAAGGCACCGGAAATGCTATTTCCAAGGAGGTCTTTAGACGTTGCGAGTAGTGACTTGATAGGGTGCTTGTGAAAATGCTCTACAGTAATGGAAGCTTTTGGTGATTGAGCTAGTCCTCAAGTAAGGGCTAATATATATGGTCTGTTTGCGTTATGTGGAGCTCAATGCATCCATGGAACTATGCAGCCTTGAAGAGAAGCATATCTCGACGTTTGCATGAGTGCTGTGCCGAAGAACAACATCAAGTGGATGAAATCCACAGGCTCCCGAGAATGGGATTGGTTGTTCCACGCTGTCGAGTGAATGTGGACCCTCGATGCCAGTCAAGCCTACTTGTTGCAGGATGACAAGGCTTTCACGGTCCATCCTCGGGGTCTCAAGTCGTCGCATAGTTATTCTTGTGGCAGGCTTAGACATATGAATTGCACCGGCAACTTTAGCATCAAGTCTTCGACGTGGGCAGGATCGAGGACTTGATTGAGGCCCGATTGAATAACAAGATAGTGTGAAAACGCCTCGCTGACGAGCCAAGTGGATGGCGGTTACTCTATGGTGCAGGAAACCCTGAATTCCGCTTACGTCCAGGCGACGAATGTTGTGTAACCTCCAAGGTGGCATGGTTACTCAATGCTGACCCGGAGACTCTGGAGCAGGCAATTCACCAATAATGATCTACATGCTCCGCAAAACCTGAGTGGGGAGTGATGCTGCTAAATCGACACACGAATCCACCTCGGGCCATTGTCGAAAACGACCACACTGAAACTTATACCCGCATCAATTCTACCCGGGGTAGCCAGAGAGTCTAATCAAAGGGACTAATGTCTGGGGTCCGACGGTAGCTCCAATATGCTGTGCAGCCCCCCATTCGTTGTAACCCATTCTATTCCACAACACAGGCGGTATGGACATCATGGCATCCAGAACTTGCTATTGTCATCGCCACAACGATTACACGCCTCGATCTCTCAACCGCTGGGTGGCCAAAGCCGTTTTCATGAGGCGAATGATTCAAATATGACATGCAAGTACTTTGCGCCTCTGCCTCTGCAAGATCTGACGACACAAATGCGTTATCCATGACAGGCAGCATTACATTTCCATCATGTTCTAGCGATAGCGTGTCGTATTTAAAGGACGTAGAGGGCAGCTACTACATGCCTCGCAAAATCCCCTCAATACTTTACTATAACATCACTCATACCGAACGAGTACCGCACCTTGCACTACTGCTAAAGCTGCTGCTTTCCCCATCATGTCTAGTTATCCGGTATTACAACAAGACCATACTTGCACCTCCATAGCTGACTGCAATTCAGGTCGCAACAGCCACTATCAACGGGAAACCTTCCCTATTCGTAAACAATAATGGCACCCTGACCTGTCAGGCAGAAGGAGACAAACCAAACCAGTTCAACGAAGTCACGGTGCAAACCCGTGATGATCAGCAGCCTATAACCCTTGATGAAGGGTCATCGGTCTGCGTGACTGAGTGGCAGGGCGCGGACACCAAAACCAATGTACGTCTCGAACATGCAGCCTATCGCAATGTTTTCATAATGCTTTCTTCTTCTCAATTGCTTCAAAGCTAATTGATCCAGTATCGCATCTATGGCAGTTGCAACAAGAAAATGATCGAGCTTGCCTCAAGCGACCAGGAGACTGATTGGATCTACGGGGATCTCACCACTCATCATATTCCCGCTGTGGACGGTTCGACCCTGACCGCAACATCCGCAAATACTGCTGCGGGGGATCTCATTCGGGTCTACGCCAACGTGACAGATACGGATGCAGATTGCTCTGTTTACTACTACAATGATACAACAGGCGACTGGTCTTTTGATGGTGATATCTCGATCATAGATCCTGGTGATTGATCCTACTGAATCATTGGCTGGACTTCCTTGACTGCAGGGAGATGTCTCGGTATAGGTTTTATTTCATGTGGCTTACTGCCACTATCAAAAAAGTGACAGTTTTTGATTGAGCTTTCGTGGTTTCCTAAATATGTGTCTTGTACGACATTGCCCCTGTTACGTAACAACTCTTCAACTATCATATGCCAAAAGTTGCCAATGTGATCTCTTCTATATTGATTTGCACCATCTCTTACATTCTTTCAGTCCTCTAACCGTGTTGCTATTCTACAGTTACACCCCACCCAGGCTGAATAATTCCCCCTTTAAACACCGTAATGTCCGCCGGGTGGCCATATCGTGACCGCCACTGATATCGTTCAGATGCTGACTCTACTCCAATGTTAATATAGAAATCAGTCAGTTTTGTGAACTACATACCTTACCGAGTGTCAAAAACGCAATACTGAGCTATATTCTAATCTTCTTGCACTACAAGTTTAAGCAGACAGTATTAACCGGGAGACTTCAGAAGTTCTGCGAAGAGACTCTACTCTATAGAGTATGTTTAAGGTGCCTGGTTGGCTGGTAGGCGAGGATCATGTGTTCTAATCATATTGGCTATTACTATTAGAATATTCTTCTTCTTCTTTTTAGCCATAGCCTAAATAGTAAATATAATTGATATTTTTATTCATATAAAAGTAACAGGTCGTCATCTACTTGACACACAGCTTAGCACGTGGTGATCGCAGGAAATATGGTTGCCTGAAGGGAGAGAACGGCTCCTCTACTCCATACAGAATAGGGTTAAGTACATTTCCCACTGATGATGATTTGTAATCAACAGTGAATTGGGATCCCAAAGATACGCTCCGCACGAATCACAGCCCTCCCATGTGTCCCCGCCAGCGCCAAGGAGTGGCACTGGCCCGTGGCCATAAAGCCGAAACCTTCCGAGCCCCTCTGCAGTTACGTACATCACCTGAACCCCCCCGCCTGACCCCAGACCACCACCACAGTGCAGTGTCCACGCATGTCCATAACCACAACCGACCCACCCGCAGACCTCAGCGACACTGAGAGCCCCTCGCACGAGGCGGCCAAAAAGGAGCGACGTAGGGGTCAAAACCGACGGAACCAACGCGCCTGGCGTAAGCAGCCTACGGGCCTGACATTCCCGTCCACTCATGCTTATGCTGCTTAGGGGAACGGCAGCGGATTCGACGCCAGATCGACAATCTCGCGGCGGACCACGCCCTGCCGGAGTCTGACGACCTCGCGACCTTTCTGGCCCTAACGGACCCGACGACGCAGAATCCGCTCCCCGATCTGCGCATCCTCGCCCAGCTCTCCCAGGAAGCAGGCCAACTCAACGGCCCAATCACAATCAACGGCTGCGTGCTCGCCCACTCGCGCATCTATCGACTCTTACCTGTCTTCGAGGCAGCCGCGCACCAGAGCTATCGCGGAAACCCGCAGGCCGATCACCTCCTGACGGTCGCCAAACTGAATGTCTTCCGGGCCTTTGTCCGGAACATCACCGTGCTGGGCTACACCCGGGAATGGATGACCGATGATGCCCTGTCCCGGTTCAGTATCCATGGACCGCACCCGACGAATCCAGTCGGGACGAGTCTCCCCTCCAGTTTACGTCCGACGGAGATGCAACGAAGTGAGCTGCATCATCCGTGGTTGGACTTTTTCCCATTCGCGCGGCTACGCGATAATCTGATTCGGTATCAGGATTGTATGGATGAGAGCCGGTTCTGTCAAGATCTGATGGGGTTTTGGACGATGCCGACGGAGGAGAATTGTGTGCTGGTGTGGGGGAATCCGTGGGATCCGATGAATTGGGAGATTACGGAGGCGTTTTTGCGCAAGTGGGGGGGTTTGGTGAAGGGGTGTCCGGAGATTCTGTGGTCGACGAATTATTGGCGACGGTTGAGGGGGGAGAAGCGGTTGGTGTGGAGGGCGTCGTTTGATACGGTACAGTGATGATACAGTGATGCTAGATACAGGTGCCAGAAGTATAAATGTGTCATCAACATTGCCTGGTGTATAGGGCGGCGTTATGTAACTTAACAGTATGAGTACTGAAGACACTGTATAGCGCTCACATGCGCATTCATCGAACATTACATCCAGTCTCTACACTACGAAGATCGATGGAATCTCTTCACCACTACACACGTCTCATGAAAGACTATGATTAAGTTCCCCGATATATCCGCACTGCTGACCATCTAGACCGGTTCGATTACGCGCTAAGAGTGGATCCGTCCACCGATCTCATTGATGACCGATAATGGTGGCGCCGGGAATAACATACTTTAATCCTTATCTCCTATGCAAAATCATATATCTATGCCTCGCAGCCGTATTCAACACCCCATTCAACAACAATCTCATTCCATCCTATCTTATTCAACACTGCAAACAATGCCCCCCCAAGTCTGGCTCATCACCGGCGCATCCTCCGGCTTCGGAGCGCTTCTTGCCGAAAAAGCCCTCCAAGCCGGTCATGACGTCATTGCGACCGCGCGCAACCCGACCAAGGCAGCGCAGGATTATCCTCAGATTGCGTCGTTGGGTGGAAAGTGGTTGCAGTTAGATGTGACGAGCAAGGAGACGAAGGCGCAAGTTGAGAAAGCGATCACGGACAACGGGGGGAAGATTGATGTGGTGATCAATAACGCGGGATATGGTCTGCTGGGCGGTATTGAGGATATTAGGTATGATTGATTTCATCGTGCTGAAAAGGGGAGACTAAATGTGTGTGTAGTGAGGATGAACTGGATACCCAATTCCAGACGAATGTCTACGGCGTGGTGCGAGTCATTAAGGCGGTGTTGCCCTTTATGAGGGCGCAACGGAGCGGCACTATCGTCAATGTGAGTAGTATTGCCGGCTTTGCGGCAGGTCCGTCGGGTGCGGCGTATTCCATGTCCAAGTTTGCCGTGGAAGGTATGTTCCATCGTCCTTAGTCTCTCAAAGCAAAGCGTTAACATGGTATGCTAATTACAGCCCTCTCCGAATCCCTCTTCGCCGAACTCAAACCCTTCAACATCCGCGTCCTGCTCGTCGAACCCGGCGCCTTCCGGACCAAATTCATCGGCTCGCACAAGTTCCCTGCCGCCGGACTCACCAAGGACTACGAGGGGACGCCGTTGGCAGCAGCTCTTGGCTTCTTTGATACCTTTGCGGGCAACCAGCCGGGGGATCCGGTTAAGGCGGTGCAGCGGATTCTAGATGTGGTTCAGGGGCAGGGTATGGGACAGGGTAAGGAACATTTGCTGCGGTTGCCGTTGGGGACGGATTGTTTTCCGCGCATGTTGGCCAAGTTGGATGCTGTGAAGCAGGATTTGGAGGAGATTAAGGAGGTTGCGTTGAGTACGGCGGTTGATGAGTAGGATGGAAATTTGTTAGGTAGAAGCACTAGGATGAGGTAATTCGAGTATTGTTGGGGTATCCATATATGACTATAGGGGTGGAAAGGGCTTCCTATCTTAGCTATACTTGAGCCATGTTGGACGTGGCTAACTGAATGAGCCTTTATTGGTGTCTTATGGGTAATCTTGAACCATAAGGTGAGTGGGTGATTTGGGAGATGTTATGAAAGATATACATAAATAGGTAAATAAGTCCTAATAATTATATAAAATTATGTGAATTTACATAAGATATTTAGTTTATTTATACATTACTCTGATTCTGTTCAAAATCTTCATCCTTAGAAATAACTTTATAGTGATCTAGCCAGTGTACAACCGAGCGCAAACTTCAATCCAGTAGCCAGATCGAGCTGAGGTACAATTTGTCTTTGGAATTATCCTTACTCTAACTGACACGAGCGAGATCGGCATCCGGGTTCATAAGGTAGTAAATCGTTCTGGACCACGTGACGTATGCAATATTACAGACCAATGGGCTAGTCAGGGCCTTTAACGTACCTTAATCTCTCCTAGCCAATCGGGCAATGGATACTGCTAAATGACGGTCGGAATGAGGACAGCGATTATCGCTGGAACAAGTCCAGTAGTCAGGCTTTGATAAGAAAAATATAATCCATCTCTTGTCTTCTTCTGTGCTGGCTTCCCGTTTATGTAGTCAGGGCTGGTGTCAGTCCGAACTAGCTACCTAACCAGGCTAGCGTGGGACTCTTTTTCAGCCCCTATTGCAGATGAATTCGAAGCGAAGCACTTGCGACTAGTCGACTCACCGCTCAACCTGTCCAAACTGGTTGCCTGGGATGGTTTAGTGTCGAGCCTTAGTAGTATTTTGCGGGTATTTGGTTGGTTGCCGTGCATGACTTTTGGCCCCCATGCGGAACCAAACACTTACGAATTTTGGTGGGGCGGAGCAATGGCTATCACGCTAGCCGCCGGATTATAACAGCAACACCCCCCGTGATGTGTCAGAAAGCCACCTCTGCGAACTGGTTTCCCTTTTCGGAATGAGAGCATCATGGCCGGGGGATACAGAGGAAAAATCAGTCTGGGGTGTGCACTGTGCCGCCAGCGACGGGTGCGAGTAAGTGGGCCCCATCAGACATGAAACCTCGAGAAAGAAAGCTTGGCCAACCGTAGGCAGTGCGACCGACGTCAGCCCTCTTGTTCACAGTGTCTGCGAGTGAATCAGGAGTGTTTCGGATATCGAAATCCGGATACCCTGAGGGTGTATGATCAGAGCGCGGAAGTTGCGTCCAAGGCTCAAGCTCGATATCGTGCCAGTCGCCAGTTGCCTGCGGAAGCGTCTACGTCCTTGGTCTATTCACCCGTCTCTGATGACCAGCGAGCCATGTTTTATTGCATCCCATACTATATTGGCACGGACCAGCATCGGGGCTTACTGCGCTTCCTGCCCAGCCTGTTGGAGAAGGACCCCTCGCCGGCGTTAAGCGCCTCCGTCAAGGCGGTAGGGCTGTTAGGCATGGCGAGGATGTCCCACGGGAAATATCGAGCCCGGGAAGCATATAGTATTGCCCTGTGTGCGACTAATAGTGCCCTAAGAGATCCGACCACAGCCACATCGGATGCCACCCTGGGCGCTGTGCTATTGCTGAGCTTGTATGAGGTGATCCTCCCGTATCAGCTGCAATCCGCCTCCTCCACGCAACATGCACTGATCCATCTCAGCTGATCACATCACGACCCTCGGAAATGGGCCGTGGCTGGAAGGACCATGCTCAAGGAGCAGCCAAACTCCTGGAACTGCGAGGGGAAGAGCAATTGAACTCGCCGGTTGGACTAGAGTTATTCACCATTGTGCGCTTTCAGAATGTGAGTTTTCATCGACGGGAGGGGTATACTACTTGCTCATGCAATGGCAGGTAATCAGCAGTGTCTTCTTCCGACTGGGGTCTCGGATTCACAATTCCCCCACGATAGCAGCGTTGTCGCAAGTTGCCAGATCGAAACGAGATGAACATGTCCGGCCCATCGAAACCCTCTACAACATGCTCATCGAGCTGAACGATATCGCCATCGCAGTGGATGCGGCACACCTCCAAAATGACCTCGAGACGCAACAGTGGTTGATTGAGCGATGCCTGCTCCTGGATGCGCGTCTCCAGGCGTGGACGACCTGGCTGAGTCCCGCGTGGTCGTACAAAGTCATCGATGACCCGCGGGCCCATTTGCCCAAATGCACCTATCCTCCGATCTACCATAACCGATATCATATATACTCCGGTGTCTCCATCGCCACCATGTGGAATAACTATCGCCAGACGCGCATCGTCCTCAACGAGATGATCCGGCTGATGGCCCTGCGCCGGTGGAGGCTCCAAGATCTGCCACAGTATCAGCCGATCGTCGCTCAGGCTGCGGGCATTATCGAGCACATGGCCGGGGAGATTTGTGACAGTATTCCATATTACTTCATCTCCGGCGAAGTCGGCTTTGGCAGCCTCTACCGGGTGCTGTGGCCGCTCTTCATTGCCGGCCGATGCGCCGCCGCAGCATCCCCGGCCAAAGCATGGGCCACGCAGATTCTCGACCTCATTGGGAACATGACGGGGATTCAGCAGGCCATCGGCATGGCGCAGCTACTCAAGCAGGGGAAACCCGCTAGCGTGATTCCCGGAGGGGATCTAGTGACCGAGTCTATCTTTCACAGGCAGCCCGGTTGTCAAGGCAGTGACTGAACTTGTCCGAAATGGGTCCACTCAATAAATAATGAATATGAACAGTATAGTCAGCTCTAGCTTCGCTGCATAGGATCTAAGCGAGATGATGTAAATCCGGGCCCCCACTTATCATGATGAGGCTTAACGATGTCAGCTCCCAGCTCAGCCTCTGGATCTGCCGAGTTACGGGCTGCATCGAGTCTAGGGCGCCATGTGGATCCAAAATACCGAGTTGATTGCCGAGTCTAGTTTAGTGCACCAGCACCCACGCTTTGGGCCCTAAGAAGATCCGAGTTGTATACCCATTCGAGAGATGTACCCGACAATACCCCAACGCGGCTGTACCTGACTTCACCCTGGGTTGGGAGATAAATAGCTCGGCCTTTCCAGGGAATCAGATACATACTCAGCACTTGACATCGCTATTCTGTGGATCAAAGCAACGGCCATGAAGACCTCGGTACTCCTGGGCTGGATGTCCCTGAACATCATCAACTGTAAGTTACAAAGACTGAATACCACGGCTGCATACCAGCTCACGAGGTGAATCGAGTTACCAATGCTGCAGCCGTCTCCCACCCAAAGGACTTCGCTTCCCGAGCTGTGAATCATGTCCAATCTCGTGCCCTCCCAGATGCACCCGACGGCTATGCTCCCGTGCATGTCACCTGTCCATCCAGCCGGCCGACCATTCGGTCTGCCTCCGCACTGTCCTCCCATGAGACCGCATGGCTCGAAGCTCGCCGTCAGAAGACCGAATCCGCCCTGAAGGACTTCTTCGGGCATATCGAGATTAAGGACTTTGATGCGGTGAGCTACCTCGCGAACCACTCGGGCAGCGACTTGCCCAATGTCGCCATTGGCATCTCGGGGGGTGGTCTGGTGGCGTGTCTGAATGGCGGCGGTGCGATCAAGGCCTTCGATAACCGCACCGAAGGATCCACCGCCAAAGGTCAACTGGGTGGTCTGCTGCAGTCAGCCACCTATTTCGCCGCCCTCAGTGGTGGCTCCTGGGCTCTCGGCTCCATTTACATCAACAACTTCACCACCGTCTCGAATCTCCAGGAGAACCTGTGGGATTTCAACTCGGAGGAGATTATCTTTGGTCCCGCTGGGATGTCGTATACTGATTTCTGGGGCAATATCTCCTCCCAAGTCAAGAGCAAGCGGGATGCGGGATTCAAGACGGGGGACGCCGACTTCTGGTAAGCTAAATCGTTCCGGGGCCGAGACAGAGTTATTGACCGATGTTCCAAGGGGCCGGATCCAGGGCTACAACTTCTTCAATGCCAGCCACGGTGGGGTCGACTACACCTGGTCCTCCATCGCCAAAACCCCGTCCTTCCAGAGTGGTGATATGCCGATGCCGCTGGTCGTCATGACGGGCAACCAAGCAAGCACCGAGACGCTGTCCAGCTCCCCGGCCACCTATCCCATCTACGAGACGACGCCGTGGGAGTGGGGTACCTACGACGACGACATCTACGGCTTCGCCCCCTTGGAGTATCTGGGCACTCGTTTCGTCGACGGAGTCGTGCCGGACAATGAAACCTGCGTCCGGGGCTTCGACAATGCGGGCTTCATCACCGGCTCGTCCAGCGACATTTGGAACGAGAACGGGCGCGATATCAAGTACTATCTCGAGTACGCTCTCGACGAATACGAAGCCGCCGCGCCCAACTCCTCCACCGTGACTTTCCTGAAAGCCGCCATCGCGGACTTCGACAACGCCGCCAGCTCCACCAACTCCAGCGTCAGCGGGCCCGCCGCCTACGACCCCAATCCCTTCTACCACTACCACACGTCCACCTCGCCCTACGCACAAACCACCAACCTGATCGTCCAAGACGGCGGCGAAACCAGCCAAAACATCCCCCTCTACCCACTCATCCAGCAAAAGCGCCACGTCGACGTGATCTTCGCCGTCGACTCCCTGGGCTCCGCCTCCTACGACTACTGGCCCACCGGCTCCTCCCTGATCGCCACCTACAACCGCACCCTCCTCGACATCGCCAACGACACCTCTTTCCCGGCCGTCCCGGACCTGGACACCTTCCTCAACCTCGGCCTCAACGCCCGCCCGACCTTCTTCGGCTGCAACGCCTCGCAGCTCACCACCCCGACTCCCCTGGTCGTCTACCTCCCCAACCACCCCATCACCTACAGCTCGAACTACTCACTCACCGAGGGTCAATTCAACGACACCCAGCGGGATGCCATCATCACTAACGGCTACAACGTCGCCACGCAGGCCAACGGCACCCTGGATGCCGACTGGTCCACGTGCGTCGGGTGTGCCGTGCTCAGTCGCTCGTTGCATCGCACCGGCACGGCCACCCCGGAGGCCTGCACCAAGTGTTTCCAGCGGTACTGCTGGAACGGGACCATCGATGACCAGACCCCGACGGCGTATGAGCCCACGGCATCTCTGAGCGCTGTTGCGGCGGCGTCAGCCACCACAGCTTCCAGCATGGGGACTTCGCTGCGGGTGGGGGTGGCAGCTTCGGCGGCGCTGGTGGTTCCCCTATTGGCGGGACTGTACACAGCTTGAGATACCGATGGAGAGATTTGAGCTGCGCTTTGCTCCTTCACGTGATGCTTTTGTACTGTTTCTTGTTTTCTTTTATATTATAATTTATCATACTGCGTGAGATTTCATCCTCTGGAGACCCCACCCGCTTGATCTTAGGATTCCACCGAGAGTAGTCCATAGAACCTCTCTCCCACCAGTCCTATCCAACCCCCAAGAAACACGACATTTATATCATTAATGATACCAGATTGCAATCCAGGACGATTCACAACAAAATATCCAAACCACACCCGCAAGGCAGAAAATCACCACGACACGATTACATAAAACTATACAGTTGGCGAAAAACCCAACCCAACTTTGAAATACGATATTATGTTTTGATGATATATTTTGGACGTTGTTTTGGATGTGGTCAGACTGTTCAAAGATATTTTCAACGAATTCGTACTGTCTTCTCCCAATCACCATGTCCAGAGAATCAGATACGGGTCATGCAGACCCAAGTAGATATTTGAGTCCATTCCAGGCATAGCAATCTTAGCGTAGTTTACTACCCCATCATCTCCGTTACTACTATAGACCTGGGCTGCTGAATCTCATATCATTACTTGAACAGCAAGCGGTAGTTAGTGCCGGTAATAAATTTAGTCCCACCGCTGTGGGGCATTCGCCACCGCACCCGCCCCAGCAGGCAGCAGCAGCTTGATTATCTCGCGCATCCCTTGTCAGCCGGCTGCAGACAGACATTGCCCTTTCTTCATTACAAGATGACATCGCAGACCCCCAATCAGTCATTGCCAAACGCAGCCGCAAGTCAGCGATCAGGGCCAGCTGACAAGCGGATCCGTCTCCAGCAATTCTCGGAGCGAATCGCCGCATGGCCGGAGGATGATTGGTCGGGGATTTCGGACTCGAAACAGCGGAGGAGGTTGCAGAATCGGGTGAATCAGAGGGCGCGACGTGGGTGCCGATTTTACTATGGCTTAATTTTGGTGGTGGTGGTATCAGGCTGATAAGCATAGGGTTGCGGAAGAAGCTCGAGGCGGTCACATCTAGGGATGAATCTAGCAACCGTGGGGGCCGTTCATCTGCAGAGGTAGACGATCAGTCAAGAGTGTCGGCTACTGTCGAAAATGAGATGCCCGTTCCGAGGGTACACTCCGAGATAGACCGCACGCCAGCCCCCCTGGCCGCCATCAAACAAGTCCACATCCTGAACCCCGACTCAACCCACACCCAAACCATCCTCCACCAGTTCGAAGACCTCGTCCGGGCCGAATACATGCATTCTTCCCCCCGCACCGACATGCTCCTCCACCTGATCGAATTCAACTTCATCAAAGCGCTGATCCAGAATCTACGGCTCTTCGACCTCACCTCGGAGCAATTACACGACGATGCCATCTCGCCATTCAATGTGGCCGGCCCCTGGCCGCATGACTTTGAGGCGTCTCTGCCGCTCAGTCTCCGCGCGACAGTCGTCCAGCGCACGGTGTCGCATCACCCGTGGCTGGACCTGCTGCCAGATGCCCAAATGCGAGATAATCTGATTCGTGCCGGCGAATCGTACGATGAAACCCAGCTGTGTCTGGATATGAAAGGACATGGGATCATCGTGTGGAGGGATCCGTGGGATGCGTCCGGCTGGGAGATCAGCGAATCGTTTGCGCGCTCCTGGGGATGGGTGCTACGCGGGTGTTGGGATCTGGCTCGGTCGACGAATTATTGGCGGGCACGACGGAATGAGAAGCCTCTGTTTCGATGTTGTACCTAGTTGGCTGTAGGATATGATGGATTCTTTTTTTAGCATAAGGATAACTTCCGCTGCTTTCCGGTGTTAATGCCTCATTCATGGTTCATAGTTTATTAAGTGGGGATGATATTTTTCACCACCAAATGCTGATGAAAACAGGGTCTGGTTCACGAATCAGATGCCGCGTGTCATCATCCTGCAGATGGCCATGTGGGGGGCTTCTGAGGTGGATCCGTCAGCACCTTTACTCAAATTCCCGCTTCTCACCAATGAAATCACAGATAGGCTGCTGCAGACGGAATTAACGGGGATACAGTGGCGATGGCCGAGCTGGCACGGACAAGTGCTCCCTATTCCTAAAGCCGTCATACCATCCCTATGATCCACGAATCAAACGCAAGGTGTCATCATTGCCGCCCTGAATACCTGATGACATCAGTCTGAAGCAGCAAAGGCAGTGGGACTGCCCGTATCCATATCTCCATAGTCTGGATGTAACGGAGATATGTCTATCCCCGCCATCCATGGCATATATGTAGCCCCTCTCCCAGTATTATCGAGTATTCAACATTGTAACCACTCCACTAGTTCTCATCATGTCCCACTTCGCTGTCGCCCCCAAGCCCGCCAGCCTGCTCGGCTACCACCGCGTGTTGGCTCCCGCTGCCGGTATCAAGGTCTCGCCGCTATGTCTGGGGGCCATGAACTTTGGGAACACCTGGTATGATTCCCCCCCCCCCTTTAAGTGACGATAGCATACTGACTAGTGTTGGCATGCAGGAAAGAGTTCATGGGCGAATGCGACAAGGAGCAATCCTTTGCCCTAATGGATAAATTCTTCCAGCTAGGCGGTAACTTCATCGATACGTAGGTTCCCCCCTCCTTTCTCCTTCATATCGAGTGCACTGACAAGCACCAGCTCCAACAACTACCAACAAGAAGAATCCGAGCAATGGATCGGCGAATGGATGACCGCCCGGGGGAACCGGGACCAGATGGTGTACGTTTCCCCCCTCCGCCTCTCAACCACAACCAAAATAATAACTTGACTTTTGATCATAGGATCGCCACCAAATACACCACCGGCTTCCGCACCTCCCACCGGGCCACCGAACCCCTCCAATCCAACTTCGTCGGCAACTCCCTCAAAAGCATGCGGATCTCCGTCGACCGGAGCCTCCAAAAACTCCAAACCGACTACATCGACCTCCTCTACGTCCACTGGTGGGACTTCACCACCTCCGTCGAAGAAGTCATGCACGGTCTCAACAATCTCATCACCTCCGGCAAGGTACTGTATCTCGGGGTGTCGGATACCCCGGCGTGGGTGGTGGTCAAGGCGAATGATTACGCGCGGGCGCATGGACTGCGGCCGTTCTCGGTGTATCAGGGACGATGGAATGCCGGGTTTCGGGACCTCGAGAGGGAGATTATTCCCATGTGTCGGGATCAGGGGATGGCGATTGCGCCGTGGGCGCCGCTCGGACAGGGGAAGTTTAAGTCGGCGGAGGCGAGGAGGAGTGAGGAGGTGGGGAGTATGCGGGGGTCGAGTTTGACGGAGACGGATGTGAAGGTGTCGGATGCGTTGGAGAAGGTAGCCAAGCGGAAGGGGACGACGTTGCATGCGGTGGTAAGTTCCTTCCTTCCTGAGGTCTTTGTTGATGGTGGCTAATGAGGGGGATAGGCCCTGGCGTATGTGATGCACAAAACACCCAATGTGTTCCCGATTATCGGGCAGCGCAAGGTGGAACATCTTCAGGCCAATGTGGAGGCCTTGAGCGTGAGATTGTCCGACGAGGACTTGGATGAAATTGATAACGCATCGTCGTTTGATGTTGGGTTTCCCATGAACTTCATGTTCCGGGATAATTACTCGTCCCGGAACACGGCGGCGGATGTCTGGTTGACCAAGGCGTCAGCCCTGATTGATGTGCCGGCTCATCCGGCGCCGGTGCAGCCTCGTCAGGAATGATTCAGTGGGTAGTGTATAGAGGATGAAGTTACTACTCATATACATCAAATCGCACTAAATAATCTATATACCGAACTCCAACCAGCCATACGACCTGATGATAAAAGACGATCAATACAGTCGATTCCATCAACAAGCAGCAGCAGTCAGCGACTTGGAAGGCCCACCGCTGACGTAGCTGAGCGAGGGCAAAGTGACTGACTCCATACAGAATACTAGACACCTCATCTCATAACACCAGGATCCATCTTCATATGCATCATGCGCAAGCTTCTCCCCGGAACCTTATGATAATGCTAATTTATTCGCCACTAAAGCCGAGGCTTATCGGACTCCACCTGCCCTGGACCCACCCTTAGCGCGTAATCATTCCAATTCCATAAGAGTACAGACATGAGCTAGTAAGCAGTTCAATTCAACTGAAGTATATAATCCATCAGCAACGACACGTCTCCTTCCTCCTCACATACCCAATACCCTCATCGCATTACCCAGCAACACCACAATGAAAGCCATCTTCGGAGCCATGAACATCGGCGAGCCCGGTAATACCACCACCCCTCCCTCTCCCAAAGCATCCACATCCTAACTCCACCAGGCGACGGGCGTACGAGAGTCCACACCCTCCCCCAAGCCCGCAAAATGATCCAAGTCTTCCACTCCCACGGCCACACCACCATCGACACCGCCCGACTCTACGGCTTCGGCACCTCCGAAGAATTCCTCAGCCAGCTGAACCTCCCTGCCCTGTCATGCACCATCGACACCAAACTCTTCCCCACCGCCGTGAACCCCGCCCTCGCCTCCTCATCCCCGGAGAGCATCTACCACCACACGCCCGCGGACCTGCGTCGCGGTCTGATGGAGAGCTTAAAAGCACTGAACGTGAAAAAAATCAACACGTGGTACTTACACAGTCCCGACCGAACGGTGCCCTTCGAGGAGACGCTCCGGGAAGTGAACACCCTCTACCAAGAAGGATATTTCGACCGGTTAGGGCTAAGTAACTACCAATCCTGGGAAATCGCCAGCATCTGCGAGATCTGCGACCGGAACGGCTGGATCAAGCCCTCCGTCTGCCAAGGAATCTACAATGCGTTTCACCGCGCCGTGGAACCAGAGCTCCTCAAGTGTTTGAGGTATCACGGCATCTCGTTTTATTGCTTTAACCCCCTTGCCGCGGGGATGTTAACCTCTCGGTACTCGCGCGATAAACCCGACACGGTGACAGGTGGTCGCTTCGACCCTGCAACCCAGGCGGGAACATTCACGCGCAAGCGCTACTACCAGGAGGTATATTTCGATGCGTTGGAGGTGTTGAGGCCCGTGGCGGGCAAGTACGGGATTAGTGAGGTGGAGTGTGCGTTGCGGTGGTTGGTGCATCATTCGGAGCTGCGGGCGGAGTTGGGGGATGGGATTGTGATCGGGTCGAGTAGTGAGGGGCAGATGGAGGAGAATTTGGTCGCTATGGAGGGGGGGCCGTTGCCGGGGGAGGTCGTGGAGGCGTTGGATCGGGGGTATGAGATTGTGAGGGGGAATCAACTGATTTATTGGCATTGATTGATACCAGGATTATGGCTTGTGATGGGGTAGATAGATTGCATAGATTGTTATGACTTATGTGGTTTGATGCATGTAGTCTTGATATTTCTAACCGATGTAACTAGGCAAGGGAGGGAGGCTAGGGGCTTTTACATGGTAGTCTCGGAGGATGAATCTGGAATAGTCTGCGAGATTTACTTGATAGAAGATGAAGGGCTGATGGCTGTTATCGCTCCTTGGTGCCTTGGGCATAACCCAGCATCCTATGCCCAGCCCTGTAGATACCAAGGAGTTTATTATGTATTATTCCATCTGGACCGACCTGCCGATTCCGAAATTTCGTCCCACATAACTAAGCCAGCATTCCAAGCCGAGCTAAAGTATTGGTATGGTATGCCACCGACTAATCCCTAGTACTCACATTCTGCACTCTCAGATCTCCACCAAACATATCTCTCAATAAATATTAAGTAAATCGGGCCACAACAGCCCTCCTAGAAAGGAATAATTATACATCACCCACTCCCAACCACCTAGAATACATCACACCGCGCGAAGCAAGCATACCACCCAACCTCAGACGGACCCCCGCGCCAACCACCTCGCCTGCACCGACCCATTCCCCCTCCCCGGGCCCGCCTCCTCAAGATCAAACGCCCAAATCGCCTCATAACAATGCGTATCAACCTGCGCCTTCTGATTACTCGCCTGCGCATTATACGAGCTATTCCCGGGAAACAGGCTGATGATGTTATAAAAGTATGCCTGCCCCTATCATTAGCACTCAACTCACATTGGAAGTGAAAGAGAAGAAGGGTAGGGGAACATACATCAACCGCACTCTCCAACACGCGCACCTCCGCGGGCACCTTATACTTGCTCACGTGATCCAGAGACATCAGGGTACCCGCACTAGAGGCAAACGCATCCATGAGTTCGAGGAGCGATTGCACGAACTATCCTCATCTTAGCACTCCTTCATACAAGATTAATGGGATAGGGGGGAAGAGATTACGTTAGAATACCCCTCATACACAACCTGCTCTTGCGCCTCCTCCGTGATGACGGGGGTATTAGTGATGAAGCTGATGTCGGTGAGGACGACGGTCACGATGGTGTCGATTTCGGTGTAGACGTCCTATCCATTCTTCAACGTAAGATGATATACGCTGTGTGTGATGGGGTATCGGACGTACGCGCAGTGGACCCGCGTCGGAGGTGGAGTTGATCTCCAGGACGAGATCTTTGGCGGCGAAGCCCTGCTGGGCGAGTTCGTTCAGCGCATTGGCGATTTCAGTCGAGGTGAGAGAGGCGATTGCCCAGTGTGCGCAGAGGCAGAGGGCTATGACAAATGAGAAGATTTGGCGATGCATGATTATTAATGAGTGGGTAGATGGTTCAATTGTAAAGAATGGAATGTCAAAGAGTGAAATTACAATAATGAGCAAGGAGCAACTAAACGAGTGATGAGCGTGTTCTGAAAAGAGTGGCAGAACAACGCTCGGTGGATGCAAATGAGGGAGATGTTTGCCGGAGCAACAGCAACAGCAGCACTCGTATTGATATATCCTCGCACGGACCGGCGGGATTGAAATAATCCGTGCCTGACGGCTTACCCCGCTCCACTAGTCCGGAAGAGAGTAGCGCGTCTGCAGACGGTCGTGCCCCGTCCTATGGAGTCAAGGAGATACAAGTATGGCTGCCATCAACATTGTCTATATACCAGATATACATTATAAACAGGGCCTGTCTACATGGCCCATGCAGTAGATACAAACCGTAACCAACACCAGAAATGCCAAGAAACGCCAGCCACCATCAAGCTTTCGAACGCTGCTCCTTGCGATAGAAGAACAGGCACATCAAGGTTTCGAAAGCTGTTCCTTGCGATAGAAGAACAGGCACAGCACGTTGATGGACAGCATAAACAACAGACACACCCAAAAGTCGGCCTTCTCCAACCCGGCTCGGACGCCGGCGGAGAAATCGGGAAAAACATTCCCGGGCCCCAACTTGTCCGGGGCGGTGGCGCGCGCGAGGATAGTCGCTATTGATCCCACCACTTGCGCGGCCAGCAGCGTAAACGTGACATGAAAGCGAGTCATCGTGTTCAGAAGAATCATTCCAAATCCTGCTGCAAGTCAGATTATTTCCTCTGGTTATCCAGTATGCGAACTCACCGACACCCTGAAGGCTGTCCAAAACGCCCAGCCAGAGCCACAGTGCCCTCGCGAGGATGGCTCCCGCAACGGGACCACCGGCCCACGGGACGTACGTGCCAATGTTGGAGGTTGCCCACAGCATCTGGGCCCATCGAGGAGCCCCCAGACCGATCGCAAAGATCGGTATAAACCAGGCATGTCTTTTAGAAAAGACGTGAAAGACCCAGAGAGCTGCGGCCCAGACAACAATGAAGAACAACAGCACCAGGAGGATAATTTGCCACACCTTGGCATGCTTGCTAGACCAGAGATATAGCCAGTTCCGTCCGTACGGTGCGGACAGCCAGTAGTTGGATATAAAGACCATGTAGAAGAACCACTAAAGAGTCAGAGACAGATGCACAAATGCGTAGAGGACACCTACAAGAATGATCCGACGACGGAAGAGGGATAGGTAAAAGGTTGGCACTTGACCGGGCGCCTTTCGATAATACGCAGGGAGTCCGAAAAAGACGAGGCCGGCCAGCAGCCACAGCAGACAGGCCAGGCCAATTCCGATCCCGAGCAATGCCCGGGGGTTGGTCATGGTGAGGCTGAATTGGGTGCTCCCCTGCTGGTTGAGATTGGCCATCCAGCTGCCCCAGTACCACAGGAAACTGATGCATAGCTGCTGGCTGCCCTGGATCACGGTGGCTCGGTATATCCATGAGCTAAGGGGCGCTCCACCTAGAAGATGTCAGACGAGTTCCACATGCCTCAAACAGCACGTACCTTCATCTCCAAAGTTGAGGGCGAAGAAAATCGAGCCACTTGACGACGCGATCGAATAGAACCCGGTACCCACATTCTGCAGCCATTCTTGACTCGTGCTGTTGTGGATAGGACCGGCGAGCCCGACAAATAGAAAGGCAAACCCGTACATCTGCAGCCGTTAGATTCAGCTCAGCACATGATGGCATGACGTACCAAGAAAGGTAAGGTCAACACATAGACGGATGGCACAAGACGAAAAACCATCCACCATCCGATCGAAGAGGCAAGATAGATGGACGCCAGAATGTATAGCTTTTCTGCCGTCTCTCCGACCTGGCCGTTCAAGAGCGTAATCTGGTACGAGTTCAAGGCAAGAATTTGGCCCTAAATATGTTAGTGGCTGACGGATGTTCTCGCAAGGTGACTCACAATAGCCAGGACGATGGAATACACCGGCCACTCCCCCAGCTTCATCAACATGAACCGCTTCAACCCCGTCGGAGGAACATAGTCCTTCGGGAGGAGGAATTGCCCAGCGTTTGGGTCAACAGGAGCAGCCGCCGCCGGGGTCGGCGGTCGACTGGTGTCATGGATCTTGAAACGAAAGACCGAAGGGGACGGAGACGGAAGAGGCGACTTGCCCAGTTTGACGTCGCGGTATCGATTGAACCAGTCTTTCTCACTCTTCTCGATAAACAACTCGATGCACAGTTGGTCTTCCGAGTTCTTGCCATTCAGATCCGCCAGCTTCTTGGCAAACTTGTCGGCGTACTCATGATTGGCATCCGTGAAGAATGGACTGACCTTCTGCAGGTTGTAGTCTTCCTTTTCCCGGATAATATCTTCGACGCTGACCAGACTCATCATGAACGGGCTGAGGTTTCTTCGACCCAGCAAGCCATCTTCTGGCCCTGGCCCGAGAGAAGGGGTGCTCGCTCCCGAGTTATTGAAATGAGGAGTATTGGCAGCCCCGGACGGCGACAGGGCCGAGGGTGGGCGGTCACTAGAGTCGTCCTGGGTGACCCCTGGCGTGTGCTCGAAATCTTCCCCGTCGGGGGTGAAAGTGTAAATGACTCGCGGTCCGACACGATGGGCGGATGACAAGGGTCTGCGTGGGGACTCCATGTCAGTATCGGGGTCGTGGGATATGCTCAGGCTGGAGGGTAGATTTGCCGGCAGCGAGGGAACGCGGCCATGGCCGGGTCGAGTTCCGGGTCTCGAATCCACTGGAATCGGCCTGCGAGGCGAGCCCGAGATGGTGGGGCTGCGCGATCGGCTATGTTCGCGGCTGTTGTTTGAGCTGGACGAGAAGCGGACGTTGGGCATGATGTCGGGAACCAGGGTGCTGCTACCGGAAAACCTCCAGGAGCTGCGGTCGTGGCGCTTCGAGTATTTCGCGTGCTTCTCGATCGAGGTGGTTTGAAGGATCCCAAGATCCTCAACCCACTGCGCGACAGGGAAGCGCTGCTTGCCGGATCGTGCGCGCATCATCGCTCGGGTCTCATGAGATGACCTCAGAGCGTCATTGATGGCCGATTTGAACTGGTGAGTGAGGTGCTTGGTGGTCATTGACTCACTGGAAACATTAGTCTCTGCATATCGTGCCATCGGAGAACTCACATCGTGTACCACCATCCTGGCATCTGCCCAAGGCCACCAACACTAGAACGGATTAGAATGGGATGGTTAAGCATGTCAAGTCAGCACTTACCGTGATCCCACGCCCAACGCCCCTTTCCGGCCAAATTCGACAGCCACCAGACCAAACGGTTCATCTCGCGAAGGAATCAAAGCGAATTCAGCGCCACTGAAAATGAATGGGGGCAGGGCGGTAAACTCTGGCTTGGAAAAGACGCGTTCGGGGTAGAGCTCCATCAGCCGGTTCAGTTTCATTGCGGCAAACCTTCCATAGAGATCGATGACTGGTCCAATGCACATCAACTGGACCTTGGGATGAGCATCAAGGATGGAGGGGAAAATGTCCGCAATCAAGTCAATGCCCTTTTGCATGGACCAGCGGCCCACAAACACAAACAGCTGCGCCTCTGGGTCAACTTTAAGTCCTGCCCATTCCTGCGCTTGTTTCTTGAGTGCGGCACGACTGGCTTCGAACTCTTCGTCAATAGTGACCTCCCCATTGTTGCTTGCGTTGTGATCCCACTCAGCCAGGTCGGATGGGTCCGGGTTTGGCAGAGCCCCGATGCTCTTGAGGCCCCAGAAAATGGGATATCTCGCGTACGATCTCTTACCGTACTTCTTCGAAACACCCACGGCACCGAATCCATTCTGGTGGATTTTCAGATAGTTGGCAGCGCAATGAAGGAGATTAAAAACATCACCAAACTGCACATACTTCTTCACCACTGGCTGGCTCAAGTTAAAAACCTTGCACACCTCTTGAACTTGCTGTGGGGTATGCATTGGCCATAGGCCTTGGAACTCAGCATTATGCAGAGACAGGCAGCATGGGATCGTCTGCGGTAGAAGATACAGCGGAGCGGCTGCGCCATGATAATCGTTGATGTGATAGAGGTCAATGGCCGGGAATCGCTTGATGGCTTCCGCAATGCATTGGTTCCAGGCTGAATAGAAGATGGCCGAATGCAGGTCATCCATCCGGGCTGGATACGGGTCCGATTTGGACTGCGCTCGGAACACGGGCGCGTCGAGCAAGACGTACGTGATATTGTGCAGCCGATGATACTGGACGTCAACTTGATACTTGTTCCCAAGAACGGTGACGACCATCGGTTCCTGGATATCGTCCTTGGGATACTCGACGCCTCCAACACAGGGAACCACCCAGATCAAGTCTTGATGAGTCAGGTGTTTGCCCATCAGCTGAGCCATCACACCCAGCCCACCGATCTTGATCTTGATGGCCCAATCTTCGATGTCGTATTCCATGGTAGCGATGAGTACGGTGCGCCGTTGGACGTTCACCGTGGCACCCACGACACTGGCACCGTGAGACAGGGTCGGGATCATGGAGGTTCGATCAAGTCCGGAATTTGCTTCCCGGTCATCTGCAGAGCGGGTCGCCTTGTGCAAGACACTCACGAATGGAGCGAAGGTTGACGTTTTCTCCGTGACGCCGATTTGGTTGAACTTGACCTTGTAGAACGCCTTGAGGTAAGTATAGACAGCGCCGACCGCGGTAGCGACCGGGATGACAGCGAGCAAGATAAAGAGGGCCAGCTGAACCCATCTCGATCCGGCGGGAACGGCGTAGACCCTCAGATCGCCGTCGTCCACGGTGAGTTTGAACGACAGATAAGGCGAAGGCGGCGGAATGGTCACGTTGAATACATTACTGAGCAGCGTGACGGGTGGAACCTGGTCCAGAACGTTGTCGCCATCGATATCCCCAAACACCTGAGTTTGATCGGGCAGACCGTCTTCGTTCATGCCCCAGGCATTGAATGCAACCTGGACGGGCCATTCGCCCATGAAGTTGATTTCCCACCGACCTGTGACGTTGCTAAGAGCCATTTGGTTCGAGTAGCCCGCATCGTAGCCATACTGATTGAAGTCGCCTTCAATGAAGAGGTTGGGAAAGCGCCGCGGCGGCTTGTATGCCCACTGGGCGTCTCCATGGAGCCAGTGATCACTACTTCCGGCCAGCTTGCTCCAGTATTGGGCGATGATGTGCTCTCCATCCCAGGCCTGTTTGGCGGTCCCGGTCCAGTTCTTGCCGGGGATCGAGGTATTGAAGCCGGTATATGTCATCCAGGCACTAAAGGTAGCTCCAAAATCCAGCGAGTAGCGCCACATGTCGGCACCGGGGGCGTGCGGCATCACGGACAAGGGCTCCGTGTCGGATGACGGGGTTTCGAACAGTAAAGTTCTACTGTAGTTGGCCAGCTGGGGCCAGACCATTGGATTGGTTGTCTCCCCAATACGGAAAAGAAAGTGGTCGACCGACTGCGATCAGTTAGAGTTGGATACTTTTGCATGGCCTTAAATGTACTCACGTTCGTGGATTGATTTCCTGTTGCAGTGGTCACATTGCTCACGGTGATTCTATGAATCCCTGGAAAGACATTGGACAAATTTGCCTCATAGCTGAAAACACTCGTCAATGCCCCTGGCCATGCCGCCACTTCCGTCTCGGCAATAGCTTTACAAGAGACCGAGGTCGTGTTCAGCTGAGCACTCTCGTCATTGAGCGCTGTGGACGTGACCGTCAACGAGTTGGTGATTTGATCGCAATCCATCTCTTGAGAAAATTCGAAGCCGATCCGTATGGTCTCCCCGTCAGTGCCGTTGGAGACAAGACGCGCATCATGCCCCGGGGTAAAACTCGTTATGTATGGGGAAGGCGACACGAACTTATCCTTCGGAACAAAGGCTTTGAACCCCCAAGCGGGCATGGTAAGGTTGGGATAGCACCCGTTAGGAAGCTCCGACCCTTCAAATCTGCGCGTGGTCAGCAACAGCAATATCAATAACACAGTGATCATACCCAAGCGTCATCGAGCTGTTGACCAGCGTATATTCGTCGAATGGGTGGAACAGGTTCTTCACTGTCGTCCCTGCGGGAAATGGCGAGATCAACGCGTCCTTGTCGCTGCAGTTGAATTGATGATTGACCGTTTTGTTATCATTTGCATACACGAGCCAGACACTCTGATTGCCCTGGCCTTGGCCGTCGAAATTCTGCAGATCCGCAAACCGCGACCTCATCACACTCCACATGCCTGTCTCGGTTGGTGTCCCATTGCTGCCTGGCAGGTAGATATCCACGGTCTGGTTGGACAATTGCTGCAGGTACCAGCCATCATTGAGAACTGGGTAGTTTTGGCGCATCTCGAACATCATCTTGATGAGACCACGCAGGGGGTGAGAAGGATCCCGGTGATCGAGGCTGACGGAATCGTCTCCACATCCGGTGAGGGCGCGTTCGAGCGGAAAGTCATAGTACTTGTCGGATCCCAGCTTGTAGCATCCGTGAAGCTGCCACGCTTGAGCAGATGACATGGGTCCGCGACCGAAGACTGAATAGTTAGAGTGGAGTTAATGCTAGGTGAGGACGTGGGATGCCATACTATAGTTATTGGCCTGATTGTCCAGAACATAGAAATCCTGTTCCTCGCCCCAGGAAAGAATAGGAACTCCCGGCATGAGTAGTGAAGCAATGTACAGTCCCAGATTCTGCTTGTGGGTGCCGTTCTTAATCGCAGGCCACCTGAAAACGTCCTGATTCGTGACGCCAAAGAGATGACGAGGATCGAACTTGCCGGTATTCGTGTTGACCATATCATTGGTCTGGACAAGTCCATTCCAGGTTTCGACGAAATTGACGGGCGGGTCACCTTCAGCGGCGTAGACGCCATCCAGACTGGATCCGACGTGTTACCTTTGCTCAGACGAAAGGGAGGGGAACTTACCCTAGAAACCGACTCAGGCCACGGTACAAGGTGTAGTGGAAGGCCGCCCCGTCCAACGCGGATTGCTCAGCAGGTCTCAAGAAGAGATCTTCGTCTGACTTGTCTGTCTTGTTGGTCATCATAAACGCTTCGGTGATGTTGGAGCTGGTTTGATTGGTCTGGCGACCGCGACCGATGTACAGCGAGCCAAAGGCATTCCCCGACACGATTTCTCCCGGAATATAGAAATTGTCTTTGCCCAGCTGCTGGGCGCATTCCCGCACGGACTCGGACCACTCGCCAAGATTGTCCAGGGTCACTTGCAGAGCTTTGTCCACACGGAATCCATCGATATCCAGCATGCTGATGGTCAGACACGAAAAGTGTTTGATCTTTGCCAGAACATCTGGCCGCCAGGTGCGCAAACGATCCTGCACGAATGCGAACTTGGCAATCTGCCCTTCCCATTCAGTGTAGTTTCCGAAGGCAGCCACTTCTCCGTACTATAGGGGTCAGCTGTAATCACTACAAAGGAAACTGGAGTTACCTGATCAATTTCGCTATTGCGGCATGAAGGGCCAAGGGTGGTGGTGGTCAAGCCGGTTCCGTCGTCATCCCAGAACCGAGGATACTCCCAGGGACATTCTGCCTCGATTTGATTTCCCGGCTGAAAGTCCCAGTACCGACGGTCATACTTCCATACATAGTCGTACTCATTGGGATTGATCGGCGCGGACCTGTTCAAGTAACCTTGGAAACCGACGAGGTCTCCCATTCTATCTCCAATCAGCATATGATCTCGATACCACAGATTGATCCCACATACGTTCCAAAGGTATTATCAAACAACACATACATCCCCCGCTGATGAGCCTCGGATATCATTGTGCGCCAGTCCTCGATCGTTCCGTAGTGATGGTCCATCAGAGTCAGGTCAAGCGGGGAGTACCCATCGGCACCCCAAGGAAAGTTGATGTATGGTGTTCCGGCAAGATAGAGACCCTAGGCTTCGTCAATGTGTATGTCCAGTAACCCCCGCCAGCCACTCACCTTAATCCCCATGCCCTGCAGGTAATCAAAGGTATCCATCAAACCAAGCGCATCGCCACCATGGCGGAACTGGTTGGAGGTCAGGATGTGTTCCCACTGCGTTCCGTTTGCATCGTCGTTACTGGGGTCGCCATTGACGAATCTATCGAGGAAGATTGTGTAAAAAGGGAACCGCCAGTTCTCTGGGGAGGGGTGATACGAGTGGCCATCCCACTGACCCGCGTAGTCCAGGGGATCTGTCGCGGTCTGATTTTGATTGAGATTCCAGTTTACCTGGTCCGGAAGGTGTGGCAGGGATTGTGCAAGGTGGGAGGATAGTGCAACGAGGGACAGGAAACGAGTGATGGGAGTGAACAGCTTCATCCCGCAAGGTGAATGCCACTACTGTGACATCCACAAAGCACGCTGGTTGAGCCGCAACTGCGAAAACGGAGGCACGAATTTCAAACAAACAACGACCACCACAACGACACAGTGCATAACAGAATGAAGGGGGATTTCTTGGACACAGAGATGGCGGACAGATTCATTGGGCACAGATGGGCAAAGAGAACCATGTCCAAGATAACGCAATCCACCGCAGCGCATCGATGCAGTGGCCGTGAGTGAGGCGGTCGCGCACTACTAAATTTGGACGATGAGTCTGGGACTGAGACACGCTATTTGGTGGACCTCCAGCGAGTGTTATCCCGCCCAGTCCGTCTGGTTGAAAGCAAATTCAGCTTTAAGACCACCCCGCCACATTGCTCGGGCCTCAACAGCAGGTTCCAGGCCTGCGCCGGAAGCCTCATGTCTCATACGCGGCGGATCTGACATGCATCGAAGTCCTAAGGTCCTTCGTATCCCAAGTGGGTCTGGAGTCGGGCTTCTCCGGACAGCTCACACCCGGCGAACACCCATATGTTGGGGGGGGAGGGGGGAGGGGGCAGAATGATCCACTCGAGATCGGGGTGAACAGCCTCATCTGTCGATGGTGGCTTCAACATGGCGGAGGCTATGATGGTGTTCGTCCAGCAGTTCGGAGGATAGCTGCAGGGGTGTGAGTTATCTAATTCCACGGGAAATCGGAAGTGAACCATCGATCAGCGTGGACGATATGCCCGATCGGCTAGCCCGCTCTCAGTAAGTTCCGTGGATCCATACGGGCTGTTGGGACACGTCATGGCTTGCTAGCCTGCTTGTGGTGAGCCGTTCCAGGCAAGCGAAGCGAGCCAAGCGAAACGGTGGGAGGATGAAATGCGAGCAGAAGCAAAGATAAGGAAGGGGTCCGAAGGGTCCGTGGGCGGTGGGCATAGCGGTCGCTTTTAAGGTTTAGCTGTCAGACCAGCAAAACCCGCCGATCGGGCAGGAACAGCGGAACCGCGGTGAACTTTCAGCAATTCTGTGAGAACCGGCTGTCGATCAGGACCCGTCCGTGACCGTACCATACATACCCCGTCCCGTATGTATCCGGGTGGTCGCTCCGGTCGTCTATGTCGCATATATGACAGGGCCAAATTCATTCAAGTCGAACACGGCGAGCTTGACTCTACCAGTGCACTTGTCTCACTCCTTACTTGCAAACCGGGTCATGCAAACGCCACCGACTATGCGTGAGTGGTGGATGGTGCTGTTGGTAGCGGCGACGGTCCAGGCGGCTTCCCGAGACCAATGGATCGGTCGGTCGGTCTACCAAATCGTGACCGATCGCTACGCGCGATCGGATAACTCGACTACCGCGGCGTGTGATGCAGCGGAGGGCAACTACTGTGGCGGGTCTTTCCAGGGTATCATCAACAAGCTGGACTATATTCAGGACCTCGGGTTCGATGCGGTATGCACATCCCAACGGCTCAACGACAGTACTGATAGAGGACGCAGATTTGGATCTCTCCCGCGCAAACTCAAGAGTCAACCCGAACGGCGGATCTCTCAGGTATTCACACCTCGATGTATAGGAAGAAATAACTAACATCAGATGAAGCATATCATGGCTATTGGCCAAATGATCTATATTCCATCAACTCCCACTTTGGCACGTCCGATGACCTTCAAGCGTTGTCCGCAGCGTTGCACGCGCGGGGAATGGTGAGTCACCCGCCAAACCTATGTATTCATGGACTGACTGACATGAATAGTACCTGATGCTGGACGTCGTCGTCGGTGACTTGGCCTGGGCGGGAAACCACACCATCGTCGACTACAGCACGTTTAATCCCTTCAACGATCAGAAGTATTTTCACGACTTCAAACTACTCTCCTCTGATCCGACCAACGAAACCTGTGTTCTGGATGTAAGTTATCCGCGGCGATTCGGACCGAATTCTAACCCTGTATCAGTGCTGGATGGGAGACACTGTCATATCGCTTCCAGACCTGCGAAACGAGGACCAGCAAGTCCAGCAGATGCTGGGTACTTGGGTTTCGGAGTTGGTTTCGAACTATTCCAGTAAGTTTACACACTGCCTCGTCGGATGGTCTAACAGGTTCCAGTTGATGGGCTGCGCATCGACAGTGTCTTGAATATCGCCCCCGACTTCTTTGCGAATTTCACCAAGGCAGCGGGAGTTTTTACGATCGGCGAAGGCGCCACCAAGGATGCGACCGATAACTGTCCGTTGCAGCCCAGCATCAACGGATTGCTGAATTATCCGTTGTAAGTAGCTCATCCGATGCACAGAGGCGTGTTGACCGATTAGGTATTACATTATCACCACTGCCTTCAACACGACCGGCGGAAACTTGAGCACCATTATCCAGTCCATCGACTACATCAAGACCCAGTGCGAGGTGAGATTTCTAATCTTGATACGGGAATTAAACTTACAGTAACAGGATGTCCTGGCCCTGGGAACCTTTACAGCCAACCAGGATGTGCCTCGCTTCGGCTCGTACACATCGGATCTATCAGTAAGTCATTACTTCTGGTTGGAGGGGTTGTCTGACGTTGTCATCAGCTTGCTCGCAACATTCTCACCGTCAGCATGCTCACGGACGGTATCCCCATCCGTAAGTAACCCCACTACCCCACCCAAGCAATCCAACCCTAATCAATGCAGTTTACTACGGCGAAGAGCAGCACTTGTCGGGCGGATTTAACCCGGTCAACCGCGAGGCTCTTTGGCTGACCAACTATTCAATGGACTCGACCTCCCTCCCGTCGCTTGTCCAATCGCTGAACCGCATTCGGGCATATGCCAGCGGGAATGGCAAACAGTACACGCTCAAGTCGCAGTCCGGGACCGATTACCTTTCGTACCTTTCCGTCCCCATTTTCAACACCACTCGCATTCTAGCCACCCGCAAGGGCTTCGCTGGCAACCAGGTGGTGACTGTCGTATCCAATCTGGGAGCCAAGCCAGCCACGAAAGCCACCACCAAGATTACGCTGGGCTCTGACGGCACGGGATTCCAATCCCGGCAGAACGTGACGGAGATACTGTCCTGCACGACGGTGGTCACCGATTCCCACGGCAATCTGACCGTGGACCTTAGCTCGGACGGGGGTCCTCGGGTATACTATCCCACGGACAGCCTGAAAAACAGCACGGACATCTGCGGCGATCAGTCCCAAACGACAAGCCCGAGTAGCTCGGCAGCCTCGTCCATCAGCCCAACCCCTTCCACCGGGGCTGAGTCTTCCGTGTTCGGAATGTCATTGGAGATAAGGACCTTGCTCGTCACGGTTGCAATGGCCACGGCCACGTCTTACTTTTTCGTCTAACTGCCCCTCTTCGCTTATCTTTGTATGTTTCGTATGTGTTTCGGTTTATCGGTTATGTCTTGGATGTTTTGTTCGTGGCTTACATAGACCGGCGTGTTGTTTCAGTTGTTCTTGCAGTCGTTGTCCGTAGCAGCCATGTAATTAATAATGTGATGTTTCTTTGCCCACCAAGCCAATCATGAAGCCTCCTCTAACCCCCTTCACCGTATCTATTTCCGTCCCAAAGCGATGCACGTCGCGCATTACGTCGGAAAATCCGACCCGGCCGAGCCCTCGGTTCCCATTGGTCGCGCTGACTATCGGTCACCAAGTCGGCGTTGGTAAAGGTACACAAAGCCGACGCAGGACGCTCGGCACAAAGACAGATCCTACCAATAGAATCCCGCCAGGAGATTACCGTCATGACCGGTATGCATCGGCGGCGTAAACTTACGAGACCACTAAAATAGATTCTGATAGCCTCGATTTACCAGCCACAAAAGCTTCCTAGCGCCCACCTAGCACAAACCTAGTGCTGACATGAGAGAATCCCTGCGTGCAAAGCTTGAGTCTTTATCCGCAAGGAAAAAGAAAGTACATCCCGGTCGGGGATTTGATTGGCACGATAAGTCCAGCGCAGCATGACAGATCACTAATGCCGAGATTGGTCCCGTAGGGCCCGTTTGTTGTCCCCTACGTGGGCTTCTGTCCGAGAGCCTCAGCCCATTCGGGCGATCACCTCGTATTGCAGTTCTATGTCGGCCTAGACATCGGTGTGTCTCAGTCGTTGGGCTTCCAATGGTGTGATGGATGCTGTATACTTCTTTCATCCATCACAACATCGGTCCGTGACAAAGAAGTTACACATATATATAGTTCGTTCCGGGCAGGTTGTAGGATGATCATCCAGCTTCATTCACTCGTAGCTTACTCCGTACGTTGATCAAAATGCGGTTCTCATTCACCCTCGCCTCTTTGGGCCTGATCTCGTCGGCTGTGGCCCTTACCATCACGGCCCCGACCTCCAGCTCGACGTGGGATTTTAACACCCCACAGACCATCAAGTTCACCAGCAATTCCACGGATCCCGAGTACATCAGTATCATCCTGAGATCTGAGGATGGTTCTTTCCAGACCAAGCTGGCGGACAACGTGAAGACCGCTGATGGAGAATACACGACTCAATCCAACCCTAGTATTTCCAATGGGTATGCGTCGCAGCCACTCTACAGTACAGGAACAAACACTAATCGATTCACCCCTACGTACAGAGACGACTACGAGATCCAGATCATTGACTCCGCAGGCACCCTCGCCCTGAGTCAGGTCTTTACTGTCGAGAAGGGTGCTACAAGCGATGGTACCACATCCTCGTCCTTGTCCAGCACTGCCAGCACTACTTCCTCATCCTCTTCTACCACCCTGTCCACCACCACTACTACTACTTCTTCCTCTTCATCTTCTACATCCAGTGAGACCTCTTCCACTCCCACTTCAACCTCCCTTATCCGTTCAGCATCCTCGACACCTGCGTCGAGCACTCCTCTGTCATCTTCTGCTTCTCCTTCAGGCAAGACCAATCTCACACAATACTACAAAACCCCATACTAACATACCTTTCTCCCTCGTAGCATCTACCTCCTCCACTTCTTCCTCCTCGTCCTCTTCGAGGGACACTTCCTCCACCGCATCCTCCAATTCCACTACCACCGCTCTGCTAGCCACTGGAGCAGCCTCCTCCCTGTCCGGCGCTCCCAAGGGCGCCGTGGGTCTGCTTGGTGCGGCAATCGCGCTCTTGAATGCCTGATAACCCCCTTGAGTATCTTTCGGGAGTGTGTGTGTCTGATGCGGTTGTGTAGTCGAAGAAAGGGGTATTAATTGATGATGATGTGTTATGTTTTATGGGTTATATAGCACGGAATACACTGGACTTCTTACACCTATTCCATCCCATCCCATCCCATGCCATAGATGAATTGAATTGGAACTACAATAGTCAAGTCTGTTCCGGAATGAACTCCCCACCACCACCACCACCACCACCACCACCAAACATACAACATAACGCACCCAAGAGCGCAGCATAGAACATAAGCATGGCATAGTTATGATACAGTGACCATGAAATAGTACCTTGCTTCAAACAACTGAATATATTTATAGCCCTTCGGAAATGCTCGGTATGGCCATCCCCAATACTTGCATATGACGATAATATTCCGAAAAACAGACAGATACCAAGTCGTAACTATTGGGAAAAAAAGTTCATGCGAGATAACTGACTGGCAGCTCTATTCGCCTGTGAAGGGATCGGCGCGAGGGTTTATTCTCCGGAGCATAGGTCAAGGTTAGGCGTACATGCAGACTACATACGCCACATTACGATGGCTCTGATTAGAGGATACAGAATAGGAAGAAGGTTATTTATCTTTGATTCAAGGGATACGTGTGCGGAAGGGGATTGTAGTTGTTGGGCAATAGTATGCTGGTGAATATATATTTGCAGCGACGTCGAGTTGATGTTAGGGTCGCGGAAGAGATTGCATTAGATCAGAGTAAGCCTAGTCAGAAGCGCCCAAGTAACCCAAAAGAGCATCCCCCATTACAGGAGTGACTAGTATTACAGAACCTACCTCCTTATATCCACCCCGCATGTCGATTTACCACATGGAATACCCATCCAGAGCACCAGAACTCTCTCTTGAGTAACCTTCGCACATACCCACGCAACCGAATACAAGGAAAGACCAAAGTGAAATTAAAATAAAATCGATGGGATTCGTTCGTAGTCACTAACCAAACCACTCACCTCCAGTGTGGTCCAAGTATGGTTCAGCGAACGGGACGTTCTGTCCCACACCCACGGTCGTATGTACCTTGGTTTCATATAAACCTACGTATTATTTTTAGTTTCTGGAGTAATGTATAGGAACCAATATACTATTGAACTCTCCCCGAAGTAATACATAATCTACACTATAATCACCAACCATGATATGCGAACGACGAGTAAAGTTAACGCTAGCTACGCTCTTCCTATAATTAATCCCCGACATAGAACAAAGCATAGGAATAAGCTGCTTCATATTCTCCCAAATACAGAGTACATGCATGCGAAGCAGGGAATTAATTTATTTAAAGTATACAATTAAGTTTAACAACACAACGTTCGGTGCTTTAAGGTCGGCATTCGTCTGTCATGAGGATCGGGAGATCTCTCCACTTTAGATTAATTGCCCCGCCAATCACCCAATGCCCCCGCCGCACTGACATTCCCGTCCCGATATTGCCTACTATCTAGTACATAGTAGTAGTAGTAGTGCCGACGTGTCGGCCGATGTCGGCCGCGGGGAGGGCTCGGTCGGAGTCTGAGCGGTCGGCAGCGAACTACTCTTGCTACTTCACTGGGACGTCAAAGCACAGAGCGATTTGCTTTTGCTCTTTCTGTTTCTTTTATGGTCTTATAGATATGTGATAAGCATTGAGGAAACACAGAGAGAGGGAGACATTGGGATGTGAAGGTGAAACTCTTATGGTGGGGGTGGAATCCTATCTACGAGAGCAACAAGATCAACAGCCAGACCACAATAAAGGTCGAGCTCGTTTCGCACTGCTAGGTCTTGTCTCTACTTGGCAATGTGTTTCTACAGGTGGCTGGCAGAGCTTTCATCCGAAGCTATATCGCATCCCGCAAGTCATAGTTTGGTATGGTGGTAGCGGCACTGTCAATCGCGTCATCAGATCTCCATTATAGTGCAGCAATTGCATGACAAAGACAAGGTCTGGATCTATCCTGTGCCTCGTCACGATAACTGTCCCGCTGTTGATGACGTGACTGCTGTCTGATAACGACACTACCAAATCAGATACAGCACTGGGATGATACCATCAGAGCTAGGATGGCGTCCAGAAATGGCGTGCAGATCGAGGAGACTCGACTACTATTTGACATTGTACTGACCTCAGACAAGCTCGTACCATAAGCCAGCAGCCTTCAAACCATGTCGTTTCTTGCACGCCTTGAAAATGCGACTCGATGGTTCCCAGTGGGGACCTCGAAAGAAGAACGGAGTCTTGTTCGAAAGCTGGACTGGCTGGTTTTGCCCTATGCTTGTCTATCTTTTTTTGTCAAGTATCTTGATGTATCGGCTTTGAGTATGTGCAGCACTATCTCATCTTCCTGATTGGCACGTCACTAACTCGCCAGCCAATGCCTACGTATCCGGCATGAAGGAGGACCTCGACCTCTACGGAAACCGACTGAACTATATCAATGCCGCGTATGAAGTGGGATACGTTGTTTTCCAGATTCCCCAGCAATCTAGTCCTTATCAAGTACGCGGCGCAGTACTATCTGCCGTTTGCCGAAATCTTCTGGGGCCTTTTTACCCTGGGCACGGCGTTCGTGAAGAATTACCAGCCACTGGTGGTGATGCGGTTCTTTGTCAGCTTGAGTGCAACCTCTGCTTACGTGGGACCTCGTGCACGTTGTCAACTCGTGGTATCGAAAGTCCGAACTCGGACGTCGCAATGCTCTGTTCTGGATTGCCAATCCCCTGGGACAAATGATCGCGGGTTATCTTCAAGCAGCCGCATACACCCATCTAAATAATACGTCGGGCCTACAAGGATGGAGATGGCTGTTTATCATTTGCACCATCATCACAATACCAGTCGCGTTCTTGTGAGTTCCCCTCCTCCAATCCTTCACAAATACACATGCTAACATCAGTACAGAGGCTTCTTCATCTTCCCCGACATGCCCGGACGCACCAAATCCCGATTCCTCTCCGAGAGCGAAAAGGCCCCTAGCCATCAAACGCCTCTCAGAGGAGGGCTTCACGCCATCCACCGGCCTGAACCGAAGTATTCTCAAACGACTCCTTTTCAACTGGAAACCCTACGCATTCAAATTCGCCTTGGGGGATTCCAGCCTTTATAAGAAGGTTGGAGACTTTGTGAGCTCGCTCGCCAACGATCACATCTTCGCGGACATTCACAGTGGGTTGCTAAACCCGGACGATGTTGTGGATAACATTAAAACTATCTCTACGGTATTCGCGTACACGCAACTGGAACATCACCAACCTGAAACAGCGGATTTCCGAGAGTATGTATGCCTCTTTGATAGAATGACGGGGAAGCGTACGTTTAGGGACCATGAAGAGAGCGATTCGGAGCCTGTGCAGAAGCGCCAAGCGCCGGAACTGGCAGATGATACTGAGGAAGAGCTCTGAAACCTGTGGGCAAGAGTGGGTGGGTTTGTCAAATGCACATCCTACGAGCGTTCGGTACTGTTATTAAGTTGCCGTAACCAAGGCAGGCTAACAGTCACTCTCGGAATCGAGAATAGTTTGCAACCTTTGCCTGCACAGAGAAGCGACTTTCGTTCCATCTAAAGATAGGGAAACAGTCAACATTTTGTCACCAATAAAGCCGCCGAGAGTGGCAAACGGAAGACCATGGTACGTCGCTATGGCGTAGATTGTAGGCGAATATGATGTCAACTTCCCATAGGCCAAGTCGTCGTGTGTACTAATAACCGAATCTTGCCACAGAATCACCGACGGCCCACGATGCTGTCCATCACGCAGGTCGGTCGATGAAAACCAGCTTATGTTGCCAGAGATACAACGATATAACAGTTGATCGCGATGTTGAGCTTATTGCAAGCGTCCCTTCGGTTGATCGTTTCGGCTTGCATTGTTATCTTCCCTAGTCTCCTATCGACCCCTTTGTTGAACCTAGCAGGCTTTAGTATACTAGGGCCTCAAGCTCGTAAGTTCTGAATGCTAGCTGCGTGAATTAATTGATCCTGACAACCTCTATACTCCTGTGCTGCGTTCCTACAGTCGATGATTGGCAACGTTTCCCGACATGGGATTTTTGCTTATATGCAAAGTGCAGGCATGGGAGGTTATGGTTTAGCATGGGTACAGAATCTTATTCGCCTAGGCGTCCTCTTTCCTATTCTCAAAAAAATTGGTCTTTGTTGAGAGCCAGGGCCGTCGGAATTGAACCTTTCACCTTCGGAAGATCTGCTCGAGCACTCTCTTCTCACATTCACATCCCCGTGCGCGTAACTGCAGTCAAAGCATTGAATGATTTCTCCCACTTTGGATCAAGATGCGTGAGAGTATCGTCCGGGAATTCCCGATGAACCTTTTCTTGTGCATAGTCGAGGGGCGTCTTGCCGGTGGAGTCTTTGGTTTGCAAATCCAGGACACCTTTACATCGAAGAAACTCTACAAGTTCCTCAGTAAAGACGCCATGAATCGCCCCGTTGTGCATAAAGGTTTTCCCTTTGACTTCTTGCGCTGCTGGATCCAACCCACGGTTAAGCAGCTCTTCGAGGATCTCTTTGTGTGCCCCACTCTGCTGCATTAAAAGATGTGCCATGGTTTGTCGTCGTCCATCGACCCATAGCGGATCGGCACCTTTCTGGACAAGGTGGAAGAACATCTCTGTGTCGACTTCCAGGCGGAATGAACCCACGTACAACCCCAAGGAAGAGTTTCCGGCCTCATCAGGTTGATTCACATCACAGCCAGCCTGTATCAGAAAGTCAACCACGTCAATGTAGGCAAACACAGAAGACACATGATGGTGCAACGGAGTCCTGCCGTGGCGATCTAATGTATTCCAGACTCCCGAGAGCGCCTGGCCGCATGCCTGTGACATGTAATGTAGGACTTCATAATAACCCTCCTTCAATGCGTAGTGGAACGGACTCAACCTATTAATGTCCTCCAGCAAGATATCTTGGCCTTCTTCATCCACGAGTCGGCGGACAACCTCTAAATTCCCTGCCTTGCTAGCAAGGTGGAGACAAGTCTGACGGGATCCATTCAGCCGTGAGATATCAGCACCATTCTCTATTAATTTGGACAGAATGGACCATGCATAATGTTTCCGAAATTCTATCACATGCTGAGCGTAGTCCCCAAAGGCGTTTGCAATATTGATGTCGGTGGTTTGGCTCTTCACAAGCGTCTCAACGATGCTTATTCTCGCTTGATCGATAGTCTTGGTGATCTCAGAGAATTCCTCACTCCCAAATTCCGTGACCGTCTCTGTTAGAAACTCAATGGCGTACCTGCTACTCGTCCAGGCATCGTGGCATTCGCCACCCAGGAGCTTGCTTCTGATTGCGAGATGAAGTGGGGTGTCGCCGAGTTGAGAGCGAGCGTTAGGGTCAGCCCCATGTTGCATCAAGAAAGCAGTCATTTGAGAACAACCGTTCAGGGCAGAGAAATGTAGTGCTGTGAGACTGGACTCTATAGTTTCCCGACCTGCTTCTCCTGGGTCTGCGTAAATGATCGGACTTATTGTTGTCCGCCCCGGCCATAACCGCCTCTGAACCTGCGTAGCCACATCGAATCCGTTCTGTAGAAAGGTTTGTACAAGTCCCTCATTTAAATTTCCAACAGCGTAGAAGAAGGGTGTCAGGTTATTCTCATCACAGTCGTATGGGGAGACACCTTGGTCAAGCAGGTATTTTGTCACTTTCGAATCAGTGTAGTCGGCAATACTGCAAAGAATATGGAGAACGCTTTGAAGCTCGTTATTAAGTATGTCCGCGCGCGCGCCCGATCCAACCAAGAGGTGTATAGCCTCAAGCTGAGAGTATTCAGCAGCAATGAGCAGGGGAGTCCGTCCTTGTTCGTCTTTGACTTCTAGATTATCCGGAAGGAGAAATGAGATCAGCGGGATAATTCCCCAGCGAGCTGCAACATGAATGGCTGAGCTGTTCATGCCCAAGTTGTTCCAAGTTCCTCTCGTTAGGTAGTTGTATCGATCCAGCCACCATTTCCACGTCCCGAGGCGATCTTTGAAGAAATTCTTTTGCTCACTCGGCAGAGTGAATTCACTTTGACCCAAAGCTGCGTGCTTTGGCCAATGCAGAACTGAATAAGCAAGGAATGAGTGGTCCGGCTCCAGTACTGACGGGTTGATATCCGGCCCACAATATTGAAGTACGACTTCGATGCAGCGGTGGGACAGGGCGGAGTTAGATCTCGCAGGATCGATATCTTGAATCTCTAGCATTAGAAATTCATGAACCGATCTATGCAACATTCGCACCTGGCCTTTGTCGACAACGACCAAGAAATGGCACAAGTCGATAACTTCTTTCGTGAATTGGAGACGACTCTCGAGATCCAGGTCAAGATATAGTCGACATGCCTCAGCTATTTCCGCAAGCGTCAGGGGTCGCCTTGCAAAAGCAACGATCTCCATGATCTTTCGGATAGCTCGGTAATCATCTGGGCTGCACGCTGTGGCGATCGCGGTTGCTGCATCGAGCAGTTTGCGATATAGAGAATATAATCCTCTGGGGAAGGCACGTAGCTCCCGGACAGCATTCCTTGATGGCACCGACTTCATTTCCTTGTAAGCAATTCCAACCCAGAGGAAGGTACCTTCGGCTTTGTCTTCAAAGATGTGGGATACTTCCCGTGCAACAGGTGGAGGGTAGTTGTTCCGTCTTGCAAGATCCTTCACAGTATCCTCGATCATGGCTCTAAGGTCGCTCTTTAACTCGTTGGATAGACCTAAATTCACGCACTTGAAGACGGAGAGGCAACTCCTGATCTCAGGGGATGGGCGACTAATGATCAGCATGTGCAGCCTGAATGGCTCCGAACCGGGCATGACTGGTCTGCTGAACAATTGGACGATCTGGTCTAACAGCATCTTCTGTGACTGAGGTTCGCATTCGTCCAAAGCATCGATGATGCAGTATATCTCAGGGCCCCTAATTGCCCGTCCCATACCCATCAACAGGGCCCACAGCGCATCAAACGAGGCGAAAAACCCCTCTCCTCGAGTCTTATATTTTGACATGATCACTTTCATAAAAGCCGGGTATTGATCAACGATCTGATATATAAGGCCCCTCAATATGGATGTCGCCCCTGTCCGGTGTTCGGAGTCGGCTTCGCAGAAAACGATAGATAAGATGTTATCACCGTCGGCAAAGGAGCTTTTAGTCGGTATTTCTTGTGAAAGCGTCATAGCCATCGTCGACTTGCCAATTCCAGGGTTCCCATACACCCATAAAATGTTTCGTTCCAAATCATCAACACTTTTCTTCTGCCGAAACCAAGACTTGAGCTCCGTTGTTTCCAGAAACCAGCTGCATGTTCCGGGGGTGCGGTCCCCAGTTCCCCGCTTCAATGAGTTCATTTTTTCTTCAGGTTCAGTGACGAACAGTTTAGCCAGGCATGCTTGCTCCTCCTCGGTGAACTGAATCCCTACAAGGAGGTCAGTCGAGTTCTGCATGCTGGGGATAGCATACCTTGTCCTTGTCTCACCGTTCCCTCCTCCGGTGGGATGATCGACAGCAACTTCTTCGCGTAAGCTGCAGCAGCAAGTGCCGCATATCCTTGCCATTCATCATTTTTATGGGAGTCGCAATAATCGCATATTCCTCGGATCACAAGTGTTGGTAGCTCGTTCACGAGGCCTGAAGCCTCCATCTCAAAGCAGAGTATTTCATGCCGTTCGGCCAGACGGTCTCGTGCTTCAGAGTCTTTCATCACCTGGTTCCCGGATGCTATTAAGCCATAGTGCACACGCGGTGCACTTGTTGCGCGGGGCTCCCGATCGACTGATCGTTCTTTATCACACCTCTCACAACTCGCCGTCTTGTCGGCATGGTGATAGAAAGGATGAAACAGTAAATCGGTGGCCTGTGCTGGAGCCGAAAACGTTGCCTTGATGTCCCGACTATGCTCTCCTGCTGCACTCACAAGATTTGAGATAGCATTATCTCTGCCCGTTAGTTGTTTTGACTCGAGTTGGCTCATGTGCGTGAGAAGGGTCTGTGGTGGTTGATTCAAGAATCCTGTCTGCTCAAATTGCCCACCCTGAACCGCCTTGCCATAGTCGTACTGCACCACTCCACCATGGTTCTTGCCGGGTTTGCCGACAACGATGTCACCTAGTCGAATGTCGTGAATTTTGCTTGGGACGCCGCCTCCGATTCCTACCATCAGTGCAAACTGAAGACGGTGGAAAGTCAAATGCATGCGTGATGCAACAGTTGCGGCCGATACGGTTCCGTACACGCCATCGGGAAGGTAGGCAATGGCAATATAATGGCCATTCAGTTCCCCGAAATCATAGGCGTTCGAGTCGTTGGGCCGTCGAGGTGGATCGTGAGTTCTGTCCAGCATAGCGCGGGCTGCCACCGCCTCGAGAGGCAAGGCACAGATCCACGCAACCGTGTAATCATCAACCGTGAGGCGAGTCATTGTCTGCATGTCACAAACTGACCAAAGATTGTTGCAAGATTAATAGTATATGGAGCTCGTATATTGACCGACTGGAGAGGATTACCACATTTTGAGTCAGAAGAGGGGTAATAAGGCTGAACTCGCCTAACCGGCACAGCCTCCAAAACTGGCATTTTCCCATGACCAACCAGGAGCATAAGCCGCAGAGCATATAACCAGACCTAATCGACCCTGCATTCACAGCCACCTTATTAGGCATAGCTTAGAGACCAAGATGTCGGATAACTGAAGACCAAAAGAACCAAACCAAAAGACCAACGACCCCGTAGAGTTCCCAAAATGTAGAATCGGAAAGCCACAGCCGTCTAGTCATTTCCTATACTTACTTCCTCGAACATTCCTTGTTTCTCTTGATGCTACAGTGGTGGTGGTTGCTTATATGATATCAGTACAATGTCATGTGGGTCTTCAAGCGGTACGGCACGTACTCCCAGTATTGCATAGGTTCCATGTTACGGAAATCATGGGCACGTTGAGCACCGGGGTTTCCAGCTGTCACAGAGAAATTTCCATGCTGGGTGACACCTACTCCCCCCATACTCATGCTCTCCACTTCCGGGCAGAAGATCATCCCTATAATCAGCTGCCTGAATACTTCCATGCAGTCTCTCCGCGTGAACCCGAAGCTGGTCCCATCGACGGCCGTCCCCGTGAATATAAGGTTCGACTGTCTACCATTTCTGGCAGCCGATCCTGTCGGGACTGAGTAGTAGTAAAACCTATTGATTCCCGAGCTGCGGCCGATGGGAACAACGCCGTTGAAGTCGCAGGCGGAGTCAATAGCCAGATTTGCGTGAGCCAGGTCAAACATTGCACCCCATGAACTAGTTTGCGATGGTGGGGCTCTAGTTGCACACAAGATATCAGTAAGATGATGGTGCGAAGCCCTAGACAGAGTTAGTCCATTATACAGCTGACGCGATAGACAATGAATATTGGGGTTCCTAACAGCTGCGAAAATATTCTGGTCGATCTCGGCGGTGGGCGTCTCGCCGACCCGGTGTTGAGCAGAAAATATATCGCGACGGCCATGACGAAGCGAGTATGTAGGAAAGATAACATTTTGGTAAGATCTAAGAAGTGTTAGACAGGATTGAGATGTTTTTAGCATAGACCTTTTGAACGCACATCTAATGCACCGTGATGAGATGCGCTCGGTACTGTAACACCGCGGTGATATACTTGAGGAGAGGCGGGCGACATACACATATATATTGCTTTTGTGATACAGCTAGCTCAATGCCATTTGATCGTCGGAGAGTTACCGCCTTTGATCAACAGAACTAAATAACCAGACAACTCTGATACGGCTCTCACTATTCTTTACATTATTGTTCGCAAAGCACAGGAAAAATTTCAACTCTCATGGTATTGTCTGCATTACATACACCGGAAATCTAAGATGATGGCATTGCTCTCTCATAATACCCCGTCCTGAAAAGGGAAGAAGGGTCCGCGTATGCGCTACCACTGAACCTATGAACGCCTCGCTCCCTGCCATCCATCTTATTTACCGGTGTTTATAGACCAGGATTGAACCAGAGTCTATGGCAGGTAAAAACAGGAGTGTTATGACAATCCATGGTTCCATTGTCTGCAGTATAGCTCTCCAGAAAATCAGCACATGAAGAGTTGCTATCCTGTCTGGGAAGAAAGTCGCCGAGATCGAAGGTGACGGAGAGATCCAGTTGTTCCTTGTCGCGTAACGGCCGTTTCAGCTCAAAGCCCAACGGTCGGTAATAGGTAGAAATGTTCCTTGCGAGGTTCGTGGAGTCGATGATGGTAGATGAGGGTCTGCCAGTACAGTTGGAGCTGTCCCAGACTCTCACTTCTATGTGGGCTTACAGCTCAGCGTGGTCTGAAATAAACTCCGCGTGGTCTAACGCTAAATACGGAACAACTCTTTTCCATCTTAACCATGATGAGGTCTTTATTTTTCATGAAAATTACATATTTTCAGTATACTGAAAATATGCACATTTTAATCCTAAGCTTAGAGTATTCAAAAAAAAAAAAGACTTCCTAATAAAATATCCTAATAAATATCCTAAATACGCTAAAATCCCCTAAAAAGTTCTGATATATAGCTTATTATAGGCTCATCGTGGTCTAAAACTAAGATTCTTGACCATGATGAGCTTTTGCCAAGAACAGGTTCGGCGTGGTCTGAAATAGGCGGTAAGGTAACTGGCAGAATGTTAGACCACGCTCACCTTTTTTCAGACCACGATGAGCTGCGACCCGTGTTCGAGGAACCCTCTAGGTGTTCACATCGCTTTCCTAAGCTCGCCACTGACGAATGAAGTGGCGGCTGCCCCTACCGAGCAAGATCATGGACTTCAGTCTCCTCAGGACGGACTCGACGGGAGATGGTTGTTCCGCATTTGTTCCGCATATTGAGAAAGGGGCCAGGCATCGATTAGTAAGGTGGAATTCAGGGTGAGCTCAATTCACCGTTCCCACCTATCATTATCGATGGCTATGCGGGAATCGACCCACCCCTTATGAGAAGTAGTGTATAGGTGGTTAGTAATGCTTATGCACATCTCTGATGTCCATGAACCGAGGCTCTTGGGCTCCGCTTGGGCCCCCACCCAGAGCTCCCCAAGTGCTCTCCTACGTTTATCGCTCCCTTCTGTCATTTCTATGGCCGGGCTTGGAGATTGTCCCCGTCCCGCAATGAGCTCACCTGCCCTGTTCCTCGCAACCTGAATCCGCCTATCTTAGCTAACATTGAGCTGTGGAAGGGAGTTCGGTTCCGATGGCGTCTATCCTACGGGCCTTGTCGAACAGCATTCGGCGAACGCGACTGTCTTCCAGAGATCACACTACCGTTGCACATATTATCCCTACGGAAACCCTGATCGAGGAAGAGACCTTACCATATTACGAGGCAGCACATTACTATCCAGTAAGAATTGGTGATGTGTATCACGCCAGATACGAAGTTACGGGAAAGCTTGGTTATGGGGCATATTCAACCAGTTGGCTCTGTCGGGATCTCCAGTGCGCCGCTCCGAGCCCGATCAATCCTAGAAGGATTCTGACGAATTATGAGTTAAGAGCCAAGAACTACACAGTATTAAAGGTGTCGACCTACTTGCCAGATTATCCTACCGTGATAGATCGCGAATTGAGAGTCTATGAACACCTGGCAAAGCTTGACTCTTTACATCCGGGTCAGTCATTGATTCGCGAGCTATATGATTCATTCGACCTCCAAGGCCCTGGCGGCACTCATCGGTGTCTTGTGCTACAACCAATGAATATGACACTTCTTGAAATGATGAGAATGAACCCACGGCCGTTTAATCTACCCCTGCTGAAAATGACTGTCAAACGACTTCTATTGGCGCTTGATTTCTTGCACGCGGAGGCCGAAGTTATCCATACTGGTAGAGACCGACGCTCTTTATATGTTGGATTTGGGACTGATTTCGATTTTGGCTAGATCTGAAGACTGATAATCTGATGCTCAGCCTAGAGGATACCTCCATGCTGGCGGATTTTGCGGCAGCAGAATCCAAGAATCCAAGTCCTCGGAAGGTAGTTGACCAGTCGCGTATCATTTATTGCAGTCGAAAGTTTCGGAGACCTGCTGGCGGCAGAAACTACGGTCTTCCAGTCCTATGCGACTTTGGCGAGGCAAGAATTGGCAAGACTCAGAGGTCAGGACCTTTCGTCCAACCGCACATATATCGAGCCCCGGAAGTAATTTTTGAAATGCCTTGGGGAAGTGCTGTTGATATCTGGAATCTTGCCGGTCTTGTAAGTCATTAGCCTTTCGTGTTCCTGCCTTTGCTGATGATCTATTAGATTTGGGATTTGTTCGAAGGCCAGCATCTGTTTGGAGATATATTCGACTCCCAAGGTGGCCATGATCCTTTCAGGCACCTCGCGCTTATGGTAGCCTTGCTTGGACCACCGCCAACTGAGTTTGTCCAGCGTAGTGAAACAACAGAGCAGTGCTTTGGCTCGAGCGGTTAGAACTTGTTCCCATTACATACCCTTTCTGATTGACTCTGAGACTGACATAGTTGCAGGTGACTGGATTGCTCATCATGAAGCGCCAGTGCCCTCTGTTTCACTTGAAACTCTGGAGACACGGCTGACTGGCGAAGAGAAAGAGTTATTTTTAGCATTCATTAGGTCGATGTTGAGATGGATACCAGAGGAACGCGAGACAGCCAAACAGCTGCTTGAACACCCATTCTTGCTCTAGCCGCCAGTCGTTCCTTTTCATAGCTACATCTATTATCGAATCAAATCTGATTCACCAGCATTTAGCCGCCACATTCTTCCAGGTGAGGACATCCCGCACAAATCGTACCTTGCGAATAGGCGCCAGGGGGTTCTTCTCGGCGCTAAGACATCATCAGGAAGACCTCTTCCTTATTCGCCAGCGCAGAGTAGGAATGGCGCTTACACTCAAAACGCAGGCTATTTGAACACGGTCATGTCGCGCACCATGGCATACAAGACTCTGACTCCTCTCACTCCTCCCGGATCTTCCTGTCATTATTATTCGTGGCCTATTCCAATTGTCTTTTCACTCGTGACCCATCTTCAGTCCTTGCCAGCATGTCTGCAGTCGTCCGCCGTTTTATCTCTTACATTGGAAAGTGCTCGCTGAGCGACTTTAAAAACCCAACCCATGCAACACTCGTTGACACCTATTGTAACGACCAGGAGAAACGAGTAGGTCTTCTGCATCTCCATCCGAATCTCACACTAATCATTCCAGGACCCTCGCATCAAATATGCCAGCATTGAAGGAACGGAGTTCCATCGATCTCACAAAGATCGGACCGATCCCAAGCAGGTGCTCTCCGTCAAATTCTTGGATGAGGAAAGAAAGAGAGTCGGAACGGGACATCTGCACGAAGACGGAACCTCCAAATTCCGCTACAAGCAGAAGGCTCCGGAGGAGTCACAGGACGGTGGATTTGAGAAGTCTTGATCCGGCTCTTGTAGTAAGCGGTTTGGTGTTATCGGAAGGAGCCCTGGAAGTCCCTCCATGTCGGTGTTATTGTACGTCCATGCTTTCACCCAAGCCTTCGCGCCGGTTTTTCGTTAAATGTTCATGGTAGAGAAGGTTCTAGCGGCAGGTTTCAGCAGAAAGCGTTATGTCATGTTCATGTTATATGCTTCATTCATCCAACCTTCAATCTTTCGTCGGCAGTTCGTCATATTGCGGTTATGAGTCTCCTTCCAGTACCTCCCGTTGGACTGCTTATAGTCGTAATAAATCAACCGGTCAATTTTGAATGTATCCTGCAATAACCGCCGTTGGAATGAAAGTGGAATATATGGTGGAAAGGTCTCCCCTAGACTTAACTTGGCAGCAGCCGTTGGTGCATCTTAATCATCGTCTGTGCATCTTGGACTATTGACTTGATTATCTCCATCTGAGACTCAGCATCGGCCCATGTCTGCTTGAGAAATCTTGCCTTAGCCTGTTCCAAGCGGTCCAGCAATCTCGTCGTATCTTCATGCAGGTCTTGCAGCTGCTTGCGGACTGTAGGCTCCGCACTCCCGTCCTGGGCCCCTAAGTCCCGATCTGGGGGAGATATGTCGGTGGGAGGAGGACGGGCGGCCGAGCTTTCTGAACCCCTTCTAGTATTATAAGAGTGAACAGCCCAGAAAGAACGCCCAACATTCGTGTGGAGCTTCATATATGCACCTACAGAGTGCTTGCTCATGGGTTTCTCAATGAGAGGTTTGATGGAAGGATCACTAATATGCCACGTATAAGGCATAGCTTCTCCTCTGTTTACGAGGCGCACTGCCGAGGGCGTAACTTGAATTCCCAGCGTGTTGCCTGCCCGATTAGTCAGTTCTTTTCAAAAACTGTCAGGCTTTTGTCATACTGATATGTTTTGAGAGAGTTTTCCGATACATTGCTCTCCATTCTCGACGTTTCCGTATCCCTATTAGGGAATAAATGTCTTGTAATTGCTTATCCTTCGAATATCTTCTCCGGCTAGGTTCAAGTGACGAAAGCGGCTGCCGTAGAAACTGGCGAGGGGAGGTCTTTGCTGGAACCTGGCAACCTCTGTGATTCGAATGGTTGCTGTCCGGTATCTTATCGTTTACTGTGGGACTAGGTACCGCCCTCCGGGAACTCGGGGACAAGTCCCTGTCATAACCATTAGTTGCTTCAAGCAACGATGCGATTTTCATGATGCAAGGCTGGTGTATAGAAGTAAATGATCTCTTGTTCCTTGAACGAAGCTCATTATTGAATTCAGGTAGCCTGCCGATACTACTCCGAAGTCATGTGTATTAAACAGAAGCAGTATTAGTTAGTGGGGGCTCTTCCTTTTATTGGTAAGTCATAAATATTCTTGCTGCCTAGATGGACAGTGGCGAAGTATATATGCTAAGGTGCCGGACTGTTTCACAAAGAGGGGTGAAAGGCTAATAAAATGTCGCAGATTCGTTGTTAAGTGGGTCATTTAGTACCACCAAAGGAACATCACACCAGAGGTGTGAGTGTTCATACAGAATCGCACCTGTCTATAGTGCACTCGTGCTAGTCGCGCGAGCGCCAAGATTGCGCACCAGATCACACCCTTTAGGTGCACCCACCTGACTACTGACCGCATGTAAGCCACACGCTGGGAGGTTAGTAGTTGGGTGGATGACCACCAGCGAATCCCTTCTGTTGTATGTTTTATACCTTTTTATATCTTTTTATATCTTTTTATTTAATTATGTGTTTACCTCTAAAAGAGTCTACCTCCAGTCCATCCTACTGGGTCACCTTGATCACAATCTTTCCAAAATGGGAGCCAGCCTGCATATACTTGAACGCCTCCTTGACCTCCTCAAATGTGAACGTCTTGCAGATGACAGGCTGAATCTGGTGCCGATCCACAAACCGGACCATTTCCTCAAACCGATCGGTAGGACCATTGACGAAACCCTTGAGGGTGAGACAGCGGCTAATGGTCGAAACATTGACGCTGGGCTGCTCGCCAGTCGCTTGAGTTTTGCTGGACGTGTATCCAATGCTATTGATCAAGCCCCCGTACGCAGCACACGCGAGGCAATTACTGATGGTCTGGGAGCTCCCGGTCTCCAGAATGATGTCGGCGCCATGACCGTCCGTCACTTCTATCACATATTGCTCCCAATCCGGTCTTCCTTTGTAATTGACCCCGAAGTCGGCTCCTAGTTCCTTGGCTTGGGCTGGTTTCTCGTTGGAGGAGGATGTAATGATGACTATCCCTCCATTAGCATCACTTGGACACCTTACTTCCAATGCCGGTCACCACTCCGGCCATGTCGGAGCAGGGAATGATCTCGGAACCTTGGTTGACGGCGTTGTGGTGGTTATATACGCCTGCGCTTAGAGAATTAGATAGCCCAGTGGAATGGTATCGTACAGAGCCCCTGGTTACTACTCCACAACCAGAAAATAATCGCTTCTTGTTCTCACCTCAAATATCATCATGAGACGTTACTTCCTGGTTAGGATAATTGACGTGAAATACCAGCCTAATACAACCCAGACTCTGGAATCAAGTAAGAACCGGACAAGATATCCATAACAAGGATTTAGTACTCCAGTTAGCACCCTAATATATATTCCCTACCCCAAGTTCTACCCGCACATAGATATAGCTGCTTCTACTAGAACCCTACAGTGACATGCACCTCACTGCGTGGGAAGCGGCAACATCACCCAATCGGAACCAGTGGAATCGCCCCAGTGGAGTTAACTGGCTGTCTTAAAATGCAGGGCATTTCTTTGACTGCCAACGAAAAAAGGTCGGGTGCCTTACAAATCGAATTTGATGCCTGATTTGACACACGTACGTCTTTCTGAAACTGAATCTACGTCCCTGTTCACAGCTGGAGATGCCAGATCTGTCGTCGATAGTTGCAGCCTGAAATCAGCCATGAAACGCAGTAGCCACATCATCCTGCCCCTTATATATGCCATCCCATTCATTCCTTTAGTATCCTGGTTCTATATAGATCTCACGCAAGTCTTTCACTGGGGCATATGCTACTCGTTGACAAATTCTGAGCCTGTCATAGTTCCGAGCACTACGTGGCTGGTTATTCTGGTGATTGTTCCAGGCCTTGAAGGATTAAGTGGCAAGCTTGGTGCTATTCTCCCTACATACAGTACGGCCTGTTTTCGCAAAAGGCCGAGTCGTATGACTTGTAGTAAATAAACGGCCCCTGCATTGGACGTCGTTGGTTATGGAGAAAGTCTACGACTGTGCTGTATGGACCTTGATAGACAGCCGTCTTCCAAGGGCATAGCAGTCCTAACGGCGCTCTATGTTAAGGCTTGTTGTCATATGACTTCCCGTGTAAATCATTCATGTTCTCGGGCGGAGTTTATCATTACATGCAAATCTCCTCGCATCTGTCCTGGGGTATTTCTCTGGACTACTTCATACGGAGCATGGAAACTCTATACCCTCGCGGATACTTCAGATTGTGGACAAGCCTTTACTTATAATGATTAAGAATAAAAAAAGGTATAAAAACATACAACAGAAGGGATTCGCTGGTGGTCACCCACCCAACTACTAACCTCCCGGCGTGTGGCTTAAGTACGGCTGAGCGGACGGGAAGCCCTGTTCTCCACACCCTATGGTCGTATGTGCTAGATTATTCTATTCCAGGACCTATATTGAATACATTGTGAGGAGAGATATCAAGTCCAGCGAACAATTTCAATCAACCCACTCAGATGAACTGTACTCCCCAGTACCGCCAACGGCTGGCCGGGAGATGTATAAGACAATGTAGGTTGGGGGTGATACTCCTAAGATGCACAGAAGTACCTGTATGTTGAATCCCGAAATAGGAGCGTGACCTACTCGGATCTATATGATTCCAGACGGGTCCGAAATTCAATGCGTGATTCCAGACCACCAGTCAACGGATCGCCTCCCAAGCCGGAGCCTCAAGGAGTCCTCGAGACGAGTGGATCTCTCCTGGGTCGTTTGGCCACGTGCCATATGCTCCAGATCTCAAACGAGCTAATATAGATATAATCGCTGGCGTCGCTGAGGGGTAAGATACGTCCCAGGACACTCACGCTGGATTATACCGGAAAGTCGTAGTAGCGAAGACAGATACATTGATCGGGCGTAAGTAGAGGGAGAGAGAGAGAGAGAGAGAGATGGCAGTGACAAGATATTTCTCGACCCATTTTGCATTGAGCGGCAATCTTTACGGCATCAATGCGGTATGTGTGAGGGTCGCAAGTCAGCCGGTGACCATTGGGGACTATTCCTTGAATGCCCGGGTATGTTGGATCGCTCGTCGCCCCCCAGCTAGATTATTACCATCCACTTGCCGGGGATTTGGCCATCCCACGGGAAGCCTTGGTAGATCGAAGATGCTCGTTGGATCGGCAATCGCTTCGGAGCAAGCCCACTCTCGTTGGTGGTGAAAGATGAGCTCCACAAGCCTGTGGGATTCAAGCACGGTCTTTCCGGCTGTGCTATAGAAGCGAGAGGCAGAGTCAGGTCGCTCTTTTCTGGGCTCTTGTCGGTGTACGCCCCTGGCCAAATTCAATCGCATCCACAACCGGGTCAATCGGCGCCACAGCACGGTGCATGCTCGGTCGATCGACAAACCGGTGCATACGGCTCAAGCGCCTTCACGCGCTTGATATCGGCACTTCGAGGCTTCCTACAACTGCTACAAGGACTGAAATGGCCTGTAAGGCACTCCCACGAACCCGTGTCGCCTCAGCGCACGGACAGTTCAAGAGATGTTGTGGTATCAAACGGTTCCCAAGCCCAGCCCGACATTTCCCATGCTTCCATCCAGAACGCCGCTAAGAATCCCAAACAAAGACCGTACCGATATTCGCTAAGACTTGATGAGTTGGGTGTTTTTGCTGCTAGGGCCCCCCCAGCACCATCTCGCTAAGGCGATGAGCCAACCCAGGTCCCGCTCGCGCATGTCCATAAGCGGGGTACTCCGCATGGTAAGCTGGCCCTTGTCGAAGTAGGCCTCGATGACTCGAAGATAGTGCTCCCCAATGGCTGAGAGCAGCAGGACCTACAGGCGTTTAGTACTCAGCCCCCAAGGCTTTATGTTGAGCAAGGGTGGCTGAAAGCTTACGGGGGCAATAACATGGGGACGGAGCGCGGGGTCTCGCAAGCGACCGTGCATGATCATGATTGCGGCATCAACCTCGCCGCGGCACAGCTCCTCATTCTGCGGCTGGGCGAGTTCACTCCACATGAGGGCCACCATATGAGGCGATCCAGTGTTGGCGTCGTACCAAATCGATTCAACCTGCCACTGCGAGCCCAAGGTCACAGAGCCCAGGTCTTGGAAGTTGAAGTTTCCCCAACTGGGCAGCCACATCTTAGCAAGATCAAGTCTCCGAGAGAATGAGGTAAGAGGGAAACCCACGAGGACATTTCAAAGCGAGGCGGGTGAGTGCCCTCGTCTGGTATTTCGCAACGGCAGAGGAACCGGTTCAGACAGATGGCGAGGTGTTCGGCATTCTTGTAGGGGCATCCGTCGAATTCCGGCCAATCTTCCGCATCCTCGGGATACTCATACTCAGGCTCATCGATGGGGTATGGATAGGCAGAGAAGTAATAGGGAGCATTATCGGCGTCCAGGGGCATTCTTGTGTGATTGATCTTGACCTGCTTGAACTGGGCGGGTAACAAACGATGATCAAGTCCACCGAGCTGCCCATAGATAGCATTCAGGGCCTGACGGCGAGCTTTCCTCTCGACACGGAGTTGATCGTCCATCTTGATCTGTCCCTTGTGGTGGCAAGAGGCGATGGGGCTTGCAACGGGCGGAGAGAAGAGAGCAAGGAATCAAGGAGGGAGAGGATGGATGGGGGGGGACTGGTACCGATCACGTGGTGCGGAGAGGAACTCCTGCCTGAGGCACAAGGCGGGGGCCCACCCCCGGTGGGGTTGCCGCCGCAACGGAGCCTATCAGGGACTCGCTAGTACCTGTGAGGTACCACCGAAAGTAAGTACTAGTACAGTACTCACTCACTCTAGGTACTAACTACTATGTATGGCCCAGAGGTAGCAGGAGATCAAGTGGAGTTGCAAAAGGTGCCAGTTTGTGAGGGAAAATACAACCATGGTGCTGACGCCTACCGATGGCCTGCTACTGGCCCCGGTAGAGGTAACTAGTAGCTAGCTGCGCGCCCTCTAGCTGACCCTGCGCCTCTTTCCCCTCTTTCCTCGTCTAATTGTCCGTGCCCCTGATTCTCCTCTTTTCTCTCTCGAACCAAGCTTCCTGATCTCTGCTTAACGACGGGGTGCTCTTATCTTGATCACTTCGCCATGTCCAATCAGTCAGGTGCAGGACTGCCAGACTCCCAGAGGGCATGGGAGACGCGTGCAACCGCAACAGGTGTGATCCACCAGTCGGTACACTCGGCGAGCCTCGAGTCCGCTTCTGAGATTAAAGAGCCCCAATATGTAATGCTGCAGGTCCTGTGGCGCGACCGGCAAAGGAGAGAGTTTGACTGGAAGCTCTCTGGCCTTGAACCTTGGAAAACCGCCGCAAAGGCCCACTGCGATACCTACAAGTCTTGGACGCTTTATTGCGAAGACCTGGCGGCGGGAAAAACCAAGAAGTCGGAGTTCCAGGAATCATCCTTTGCGGTCGCCCTGCTTTACCAACGTCAGGCTGCCAATGTCACCACCATGGAGATGACTCCTTCGGTGTTTGTCACCCCCCATGAGCCACGCGACCTCCGAAAGATGCCGCGTATCAATTACGACGAGGACGCCATGCTCGCAGAGGTCGACCATTTGCATATCAGTAGCAACCCGCAAACTCCAGTGCATTCGCGCACCCTCATTGATCCGGACGAAGGAGGCCTCCCAAGGAGCTCCTACAAGCCTTCGAGTCCCAACGAACCGGAAGATATCCAGCGCCAGATCTACAGGCAGTCAAAGGATGAGCAGATAGTAAATGCAGCACTTATCAGCTTTGTCAACGCACTCACCCTTCACTCGGACATATGTGTTGTGTGGTCTTTCCATCGCATACCCCTCAAGGCGGACTTCAACCCCGCATCCTATGAGGCTCGCACCGACGGCTACCTCGAGATTCCAAGCACCACAGATGAATGGAAGCGGATCCGCGCGCTTGTGGAGGTGAAGGCAGCGAGTCGCCGGAAAAACGGGCCAACAATCCGCATGCAGGAAGCTGCGCAAGTGGTTGCATGGCTAAAAAGTCGTCCTGATCGCGGGGGACTCCTGAATGGACCAGGCAGGCGCATTCTCCTCTCTCAAGACCGGCACGAGATCTTTATCACTGTGGCAGAATACGACGACAAGTACTTGGACTTCCTTGACGGGAACCCTGGGCCCGACCGCGCATTTCTGAGAATGCACGAATTCGGACCGTGGAACACACAATCTGTAAAGGACATGAAGCAGGTCGCTGTCATTCTCGTTGCGATGGCTCTACGAGCTGAGGCCGATCGCATAGCTGAGAACCTGTAGTGAAAGCCCAGTGAGGCCAAGGAGTGCCGGTAGTCTCACAAGGGGTCCCATGTGTGGCAGGTGGGTGTTGTGTGCCTCGGGCCATGAGGAAGTACTACGGGGTTCTCCCTCTGATGAATGTGCGAGGTTCTTCATCTGTCATGTCTCCTCCTCCTGGCTTTTCTGGTATCCGAGGCGCTTAGAGTGTTTATCGATCTCAAACTGCAGGCGATACAAGATGCCCTCGATCACGGTGGTTGTTCATCATCAGACTCCTCCAATCCACGTAGAGAGGACCCTCTGGAGCGCCGGCCCAACCAAAATGCGATATAGGATCGGTATCTCAATGGTACCGAACTCGAGGTCCCTAGCCGGGACGGACGTGTGCACTGTGGAGGTACTTTCTAAGAGATACGGGTTTTAGCCCTTTTTTTTTATCGGACGGGGGTACCTTAAGTCAAGGGCTATGCCCCGCAGACGGGTTGCCCCTAATGCCTTGAGAATTTCGGGTCTTCTGTTTGAATCGCTTCTATATATGCTACAAGGAGACCCCCCGCACAGCAGAGTTCCACAGTGGATACGATAGTCCTGAACCGCTCGACTCCTGGTGCCGGACTTTCGGAGGTAAATCACGCTTTGAAGACTAGTATATATAAATGCCCTATGATGGTACACGGAGTCCCCTTGAGCAGTCTTCTCGATGGCAGGTCCTTGATGTGGTGTGTGGGAATGGCCCGATCCTACGGTTCTAAGCTGGGGAGGAATCGGCACGTGAAATGCTACGTGAACGGAGCCAGGCGATTATCAAGAAAGGTAGAATGCCGATCCATGTTCCTCTTGAAATCCATAAATAGAGAGACTATTATTGGTGTTGGCGGCTTTGTCTCAAGGAAAGATGAGACTGCATTACAGCCACAGCGGCAGAAAGAGTTAATCCCCACCCCGTTTTATACAACAAGTCAGGTGCCGCATGCAGGCCCATTGTTAGGAACAGAAGTGACAAGAGATATGCAATCACCGCGTAGCAGGTGTGGCCAGGTGGACATCGAAGAAGCTGTCCATCCACCGACGAGGCTGAAACTCAGGGAATCGAGGGCTGTAGACCGCGGTCTCAACCGGAATTAAAAATTGAGAAAGCAATGCATGTAGTAAAAACTATGATTTAGTAGTCTCTGGGCTCCTCCTGTGGTGAGGAGCGCGGCTGCAAAAAGATGGTCCCAGAGGGGCTCGAACCCTCGACTTTAACGTTATTAGCGTTACGCTCTAACCAACTGAGCTATGGGACCAGTCGATATGTACGGGCCAACTTTAGTGCTAAATACGCCATTACAGACCATCGAGTACAATGCCTTCGAAATAGTAGCAAGAGACCTTGGAGGATTGTATGCGCCCCAGAAAAGTCTAGCTCGTAAAACATCATAGATGTATCTACCTACCTAGCAAAGTGATAATGTTGGTACAGGGCCACCGTCATAACTGATGTGATTGTCATCTGTATCAATGCTCTCTTTGCGGCGAGAACTGTCTCCGGCGTTGAAGCGGGATCGCAACCGCGCGGATATATATATCCGTCGACAGTTAGTGCTGATATATACACCAAGTCAGATATCGAACCACGCAAAGCCCGTTCTCAATTTCAAACACATAATTCCCAAGGAACCACCATCAAAGACTGCAAAGTAAAAAACAAGATGAATATTGCACCCCCAGAACAAATAACAATTGGAGGTACTAGCATACAATCCACACGGCAAACATATACCAAGCATACAAAGACACCAAACCCACAAACCCATACATACTATACAGACATCGCCACTACTCCCCCATATCCTAGCATCCGACCGAACTGACACATCCAATTGTGACCGACCCATTTCCAAAGTTCTCCCCCACTACATCCACCAACCACCCCGCACCATCCATAAAATCCCCCCTTCACAAACAAACACCCTGCTATTACCAGAAAACCAAAAGGACATAAGAAATAAGCAGTCTAACAACACTAACCGGATCCATTCCCTAGATTTTATATATATGCCAAGGTCACATTTAAACTTGCCACGGCGAAGTTTCACCCCTTCCTGGCCTTAAAATATAGCCAGCTGAGGAAACAGCCAGTATGGAAAAGCTGTCAGTTTTTGCAATAGTTCTTATGGCATTAAAACGAGGGACCATACATCAACTGGTCCCATAGCTCAGTTGGTTAGAGCGTAACGCTAATAACGTTAAAGTCGAGGGTTCGAGCCCCTCTGGGACCATTACTTTTTGTTTTTGTTTTTTTTTTTTTCGGGTGCATCTAATCAAACCAAGAATTGAATCATTTGCCGGAGGGACAGAGATAAGTAAGTATGTGGTGCCATTCCTTTTTATCTTCCTCGTCTCTGGCTGTCAGCTGAACGGGCTGGCCGGATTACCATCGGTTGACATGCAACTCATGCAGATTATCAGTCATTGAGGTGTCGATTTCATAAATACAGGATGGATCATATATACATGGCATCTTATGCTGATATGCTCAGTTTGACAGTTCATCAAGAGCCGCTGGCTGCATTAGCCCCTCCGTATATCCTTCATGGCCTCTTCTACCAGCCAGGCACTGACATCCTGTACATCCTGGCCCACCCGCCAGCTACCCAGGACCACGCCTTGCTTTTCCAGAAGGTCATGCGCCCGTTCCCAGCGGCGTCGCCATAGCTCCTCCCGTTTATTGGGTAGTGGAGCAACAGGAACTGCTGTTGATGAGTCGCTGTCTCCGCTAGTGGTCGATTTACTCAGCGACAGGTTCGACTGGGTTGATCGGAGAGCGCTTGACGGGGATGAAGACCAGTTCAGACGTTCCGAGGCATACTGTAGTGCAGCTCCAGCCGCCGTAGCTGCAGATGCCGGATATGACTGTTTCTGGGATGCCGGGCGGTTTGTTCCCTGCTGTGGTGAGGCATCCTCAGTCGAAGCCACCGTGTTGGCCCTACGCGGCGGAGGGGGTGGTGGTGGCTGCTTCGAGCGTGTAGCCCTCGTATCATTGACCTCTTGCGAAGCAGACATAGCATCTGGTATGCTAGGCCTAGGCCGCATCGGCAATTGCCTCATGCTCGAATCGATTCTCTCGGGCGAGATATCTGGCTTGGTCGAAGCACGGCGTGGCGGTAGTGGTGGTACGGGCTTACGTTTGATGGTCTCTTGGAATGAGGGCTGATCGGTATTGGTCGACACCGAGCGCAAAGAAGACGGCTTGGAGGGTTTTGCTGGTGGCACGCGTCCAATGGAGGCCTTCCTCAAATCAGCCAAAGGTACCTTTTGCTCCACTTCATCACGAAGGTCGATCAAGTCGGCATTGTCTAGGCTCACAGCATCTGCAGCCAGATCGGCCGTCTCACGAGGCCGGCGAGGCGGTAATACCGGCCGCTTAGCCACAGCATCCGAATTGGCCGCAAGCTGCGGCGAGCTGCGGCTCCGTGACAGATCATACTCCAAGTGGTCGACGGATTTCTCGAAGAACTTCTTACGGTCAGTAGTGGTAACATCACGGATAAAGATACCGAGAATCCGCCCGGGATTCGCCAACACGATGTCGGTATAAACCTCCAAATCCGCCTCACCGCTATCACCAACCAGGATGAACTTGCGGGTAGGAAAATCTCTGAGAATCTTCTCCAGAGAGCCCCTTTTCCGCTCGGCCGTAGGCTCAAATATACCCTGGAGCATACCGCTGTACTGTTTCAGATGGAAAGAACCAGGGGGAAGCCCGGCAAGCTTAAAGTAGCGGTCCAGAAGTGGATATAGCTGCCATGGCGCATTGGAGACGTAGTGCAGGTCTACCCCCATCTTGGCCAACTTGCCATACCACTCCGTGACACCGTCCACCGTCAACTCATTCAGCTCGCGCACGAACGTATTGCGAAACATCTCCTTGGCCCCGCTAGCAATGGCGGAGTGTTTCACCGTATCATCGATATCACTGATTAAGCTGACACCGGTGGGTTCGATGATTTTGACCTCCTTCATGGCCGAGAGGTCCTCCGAGGCCAGCACCCGAATATGAGTCGGGATAAAGGGCAGACCCGCCCGCAGTTGGAAGTGACCGGACTCATCGGTCATGACACTCCTTGACTGGCTCTTGCCATCATTGAAAAAGAACACGGTGACAGGAATGTTCGTTACCGGGTTGGTAAGAAAGGGACGGAGTCGTTCCATTAGGTGCGCATTAGCGATAGATAGTTCATCCTTGGTCAGCGGTGCAGCGTTGGTGGACCCTGCTGTTGCTGTCCTCTGAAGAGGGCGCCCAGGCACCTGACTTTCGGCACTGTCCTTCCATGCTGAATCGGCCGCCCCTTCTGCCTTCCGGATGATCGACTGTGCCTCTGTGTCGACCAACTCATCGTCTCGTTTGTCATTCCTCGGGTTGTTTCCATTGAGATCATCGCCCTCGTTCGAATTGATCACCGGAGCCGGTACACCGCTTAGCTTCCTAGCGAGAGCAACCATCAAACGATGCTTTCGAGTCATCGGCCCGCGATGAGGTGCGTATACCCAGCCACGCACATCGACTGCAACGATAGAATTCTCGTCTTCAATCTCATCCCACCCAGGCATGGTAGAGCCAAAACCGTCGGTCTCGTCTCGATACTCCTCGATCGTTGCATTCGATCCTCGACGGCGGCTACTGGACAGGTCAGACCGACCGTCCTTGACCAACCGTCTCGCATAGCTCGGAAATATCACCATCTCCTCAAACTCGGATCGCGCGATCTCCACATCGGGAAAAGCCCCCGGCGTATCACGGTAGTCCTCATACTCGCGCTGACCATTGATCTGCGCCGACCATTGCGCAGTGTACGTTTGACGCAGCTCATTAGCAGCCTTCAGGTAGTCAAAGACCTTCTTGCGGCGAGCACCCCGCTCCCGGCCGGTACTAGAGCCCCATGTTGACGAGGATGAAGGGTCGTACTGTGACATTGGCGTCGGACCTGGAGTCTCGCTACCCGCTCGCAGAGCTCTGTCGCTTTGAACCAGCCGCCCCTGGACCAGATCCTTCGTAGCAGTAGCCGTTCGACCCAGGCGATTCCCTTTTCCAATCAGATACCCCAGCACACCCTTCCTGCCAGACCCCCGCCTGCGTGCAAGTCTCCCTTGCCGCTTAACTATTGCCCGGTATACCCTTGCCTGTGCTCGATGTCGAAGGGCGGGGAGTGTTTCGTGACGGAGACTCCAGAGGCGGGACTGCGCACGGCGGGTAACGTGTGGTCCGAAGAGAAAGCGAATAAAATAGAAGAGTTTCCCTTTTCTTGAATCGCGGCTTGGGACGCGGAGCGGAGGAGGAAGGGGTCGATACGGTAACGGTGGCCTGATAGGGGCGCGGGGCGTACGCCAGCGAATGCGAGGAGGTAGTTGTGGAGCCACGGTATTCGATTTGATGAAACGTGTATGAGAGTAGAAGAGTCCTTGATCAGAGGTGGAAGGCAAGGCTGCCTTGCTTGTGGGTTAGCACTTAGCAGATGCGCACCTGAGTGGAGATGATGACGAACCCGGACTCGCAAGGCTGAGGTCACACTAACCGCCGGTCGCAGTCGGAGTGAGAACGGTTCACAAAGGGAAGATGATTCACACCGCGAGCATTGTTAGAAGATGAGGTTCTGTGCAAGGAGAGCCGTGACGACAATTGCGAGGGGAAGTGGGCGATGGCAACGTCAGGTTGGCGGCGGGAAGAAACACCGCGGTGGAGACCTGCCCGATCGGGGAGGTTCTGGCCCGCGAGTCGACATTGGATACTTTTAGCATCATTTCTAACGGCTCAAGATGTAAGAGGAAGTACAAGATATGTATATTCAAGTGTCTATCCAGCGCTTTTAATCCGATTATACGATCAAACCCGAGACATAGCTCTATAAGCCAGGAAATGAGTCTAAACAGGTGTAATATACAGGGTATCAGGCCGAATCTGCATTTTCAGTGTAGTCCACTTTCTTGGCTCGTCGGCTTCGACGAACCCCACTGCCCTGGGATCGCTGGAGAGCTGGCGTTTCTGGAACCTCGGCTGGTTCAGTATCCGAAGCAGACGGAGTAGAGATCGTTGGGGAAGCTTTCCGTTTCCTGGAGACCTGCTTTTTCACACTAGAGGTTCTCTGAACTCGGGGTTTCTTGGAGACCGACGTAGCGATCGCATTACTATCCGGCTCATCCTCTAGCTTTAACGAGTCTTCATTCTCGCTCGTAGCCTTCTTCTTGGCGGGCGTGCGCCGGGGACTCCGGGCAGTTGTTGTGCGGACAATCTTCTTTGGTCGAAGCCATTCCTCCATGCCAGGGGGCCAATAGACCCTTCCGTCGGGACCACCCATGCCCACATCTTCCTCCGGAATGGTCTGAACAGGCGGAATCTGGCCCTCCAGATCGACAAAGCCTCCGTTCTTCTTGGACTTCTTGGGCGGCTTGAATGGCTTGTTCTCATCGTTCCGCACATGAGGTAATATGTCGTTGAAGAGATCGTGGCCAGGCAGCTTGAATGTCCGCATCAATTCGAAAACAGCCTGCTCCTTGTCCTTGGCCTCAATCATCAGGTCCATGGTAGGATCGCAGGGTGGAAGAGTAGACACCCGGGGACTGTGTTTTCGACGCTGACGGTTTGTAATAGCAGACGGGGTTGGTTCGGAATAATGCATTTTCTGCGTGATGTTCTTCCGGGTCCAGGTCGCCTTGATTCGGTCAAACAGTGGCATGATGTCCTGCGTGCCCTCGCGCACTTGGCTCGAATCAAAGATGATATTGTGATGATGAAAGTCGAGAACCAGGGGGATGTTCAACTCTTCGCAAATGGGCAGAAGATCGTGCACCGACCAGCTGACATCATCGTTCTCTAAGACCAGCCGATTCTTGATGTCCTGTGAGAGGCCTCGGTAGTTTTCTCGAAACCGATCGAGAGTGGCTTCTTTGTCGCCAAACACGCCGCCCATGTGCAGAATCATGACAGCATCGCGATCCTGTTGAGGTGGCAACCGAAGCAGCTGTAGCATTTCCGAGTGATACTCCAGATCCCGGATGGAACTTTCCACTACTTCGACTTTCGGGGAGCCCAGTTGGGTGAACTGGCCGGGATGCACGCTCACTCGATGGCCGAGCTCGGCAATGACGCGACCAGCTTCTGCCAGCACATCGGAAGCAAACGGAGCCAGCTTATACCCGTATTCTTTATGACTCGCGAACGGAAACATTTCGCTGCTCAATCGCATGAACTTGATTCCGTAACGATCGTTCCAGCGTAGCATTTTCACCAGATCCCGAGCATTGGTGAGGCCCAAGGCTTCAACGTACGCCTGGCCCCGTGCGACATCCGCAGGCTGATCCCGATCGGGACGGTTCTTGGTCGGATGAGGAGGCTGCGAAGGATCCGAAAGGGGATGGCGATTTTCTAGAATTGAGGCGATACGGCATGTCCGGGAGCAGAAAACGGGCGGGTTCGAGTACCGCAGATACGTATTCAAGCAAGCCTGATTCATCAGCATTTGTTGGAAGAATGACCAAGAAGACTCACGTATCCTAATCTCCCTTTCCACGGGAGGGGCAGATAGCTACTATGGACGGGCGGAGGCCGCGACAGCGCGTCCTGCAGCTCCTCAGCCTCGACCGGTACATCTTCGTCTGACTCTGGATCCATTGAGACATTGTTCTTTGGTTCCTCTTTCACATCAACATCTTGTACCTCGGGAACGCTGCCATTCACATCTTGCAAGATTTCATCGGTTGCCATTGCGGCCTGTGTAATGTCGGAGACCTGGCGCGAACCTGCTGGCGGGAACCTTGAAGGGATGAAGGTTTTCTGTGATGCCGTCACAGGACTAGATGATCGGCAGGGATGGGTGGTAACACTCGAGGCGCGTCTGCGACACACCAAAGGTAGAGAGCCGCAGCGGGTATGGATTGGCGCAGCAGGGAAGGACGGGATCGCCACTTCGAGCAGGGGGATTATCCGCACCGGCGAGAAGTGGCGAACCTGGCAAAAGTGGGAGCCGAGATCCTGGGGGCCATGGTAGCGGCTGGCATGTTGGACGGGAAGAAGAGCGCGATGGAACCTCTGCCTGGGCGAGATCCACAGAGACATCCAGCAGAGGCTTTCGGCTTGTGCAAAGGGTCGTCGAGGAGGATCGTGAGGAAGCTAGGCACGGTGATCACACAGGCGCAGGAGCCGATACATCATGCTTGAGCGCAGGGAAAGGGGGAGGGATGGACAGATGAAAGCGTCGAGATGATGCAACAGCGAGAGCGAAAGGCCGATGAGCGACGCCGATCGGCGCTAGTCCGGTTTGAGGTTGTTCCTGCAGCCGGGCCTTTTCCGGATTAGTCCAGTACCTCCATTCCCCCATACCATGATACGGAGTACTACACGATGAAGTATAGTATTCACTCTACCCCATACTCCCCCATATTATTATTGGATCATGGGCATTCGTAGTCGGACAAGTGGTCACGAGCAATCCCCTGTGCTGCGTATCATCTGATACCAACAATGTCTCCACGTGACACCCATCCTTAAGTAGGCAACAACAATAAAATCAAATAGAAGATTCCTAGAACAAAAATACTCCAATAAGTATTAACATGAAGCAATGCCATATATACCTAATACTTAATAGAATACAGCAAGTCCAAAACCATTAAGCAGCCAAAACTGTGGTATCTTAGTTGTAATCGAGTCATTCATCAATCATCCTCCCAGCACACCGGACTGGAAGCACCCCTCCTTGTCAATCAAGAGTCCTCCCCTTACTTCCACATCATTCAATAATTCCCCGTATATGGCGAGCTTCCATACCCATAAGTCCCATTATGCCCCGCCGTAGCTGTGCCATTATTCACATTACCCCTCCAGGGGATATAACCCCCCGCCGGGGTGGCACCAGCATTGGCACCATGCATCCCATCTTCTTTCTCGGTCGTCGCTCCAGTAGTCCCCAGTTCCACATCCCGGGGTGCCGGGTGCGTAGGAAGCATATCATCTGCGCTGGCCGTTTCAGGGTTATTCTTGTTTCGTCGCCAGAAGGCGAAGCTCCGGGTAGTGCCGGAAGTGTAGCCATTTGCGGGGGAGGGGCCAAAACGCTTCTCACGTTTGTGGTGTCGGGCGTAGAGAATTTGAAGAAGTATCGAAATCAAGAAGAGGAAACTAAGGTATCATTAGCATCACGTTGGTTTTGAATAGAAAATTTTAGGCCAAAGAGGAAAAATAGGCACCTACATCCCAATGATCGACACTGCAAAAGCAGCCTTCTCCAGCTCGCACGCATAGTGGTAGCTCGTACCAGACGGCGAGTCATCGCTGGCATTCCCCGTCCCGAGAGGGGTGGTCACGCGACCCGAGCAGCTTTGGGTACCGTGACGGGTCATGATGGCAATGGCGATCATGGCCCCGATGAAGCAGACATCGAGGACGATGGCAAGGAATGCGAAGAAGGCCACGCCGCCGAGACAGCAGGTGAAGAGGATCCCAAGGATGCCGTAGAGGGCGGCGGCACCCGAGAGACCCTCGGTGGCCTTTATCCAGCGTGGGATGGTCTGGTCATGTCGAGCAAGGACGGCAAGGAAGTAGGAGAAGATGCCGAGGATGACGGCTGCGTCGAGAAACTGGAGGACACGGATGGAGAGGTTGGAAGTACGAAGAAGGACGCCGCCGAAGCCCATGTTCGGCGGTTGATGTGATGTTTGATGTATATAGTGGTGCCTTGTGAAGGACTTTGGTATAAGTTGATATAAGGGTGGTCAGATAGAGGCTTAAGGCTTTAGACCAGAGATTGGTGAAATGTTTAAGGCTTAGATCAGGGTCCTCCCGCGATATAAGCTGGGGGAACGACAGAGTTTGTTGGTGCGAAGGCAGCGAAATAGCGATGTTCGTTGGGGGTGTAGGCGTCGCGGCCAGCCGATCAGTGGATAAGGACGGGCTTCCTGGATGCTTCCAGGGCTGTGGATGGCCGGACCACGAATGACGACACCGGCATGGACGGCGGTTATTGGCTACGCGGAGATGCCGCGGGCGGGGCAGCAGCAGCACCAGCCACGCCCCGGCCGACGTGATGTCATTTTGGAAGCACTGATTGGACCGACGCACCGGTCTAAGCCTTGTTGGATAACCTCCACGATTGACACCGCCATGATTTTGGCTCGGAAGCTCTGGAATCACATGTGGTGGTCCACTGAATGCCGAAAATAGGCAGGAGGCCGCATTGGGAAATTCCTTGTCGGATGATCCCAATCTTGCCGTTTCGCATCGGGTATCCACTGGCTCTGGACCATGAACATGGTTCTGATGACACAAAAAAAGCATATGACATGATAGACAGGCTGCGGCCCCATCCCGGAGGATATAAAGCCCGAATGGGAAAAAGCAAAAAGATGGTCCCAGAGGGGCTCGAACCCTCGACTTTAACGTTATTAGCGTTACGCTCTAACCAACTGAGCTATGGGACCAGTTGATATTTATTGTTTCTAGTTCATGCTATATTAGCAAAATACGGCTGTAAGCACTTCGTTGCTCCCGTCTGCCTGAGGCCTCGAGCACGGTTGACCATACTTCAACCATGACCTCTCCTTGGCGGTTGTGTTGGCGATACCTGCAAGTGAATCGATGGTCATACAGCAAATGTATTTGTCACTACCTTATTTATTGTCCATCTATAGCTACCGATGCAGACACTTGATATGACTCGGTAGGCAGCGAATATATTTCTGGAGTGAGGCTGATTCAACTGCAGACAAAATAAGCTTTTGTGGCTGAGCCAGACCGTGGACGCGCAGTAGCCAGAACATTCATCTTCAGCTGCCACTTGCCCCATTTTTACAGACTGCTTATCGAACAAGGTGCAAAGAGAAATGAACCACCCACTTCACTTGCCCGGAAAGGCTCCTGACTGGCCACGCCGATTAACATCATTGACATCGACGGTTCTCAACCGATTCAGTGTCATGAAGGTATTTAGATAGACGATGCCATTCAACAATAAACGGAGAATTTGGACTTAGCTACAAGTGATACTAGTGAAGCATTCCAGGTCACTGCGAGGCTGTCGAAGAGAGCGTCATAATACTGATTGAGATGTCGCTAGGGACAGTTACATATCGTTTCGTTCGACCTGTCTTTTTTCGTTAATACGACCTACTCACCACTCACCAACAGGATTCCAGACTCAATTTCTTTGAACTATTATTCCACAACCTTTCCACATCAGTCCACCCTATTCCCTATTTTCTTTGCTTTTGGGTATATATATCCGTCACAACTAGTATCAACCTACATTTCACAATGACGAAAATATCGAGAATAACCTAGTTCCGTGGCAGAGTTGAACATCAAGAACCTCAATCAAACCCAGAAATTAGTGCCAGGGGAATTATACTCCGTTGTCGAGCCGATGCGGCCGCAATGCGCAAGCAAACGTCTCAGACATCCACCAGCAGAGTTAAATGCAGGGACATTAGGCGTGGGGCGCTTGCTAAGATTGCGTCGAATTCTTTTGCTGGGCTGCCGAGAAACATGTCTGGAAAATGAAGTATAGGGTTTCAAAGCATGCGTGTGTGGCTGTTATCAGGTGGTTGGCATCTTTTATCCCTGTTTGTTTGTTGGATGTTGGTGCAGGGGAATAAGAGGCTATCTATGGGTGGGTGGGGGGAGGAAATGTATAGAAATTGCCCACTCCGCCAAAGGCACTGGTGTTAGTGCGGTGTGTCCTACCTGTGTGCGGACGTTATTTCTGGATGTGGAATCCGAGAGAACTTGTGAGGAGGGGGGGGGGGGTGGAGGTCGTGGATACGACCATGTATTTGTTGCATCCATGGACACCCAGGAGCAAACAATTTTTGACTGGGAGTACAATCGAACGGACGAAGTCAACTGCAGCAGACTTTAACGTTACTTTACTGTCTATCTTCATTTCTTCTTCTGCGTTTTCTTACTTTTTTCTCGTCTTTTTTTCTTTATAAATTTTTGTTTCATGCCTCTGCGACAGCCCTAGCATATCGACCAGGACCGGAGATCATACATACCGAGTTCTCATGGTTCATTTATCCACGCAATCTATACTGTCATGCGAACAAAATCCCCTAGCGCATCCAAATAAACCAACTGTGCCACAACAGCAGCCATTTCACATTGTTGTCATTTTTTCGGTCGTGTGCTCAGATGAAATCCCTATAGAGGATGTGGAAGTAGCCCCCCACCCGCCCAGATCAATCATGGTTCAAGGCTTGTGGGAGGTAATGAAAGAGGTGATGTAGGGGCTCTTGTTGGACCCGATGGTCATGAGCGGATTATGTTATTCGAAGTAGGTATCTGTTGTGGCAATGATGTGTTTTGGGCTGTGTGGGCGGTTTTGGAAGGTCGGGATGGTTATGGCTGGCTGGGGTCGAGGAGAGGGGACATACTAGGGCTCAGGGAAGGGCAGCGGGGCATACACAGTACATGTAGAAGACTTGCGTATGCTGATGAGTATTTCTGAAGTTAAGAGAGAAACCACATGGCCCTTGTCTCTTCCTGTTCATGGCCTTTCCTCCGTATGGTGACTACTTGATATCGCCGACGAGCATGACGGACCCCGCTCAGTCCACGTGGTGCCGGACTGAGACTGGGATATGCCTTGAGATCATACTCGCGGTGGCAGAGGTGAAAAACGTGGCTGGGATGAGGCCCAAGTGGTCGGCCACCAAACGCGTGGGGGCCGCGCGGGGTTCGGGCTGCCCTAACTGCCCGGTTCGGCGTGCTGCGCTTAGCCCACCACCTTTTCGCCCCCATATGAAACATTTTGGCCCCTAGCGAGCATGCAGTGCCCCCAAGGGACTAATGTGCCCGCCAGTCGTAATGGAGAGAAATTCAGAAGCTGTGCAGTGTGGCGAGATTGAATAGCGACCAGCCCTGCATCGCCCGAATCATCCGTCACAATGGATTCATTTATGCTCCCTTAGTGGTGTGCTCGTCTAGTTGTGCAGTAGTCAGAGTATAGTGTGCATGTTGCAAGCAGTCCAAGGTCCTGGAACTGTCATGCTACCATCTTGGGAGTATGGTATGTCCAGGTCCCGGAAGGTTCGGCTTCTTCGCGGTATTTGCTAAATGCGGCTGACAATGGAGCCGTCACTCTCCAAAGCAACATGGTGATCGGAAGCACCAAATGTGACCGCAGTGAGACCGATGCCAACAATCGGGCGCTCACTAGTGAAGGATTCGAGTCAAGGCATACAGGCTGTGGAACCACCAGACAAGCCAGTAAGGCTGAAAGCCAGAGCCTATAGCAGAATTGCTTTGTACAGTAGTGTTGGTATGCTTGTGGATCCTTCAGACAAGTACCTCGGCGTGTCCGACCGCACTTGCTCGCTCCCACTTGATCAATGGAGGGTATATCGAGAATCCTTCATGAACCTATGGGTCGAACGGACCTCCTTCCATTTTGGCAACTAGCTGCAATCGCTGCTGTCCCTGATATGTCCCACAGCCGTGTGGAAGAGCGGATTGGCTGATCTTGGTCTTTGCTGATCGGAAGGCCGTAGATAGGCCCTGACGGAATGGACTTATAGCGGTGGAGCAGTCACATCTAAGATAAAGTCCGAGCAGTTAGCCTATGTCAATTGGCCAATTGGAATGCTGTTCATCTGTCATTACATCAGAGTTGCGGAGTAGCCTTCAAAAGCTATCTCAAACAGACTGCTGGACGATCAAACCAAGTATAAATTTCCCTTGAGAACAAAAGGCTGAACCACGTGGAAAGAGCATTGACAAAAGCTCTGAACCACCCTGCTGGTATCCTGGTGACAACCCTGCAGTTTAGCGTCGACCCCAAGATCGTGCAGATGGCAGCGGGGGCCATCATGGCCTCTGATGAGTAGGTAATGCAAGAAGTCCCTTGTGCTTCTATGCTACCGGGGGTGACTGCATCGGGTATCCACGGCAACGAGATAATTTTGCGGGGACATGCTGGTCCAACGATAGACACTCCACTTGATCGATTTCCAGAAGATGTGGACACTAGGAAGGGCCATAGGGGATAACTTTTCCGATTAAGTAACAAGAGCTATGCCTTTCGGATCGATACCGTTGACCGATGGCTCGCTGGCAGAGCTGAAGACCGGAGTAGCGAGTCCACTAGCACTCCACGCTATGAACTGCGAAGGGCATGTGCTTTGACTCTGCACGGAGGCAACTGAAAACCAGGGGTTATTGAGCTGGATAAAGAGCCGAGATTCTCCCCAGTAAGGCAGCCACCGTGGCGTTCAATCATGAGAGGACAAAGAATGAGATCCACTAGGAGAAGGGGGAGATTGCAGGGGATAAGACCACCAAGCAGGTGGTCATCCCCCGTCTAGTACCCCATCCTTTGGTACAAAGGTCCTCTCCTTAATTAATCTTTAACCCGTTGAAAACATCGGAGCCAGCGACTCATGATGCTGCCTGGCTTCACTTCAGCCGGCCCCATCACGTGGGGTCCACGTGGCCGGGCTCGGTCGCGACTTTCCCCTCCTTTTTCCTTCCTCTCATTGCATCTTCAGTGCATCTGCATCTGCATCTCCATTCTCGACAGCCACCAGATCAATTCGCTCGGGTGCAGAATGTTGCCTGTGCCTGAGCCAGGGTCTGAATGAAGCTGGCAGATGATCGCCTGTTTGGGTCGATCCCGAGTCCCGAGCTGTCTTCCAGACCAAGCTCGTCCCATCTCCGGCTCAGGATCGACGGACGCGTCGGCATGTCAACTTGCTGGGAAAAGGTCGGCCGGGAGCGACCAATCAGCATGATTTCCCAGGGATTCATCCGGCGTTTCTGGTACTTTGCAGCCACTTGCTCCAATGAGGGGCTAGTCAGCATCCGTTCCCTGGCCGGACAGCTGGGTTAGGGAGTTCCTCCGTGGTGGGCGGGTCCTGCTGCTACCTTAACTGATCAAGTCTTGATTATGCTTAATATGATTTGATAGCTGCCTGATGATTGCTGGAGGTCTGTGAATTCATAAAATCACACCACTGCCTTAGCCACGTGTGGCCCATGGAGCTTGGCTGATAAGCCCTGTTTTGGGGCCGTGGAATCCTTCCAGGTGGATTGCTGACACTCATGATGAGCATCTGCAGGATTTTCTGCTGTCGGCCCCAGGGTGCCGACAAGAATTGACGGGTTCCAGGCGACTTTGCATGTCCCGAATCGAGCACCAGGGGGAAAAGTCTGGTTGTTAAGCTTCCCCCGTTGGTCGGAGCGCGTTTCACCGAGACAGCTAATATCCGACAGCCACTTAGCGCGGGTCAAATGATTAACCTGATTAACCTGGACTGCGCATCGTTTGCAAGGCACTCAAAGTCTGACAGGCCGGGTGGAGACCGTTGCCAATGCGCCCCCACTCTGCTTAGCCATGGCCGGGAGAAACCCGGTGATCCTGCTTGGGTCCCTAGCCAGGCGACGCAACCGTGCTGATTCTAGAATCCATGCCGTGCTGGTGGAAGGATAGGAATCGCCCCCAGCATCGCAGTTGGGATTACATCACTAGCTTGCGCTAGGGTCTACAGCCACCATCCTCGCACCGGCCCTTCGCGCTCTATATTACCTGCCCACTTCTGGCCCCTAAACAATGGATCGATCAAAACCCCGATGGGCCCCGGAGCCAGTCTGCCGTCCGCCCTGGGAATCGTTTCTCCCACGATGCCTCTGCCTGGACTCGATCGTCTGTAAAAGTCGCGGATATGTCCAGTCCCTTCGGTGAGCCGCCCAAGGGCATTAATCTCAAGGAAAGCAGCACGGCGCGGAACGATGCCGTCGTCATCTCGATGTACATGCTGGCCGCGATCACCATTTGCTTCCGGTTGTTTTCCCGGAAGATGGTCCAGCAAGCCAAAATAGGACTCGATGACTGGCTGATAGTAGGAGCCCTGGTATGTTGGTGTCCTTCACCCGGAGCCCATTGTCCTAATCAAATCACAGTCGTCAGGTACCGCCAATATGGCCTGTGCGATAGCCGGTTCGTATCCCCTTTCTGCATGACAACCCATCATATTGACCCTATCCCTAGGAGGACGCTATGGCCTTGGCAAACATATCTGGGTTGTCTCAATAGAGGACATTGTCCGTATGGTGCATGTAAGATACCTCCGGTAGCCAACCTTGAAAACTTGTCAAAGCTCACACCGTACTAGATTCTTTACGCAAATGTCCTCCTGTATATCCTTACGGTGCCCCTCATCAAAATCTCCATCATCCTCTCCTATCGTCGCCTTTTCGGCATGCAGTGGACCATGTGGGCCTGCATCGTCCTCTCCATCGGCTATTGGATTGGCTGCACAGTGGCCTTTCTTTGCGCGTGTAAACCAATCTCGTACTACTGGACGCAGTACGAAAACCCTGCGGGCGGTCACGTCGTCTATAAAATATATCCATTCTACATCGCCCACGCCGTCGTCAACATGGCTGGCGATCTTCTCATTCTCCTCGTTCCGATTCCGCTTGTCTGGCGATTGAAACTCCGAACCGCACAGAAGGTCCAGATCCTGAGCATCTTCCTTCTCGGTGGCTTGTAAGAACCCAACCACATCCTGCACCCGCAGCACCAACTGACTGTCAAACTAGTGTCTGCGTCGCCAGCGCCATCCGCATCTATTACTTCACCTTTGTCAACGACGTCGATGCCACGTGGAACCTGGGCAATGTGTTCATCTGGTCCAGTGTCGAACCCTCGATTGGAATTGTCTGCGCTTGTCTCCCCGTTCTTCAACCGCTCTTCCGGAATATCATCAACCGCCACGCGAATTCACCCAAGCGGACCACCAAAACCACTAAGAAAGGGGTCCGATTTGCCCCGGATATCATGAGCAAATTCAACGGCGACGATCGACGGCAGCGACGAGAGGACGAAGCCGTGTTAACGACGACATCCGTCCATGTCGAAATGGAAAGCGTCGGCAAGGGAAGACTGAGTGACGAAGAAGATCCATACGATATAATGTCCATCAAGGTGCAGAAGGATTTCCAAATGGAAGAAGAGCACCGATAATTGATTCCTTCATCTTTTTGTTTTGTTTATATCAGCGAGTGCTTATGGGACGGTCTCTCTTACTATTACTCTTCTCTACTCTCGTTCTTGGTTCATGGGTGGTTATATCCTTTCTGTATATACATAGACACATACCTACCTCACGGTAATACCATTTCAATAGAGTATCTATAATACTGATACCTTTCTCCGCGTAGAAGGGCACTGGAGTACACATCGACAATTCAAAGTGACATCACCCGACGGATTTACCACCACTTCCCCGCAAATATCCAACAACCCCCTGTTCCTCCCCCATTACCTAAAAAGGCAAATGATCAACATCACCGCCATCCACTGTAATTTCTACCAGGGGTTGAAGGTGGGGATGTCTTGCTTGCATTCCAAGACATGACACTTACATATAAATAGTAGTAACTAACATGCTATGATTCAATATACATAGTCCTAGTAGAAAGACCCCAGAGTCTAGTTCGTGGCATGGGTGGCTGCATTCGGAGATCAGAAACGGTGTTCAGGTTTAGACTTCATTCTGTTTGAGTTTAGAATTCCATTGATGTCTTTTTTTGACTTTGACGTTAATGTTGATGCTGACCTCGCCTTGGGGGGTTTGTTGGAATAAGTGGACGTGGTACACGCCCCAGCCCAGGAATCCGTCTCGTGGGATGTCATGGAAAGAGTTAGGAGTAGTCCTTACTCTAAGAAATGCTAGGTATTTTCTGAGTTCTATTATCTATTCCATGGGTACAAGAGATTGGGATGTTAAATCGACAAAACGGGATGGAATCATATGATCCAAGTAATAGATAGTCTAGAACGATGCTCTAACCAAACCAAACAATAAATATCACAGAGAAAATCACAACCAAGTCATAGTAACAAATCAACTGTACATGCAAAATCAACACTAAATCACATCTATATCCGTGTCTATATGACCCTTCTTTCCTACTATCTTCTTCCTTTTGTCGGGTCGATTTCATCGTCCGTATTTAGTTCCTTTCTCACGGCAACAACCCCACAATCGTCTGAATCTCCATCGCTATGTCATCAACCAGGGCATTCACCCCCTCCTCATCCAAGACTCCACCCTCAACACGCACTCCAAACCCAATCGAATCCGAATTCACGTCCGGTCCCACATCAATAAACACATTCTCCGAAGGCAAGTAGCTCGTATCCAGAGCCGACACGGCCGTGACGGCGTCCGCTAACGGTTCCGCAGGGATAAAGTCCGTCGGGACACCGATGCGCAGCGGGATGAAGAGATCGTCGGGGTCTGGGACCGCCTCGGCCGGGGATGGGATGGCGGTCTGCATCCAGAGGAGGTTGACCCAGGTGTTGAAGAGGGGTTTCTCGGGGGTGGTGGTCCATTGGAGGACGTTGCGGAGGGAGCTTTGTTCGTAGGAGACGCGTTCCGCGAGGGAGGATTGAATGGCGCGGGCTTGAGTGAGGAGGTCGGTGGGAGTGGTGGTGGAGTTGGGGTTGGCGTTGGGGATGGTGAAGGGGTTTACGTTGAGGCAGGGACCGGAGAGGCTTTCGATGTTGTTGAATGAGGCGGATCGGCCGGTTTGGTAGAGACCCATGGTTGAGTTTTGGATGTCGGTGAGCCGGGCGATGCAGCGAGCGATGGCGAGGAGGACGACGGTTTGCAGGCTGAGGTTGGAGGAGCGGCATTTGGTTTCGAGTTGGGAGAGGTTTTGGACCTTTTCCCAGGCGCCGATGAAGAGTTGGTCTGGGGTGGGGGTGGATTTGGAGCGGGAGTTGCGGATGAGAGTCGGTGTGGCGGCTTTGAGAGCGGAGGACCAGTATTTCTGTTCGTCGAGGTTCTGGAGAGAGCGCATGGAGAAGTCGACGAACGCAGGGAAGTCGGGGTTGGTTTCGGGAGCTTGGCGCTGGTAGAGTTGTGCCAGCTCGGTGACAAACATTGGCATGGTCCAGGCATCGTATGCGGCGTGGTGGATGAGGATGAGGATGCCGTCTCTGTCCCTGGCGTTCAAAAGGCGGAGTCGGACGGGAGGGGAGAATAGGGTCGATGGGCGAAGGGCCTCTTCTCTGGCCTGTGCTTGAGCTGTTTCGATGATGGAGGCAGAGGACTGGATGATCTTGAAGGTGTTCGTGTCACGCATGGCCTGTTTGAGAACGACCTGCACGGCTTCGGACGAAGATGTCGCTGCGAAGCAAGTGCGGAGGATCGGGTGTCTTTGGCGGAGTTGGAACCAGGCTTCCTCCATCATCGCGCCGTCGATGCGCTCGGTGCAAAAGTATGCCCAGGCAGGTTCGAACAGCGTCCGTCCAGACTTCAGCCAGCCGACTAGATGATGAAATTGGCCACCTAGACAAGGTAGGATGGCCTCAACAGAGTCCCTACTCAGGTTCAGCTGCTGGAGTACGGTCTTCTCTACCTCCTCGTACTTTTGGAATAATGAGCCTGGAGGTTGGACTGTCTCCTCGGACATTGGCCGGATGCGCTGGCTGATACCACGCAGAGTATTTCCTTGGAGAATGTCGGCCACACCAGTCCTCAAGCCCTTAGACCGACAGATCGAAGCGATTCGGATAGCTGACAAGGAGTCTAAGCCAATATTGAAGATGCTTGTGTTCGGTGTGATGTGGTCGACAGAAACACCGGCAATTTCGGCCAGCACGGACTGGACGATGGCTTCATGGGGAGGTGCTTCGGATGCCTCGGGGTCGGAATCGAGAGACTGCTCCACGGACAACTTGACTGGGAGTTCACCAAGACCGTCGGGCACAACCGTAGCGCATCTGGTTGGATGTTCGATGATGTCACGGAAAACAGTAGCATACTGATCCAGGAGATGGTCAAGCGTTTCTTGGGAAATGTAACGGCCATTGCAAGTGGCTCGTACGACAAGTCCGTCACGGGCATGATCGACTTCGATGTTGAGCTTGTATTCGGCCTGTGCCGCATAGTCATCCACTTCATAAGGCGTCCAAATCTGTTGCTCTTCGATGACACTGCCCGCAAAGTCCGCACTCTTCTGGAAAACGAAAAGAGTGTCGAAGAGACCAGACGAGGTCATGTTGGCCTGCCTTAAAGAGTTTTGTACAATTCGCAACGGCGCGTGCTGATAGTCCTGCGAGTCGATCGTAAGCTGCTGCACCCGCTGGGCCATGGCTTTGTTGCTCAAGAACTTGGGCTCGAAAGTGACTCTCTGAGCGACGGTGTTGAACAATGGACCAAGGGTTCGTTCTGCACCAGCGACGGGCAGTGAGCGGCCTGCGAGAACTTGTCCAAAGGCGACATCTCGCTTTCCGAGCACACTAGCTAGCACCTTGGCGTATGTCAGGAGGGACACGCTTTGAACAGTAACCTCCATGGCCTTGCAAGCCTCAACCACGGCCGACAAGTCAAGGTCCACCCGGCGCTCAGAAAGGAACATGCGGTCGGATGACTCAAGCTCAGGCAGTTCAGGTATATCAGTCACTTCGTATCCGAGTAGAATTTGCGTCCAGAAGTTGCAAGCTTCCTCCTGCCCGCTCAAGATATGCTTCACCGTTTCCGAGAACTGTGGCCTTTCCGAGGGGTTGCCACCCTCGTAGCACACCGCCAGATCTTCGAAGAGTAAGGGGATCGATGCACCATCATAGAGAGCGTGATGTAGGACAATGACAAGTAGTCTGCCTTCCGGCTGGTTGACCAGAATGGACCAAATCGGCGGAACCTCGAATGAAGACTCGTCGTTGAATGTATACAGAGAGCCGACCTCGGACAACACATCAGCGCCAGAAGGCAACGTGATCTCCTTCCATTCAAACGAAGAATTAGTATGCACGGCACCAATCCAAGAGGATCCAAGCTCTGCGATCTGGTGGAAGGATGTACGCAGAATATCATTCGCCTCGATAACTCTAAGAAGAGCGTCCTTGAGCCGGGTAGTATCGACCGAGTCCTTCAGCTGAATCGGGTGCGGGTGAACGTAGACCTCTCCGGACGAACCAAGAGTCTGAGTGATCATTCCGGACTGCAGGGGCGTAGTCTCGAACATCACCGAGATCGAGTCATCCTCTGCCAGAAGGCGGACGTGGTCCTTATAGATGTCAACGGGAATCTTGATACTAGTCTCGTCACCCCCATCGACTCCGTTGACGAGAGAGCGACTTGAAGCCTGCTCCACATGCCGAGCCAATGCACCGACACAAGAGAAACGCATGACGTCGGCAGAAGAGACCTGAAGCCCTCCTTCGCGTAATTGGCGCGCAAATTGAATCGCCGTCACCGAGTCGACGCCCAGACTCAGGAAAGAAGCGCCCTTGGTGACCTCAGCTGAAGTCAACTCGCAGAAAGCCATTGTATAATCACGGATCGTTGTTTCTGTGGGAGACCATGTGTTGTCATCCCACTGCACGGCAGAAGGTGAGTCAGGCACCGATGAGTGAGAGACATTGAAGTTCTCCAACGAAAGGCTCTCTCCTGATACGACGCTCGAGAGCACAGCATCCATTTTCTCGAGGAAGTCGTCTCCATTGTACGAGGAGCCAAAAGCAGAGGAGAAATAACAGCCGAGTTGAACCGTGTCCGTGGCATGGTTGGCTTCGACCTCGACTGCCAGCGGATACTCGGCAGGCATATGACTGTCAAGCTCCTGCCATAAGTGGTGTTCTGATGGCGTAGTAGTCCGAATGTATGAGAATAGACAGTCGAACAGAGGAGTCTTTGCGTTGGTCCATCTCTGTATATGCCTCAGGGAAGTGTGCTGGAAATCAAGCGACCTCACAGTAGACTTCTGAACGTTCTCCACCACATCATCAACCGTGTTTAGGCCAGCGGTATCAAGGCGTCCGGGCACGGTAGTGATGCAAGGGAGAAGCACGGAGGATGCTCCTGGCACCGGCACGGCCCTACCGGAAAGCACCAATCCGTACGTGACATCTGCCACACCCACAGTATCGGCTAGTAAAAGTGCGAAAATTGCCTGCACCAAGGATGGTACTGTAGTCTGGAGAGTCGCAGAACGGCGTTCCAGCTCAGAAAGCTTGCTACTGAGCTTCCTGTGTACGGCAATCGGAAGTTCCATGACACTGGGGTCAGCACGGAAGATCGTAGGATGGCACCCCTCCAGATATTGGACCCAGTGTTGCTTGGCTTTCTCCGTATCCTGAGCGTATATATACTCGAGGAAAGCCGACGGTGACCCTCTTTGGGGAATTGGCTGAGCTGCATAGTGTGCTGCAACATCCTCCAGTAGCATCATGAAAGACTCGCCATCATATAGGGCGTGATGAATGTCGATGAAGAGAGCAAGCGGTCGTTTGGTTTCCGAGGACTTGGCCAGTAGGAACCGCACTGGTGGCGTCGTGGAGATGCTCGAAATAATGTCCTGGGAGATTTGGCCTTGCTTTGCTCTGTTCAGTTCGATCGACTCAGTCAAGCTACCATATACCTCCTCCTGCCATTGGACCTGGTGGGAGTCGGCTGTGAAGACGACCTGCACCATCTGCTTGTCCAAAGGAGCGAACGAAGTCCTCAAAATATCATTTTCATTAACAACAGCCTGCCACGCGGATCTCAGCTTATCGGCATCGACATCAGCCCCGAGTTGGAGAACAACGTGGTTGACATAGAGCTGATCCCCTTCGCTATTGATCGAGCGCGCGACCAGACCTTCCTGGAGCGGGAGACACGGTCTGACTGTAGACACATCAGACGGCTCGACGCCTGACGAGGGGTGTTGTCGGTATTGAGACTCAAGTTCATGGAAGGCCTGTCGTGTTTTGGAGACAATGCTCTCTGTTTCCGATAAAGAGGAACTCTTAGGCAAGCGTGCCAGCTGCTCAATGACCGGATTGCTCATGACCATGGCGACCGTAACTTCATAGCCAATTCTCCGGAGCTTGATCGTAAGTCCTATGGCACTTAGACTGTCCAGGCCAACCTCGAAGATATTTGTCATGGGCCCAAAGATGGAGGGATCCGCCGACACAACACTGCAGACCTCCTTCACGGCAGCTTCCTCATCGGCAGTCAAAGACCGGTTGATAGTGGCACCGTTACTTGGCGAGTTGTTGCCTTGAAGGACAGTAGGGAGTGGAAGGCTCGCGAAGAGGCTGTGCAGCTCTTTGATACTGGCCTTGCCTGACATTGGTGCCAGAGGAATATACGTGATCGGGAGAATGAGCTCAGGCACCATGTAACTCGGCAGCTTTCTCTTGCAAATGTCTTGAAGTTCCTTGCCCAATGTTCCAAAGTCGGATTGAAGAAAGGTAACATTCCCACTCTTTTCACGCTGGCGAGTTTCAGAACGCGCAATGAAAGAAATCAGCTGGACTCTCGAAAGACCAGGGTGTTTGGCAACAGTCGTAACAACATCAATACTGACAGTCGACGATGAGCGAAGTACCTCGGATACCTCTCCAAGTTCTAATCGTTGACCACGGATCTTGGTTTGGTCGTCGGCACGGCCGAGATACTCGACTGAGTCGTCGGGCATCAAGCGTCCTATATCACCAGTACGGTACATCTTCTCACCATGAGGTCCGATGACGAACCCGGTTGCATCTGGTCTATTAAGATATCCCCTTGCAACAAGGTCCCCAGTAAAGCACAGCTCTCCAGCCTGGCCCCTCAGAGCATAGTCAAGAGTACCAGGGATAAGGACGTGACAAACACAGGCGGCCAACGGGGGTCCAATGTTGCGGAGGTTAGTGTCCTTTCCAACACGAGCAAAGGTGCAGCCAATGGTCAATTCAGTCGGGCCGTATGCGTTGACAAGCGCCATGTGTGATGCTGCCCATGTGTCCAACACCTTTTGTGAGATCTTTTCACCTCCAACAGTCATGAACCGCAACTTGGGACATTGTTCGGGGACAATGTTTGCCTGGTCCACAAGAGATGGCACCAAACTTGCATGTGTGATGTCCCATTTGGAAAGCGTTAAGCCAAGATCGTCCAGAATCATCATCCTAGGAGCTGTCGCGGTGGCCATGCCATGGCGCCAGGGGAAGAACATTTCCAGGAGATGGGGATCAAAGGCCCGGCTAGCCTGTGCAAGGTATTTCCCAGTGCCGCCCAACTCGTACGTAACAGGGGCATATCCACATGTGAATTCCCCGAAGGATTCGATAAAGGCCGAAAGGTTGCCTCGGGTCACCATCACACCCTTGGGTTTACCTGTCGAGCCGGATGTGAAAAGCAGATATGCCAGGTCGTCGGGGTCAGAATGATAGTCTTGGTTTTCGGTTGGCATTGTGGCAAGGGAGGTTGAAAGCTCCGGATCATCGATACAAATCACGCGACAACTGTTCGGGATATTTGCAAATGTGGCTGAAAAGGCTGTTTCCGTGAAAACAACAGGGCAATCACTATCCTCAATGAGGAATGTCTTGCGGTCTGTCGGAAGACCCTCTTCAATTGGAAGATACGTGTTCCCTGACTTGAAGATACCGATGATGATCGGATATGAAGGCAGGTTTCGCCCCGAGCAGACTGCAATCATCCTGTTCTTATGGCCGAGAGACGCCAAAAAGGCCGCAACACGATTTGCTTCAGAGTTCAGGGTACCGTAGCTCATGGTCTCCTTTTCCACACCGCTCGAGGATATGCTGCTAGCCACCTCAACAGCCGTCCAGTCAGGGTGTTGCTCAGCGTATACCTCCAGCCAGTGCGTTGGACTCATGTGCACCGAGTTCGCTACTTGCTCGCTGACCGGCTGGTTCGATAGAGACCGCAAAGCCGCTGGGAAACAGTTGATGAGGCTTTTCAGTGGTTCATCCGGAGACGCTATCATTGAACTGATAAGACCGTCAATCTGACGAACGAAAAGAGACAACTGCGCCCGGCACATCATGCTGCTGTCTGCAGTTGCCTCGAGGACGATGGAGCCATCCGTACGTTGGAAGACGTTCATGGCCATGGGGTGCTCAACATGCAGGCCGACCTCATCTTCAAGTTCACGCCAAATGCTTGACTCGGTGACGTTCACAGGCTCTTCATTTGCAACATGGAAGTTGAACACTGCTGGATAGAGGGGCTCTCCCCTGGGCCTGTTGAGCCATTTTCGAACCACACGAGCATGGATATGGCGGTACTTCCAGGACTCAACAGAAAGCCGATGCTGCTCAGCGAGAAGCTCACGAGTGGTACCTGTTGGATTGAAGGGAATCGGTACCACTGAGATGAGTGGCCCGATGCAGTCTTCCAGGTCGGCGTGCAAGACTCTGTCAGAGAGGGTCTCGGCAAAAACAGTGGCTGGCACACCGAGGTAACCCAACGAGACATAGGCCCATGCAGCTCGAATGATCGAGGCGATGGATGAGACTCCAAGGTAAGATGCGAACAATTGTAGCTTTGCAACCGGCTCTGTCATCGGAAGCTCCTCCGAAATCAATTCGTGCCTGGGGACTTCTCCTGGTTGCAGTCTCTTTCCGGTGAGATCAGGCCAAACCGGGGCATCCAGCTCTGAGAATTCCTTGAGCTCAGCTTCCCAGAAGCTCTTGGTTGCATTGCTTCTCTTCTCTGCCGGCAGGACTATTGAGAGTGCGTCACTGAGTTGATGCCTCGCGGGCGGTTTATAGGCATAAGCGGATCGCACATCATCCATGATTAGTCCCAGTGAAGGCTCATCATGGATGGAGTGGTGGATGGTAAGAATCATGAGCTGCCTCGCGCCTGTGTCGAATACAGTGACAGCCCATGGGGGATGTCTGAAGTAGTACCGTTGATGTCTCGTCATGATTTCCTCGATCCGATTATCGCGAATCTCCACCAAATCCTGCTCGGAACAATTGACATATTCCCAATCCAGATCCGGCAGATTGTAGATAATCTGCAAAATGGAAAAGTCAAGCGTTCCATGGGACCGAGTGTTCCCATTGTCAACCTCAGCAACAGGAATAAAGCCAGTCCGCAACGCCTCCACCTTCTGGCTGGTTGCAAGCCAGGCCTGCTTCAGTCGCGTTGCATCCACTGAGCTGTCAAGCAGAAAGAAATGGTTGCTCCAGTACATGTTGTATGTACCCATTGTCTCACTGAGCAGACTTTCCTGGATCGTGGTCGCGCGCACAGTGACGAAATCCTCCGATACTCTACTTGCTGCCGCGGTGTGCCAGGCATCGTTGAACCCACTGACGTTGAATGTCTCAAAAGTGGACTTTTCCACCTCCCCAGATGAGGCTAGCTTGACAAGATCTTGAACACTCACACACTTTAAGACTTCGACAACGGACAATTGATGGCCCGCCTCCTTGAGCCTGGAAGCGAGCCGGGTTGCGCGAATTGAATCGATCCCCAGACTCCGCAGACGGCTGGATTTCGTGATGCCTGACTTGGAGATATTGGCCAGCGATGCAATCATCTCCACCACCTGCGTGGCCATGGACATGTTGTCCTGGTCCTCAGAGTCCTGTACATGCGTGTCGGTCTCTGGGTTCATCTCGTTTTCCCAGCTATCAATGTCCATATCAGCATAGGCAGCTTGCAGTGCCCTGCGGTCAGTCTTGGCCGAGGTTGTTCTTGGAATGTGCGACACTACTAGATAAACTGATGGTATCATGTGGCTAGGTAGAGCATTTAGAGCCTTATCGCTGGCGGCACGGGCAATTTCAAGTGCCGTATCATCAAGCAATACGAGCTGCTCGCTGCCATCTGTCCTTGCAACCTTTGGTGCGGAGAGGAAGGCAACCACGACCTTGTTGGGCCGGTCTGGGCGGGTGAGAATAAGCGTCTCGATATTATCAACCAAGGGGTGGCACTCGTCGAGTGCGAAGCTGATCTCGCTCAGCTCGACTCTGATACCGCCCAGTTTGACCAAGTCATCAACCCGGTTAATGTATTCCAGCGAGCCATCAGCAAGCATGCGAACCAAGTCTCCGGTATAGTAAACCATCTGCCCCGCCTCTTCGTTCCAGACATACTTAGCTTTGGTGACATCCTCTTGACTCAAGTAACCCGGAGAGAGTTGTGGCCCGCCCAGCGCCAGCTCGCCGATGGCATTCTTCATGACGAGGCGTTGGTTCTTGGTAACAAACACAGACACAGTATCCATCGGCCAGCCGATGTTTGCGCTCTTGACATGGATGTGTTCATTTCCGAACTCTCTTATTGTCGACACCACGGTCACTTCAGCAGGTCCATAGGTATTGTATGCTCTCATATTAGTACCCCAGTCGTCGGCCACGGGCTGTGTCAGCTTTTCACCGATCATGGTAATCACCTGAAGTGTCTCGCAGGCCTTCCGGGAGACAGCGGCAGAGAACGCAGGGGTCAAATGCGCGTGCGTTGCCTTTGTGATATTTGCTAGCTTGGGAAACGAACCCAGCATGATCTCCCTCGAGGCAGAGATCAGGACACCTCCCACACCCCAGGTGTAGAAGATGTCCTGGATCGAAACATCAAAGGTATGCTGCGAGAACTGCAAGCAACGTACGCTACCGGCCACGTCAGTCGGGATGTCTTTCTGAAGAGACTTCATACTCGAAACAGCCGAAGAATGTTTGATGGGGACACCTTTTGGCGCTCCTGTCGTACCACTGGTCCAAATCAAGTACGCCATGCCGTCGGGAGTAGTTCTATGATTCGTTCTGCTCCGCGCTCCGTCCACGTTAGGTTCACCCGCAATAAACCGGTCAACATCGACCACTGAGACACCGACGGGAATCGAGCCTTCTGGCTGTGGCCCATCCACACTAGAGACTAGAAGAATCGTTGAACGAGTACGCGCGATGAGATCATGGCGACGTTGTGCAGGAGAGAACGTATCGATCGGACACCAAGCACCACCGGCTTTGAGAATACCCAGAATAGCGACATACAAGGCTGGACTCTTTTCAATGCAAATCGGTATCGGCGAGTTTGTTAGTTGTGCGCCAGTATGAAGCAATTGCTCGGCGAGGTTGTCCGCTAAAGCGTTGAGCTTGGCGTAGGACCATGTAATATTGCGCGGGTTACTGTCGTCGTCCAAATCATGCTTGTAAATCAAGGCAGGGTCGTCTGGGTGTGAAGCTGCGTGCTCTTCAAACTGGGACTGCAAAAGGGCCCCCTCAAGTACTTCCGGGGCAATAGACGGCTTCGGGTTGAAATATGACTTCATTTCAGTCTGCGTGGAAAATGGGATATCTTGAAAGTTTCCATCAGGCTGGTCGAGGATAAAGGCAACAATTTCAGACATCTGCTCGAGCATAAGCTCGGCCGAGCTGCGATTTAGGTGAGCCTCGCTAAAGCTGGCCCGGAAGGTCAAAGACGAATCAGCACCAGGCCATATTTCGATCATCACAGCAAAGTCGTTTGCCATAGCCGGGTGGTCGACTGAGCTCCAAAGGTCACTCGAGATCGAGCCAGCGTTGAAGTCTTGATAGATGATGAGCGTGTCATATGGCAGTCGGCCGTCTGCCATGACGAATGATCCGAGACGAGGCTGTAGATAGGCGAGGGTTTCCGTATTGAACGTGGTCAAATGACGCGCAACAGAGCGGTTGGTCCACGAATCTCCCGAGTCTTTTTGGATCTGACCAAGGGAAAGTCTGATGGGCACAGTGGTAAAGGTTGGACCAACACATGCTTCTGAGTCCACATCCAGTCGTCCCGATACGACACTGCCCATAACCACGTCTTGATCGGGGGTTCCAGTGTAAGCCAGCAGAACGGACCCCCAAGCAGCCTGGAGCACTGAAAGCGGTGTTGCACCGATGGACTTGGACTGTCTCTTCAGGCGGTCGTAGCTCGTACGAGCAGTAACCTCCACACAGCCAGTCTTCTTGATCGAAGGGGGACGGTAAGAAGTGACAGAAGGGAACACGACGGGAGAATAATTCTCCAGATGCTTCTGCCAGAACCCGGCAGCTGCTGCATGATCGGCTTGGAAGTGATGCTTCACGATGTGCTCAAGCGAGATGCGCTGTGCTGGCGATTGCCCTGAGTACACAGAAGACACATCCTCGAGCAAGAGCTGCAACGATCCACCATCAAAAATCCCATGGAACATGCTCAGGACTATCCGAGATGAAGTAGAAGACGTGATCAGAGACAGCCTCCAAGGCGGGGTACTTAGATCAATCGATTCCTCGGCTTGTTGAAGGGCCCGCTGAAGAATGTCTTCTTCGGAAGCCTCTTCTGGAACGGGATAGACGTTCCAAGCAGGGCTGGAAAGTGCCGCTGGAGTCAGGATGCACTGGGCAAATGGCGCCATATCATCATCAAGCCAGCAGAAAACGGTCCGAAAGGAATCGTAACTTGCAATGACAGTTTCCCATGCCTTTTTGATGCGGTCAGTATCGACTTCCGGTTCGAGTGGCAGGACCGAGTGATAGATGTATGAGCGAGTTGCGAACGTCCGATCCGACGAGCTTTGCAGAAAGCTTGTCAATAGGCCGGACTGCGTTGCGGTGGTTGGAAGTACCCTTTGAATTTGCTCGGGGCTCATGCCCAGTCTCTCCGCACAAGCTGAATGGTTTCGGTCACTGAAGGCTGCAAATTTGTGTTGTAGGCTGTCATCGAACCCATTGACATGCGAAGTTCCGTTTGTTTGACGTTGCTGCGCGACAGCAGACACTAACCCTTTGAGTGTTCCCGACCGTAGCACATCACCAACTGATAAACCGTCAATCGAATGATCTCTCAACTTTTGCAGAAGTCGCATCGCTCCGAGACTATCCACTCCTAGCGAATATAAGTCGGCTCCGGGTCTGATCGCCGAAACATCCTCATCCGTGGCCTCCGCGATTAAGTTGACCACAAGCTGCCGGATGGAGAGCAGCCTTGCGTCAGCCGGTTCTTCCCAGTCATCATGGACCTCATTCGTTTCTCCAGCCTTCGAGTTGGGAGCAGAATAGAATCTGACACCATCCGTAACTCCTTGCTGCAGCTTGGCAGAAACGGCTTTTCGATCCACTTTCCCTGAACTGGACCGAGGAAGAGCATCAAAAAAAGTATAAGCTGCTGGGCACATGTAAGACGAGAGATGTCGCTCGGTGCTCTGCTGCGCTTCCCGAACAATTTCCTCTCTTTCTACATCGCTGTCGCTTGCGACTAGACATGCGACAATTTGTTCACTACCCTGGACATCGTCGCGTTCAGAGACCACGGCGACTACCTCGGTGACGCCGGGGACCGTCGCAAGGACGGATTCAATTTCCCCCAATTCCAGCCGGCGACCGCTAATCTTGACCTGGTCGGATGTGATCCGACCCAGAAACTCAATTACCTGGGAGCCGGTCTCGTCCCAGACAATCCGTGCCATGTCACCGGTCCGATACAAACGGCCAAATTGTTCGCTATGAACGAATGACTTGGCGGTTTCTACTGGACGGTTGAGGTAGCCTTTGCTGACCTGCGGGCCTCCGATCGCCAGTTCACCAGCAAGACCAGCGGGAACTACTTTGGGATCATGGCTGTTTGGGTCTAAAATGAAAATTGAACAGGTTGGCAGCGCTCTGCCAATAATCGAGCCACGGACGGAATAGTCAAATGGTGCCACAAAGGTGCAGTTGATTGCTCCTTCGGTCGGGCCGTACGCATTGACCAACATTCGCGAGGGCTTGGAGTTGCTAGTGGTTCCATTGATATGAGGCTTCGCGGAGAAATTCTCAATGACTGTCCGGTTGAGCTTTTCACCCATCGTCCAGAGTGACTGGAGCGTGGTCAACCGCGACGGGCGGAGAAGCGCAGCCAAGCTAGGCGTGGCCATCATCACCGTTGCTCTAGCTTCGTTGACAGTGGCTTCCAGGTCGGTCAACGTGAGGCTTCGGTCCGCAGAGCAGAGAGTCGCGCCGCTACTCAAAGTGACGAAGATTTCCATGAGCGAGGGATCAAAGGTGGGAGCGGCGAATTGAAACCAGCGAAAGTCTCCTGCTTCGCCTGGAAGCGGAATGGCCGTCGCATGAGACTCGATGGAGCAGGCAACCGCTAGGTGGCTAACTTGAACACCTTTCGGTTTTCCAGTCGAGCCGCTGGTGAAGAGTAGATAAGCTGTTTGGTCATGGTGGATGTTCAGTTGCCCAAGAGGCTCATCCTCAGAGGGCTCCAGAAGACCATCGGCCAAATCTTTCCACCTGGAGACCTCGGCAACGTTCACCCAAATATGCGGGACGGTATCACCATTGGCGCTATCTGCGCCCCAGAAAGGCTCAGGAGTATTCCCCAGGATGATAGGACAGTCAATGTCCTGCAAGATGTCCCGAACTCTCTGTACTGGAGCGTCCAGGGGAATGGGAGAGAAGGCAAAACCTGCCTTGAGAATCGCGAGGTATGAGATGTAGAGTTCGGGGGATGTAGACATGTAAACCGGGATGATGCGCCCATAATCGGCATCATTGTTTGCAGATAGGAGAGTCCTGATATGTACAGCGAGATTGGTGGCTGCTTGGTCAAGGGCGGCATATGTAACAATGCTGTGCTCGGCTGCAGCCGTGGCAGAAGGCAGCGAATGAACAAAATCAAGGGCGATGGCATTAGGCTTTCGACGGGCCCAGCGCTCGAAAGCGGCATGAAGAAGAAATTGCTTAGAATCGTGACGCTCGGGGAATTCGTTGTGCTCGGGTTCGCGTGACGGGGGTATCATAAATGAGGGGAAATTAAGGATCGAAAGGTCGGGCGACAAGGCCTCGACGGAAAGGGAGGGACTGGAGTCGGCCAGGTGTGTCGCAAGTGTTCGGAGCAACTGGTCCACCGCAGGTTCAGGGACCAGTCGTCTCGGATAGGCGAAACGGATTTGGAGGGCGTCTTTTGTTGTGGCCAGTCGAATGAATGTCGTGAAAGTCTAGCAGCACGTTATTCACCTACCCTCAGCGCCTGCACTGGGAGGACTTACACCGTCTCGGACTCCAGCCAGGGGTTGTTGCTCGCCATTTTCAGGATCGGCGCACAATCCCAGATCCAGAGAGAATTGTACCTCATCACCATCCGCGTGCTGGTCGCTGCCTTCGCGGATGGCGCAAGTTGGGCGCTGCCCCTCTTCCCCCGCAACGACCGAAGCCGAAATGACCCCGCGCAACAGCTCGGACTCGCTGGTGAGGCTCGACTGACGAGACACGAAGAAGGCCACATCTTCAGATCCAGTAAACCGGGAGACAAAATGGGCGTATCCTTCGATCAAACTGTTTGCGACGTCCCGGAAGTCGGAGCTACAGGCCAGCTCGACCGATGGGCTGATCGCTACCGCGTCACACACGGATTTTTCCACGGCATATTGATCGATCGTGTCCAGCGCCGGGACTTTGGTAACAGGGAGGATGGGAGCAGCCATGGCTGAGTGGGTGCCATTCATGTTGGAAAGAGGAGTCTGGTTTGTAGAATCTGTCGAGCGTTCGTGCCCCTCATTTCTCGGGGATGTGGCTGTCATTGCTTTAGTGTATCACGAGCGGGGTCGTCGCGCACATGCAAAGAGGAGGCAGCAGCGAACTCGGCTGGCTCGACAACAGGACTCCGAAAAGTGACTGCTCCCAGGAATGAAGAAGCGGTCACCAGCAGGAACATAAAACGAAGTCCACGGATGGTGAGCGTCGCACAAAGGCACTTTTTCCACGCAGGAACTTTGCAGGTCACCACCATTCATCGTCATTGGCGGTGGACCCAAGGGGTATGTCCCACGCGGTGCCATTGGGTGACCGAGGGGTGGGTGGGGGGGGGGGGCACAAGATTCAAGGCCATGGCGGTCGAACCACCGGTGGGATTGGGATGTGCAGGGTGGCAGGCGGGATTTGGGCATGATCATTGCTTCGGGCGGTGCGCGCGGGAAACACGCGACTCGGCCACGGGTGCCTAGTGGGGTTAGGCCGCCGGACCTGCCATTTCTCCGATCCTCGGACAGGGATTATCTGATTAGATCATCTGCTGATCTGATTAGATCCGTACCGTCATGACCCGTCCCGTTTGTTCTAATACAGACGTAATGTATCCGTTTGCAACTCGCAAATTGCGCAGAAATCATGGCCCGGACGGCCGGCCAGGTCTCTGCACGGCTGGAGCCGACATTTCTGCTTTGGGCGGATGTGGCTAGGCCATTGAGCATATTCGATCGGCGTGCCTTTCGTTCTGGCTCACGGTCAGTCTCCGCATCCGAGCAGATTAGCAGACTGCCTGACCTCGGCTCTTCAGAGGTGAGCACGACTTCGCGGGTTTTTGTAGGAACCATTTATCGTCCATCCTGCATGCACAGCTCCTCGCTTCGACGCTTCCACAGGTGCAGGTCCACTTTAATAAATGAACGGCTTGATAATCTAGGCTTAAGTGCCCGTTCGGGGTATTATCTGATCCACGGTGGGGAGGGAGGGGTATCTGATTATCCATCTGATGGCGCCATTGAATATTCTGCCTGCGCTGTGGCACTTGCGTTCACACTAGGGATGTGTTGTCAGAGACTGAGACCAGCTTGAGTTATTGATAGGGGTCCAGCTGATCCTTTCGAGTTAAAGTAATAACAACCGACTCCGAGTGACACATGGAACGGAAGTACTCCGCGATGACCCATAATTGTGCTGTTGTACGGTTTGTCTGCATGAGGATGCTTGGCTCGGGTAAATATAGTTATCAGGTTGTACAAGCTGTTATGGTACTCTACCTTAGAGATGAAGGTTACGCTTGTAGGACCATCATATGAATTCAAAGTACGATATATTCATTCTGTCGTCAGTCAATCAATGTTTTGTATTTTCTTAAAAAATAATAGGAACATTGTGTGTCGGATCTAGATAGAAAACCACTGCGTCATACTAGTACATCAAAGTGTCGATGGAGTTCTTGAGCAAATCAGCTACTGGAATTGACGATGTTCCCTGCCAATATTAAACAAGCTTTTTTTAGTAGATATCCTCGAGAGTGATAACACATTGGCTCTTGAAGAATCGATTTGAAAAGTGTTAAAGCTTGAGGACATTCCTTATTTTCATATACAGTACCTGTTTCTACCACTTGACCACTGTATTATTTCTCGAGGTTCTTTAGAAGCTCATGTCCTAGATATTCCATGTCATTGAGCCACTGCTGTTATACTGCATTATATGTAGGTCATTGAATGAAAGAAGACGAAAGTCTCTGAGCGCACTGCTGTCATTCACTCTCCGCTCCCTCTCTATCCCACGCAGCGAACCCCTCACCTCACCAAATTTCTGCTTTCTTCACCCATCGACTGCAAATCATTTAAAGAACCTCTTACACCTCCACCCATCCATATCTCGGTTTTTCCATCGTCCTTCTGTCATAGCGACCTCCGATGTCTCTATTACGGAGACGGATTTGAATGCAGCGACCTCAATCCAGAGACACAGCTACCGGAACCAGGTGAGCGGGTCTTTGCAGCTTGACGACAGAATGTTGAGTAAAGCTTTGAAAGAGCTCATCGATAAGAACATTCTAATCATGGAATACGGTTCGCAGATCGTACATCGATCGGATTGGAAAGAAGTCCTTGTGGTAGTGATAAGACCCACCCCGCATTTGAGTTGGACTGACTTTCTGTGCTAGGATTTCGAAAGGGGCGGTTCCTGACGATCTTCCTGCACTTGCCTCAAAGCACCATACCGTGAGTGGTCTCCTTGGGCTCTAAGATTAGGCAATATATCTATTACCTTTGGGGTGGTTAAATCTGTGCTAACATCGAAATCGAATTGCTGCAGAATGAAGACAAATTTAGTCCCCTTCTCCTCTCTAAGTCTTGTCGACATTTGATCTCGATCTACGACTTCTGACACCCAAACTCTCGGGTACATCCTGTCAATAATCCGTCACCTTATTAGCTTCCTGTTGCCGACTCATGCGACATCGGGTGATATTAACCTGCAATCTTTATGCAGGATACATCTTCTGTGGCCTCTGGCGAATACACAATATAATACTGGTGAGCAAGAGCAGGCTACAGAGAGGATGTTCATGGGAACGGTGTCATGCATTCCAGAGGATCAGATCGTGGGATTGGGGAGAATGAAGAGTATCAGCACCTTGCGGAATTTACCCTTCGTGACACCAGAATTACTGAACGCAATCACCAAGGCTGTAGCAGCCCCTAATAAATTCCCAGCTACTCATTCTAACCAGGCACAATCGATATTTTCAAGTCTGTATACTCACCGGGTCTTGTTTGGATCAGAGAGAAAACGTAAGTATTCTCGAAGCCTCAGACATAATGAGCCTCGGCGAAATAATGAATTGACCGTGGAACAGTAACTCTACTTGATAAAACTTAACAAACAGCAGCGCTCTCAATTTATAAATTGAATCTGTTATCGGTTGGCAAGTTCTGACCGCTCGGCTAAATGTATACACGGGGACCGTGCAGATTCCCTCACACACGGTATCGTACGGAGTACTCCGTACTGATATACTGTGTACATGATAAATTGTCATGCCATGCTTCTCCGACATGGCCCGTGGAGACGGCGAAGCATTCCATTTGATAATGGTGCCGGTTCTGGACTCGACCCTTGGCCGATGATGCAATCAGTGGACTGGATCAGATTCTGCAACGAATCCACCCGCGTTATCTGATCCGGCTCCCAGCGGCACCGTTTTCTGGCATCTTCTGCAGCATTTAGGGTTTCTGACCAACAGCCTCGGCTTACAGAGTTGCAAGAATCCGGGAATTCCCCCCAATCCAAGCTCTAGTCGCTGCCACACTCTGTAAGAATAATTCTCGCAGCCCCGGTTCCCAGATGATAAAAAATTCTGACTGGGTCCGGGAGCAGGAGTGGAGATGGTGCCGGCCAGCGGTAGAGTCAAGTTGCCCTATTGGGTACCGACAGCCGAAACGGCCAAGGGGCGGAGCCACAGGATGACGGATGGCTCTTCTTCCTACACGAGCAGTAGCCATTGACAGTCTGGCCTCGCGGATGGGCGGGTTCCGAGGCATGGCCCGACCGTTAATATAAGTCTGGCGCCAGGGGCCCTGATCTGATAAGATCCCACGAGTTTTTGGCCCATTCTCCCCTCTCTGCAAAATGGCGACTCTCCGGCGTCTTCAGCAAACTCTCGCCCATTTTCAAGCCCCTAAACAGGCCCGGCCGCTCTCCGTGGTCTATGGCCCGACCGAGCCTAAGCTCCTGGATATTACGCTGGGCGAGCTGCTGACTCTGCAGAGCCTTCAGTATGGCGACTACGAGTGCCTGGTGTTTCCCTGGACCGGAGCCCGCTGGACCTATGCCACCCTGAGCGAGGAGGCCGACCGGCTCGCTCGCGGTATGCTGGCCATGGGAATCCAAAAGGGCGACCGTATTGGTATTATGGCTGGCAATTGCGAGCAGTACATTTCCGTGTTCTTCGCCGCTGCCCGGGTCGGAGCCATCCTGGTAGTGCTGAACAACACCTACACACCGTCGGAGCTCTACTACGCGCTGGATCATACTGGTAAGTATGTTGCATATGCCGTAGGGCTGATGCTGATCTTATCTAGACTGCCGCCTTTTATTTATGACGCCTCGGATTGGTCGTCATGTGCTGGAGGAGGTGTTGGTCAAACTGGGCCCACAGCCCAAGCAGAACGGCAGATCGGCTGCGCTGGAGGAGATCATCATCCTGCGGGGAGAGTACCAGAACTTTGACACCTACGCGGGGGTGATTCAGCGGGGAGAGAAGCTCCCTAGCTCTGCCTTGCCGGATCGCGAAGCCGAGCTGCGACCAGACGATGTGTGCAATCTTCAATTCACCAGCGGTTCGACTGGTAACCCCAAAGCCGCCATGCTGACCCATCAGTATGCTCCCCTACCATGTCTATCTACAACCAACTAACAAACCCAGCAACCTGGTCAACAACTCCCGGTTTATCGGCGACCGTATGGACCTCACCTCTTTCGACATCTTGTGCTGTCCCCCGCCTCTCTTCCACTGCTTCGGGCTGGTCCTAGGCATGCTTGCGGTGGTCACCCACGGCTCGAAGATTGTCTTTCCCAGCGAAACCTTTGACCCCAAGGCCGTTCTCCACGCCATTTCCGACGAGAAATGTACCGCGCTGCACGGTGTTCCCACTATGTTCGAAGCGATCCTGAGCCTTCCTAAGCCAGCCAACTTTGACACCAGCAACCTCCGCACAGGCATCATCGCCGGAGCTCCCGTACCCCGTCCGCTGATGAAGCGTCTTTTCGAAGAACTCAACATGACCCAATACACCAGTAGCTACGGTACACTCCCTCACAACCCTACTTCTACGCTGGAGACTAACCCATCCAGGCCTCACCGAAGCCTCTCCTACCTGCTTCAACGCCGTTACCTCCGACACGATCGAGACACGTCTCACCACCGTCGGCAAGGTCATGCCGCACGCGCGAGCCAAGATCATCGACGCGCAGGGCAACATCGTTCCTGTAGGCGAGCGCGGCGAGCTCTGCATTGCAGGCTATCAACTCACCAAGGGATACTGGAACAACCCCGAGAAAACCGCCGAGACGATGACGACAGATTCTGAGGGCATAACGTGGCTGAAGACGGGTGACGAGGCGGTCTTTACGCCAGAGGGACGGTGTTCAATCACGGGACGATTCAAGGACATAATTATTCGAGGTGAGCCCATTCCTTTGCCCCCTTTTGCAAAACACAATACCGTATTTTCCCTCTCATCACTAACACGTAAAACAGGCGGCGAAAACATCTACCCCCTCGAAATCGAAGAACGACTCGCCGCTCACCCCGCCATCGAAGTTGCCTCCGTGATCGGCATCCCCGACCAAAAATACGGCGAGGTAGTGGGCGCATTTATCTCCGTGGCGGCAGGATACGAGAAGGCTCCATCCGTGGAGGAACTGCGGGACTGGACGCGCGAAACTCTAGGCCGACACAAGGCGCCGCAATATGTATTTGTGTTTGGGGAGGAGGGCGTGGATCGGACGGTGCCAGTGACGGGCAGCGGGAAGGTGCGAAAGGTGGATTTGCGAAAGTTGGCGGCGGGGGTGTTGGAGCGGAGGGCTGGTGGTGCTGCTGCCACGGGCACACAAGAGCAGGCACAGGCACAGGCATAAGCAGAGTATGAGGATGGAGACTTGTATATAGATTGTGAATACCCTAGATTGATATTTATTTACTTGGAACATAAAAATGATTTTCAAGCGATCAGTAGGAACATTCCCATCCATTCCCACGCAATACAAAGTAATCACAGAAGCCACAGCTACCCAAACTCCATACTCCATACACGCATCCTGCACAGCAACAAGCACAACATTTCCCTCTACCTACAGAGTGCAGACTACCCCACCCCAAAAATCCCTCACCCTCCACGAGACACGAGCAGCAACCTGAGACACTAAATAAACTAAGAAAAAGATAAGATTAGATAATCCAATCCCATCATCTAATCAGATGCAAACGCAACGCGTCCCTCGGTTCAGAAAGCCCCACACAAACCATTATGAGTTAGGCTGGGTTAGGTGATTCTTGGCGCACACACAAATTGATTTCTGTTTATTCGTTGGTTTGGCGCTTGGAGTATGCAGGGGGCCGGTTTCGGATGGAGGGGGGGAGGTGTGAAGAATTCTTCTTCTGATGGAGTAGGAGGATTCATTGAGGGGGGGTTGTATGTACTGGTGGTTTGGTAGAGTGCTTAGTTGTATGATGTACCTGTATTCTACATATGAACTACTTATATCAGATCATGAATATAAGGAATGATTGCAAGAGATGTGTACAGAATCGCAGCTGCCTACAGTCTACACTGGTAGGGTGTCACGGCCCACGGGTGTGTGTGCAGACTAGGGTTAGGCATTAGGACGGTTGGGAATTGTAATTAATGAAGACCCACTACTGCATTACTATGGCATTGTCTGGTGGCGGGTTCCGGAGGTGCAGGACAATTCCAGCCCCAGCCTCCGTTGTGACGAATATACGGAGTTGAGAGGATATTTGCATACCTACCTACCTAGGTAGGTGGTATGAGTATGGGTATGGAGGAGAAATGGGATAGTTGGAGGTCTAATCTAATCAATATGCCATTCAGCTAACTAATTACCTTATTTGAAGATACTACTATCCTTGATGTCTTCATGTCTTATGCTCCCTGAATATACATAGTAGAATACTCCTGTTTGCAAGCATCGCAACAAAGCCACCATTCACACATAACCATACTCTCGAACTCTACTACGACGGCTCTGTATAATCACTTGACAAGAACCATCACACATAGAAGAAAACATACCCAACAATCAAGACAACCCCCCAACCCAACACGAATACTCTGTACTTCGAAAAGAACGAAAACTCCCCTCCCAAGAATACCATACAAACCATACATAATACACCGCCGCCCCCCCGTAAAAACCAAACAATACCATACCCAAACACGCCAATACTAGCCCCCCTCGTAACGCCCATCCTAATTCCTGATCCCTCATCCACGGATCGGCCCATCATTCCGTTTCCATTATTCATTTCATTCAATCCTTCAGACTTGTCGGGTTCTGAGTTCGGACTGATTTTTGGATCGGGGCGCGCTAAGCGTTGCTTTGGCTTGGTTTTAGGTCTAGTTCTGTTGTCTCTAAGTGCTATGAGTACTTGGCTAATAGACATACTCACTCACTCCCTAGTCCCATCTAGTATGTACCATGAAGATGAAGACACAGTCACCAACCCCAAGCTATTATTAATTCACAACTTACTCCTACCTACCTAACACTTTCATTCAACGGATACCTTTGAACAAACCCCCACCAAACACCACTCCTATGTATGCATGCAAGTAAACTTCAAAATCCCGATCATCCACTAAAAAACCAACCCCCTCTAGTACAAAGCAAACACGAACCCAACACGAACCTCCCTAGTAGCTCCTCCCACGCCGTGCTGATCGCTGCAGGGTCCGACCTATCAGTATCCGCTGTGGAAATATACCGGACATACTATAAGTAAGATCGGCAGGGGAGTGGATCTTTCTTCCCTTTCCTTGTACGGAGGATATGCATAGTAGCTGTGTACAGTGTACGAGGTCCGGAGTAGGGAATGTATGTAGTAGGGATCTGTTGGTGCTTGGTAAGTAGGTAGGAATTAGGTAATTGTTTCCCGGTTTTTGTATTTAGATGGTGGGGGTTGGGGTGGATGTTGACTAGATTTGTTATATTGATTGGTGATGGTTGTGTTGGGGTGTTGTTCGTGGGATGGGTTGAGTAGGGGGAATGATGTATTATGTATAGAGTACTAGTTGTTCCGAGAATCGTGTTCATAAAGGGTCGTGAATGAGTGGGTGGGTTGGTAGGGTAGTCAGGTATGAGAACAGATAGCTATGTAGATCTAGATACAAGTGACTAGGTTGGTGGTTTACATAAGGTACAAGGTATCATGAAATACTCAGAATACTAATCAGCTATGGAATACATGATGCAATCGCTCAAATGCCAAATGAACAGTATGGGAATATCAACAGCTCACCGTATACACAGCCATACAAGCAGCAACCACCAAATCCAACATCTTAATCCCCTCATCCTCGACAATCAATTTGCCCATCTTGGCTGACTTCCCCCGCATCCCTCCGCCCGCCCGCTCCCGCGCAAGAGACAGATCCAATCGGTCGTCGCTCGGGGGACGGCGCAAGAGTCCCGTCTTTTCTCGTTCTTCGTCACCTCCGCTGCTGGTGCTACTATTTGAAGGATTGCGGGCATGGTGGCTGGCACCAAAGTCTCCAGAGGAGATACTAGCGCCTGAGCGGGCGCGAGGTCGGGTGTATTTGTGTGCGTTGAGAAACCGGGCCAGGGAATCTCGTTTCGAGGAGGGATTGCCGGAGGTTGTCGGAGAGGAGAGAGAGAATTCCGTGGGAGGGGAGGCGGGGTGGTAGGTTGGGCCGAGCGCAAACGGTGACATATGAGCCCCCGATGGCTGGTGGAGGTGGCCTGTTCGAAAGGGCGTGTTGAAGCGAATTTCGGCAACAGTAATGGCGGGTGCCTCTGGCAGTGAGGTGGGTGTGTGATGGTGGCTGCTGGCATTGGGAAAACCAGGGGTGGGTATCATGTGTTTGCATTTGAGGCTGCGACCGTTGACGCTTGTCGTAAAGGTGCAGATGCCATTCCATGGCGAATTGAAGGTGTAATAGCCGCTCTTCAGCTTGGAGTGCGGCGGTGCATGGGGCTTCGTGGGACTGCCGCTGCCGGTGCTGTCGAGAGACGGACGACCAGGGAGGTCCAGCGACCCTCGTGGTTCTTCCTGGAAGTAGGGCCGGGAGACACAGAGCTTGCGGTGGAATCGTCGAGGATGTGGTTCGTTAGGGGTAGAGGTGGGTTCGGTCACCTCCTGTGGGCGTTTGAATGATGAGAGCGAGATCGGCTGGCCGCCGGGGAGATTCACTCCCAAGCTCGCGAGGGAAAGCGGCTCATTTTGCGCTGTAAATCGATTGTATCCCGGCGTGAGCACCTCAATATCGATGGGCCCACCGTCCATCCGGGGTGTCGACATGGTCGCAACGTTCCACTGGCTGCCATGCGTCGGATCCCGACGGATCAGCGTGAGATGGAACCCCGGGCGTTCAGGCATCCGGTCGTGCGGCCTCCGGCTGGGCGATTGCCCTGGACTCCTGGCGGGAGCCCTCCCAGGGCTCCTCGAGGGCGACCCGAGATAAGAATGTGATGGACTCCCATGCGCTGAATGCGGCCGGATCTCCGGCCGAATCGGTGGCCGTTGAGCGTCCAGACTCGGCCGACCGGCTTCATATTTATCCCTCAACGTTTCCTGCCCCCGAGCGATATACCCCGACAGCGCAGCGCTCCACCGATTGGTCTTCTTCGGCACCGGGTCTAACGGAGGTCCCAGCACAGGCTCCTCTCTCGGGACAGGAGGAAGGGGCCGCGACGCGCGCGCAGCTTCTGCCACGGCCTCGATAGGATCGCGATTGACGGGCGCGAATGGCGGTGTTGTGGGAGCGTAGTCGGGGGGTTGTCCCTGGAAGCTCGGCCGGGGAGGCATGGAAGGACGCTGCAGGCTTGGAGTCGACGGCAACGATCCCTGCGACTGCCACGAGGTCGGACGAGGGCGAGCGGGGGGTGTGGTGGTCGCATCGACCTTGGGGGTGCTGCCTGCGCCCCCAGCACCAGGAACAGGCTTGCGCCGGACATTGTTCAATCGCGCAAACTCGCGCGAGAGAAGCGGAGCATCCGGATCATCCTTGAGGGCCTCTTTTCGCAGCCGGGCCTCCTCTTCGCGCTCCTGCTCGTATTCCTGGAGCAGGACGTCATCGTCCGGGGTGGCGACGTGCAAATAGTATAGAGAGGCATTGATGGCCTCGGCCGAGACGTTGGACTTCGTGGGAGGTTTCAAGGGAGTAAGGAAAACATCTAAAGAAGCAGAAAGTCAGCCATCCATCAAATGCATGCCACCGCTTCTGCGGGGCATTCAGCGCAATACCTCGACTGCCCGGGACCCGCACAATATAGAGCACCAACGGGTCGAGTTTCTTCTGGGTCGGATTGCGCGGATAGGCCGGAGGGTTGGAAGCGATTGCGGTGATGGAAGACAGCGAGCGAGCCTCGACGGGGGCTTTGGGGAGACTCGGGGTCGGCGAGGCGGCGGTCGGGGCGGAATCCACCACCTCCCCCGCGGCATCGACCTTGGCCATGGGGAGATTCGAGGTGTCACCGGGGGGAGAAGTTGAGCGGACCCAGGATGGGCATGAGGAGGAGGCTGGAGGAGGACAGAAAGAGAGGAGAATGTAGAGTTCCAGGGGAAGAAAGTAAGAGGCGAGGGAAGAAGGGAGCGGAAGTCTGAGCAACGGTCGCGGAGAAGCCGGAGAGACGCCAAGAGAGGATCAGCATCGGGCAGCAAGTCGAGCGCAGAGGAGGAGAGACACAACCCCGGGTCGACGTGGGACAATCCCTTCCCTGGAGGCGCAGCGGCGATCTCCCATTCAATCAATGGTCGCGGAAATAAGGCTGCCTGCTAAAGGCAAATCCAGAATAGGCGCCCAATTGGCCACCAGCACGCCAGAAGGTGACCAGAAGATGTAGTATTCAATTGATAACTTCCCAAGGTATCTCGCCAACAATATAACAAGGTATTCTAAGCTACAGGTCGAGTAACTCGTGCAATAGCTGGCACCAACCACAGGATAGAAAAAGAGAAAAGGAAAGGAAAAGAGAGGAATAACCCGGTCATCGAAGGCTACCAATGCTCAACAGGCTCCCATTCATCCTACAAATGGATCCAGGGCCGATTAAAAATAGAAACCCCGGAAGAAAGCAAAACTCCAGGCTCCAAGTGAATACCGAGACCAAGACCAAACCCAATCCTAGACAACCGTCTCCGATCGCTCGCCTTCCGCAATGACCGGAACGCTGAGCCCTCGCTCCGGACTCTGCAACACCAGCTGCTCGTGGCGGCGCGCCCGTAGGAAGTCGCTGATGGCCCGGATCAGAATGAACCACCCGACAATCATCAGCACATATGAAATCCATTCGCTCGTGGTGATCGAGGACGCCGCACCCCCGCCATCACCCCCTGCACCTCCATCCACATTGTTCGGGTCGAAGCTATGACTGTTCGGGTCCGGCGGTGTCACGTAATCAGCGCCCCCTTCATCCGAGCCCTTCGAATCACTGCCGCCTTTCATATAAAAGCCGTACTGCACCAGTGTGAGGCCGAGACCAGCCCGGCTGCCATTCTTGGCGGCGTGTGTCGTGTGAAGCAAATAGGTCAAAAGGAATCCGACCAGTTGGAACGACATGGAGATCATCGCATTCCAGACAAACGAAAAGATAGAGCCAACCGGCAGCCCATCCACAAACACCTCATCCGATGAAATACCCGGTGCCAGAATCGTGGTCTCCCAGTACGGGGGTGTAGCATCCGCAGCGGCTTCTTCGTAGGACTAGTAGCACACATCAGAAATAGTCCCACCACAAATTTTCTAGTATGCAACATACCGGAGGCAAATCCTCGTTCTTCTCCCCGCGCTCCGGCTTAGCCGCCAGGTTTGCAAAGACACCATCGTTCGCCGAACTGATCGCCCGGCCCGCTCCCGAGCTGGGGGTGCTGAATGACGGTAGGATCGTTTGTCTTCGGGGCATGCCTCCGCTGCGCGATTCGCCCGACGGTTGCTCTATGCCGCTCGACGACGAAGATGCAGTCGCGGCGCCGCTGCTATCCGCCACCGGACGGGATTCCGGCTGAGCCCGCATTAACCGCTGGCGATCGTCTGGCTCTTCATCGGACTCGGATTCGCCGTCATCGCCAAAGGCATCGGCCAAGGTCTGGTCGGCATGGTCTCTGTGGGATTCATCGTGGAGGAGTCGCCTCGATGACGGGGAGGAGGAGCGAGAGTGGAATGAGGGAGGCGGGGAGGAAGGCGTCGGGTTGAGTCGTAGAGGAATGGCGGAGTGTGACTGGGGTGTATCATCGTCTTCATCATGGGCGTTCACCTACACTCCATATCAGTATTTCTTTCCATCTATAAAACCCCCCGACTCTTCAAACCGGTGGTGCCTCACCCGTTGATAACGCTGCGAGCTCATGACGAGCGAGCGAGCGGGAGTCCGGAAAGGAAGGAAATAAGAGCGTTGGGTACGAAACAAAGGAAATCAAATCAGTCAGTGGCGAACTTAGGACAAGGGACCAAGAGAGGGGCGCAAAGAACGTGGATGGATGGGGGAAGACGATGGAAGGAGATGATCAGCTGAAGATGACGAGGAGAAAGTCCCAGGTCAGGCAATAAGGCACCCGCCTGGCGACCGGCGCCTAAGCCTCGCCCTCGCCGCCTCAGGCCGCCCCGCCCGTGACCGGCTTTTTGCGCATCTTCCGGCTTCTAGATCCAATCTATACCATCGTTCCCTCCACCCTTCAGTTCATCGCGCATCCTTGAATACCCCAAAGCAGCAGATTTCTCGTCGCATTTCCCTCACCCTTCAATTCAACCCGACATTCAGCACACCATGGCTTCCAAACCCGTACGCTCTCCCACCCATCCACCGCGCCTCAATCCAACCCTAGCAAACCGCAGACCACTAACCACCAAGCACAGAACCCCCAAGCCCTCCAAACGCGCATCACCCATCTCCTCAAACACTGGCCCACCGACAAAGTCCGACCCGCTTCCGTCTCCGTCCAGAACTACCTCCAAGCATGTCTCGGACTACCCACCGCCGAAGCACAACAGAAGAAGGAGCCGCAGCAAGTCCCACAAAAAGTCAACATCAATGAGGCGTCACTGAATGCGTTGTCCTCGTTGCTGGAGGATCGGTACGCGAGACGGTACCCGTTGTCGCCGCGCTTGCGCCGGCCGGCGAGTAACCCGGATCACTATGATAATGTTATTCGGGAGTTTGAGGAGGCGCCGTCGCGGGATTGGATGGGGAGGTTGAAGAAGAGGTTGTCGGGGATGTTGCGGTTGAAATAGGTGGTTTTATTCAATGGGTGGGGAGAGATGATTGTGTTGCTGCTCTTGTATCACTATGGTGGAGGAGGGTTGGTATCGGGAGAGGTTACAAAAAAGACATCTCTGTACTTTTATGACAATGTACATATATAATATAGCAGGCGAAATTGGTATCTGTTCAATTTTATGTTCTTCTGATGGGAAGTCAAGTCATGTGGTTTGCTTGGATATCATCCATCCAATAACGCTCGAAATATACAAAATGCAGGGATCATATAGCTTCAAATTTACAGCCCTTTACACATCACAGCATGGGCTTGACGTCGTCGGCAACCTTGAACGGCGCCTCAGTCTTGCTCTTCACCTCGTCCACGGTCACTCCATCGGCCAGCTCAACTAGCGTTAGGCCGTCGGTGAAGTCGACGTCGAACACGCAGAGCTCCGTGATGATACGGCTGACGCACGTCTTGCCGGTCAAGGGGAACTCGCATTGCTTCACGATCTTGGGGTTGCCCTTCTTATCCGTGTGCTCCATCGTCACTACCACCTTGGTTGCCGAGGGGTTCGAAACGAGGTCCATGGCTCCGCCAAAGCCCTTGATCTTGCCGGGCAGCATCCCTAATCGTCCGTCAGTATATATCTACAGGAACAGTTCGTGTTCACTCACAGTTGGCCAGGTCACCCCGGGCACTAACTTGCATCGCGCCCAGAATAGTAAGATCGATACGTCCCGAACGGATCATACCGAAGGATTCATCGCTACCGAAGCAAGCAGCACCAGGCAGCAGCGTAACCGTCTCCTTACCGGCATTGATGAGATCGGCATCCTCTTGACCCTTCTTAGGGTAGGGGCCCAAACCCAGGATACCGTTCTCGGACTGCAGCATGACTTCCACGGACGGATCGACAAAGTTGGGCGCCAGCATGGGCATGCCAATGCCCAAGTTCGCATACATCCCGTTCTTGAACTCCTTGGCCGCACGGCGAACGATGCGCTCGCGCTTGGCGGCCGTGTCACCCTTGCCCAGCGCCGCCGCCTCTTCGCCCTCTTCCTTCGCAAAGGTGTACTTCTCAATGTTCTTCGGGGCCGTGCTCTGGATCACCCGCTTAACATAGATACCCGGCAGGTGAATGGCGGCCGGCTCGATCTCACCCGGCTCAACAATGTGCTCCGCCTCCACGATAGTCATCTTCGCATTGCGGCCCATGGCGCCGTTGAAGTTGGCCGCAGCATACCGGAATTGGCAGTTGCCAAGCTTATCAGCCTTCCAGGCCTTGACAAAAGCATAATCACCCTTGATTGCTTCCTCCATGACATAGCTCTTCTTATCAAAGACCTTGACATCACGCGGCTCGCTGTAAAGAGCCACAGTCCCATCCGCATTATGCTTCAAAGGCAGCTCGCCCGTCTGCACCACCGTTCCACAGGCCGCAGGTGTATAGAAAGCCGGGATGCCCGCACCACCGGCCCGACAACGCTCAGCCAAGGTACCCTGAGGAGTCAACTCGAGCTCGATCTCTCCCGTCAAGTACATGCGTTCGAAGGTCTTGTTCTCTCCCACATAACTGGCAATCATCTTCTTGATCTGCTTAGACTGAAGAAGTAGACCGAGACCTGCTCCGTCGACACCAGCGTTGTTGCTGACGACCGTCAACCCCGTAATGGACGAGTTAGCGCGCACCGCATTGATTAGCGTGTCTGGTACACCGGAAAGACCAAAACCGCCCGCCAGCAGTGTCGAGTTTGACTTCATATCCTTGATGGCGAGATCTGCAGAGGAAACGACCTTGTTGATTTCGGGTCGGCGCATGCTACTGGAGAAGGCGCGGGCAAGGAACCGTTGGTGCTGTAACCCAGTGTGTCTGTTAGTACTCTGTTCCCCGGTGATACAGCGGTAGTACATGTGCTTCTTACCTTGCTGGGGTCGGTAGCAAACTGCCGCGCGAAGCGCAGACATGTCGCCACTTGTGAAGGCATTATGAACCACGAGGGCAGAGATGTATATGCAGCTTGATTACCAAGATAGAGTGCGCGACCGGCAATTCAGTACCATTCGGCTATAGCTTTCGATGCATCTGTCGGAGGAATGTAGACGTAGAGCTGGAGGGAAGCGGAGATGAACTTATAGGCGTGGATAGGAACGGCCACATGCGGAGTTGCGGAAGGCTGTGGCCGCCTCCCCGGAATCTCCCCGCACTCGCTGCAGCCCAGGCTAGTCTTCAGAGTTCAAGTTACTCAACCACTTTAGGCCATCTGTTTACGGGTGCTTCGGCAAGGGTCGATGATACACCCTCCCGATCAAGAGATTCCATCCAAATTTCCCGATTATCTACCTTTAATGGCATACGAGGTGTATACTGGGATAGACTCGACTTTACCCCGTCAATCTCCGCCCGTCATCGAGCAGCGTGCAGCTCCCCCACCACTGCCGACGTCGTTCCGATCCCGATCCGCGGCCCGCTTCGGATCCGCCCCGATGACTAACGGTCACGAGATTCCATCACAGGCGATACTTCTAGATCAAAGCAAATGGCATTGTACATCGTCAAGGTCATGATGAAGGGCATCCCCTGCTATTTACAGGAAATCATGACAACATCTCCGCTAGCATGCACAAAGGTATATCGTCGCCCGAATAGACAAACGCTGAATCAAATCGTAATATCAACATGGCCGCAAGGTCTAAGCATATCCTCGCAGCGTCGCCGTCAAGGGAGATCGGCTGCCATATCTTTCGGCTCTAGTCTCCGCTAGGCGATCCTTCATCCACGATGCACTGTTATGTCGCCACAGGTATATGGAAGCAATCAGAAAGGCGTGCTCCTTCCGAGCCCGGTCATATTCAGTGATCAGCCCCCATCATGCAAGCCCTTTGCGTTTGAGCGGATTCAACGGCGAGTGTCGGTCCGGCGGCTTGACCCCTGAACCTACCACTCCACGTTTTCCAAGTCAGTGTTTGTGCTCGCTTGCCATTCACCCATTTGCCTGGCTGTTCCTGCATCAACATCTCCAGAGGCCTCTCTCATGGGGTGATCGGCGCCCGTACCTGATTCACTCCTTTCACCCCAGATCTCGTCATACGCCGGGGGGTTCATGCTTGGCTCTTCGGTAGTAGTCGCCGGAGGGGCTTCAAGTATCTCCCTACAGACCGGGTTGACTAGTCGATCCTTCAAAGCGTCATTGACATACACCAGGAAGTAAGGCGTCGGCGGGTTTTGCTGTCCCTCGTCCTTGAAAATTTCATCCAGGTCGTTCACCTCCGTGACATAGTTGTCATTGTATTTCCTCCAAACTTTCCGCGCGAAGTCAAAGATATAGATGTAGTAATGCCCGAACGAGACCGACCCGTGGTGAACGAATACGGCGTACAGCCGATACGCCAGATGCTTGTAGTCGGCAAACTGATTGGAAATCATGGCCCTAGTTTCCTTGATTTGATCTTCGACATCTGGGCCTGGTCAGCGCTATGTGCTCAAGTCCAAGGGTTCAAAAGAGGGGACGTACAGGTCAAGTCAGCCTTGGCTATCTGGGAGAGCTGATCGAGCTCAGCTACCGTTTGAGGGTCAACATCGACAGCGTCTTCTGCAGATTCTGGCTCTTCTTTCATTGAGATCAGGTCCTCAAGTACCCCCTTTGCGCTAGTGAGTAGCGCCGCCGTATCCATGCCGTCGGATTCCTGTGTCATGGATTAGGTTACCTGGACTCAACGGGTGATATGGGTGGAGCGTACCGACTGGCGCAACAACTCCGCACGGCGCGCCTCAAGCTCTCGGAGCGTGCTTTTCCACTGCCAAGACTGCTGTCGCCGTTCCAGAAATTCGGGCTGCTGGGTGTCCATGTACCGATCGAGATAAATGGTTTCCTGCAGTCCAAGATGGTGGGTAGATTTGAAAGAGCGCTTCGTCACGGGATCAAACTGGACTCGCTGAACCTGTATCTGCAGCACCGGTGGAAGCTTGCTAATAGCGCCATACTGCTCAGCCACCGAGTTCTCGACGTTTACCTTCTGGACGTCAAAAGCACCGTCAATTGCTGCATATATGTCACGAGGACCAGTTGCCACATCGATCTTGATGTCAGCCCACCACTCTTCCTTAGACCGCACACCCTTTTCCGAGGCAATATAAGATCGGGTCCGGCCGTAAAACAGACTATTGTGAACAAAAGGTCAGTCTCTGGACAATATGCTAAGAAGGTCTAACTCACTCCTTGACTTGGTCAATCTGCTCGCCTTCCGGAGAATGCGCAATGGGCCGGATAGCACATTGACTCTGAAACAGTACGTTGTTGATTACCTCCGTCACATCCTGCTGGGCCCCAATCTCGACTTCTTCTATAAGCTGCTTCTGGGCATCAACTTGCGGGGTCGGTCGCGGAGGCACCGGCGGTGGTCGGCTGGATGGTTCAACTGGGTCTATGGATGTGGTGTCAGAAGACGGCACCTGCTCAGAGCTCGGTTCATCCTGCACATCCTGCATTTCAGAGTCACCCGGAGGTTCGTTCTCCTTATCGTCAGACTGGGCAGGTTTGACATCGTTCTTGACACCGTCGGAGACAAGAGTAGCCTCACTGTCCACATCACTGATCGCTGAGCGTTTGAATGCCTCGCCTTCGGTAGCCGTCTGGTTCTCTGTCTCCTTCTCTGGTATCAGCTGCGGGGGTCCAAGAGGACCTAAGACCGGCATGCCGTTGATTTCACCGAGGGCACCTGCAGGTCTGTACGCTGAAATTGTCGACCGACGACGGATCGCTGCTTCATTTGAAGGACTTATCAGGGTTAATCGTGCTAGCTCCTGGCCAGGGGTGACATAGGAAGAGGAAGAGGTGATCATGTCGGAGAACAACGTCCGTAATTCCCTAAGAACTATAACCGATTGTGTTAGCTTTTGGTCATGTGGAGGGTAAGCCACACTTACACCTTTGAGAGCGTTCTACCTCCTTTTGGGAGACTTTGCGGGATCCCACCTGCTTCCGACCCAGACCCTCGTCGCTCAACTCCATCTTGAAACTCTCAAAATCCAAGACCATCTCCCTATATGGGCGCACGGAAAAGTAGAATTGCAACAGGCTATTGAGGTAACAGGTGTTTCCGATGTTTTGGAGTCCCACGGGCCATTCCGACATATTACGGTCCGGCTTTGTATCACCACCTGAGACCATACTGCTCAGCAGAGGGCTATTCTTGTCCTTGGCTATGATACGTAAAGCTTGGTTGTACGTTTCAGCCTGTGCTGGAGCTTCGTCGACACAGATTGTATAGGCCGCCATGATGGCGGCTTCGTCTACTGTGCGATCGGGTATCTGGAGAAGACGGTAGGCGTCACCAATGTCCATCTCACCGCTTGTCATCTCGCCTGTCTTGACGAAGTGTCGGAGAGCCTGCGATTTTCGCGCTTCGGCAATCAGTTCAACAGCACGCCGTGCAAGGTCTCGGCTTGACGGGCTATCATTGACCTAGAAAGGTATTAGCGTGAAGCTGCCTGCCGGTCACTAGGGACGCTGTACCTTGGCAGTGTACATGGCCATTATAAAATCGTCACTTGTTCCATCGCTGACACCAAGGTACACTTGAGCCTGTTCCACAGTTGCCACTCCTTTGCCCAGTTAGCTGCTAACTCCAGACGCATTGTGTAAGAGGATCTCACTGTCTTCGGCGGCTGATTTGATACGCTCGCTACGCCTGCTGTCACCTATCCTCCACAATTGCCTGCGGGATTCTATTTCCTGGGTAGTGGAGCTCAAGTAGGCATGGAACGTCCCGATGATACTGTCCTCCGTAAGCCGCAGATCGTCGTGGGTCAACCCGAAGTACTTGTAAGCATCGACCACATCGTCGTCGGTGTATTTGCCATCGGCATAGGCTACTTGGACAGCCTGGTCAATAGCATCACGTTCAGAGCCAGCTCTGAGGCTTCCAATCGCCTTGAGACATTTGAAATATGTGGGCATACGCGCAGGGTCTACTGCGACCTGTCGATTGAATGCCTCAATAATCAACTGGGAGGACATATCTTCAACCACCCCGAGATCTTCATAATACCTATTTCTTTATCAGTCTCTGTTATCGAGATAGGTGAAACAGGTAGGGCATACGGCGCAGGTGGCATTTGAAATTCGTCGAGACCCAAGGCCTTCTGGTCTTAAAAGCTCGGTAAGCCTGCAGCCCCTAAAAGAGTTCAGCTTCACTCACAGTCCTGTGCCTCTAGAGCATATAAGAGGTCATCTCGTGCTGGATGATAAGGATACTCAAGCTGGTGACCCTTCTTTTCCAGCACGGGTCGTTGCTCGATGAGTGCGGAAAGCTCATGCAAAACATCATCAAGAAAGATTTTAAGCTGATCCTGGTAGGGATGTTCCGCCCAGGGGTTGGGGCGCGGAGGGTCCCAGAATCCCTCGTTCTGCGTATGGTCAGACATCAATGTTGCGGTCACCGGCAGACAGGTACAAACCTTGACCGTGAATCCTAGAAACTCCAGAAGATCTTTGCAAGGCTTCCCTTCAACACCGAAACAAGCCATGAACCTCTTGTTGATCGCGGATATGGATTTACCTTGCTGACTAGTGAGGAAGGTATTGCCGATGTATGTGCGCAGGTTTTCCAGGACATTAATGGGCTGCGGCCGGGCTATTCCTTCCAGGCGCTCGGGATGTGTCGCAAGTGCCTCATCCGCTCGTTCTCGCAGCAGTTCCGGATTTGTCAAGAGCTGCACCCAGTCATGATGAAGCACGGGGGAGACAATCCGTACTGACACCACTACTGGGCAAGTGAGGTAGGAGCAATCATAATGGAACGTCTCCGCAGTCTGGCCCTTGGGTGTGATTTCCTCGGCCGAAGCACCCCCTCTTTGTCTTCCTGATTTATATACCAGGTGGTGTATATGTCCTGGCAAGGTTTGGCTTCCAATCCCAGGTGTCGAGGTCACGACCACCTGCAGGTGGTGCCGGCATTGGGAGCATATCGCCGATACCTTGGTGGGGTTGCCTGAGCTGCTCCTCTTCTCTGGTTGGGGCAAAAAGCTTTGGTTCGGCTTCGTCACATAGGTATGGCGACACGCTGAGGGCGATATGGATTCTAGTGGTCCAGTATAGTGGTCCGGGAAGACCGGGGGTACATCTGATAGCAGGTTGCGGCCGGAGCCTGGAGGATGAGCCGGATCGTAGTCATGGATATCTTGCACAAGACGCGGGGCAGTCTTGCCTGCATACAGAGGCGGCTTTGTTAGCACATGTGCACTTCAGTTTCGATTCACTTTTCGATGCTCCGCTTGTGGGGGGGTATATGATGCGTACCTGACCTCGGCGGAGACGACATGAGTAGGCTCTAATGAGCTCACAGTAAAGGATCACTGAGGCCGCGATGAGCTCGTCGCATAAAGTTAGTAGTGTAGCCGATTATAAACACACAATCCTCGGGTCCGGATGATCCAGTTTGTGAACCCGCGGTCATTCAACGTGAATGGAAACTGAAAGCTGGTCCGTAGGTTGTCGTCACAGCGGGGATTCACTGCAGCAGGTGAAGCAGACGGGCGGCAAGTTGACGATGATGGATTCACCACGGCCAACACAACCAGCTCGCGGGTGGTAGAAGACAGCCTCCGAACGAGCAGACGCCGCTGGATACAGTTTCCCGCACGCCAAGAGAGAAAAGCAACGGCTTGGGCATGCATCAGATGCTCTGGTCAAATGGACTCGAAGCTGGGAAACCGGGGAAGGCGGTGGGGAGGGGCAGAAAGCGCGAGGCCCCAAATTCATCGAATCTCATCTCCGTCCGGACGACACTCTGAGTGCCAGCCACAGCCCATTCCCAATCTCCAACCGCCACCATGGCTCCGCAGCACGAAGAGCACTACCATCCCAAGGATGCGATCTCGGCATCGCTGAAGACCACCATGCTCACTGGTGGAGCTGGTCTTTTCGCCTCAGCCGTCCAGAACACTCTGACTAGACAGAACGTCGGCCCGATGGGCGTCTTCGTGCGGAGCGGTAGCACTGTCGGTATCTTCGGTATGATTACAATTGGGGATGATTGAGCGGCAAGCTTGGGGTGGATGATTCGCTGACAGCTCCGGACCAGCCGCAATGGGAGGTACCTACGAATTCGTGAAGACCGCATCCGCCAACCTTCGTGAGAAGGAAGATCACTGGAACGTCGCTCTTGGAGGTTTCTTCTCCGGTGCGCTCCTGGGTCTCCGAGGTCTGTTGCCCATAATGCGACCGTTCAATTGATGAATATGGCTCTGACAGTTCTGCAGCTCGCACCTTCCCCGCCCTGCTGGGCTACGGCGCCGCTCTGGCCACCCTTACGGGCGCTTTCGAATACACCGGTGGATCGTTGTTCGGTCAGAAGAGGGACCCTACCGTTGATGAGTTTGAGCGCCGTGAGCAGATCCGGACGACATACAGAATCCCCGCAGAGCAGACCTTTGCTGAACTCGGAGAAGGCCGAGGTATGTGCATCCTGAGCAATTGATTCGGAGGAATACAAGGTTGCTGACCCATTTACACAGGCATCTACGCTCCCGGATACGCCGAGAGACGGGCCGAGAGGCTCAAGGAGGCATATGGTATCGAGGTTCCCACATCGGCTCCTGCATCATGAACCTGGTTTTGTTAGATATCTCCCGCGCAGTCCCTCAATTCTCAGTCTCGTTGTGTAAAACTATTACATTATTTCGACGCCGTTCAGCTAGCCGATGTGGTCCAACCACCAATGAAGTTTCATTTCCGTTTCATTTCAGGTGTCACCGTGCCTTGAGAAGTACATGGACCCCGCCAGAGGCATAGGCGACCGAGTTCTGTTGCCGAAAATAGATATGGCATCATTACTGGACAGCTCTGACGCATGGCAAAGTGAGCTGTCCGCACGGTCGGTCACAAGATAACCATCGACTACAGCAAAGCCAAGCTGCGAGGGGCAGTTGTAGCATAGCAGAGGTAGATCAGCTGCTAGGTACCTTCGCCAGCTGTCTAGCAAGGAATGGACAGATGGGAGTCACTGCAGGGGCAATGTAACTTTGCTTTTTTCTATAGCCTTCTACGGAGGGTTCCATGGCATCGGTGAGACAGCCGACGATGGAGGGATGGTGACAGTGACACCACAGACGGCGCCGATAAGTGTTCTGATACCAGCTGCTGGGATCGATGCGCGCCAGAACGGTCGGCGGGGACGAGCTGAATCCACCGCTCGTGAGCCAATCACATGCCCGGCTTATCCAATCCTGAAGCACGTCTGCCACCAACACCGATTTCGACGGGACCAGTTAGAACCGTGCACTAGAAAGATGCAAGTGGTGGGAACAGGTAAGGAGACATGACCACCACAGGACATGAGTAGAAGTTCCAGCCGGTCGCGACTGGGGATACGGTGCTGGGGTTCTGTCAATCTATTGACGTTGATACAAGGGGTGCACGATAATCAATGCAGGGGAAAATATGATATCACCTCCCGGGGGGCCCCTTAACCATCCGGAGGCGTCGGATCTACTGAGCATGGTGATGCCGCTAGTGGAGAGGGTGTGGCTTCATGGGAAGATGGATAAAAGATGGCAGTAATAGTCTCCCGCCATACTGCCAACCTACATGGTCTGCGTCTTGACCGTCGATAGACCCCGGATGTACTTATTCCGTTGTCTACACTGACACAGTACTTAGGATGTACTAAGCATGTACTAAGTGAATATAGACCATCCTTCATCTACAAATTACATTGGGACAGTCTAACGACTACGTCAAGTAGATTGCCATGGGGAACGACGGTGGACTCACCATTGCGTTCGAGCGTAACCAGAAAGGCCGCTGGGTTGGGTAGCCAGTGGCATACAAAGTACTCCGTACGGAGTACACCAACCTCCATTGTCGAACCCCATCGCAGGGAATCCATCCGGATCGACATGAACCTGATGAACCGTGCATGACGTCGAGGGTCAAAGTGGTGTCGAAGTGACTGGATTGCTGCCTCGACAACCCGAAACGGGAAGACGAGACCCGACGATCCGCGCGGGAAACTCCTTTTCTCCTACACTGTTAGTTAGGTACTTTGCGTGCGTCTGAAGGGTGATAGACAGAGTTGCCACCGGTAGCAGGAAAAGGGGGAACTCCATCGAAGCTATGAAGAACGATTGCACTGGCGCTAGAAATTATCATGAGGATTATTTATCCCGCGAGGGAGGCCTGATTGGCCCAGCGAGCAAGCAATTTGCGCGGCCAGCCATTCAGAATGCACCACTGCCACACCCACCAGCCCTGCCTGTCCCGATGCGGTAAGTGCAGGCCGAACAAGCCACGCTTTTCAGCGTTGACTAAGGTTTTTCTCAGCTGTACCAGGACTACTATGTACATTGTATGTAAGGCAGAATAATTTTCTTGGACTTTGAAGGCGAAGTCAGAGGGAATGACCAGCTGGGTGAGATTGGGGCTGATGATGTTGACACTGCGCTGGTGATGACGCTCTCCTGAACAGGGGAAACAGGCAACGGCATTAACCCACCGCCGGTACAGTGTACATACGGTAGGAGCAGTAGTATCTGACCCTGGGGCAGATCCATTTATTAAATCCATTCAATTTCACCCTCATTTCCGTGTGAGTTATTTTTATATCTGGTGATTATTCGGTCCCGAAGTGGTTCCTTCTGGAAAAAGGAGGTTATCCTCAGATTCCGATCGACCACGTCCACGGCCAGACTATCTTCCACTAGATATACACCTTCGAACTTCATGGGCTGACACTTTCCCGGTTCGAGTCAGGTTTGGTGAAGTCAACTCGGGCCCGGGAATTCCGTTCCAACCTCTCGGGGCTTTGGGTCGTCATACCGTCACCAACGACGAGAGAACGACTGGGGGGCCTTTTGTCCGGCGTAGACGTCATCCGGAACCGGCGCTGGATACTAATAACTCACCACCACCACCATTACCACCCCCTCCCCTTTATCGCAACAGGTCCAGACGGACGAAGCATAATCAGATCGGAGGCTTTCGTGGTGTTTCTCCTGAGACTTTCCCCCCTCTTTGTCTTCCCGACACCTCCTCACCTGTTTTCAACATCTCCCTCTCTCTCTCTCTCCCTCTTCTAATCTTGGTCCAGTGGGGCCCAATCTCCTTTTCAACTAAATCCTAACCTCCCGAGGCGCGTTCTGATCGGCTGCTGATTATTCCTGCTGGCTGCGCCGACTGCTCCGGCGACTATTGCGAACGCAATCGTACTAGTCTCACTTGACCAGCCCGAGTCGTCGCTGTGTTGCCCCCGCAAACAGTCCGCCCCAGACCCTGTGGCCGCGAGTCGAGACAATCGAGACACCTGCCGGCGAGTCGCTAATTTCCACTCTCCTCCCAACTTGACGGCTCTAGCAGCTCCAACCACTACGTACTATCCAACTAGATCCAAGTGGATTCGCCATCGCCCTCCTTTTTCTCCTCCTCCTATTCTCATTTCTTTTTTTACATCGCGTTTCATGATATATTATCATTCCTTCCCTTATATTCTTTATCACGGCCCGCATCCGGAACTGACTTTACAACCCCCGATCGCTTGATATCGACACACGGGCCTGGACTGCCCTGCACCGCCCAATTGTTCTCTCTCGCCGTTCCGTTGTTCTCTCATCACCGCCCCTCTCCCCTCCTCCCTCCTGCCCAGTTATGGCTATGGCCGTCAGGTCGCAAACGCCAGTGCAGGACACTTATGGCGCCATACCGCACCCCCCCGATCTGCTGTTGAATCGAGGTTACAGCGTGCGCTCCAGCTCCCGACCCAATTCTATTATCGCCAGCACCTCTGGTTATCTCGCGCACGGCGCCAACCCCGAACCCGCTCCATACCCCCATAACGGCCGCTTTCATGAGGAATTCGACGCCGCCAGTCACCGTGGTTCACTAGACGGTCCCCCAGGCGCAGGCATGCAACGCTCCGTCTCTCAGATGTCGCAGTCCCGTTCCGCAACCCCAACCCGAACCAGCACTTTGAAGAAGAAAGCGTCCTTGAGCAAGCGGAGCAGTATGCGCCGCAGCGGTAGCAAGCGCAGCTTGCGTGCCGGCAGTGTACGGAGCCTTGTCCTGGGCGACAAAGAAAAGTATGGGGCCGACGGCGAAGATCCAAACAGCGCTTTCTATATCCCTATTCCCACCAATGGAAACCCGACAGAGGTTCTGGCAAATCGCTTTCAAGGTGCGTGTGTCTCTGGACTTGAGATTCGTGGTTGCTGATTCGCAGTAGCATGGCGCAAGGTCCTGAAGGACCTCATCGTCTTCTTCAAAGAGGTCCAGAAGTCCTACGAAACCCGATCGAAACTTTTCCTGTCAGCATCAAACATCATGCAAAACACATCGCTTCCTCCGACGTTTCTCAAATCCGGTGGTCTTTCCGATGCGACCGACATCTTGCGGGACTTCCACCGACAAGGGTACCTGGAAGCGAACAAAGCCGCAGAGGTGGAAAGCGAAGTTGTCAACCAACTCATGGGCTTGCGAAACGATCTGCAAAAGAAGACCAAGGAAATCCGGAGTCTGTCGGGGGATTTCCGCAACTCCGTGGACAAGGAAGTCGAAGCTACTCGTAAAACGGTCCGACACTTGCACGAAACCCTGGGTTTGGTGGACAGTGACTCCTCGGCTACATCTGGCAAGGGAGATCCGTTCATTGTTCGTTTGGGCGTGGACAGGCAAATTGAGAAGCAAATCGAGGAGGAGAACTATCTGCACAGGGTATGAGATCGTCGCCCAGTTCAATCTGCGATAGTACTGACCGCTTGCTAGGCATTCTTGAACCTGGAAAACTCCGGTCGCGAACTTGAATCCATCGTGGTCGGCGAAATCCAAAAGGCCTATAACGCATATGCCAGTATTCTCAAGCGAGAAGCAGACGAGACGTACGACACGGTCGAAAAATTGCGCGCGGGGCCGATTTCGATGCCTCACGATCACGAATGGAATTCCTTCATCGCGAACACGGACGAACTGGTCGATCCGCGCGTTCCCCTGCGCGATGTGGAGAACATTACATACCCGGGCAGGGATCATCCCGCCGCGGTGGAGGTTCGGTCCGGGATGTTGGAGCGCAAGAGCAAGTACCTGAAGAGCTATACCCCCGGCTGGTGAGTCCCTTGGTACCTGCTCTGTTTCAACTGAGTTGCTAACCAGGAACAGGTATGTTCTGTCCCCAACGCATCTTCACGAATTCAAATCGGCCGACCGAGTCGAATGGCAACAACCGGTGATGTCATTGAACCTACCGGAGCAGAAGTTGGGGTCGCACTCACAGCCCGACTCAACGTCGCACAAGTTCATGCTCAAGGGACGACAGACGGGGACCATGCACCGTGGTCACTCCTGGGTCTTCCGTGCGGAATCTCACGAGACGATGATGGCCTGGTATGAAGACATCGAGAGCCTCATTTCGAAGACCGGCGAGGCTCGGAATGCATATGTGAGGCAGCATATTCGATCCGCGAGTGGCATGGGTTGGCGGAACAGCAGCGATGGGATGGACGAGGACGAAGCAGACCGGACGCCGTACTCAGCAGAGTCGGCGGTTTTGCACCAGGAACGTCCGACGTCGCAGCCTCGCCAGCCGGGCGGGCGTTTCCCGAGTGACGTGCAGATAGACCGCCATTTGGAGGCTCCACTATCACCGTCCAGTGGGGAGAGCTCCAACGAGAGGGATCTCCTGGCCGCGGCTGGCTCGTTACCGGACGGTCGAAATTCGTTTAGCAACGCCGATGTCGAGATGGGTGAGAACCATGCTGCGCCCGCTGCTGCTGCTCCCGTCGAAAGACGGGACAGCTACTATGGCAGCTGGATGGGCACATCGGACGCCGCCACTCATCAGCGACAGCTTGCCCATCCAGGACAGCATCCCAACGAGAACCGGGAGACCGCGGGTTCTGATCGAGGGAGCGCCTCGAATTTGTATGTAGCGGGGCTCGGCTCCACGAACTCTCGGGACCCTTCTCTGACCCGGCAGCGAAACCGCGGCGAGAGCACATCCACTGCATTCACGGCCACGAATGGCACTGACTACACTCATACCACGGTGCCGACCTCGATTGATGAGAGCGAAGAAATCAGTGCTCAACCTGATGGGTATGCGGGCGACGGCTTGGGGTTGATGAAACAGCAAACGGCAGCCTCGGTAAATCCCTCCATTCCGACGGCTCCGACTGGACCTGTCACAACTGATATGGCGGCCTCGCAGAACGGATCTGTCAAGCGCCCTCCAGCTCAAACCAAGGGCAGTGTGTCGACGCTTGAACTACAGATTCCGGGTCATTATCCGCCAGCCGGTATGGCTGCATAGCAGCACAAGCTCTGACAACAGGACGAGTGGCGCTGCTCTTTTCCTATTTATCCAATTTCCTTTGTTCATTTCCTTTGTCACTTTCCTATGTACATTATTCACGCATGCATGTGATGATGTGGTGGCATCTTTCGCAGAAGACTGCACACCTCCAACCCGGGGAACTGCAAAGGTTGGGTTATGGAACCACCGACGCACCCCACACATTTTACATATCACTTTACTCGGCGTTTCCCAATATGACAGGCGGTGCTGGGATGGATGGACGGACGGCCGGAAGGACGGTTGGATAAGGCGTCTGGCACAACTTGGATGGATGGTTCTTTCTTGCATTACTCGCGCTTTGCTGCACTTTTCACTTCTCTGTACAATATTCCCACCATTTACTCTTCTGCTTCTGAGTTCCATCATTTATCTGCTTCAGCTGGTTGATCTGGGCTTCTGCTTTTATTTGTTTACTTTTTGATATCGCAAGATTACCGCACTACCTTGCCTTGCCTATCTTTGATATTTACATCCGGTCGTCGGGAGGTTGACTCGTCGGATGGATGCAACTGATCTTTCTTTCTGTTGGATTGGATCTAGGTAGCTTACGAATGAATTGACCCGAACATTGATTCAACTGATCTCTACCGTAGAACATATATTCGAATTACGTACTACCTTTATGTGTATCAGTAAACCCCCCCTCCCCCCTTCTCTAAATCTTGCCCATCAAACACCCGATACCCCGCACTATCAATCAAGAGAGCTGAATTAAGATACTACTACTCCGTAATGCCACCAAAAACATGATAACTACACAGTGACTTCCATGGACTGAAGTTATCGGATTGCAAAGAATACAAAACAGCCAATCAAGCAAATAGATTTTCGACGAACTAGTTCAATCAATACAATCCATACATCCTACGCAGCCGATAAGTCAATAAAATCCCTAGTCCTAACATTAAAGTAGTCTAGTTTACAGAGTATACCGAGTTAGATAATGGTTTCGCTTCATTCCCATGATATCAAGATAAGTTATCGTGCCTAGGCGCTGGATCTCCACCTTTTAATCGCTTTATATCGAAACCTTTCATTGGGGTAGAATTTCCAGTAGACGCTCTCTCGATCTCAGGAGGCTGTGGGTTATGGGTATATCTTCTGTACTTAACCAATGGAAATGAAATTTCAGTTACACTATGCCTATCTGTCTTGTACGGAGTACAGGCGAGGATTACCGCGCCAGACCAACCTTTATTTGCCGCTGACCTGCAAGGATATGGTGGAGGCTTGCCCTAATCAGCGCGATACATCTGACTCCTTAAGAGTGAAGATGAATAAATGCAAAGACCCTGCGCAGAGTTACTGATCCATTGTTACTGCACATGATGCTAAGCCAATGGATCAATCCTATCTAGAAAATAATATTAATATTATAGGATTCGCTATAAGTTGAATTCTATACTTGTAGTAGAGTAAGCTTCAACCCCGCTGACCAGGTAATCGCTCAGGGTTATCGCCGAAGACAGGGGCCTCGCAGGACATCCGTGGCAGGTTCCTTATGATATCGAATCTGAGCCCGATGCCCGTGGGAGAACTTGCCGCGGAGACTGGTCTTATAGGGTTACTGCCAGCCAACTGTCTAATAACTCCGGCGCTGAGTTGGAGGGTGTGGTTCGGGCGTATGCGTGGGGGGTTAAAAGTGGTGTTTGCGGTGACGGTTGCGGCGTGTGGGATGACGGTGCCGGTTAGTTTAGTTTAATTCGTGGGCGAATGTGAATGTCAGGAAGAACTCGTAGCCTTGTGGGGAAGGTGGTGGTGGTGGTGGGTTGGAAGAGGGGTGGGTTGTTGGTCGGATCTTGTGTGTGCAGTGGGAGGGAATCTTGATTATATTCTATTTCTATGTGAGATGTCTGGTCGGCGATGGTACTAGGCACGACTCATAATATTTTATTACTATATAAATCCCTACTAATATATTTTCATTCTCCCCGATCCTGCTAAACTAGATAATCTCAATGTTCAACTAGTACTATCACGTATGTCTGATTCATAATTCGTGGGCGAGCCCAGCTAGAGCATACTATCTAGGAACTATAAACCGTATCCTACTAAATAGCTAGACCTTATATCCCCATCATCTATCTCAATATTCCCAGTTACTACTTACCACTTCCTAGCCTTTTTAATCAAACGTCCTGCTTATAGATAGCAATATCATACCACATCCTATCAATTAACCGCACTGTAATAAGCGAACAATACATTAAAATCTGGCTCATCCTTACTACATTCAGCAAGTATATATGCAGACCAGTCTCGCTTCATTCGTCTAAGTGGCTACAGTATCTCGCTGGTTTCTGGCTACTTCATTCGAGTCAGTCCGAGGCAAAATTACCAGTAAAACAGCTCTAACAAACTAATCCCATTATTAAGACAGGGTGATGCGCAGACGGGGCCATCTCGACCGTCGGCCCAGAACCACACCGAAGCGTGTCTGATGAGTTGGGTGGGAAGTGATGAGTTCAAGACCTGACTATACGGCATTGTTACTCGTTTTGATTCCTGATCGATTCAGAATTTCTTAGACTCGACTTCTGGACTAAGACTAAACATTGGCGAGTATTTTATGTAAGATAGGGTATTTTGTTATGATATCTCCATATATCTCTGTTGTAAGTGGAGTAAGTTGAGATAGAAACAGTGATTAAATAGACGGAAGGCTCTGTTCTGTGGTATGACCTGATTTCATATAGTCTCTTCGGATCCAGTTATTAGCCTGAGGACTGCATCGTGTGTACTACTCACCTGGCCAGGTTAGCATCAACGGTTGCATCCGACCTGTCTCAGTTGGCAGCCAGCCAACGAGGTAGTACATGATCATATCCTAGTCAAACACCTACACTGCCATACTGCCATACTGCCATGGGATACGCCTTACACCTACAGGGACATTTAAATCAATCGTCAAAACCTCTCCGGAGCCGCAATTTCGCTAGGCACCATCCAAACGCACAGAACAAATCCAGAGCCATCCGCCTGCAATTTCAACTTGAACCACACCCGATTTGTCCCCACGAGACCAGATCGTCGGAGAGAAGATAACAAAACTAAGCGGGATAGCAACAAAACATCATAAGGTGTGATATGAACAAAAGCAGACGCCAACCGGTCATTCTCTTCTCGATTCGGAGTGTTACATCGCAAACTTTTCGCCCTCGACATTCCTCCGGAAGCAAAGAACATATGGTAGTATTACATGATCTGATCCTGCGTGATGGGAGCAGTCGGCTCGGCGCCGTCCATCGGCTCGCCCGGTCCGGGGCCGGCGTTCATATACTTGACGAACGTAATGCCCAGGGGACGACCGCCGTACTGGTAGCCTGTGAACTTGGCTGTAACAGCATGTCAGTCCGAATTCCACGCGCATCAATCACACGACTTACCGATCGCAGTCTCCGCAGTATCGCCGTTATCAAACTGGACCACACCGGTGCCGCGCGAACGACCGTTGGGCTCGTACTGGATCTCAGCACGGTCAACCTTGCCAATGGTCGAGAACAGATCCACCAGATCCTCGTTGCAAGTCGACCAAGGCAGGTTGCGCACGTAGATGACCGAGCCCTTGTCGCCGCCAGAGGTAGCAAAATCGGTGAAAGGGTTGGGAGGCACCGAGGCCATTCCCTCGAAACCGGGGCCACCACCGAAACCGCCAGGGGCGCCGCCGCCATAACCGCCGCGGAAACCTCCGCCGAAGCCACCACGACCACCACCGAAGCCGCCGCGACCGCCGAAGCCACCCCGGCCACCGAAGCCACCACCAAAGCCGCCACGGCCACCAAAGCCGGGTCCGGCACCAGCGAAGCGATCTTCACGGACCTCCAGCGCACGTCCCTGCCAGTCGTATCCGTTGAACTGTTGGATGGCATTGCGAGCATCCTCGGGCGACTCGAACGCGACAATACCAGAGCCCTTGGGGCGGCCCGTAGCATCGGTATGCACATCAGCACGGATCACAGCGCCTTGCTGAGCTAGAAGGTGATGTCAGTCGAGAGGGCGGCCGTCAATGGAGAGGGGAAGGAGGCAGAGGAGGCGGTTGAAGATGCTCTGCCGTCCCGATACTTACCAGCTTGGCGGAAAAGATCCTTCAAATCTTGCCAGCCAACGTTGAACGGAAGCTAAACAGGCCACTGTCAATACCTAATCCCGTGTCGAGCATGACATCAGATTTTCCCATGGGGGCGGGGGCAGGGGCACACAAACATTCGACACGTAGAGCTGGCGGCCACCGGCACCACCAGGAGCTCCGCCAGGGCCACCAGGACCACCGAAGCCACCGAAGCCTCCGCGACCAGCGCCTCCGAAATCTCCACGGGAAGGGCCTCCGGTGAAACGAGGCTCGGGTTCACGGTCCTGCTGAAGTCAGCATCCCCTGTCTATCTCCCCACGGGCCAGAAGCAATGTACCTCGCGAACGTAGACGAGACGTCCCATCAAGTTCTGGTTGCTAAGGGTGTTGACAGCATTCTGCGCTTGATCCCTGGTCGCGTATTCCACAATCCTAGAACGACAGTCAGAAATATCCAGAGGACGCCAAGGAGACAACTCACCCGCATCCCTACAGTATCCCGGACGGCCAGGCCCAGCCCGTCAACCCAAACAGTCCATAACAAACGAACCAACGGGGGAAAATCCAGAAACACAAAGGGAAAAGAAACCAGCCACACTACGCATTGGCGCCCACCTTCGACATTCCATTGGGAAGCAGTAAGACATCGGCAAAGATCACTTCTCCAGCTGTTCGAGCGATGCGGAACGTCCCCCTCCAAAGTCAGCCACAGATTCCAGACCGGCGTAAAACGCATCACACCCCCAGCAACATGATATGACCCTGCTCACCCTGTCTCATAAAGTCTTTCAGATGATGCCACTTGACATCGTAGGAGAGGTTGCCCACATAGACACGACGGTCTTGCTGGGACGACTCGCGCACGGCTTGCATCATTTGTTCTTTGGCAACTGCGCGATCTTCGAACGAACGAGGAGGAGGTGGGTAGCTGCCGCGCCCACCGTAACCAGAAGCAGAATGACCACCGGAAGCGCCTTGGGTCGTACTCATAGGCGAACGAGAACGACGGTCGGAGCGGCGATAGTCGTCACGGCTGCGAGAACGACTGCGAGGCGAGTACGAGCGACGGCTGCGTCGGGGACTACGAGAACGGCGACGGGGGGAACGAGACCTCTCGCGCTGCGCGTGGTCAGTGTCGTCAAAGGCAGAGGGAGACATCGACGGAGAAGAGCGAGCGCGCGAGGGACGGCAGAGGGAGGGTGGGGATTAAAAGAGAGGCAAAGAAGATGAGACAAAGTGGGTGGGCGGATCAGCGCGCAAGGTCCCTAGGGTGGGTGTGGGTGGGTTGGTTGGATGAGAGAGATGAGGAATCGGGCGATGGGAATGGGTAGAGTTAGGTTGGTGAAGGAGGAAGCAGAGCAAGGCAGGCAAGAATGGGACTCGATTGGATTATTGGGTCCGAGTTCCGGGACGAGCCACAAACTGGTCCAGTCAGGTGACCCGGTGCTGATTTGGGTTTAGCGTCAGACGCCAGGCCGGGGGACCCTGGGGAAAGTCACGGGCGCTCAGGCACCGACACAACCGAGAGGAGGGGAAAGCTGTCAGGCACTCGGGGTGCTTCACAGTGGATGGTCATGATCACAGAGATAAGGAAGATGAAGTATAAATCAGAACAATAGAAGAGACCAAGCAAAACAACCATCCAGCAAATCGAGAAGAGGCGTGGGTGATAGATAGATAGATGGATGAGAATGGGGCCAACCGTGAGGAGTGGGGATGACGGATTCCCGAACGTGAGCACCGCCCAGCACTACCTATTCGGTGGTAGCAGCTGATGGCCAGTCGGCCAGTGTCCACCATCCCCAGTCCAAGCTGGCCGCAAAGCAATCCATCCCTTCCCCCCAGGCAATCCCGAACCATCACACCCACCCTAAAAAAGGCACCAGGTCCCAGTCGTAGCTACAACGGAAAGCATACTTACTTGATAGGGTCGATAGACGTCGGCTGAAGATCTCGGCCTGGATGGTAAGCCACCGAATCCACGGTCGGGATAGAACAAAGCAGCAGAAGAAGGGGATTACCAAAGTACGAAGAAAGGTGAAGAGGGGAAACTGAGATGGGGGACGGGAAAGAGATGGGGTAGGGAGAAGAAAGAAGACGGAGGAGGAGGCGAGAGGCGAGAGAGATAAAGGAGGGTGACGGCGGGAGGGGGGAAGACAGACGGACAGAAAGACCAGTGGTGGTAGTGGTGGTGGTGGGCGGGCGTGAGAGGAGACTTGGAGTGGGTGTGTAAGGATTCGGAGCACCAGCCAGCCAGCCAGCAGCCAGCAGTCAGCCAGCAAGAGGAAAAAGAAAAGACGAGACAAGAGCAAGACCAGTTCCAGCCCGTGTGTGTGTCCAGGGCAGATCCAATCCCATCCCATCCCCTCCGCCAGGTGCCTGCGCTCTCAAGGCTGGCTGCCTGTCAGACCGTTCGGCACAGCATGCAGCACGCCGTATGATTGGCCTCCCCTCGGAGCCCATCCGCAGACACCGGCCACTGAGCGTAGTCCATCCTGTCGATGGTCGCAGCAGATTCTCCAAGGGCATGTTGCTCTGACTCGGCATGCCCGCCCGCCGACAAGCAGCCGTCCCTGCCGGAGTGGGAACCCGGCCCATGGCGAGGGGAGAATGCCTGGGGGTTGATGCTGATGCTGATGATGGCATGTGCAGCCTAGACAAGGGGCCAAGGGAGGGGGGGAGGACACTGATCCATCCCTCCCTCCCTTCCTCCCTCGGGCGGGACACTCATATCACCCGTCATGTCATTCCCATCTGGGGGAAGAATGTGAGGCATCCCGAAGTATAAATCGAGGCCAGAATTGGGGGGAACCAAGGGCAACGGAGGACAACGTGGGCAGGATGTACAAGGTGGATCAAGATAACAGCAAACAGTCCGGGGGAGGTGTTCAGGATCAGGGATGGATGGAGTCGCAGAAGTGCATAGCAGAGTAGAGAAAGAAATCACCCACCCATGATGGTATTAGCTTCAAGGTTGATGAAGACAACTAGGAAAAAGACAATGCGGATGGAAGGGGGGAATGATAAGTGAGTGATCGAGGAGAAGGATGTGGTGATGATAATAGAAGAGCCAGGTGGATGAATGGATGGGGGGAGGGTCTGGATCGCCTTGCACGTCGGAGGACGACTGGCTATCAGAAGGTGAACAAATCGGAGGGAAGGGAGGGGCCAGCAATGATGGGGATAAGCAAAGCACCCCCGATTGTGATCGAGTCCGACAGCCGGGCAGGGATGGGGGTTTCGCCGGTGGGGTGGTTCAAATAAATAGAGCAGTGGATATGAATGAATTATTACGGAGTATGAAAAGAGGGATTCAGTGACAACGAGTCTATCAGCTGGTGCATCCCGCGGAATTCATTCCATGGATGCTGCGATCAACAGTCAACACTGAGGAGCTGACAGCCTATCACAGTGGATGCACAGTTGCATAGATCATCAGGCACAGGCACATCACTGAGCACCTTAATGGATTGTTTACTCGACACGAACCACACGCATTCCTATATATTACGTAGGCATTGCAACATACGAACAATACCCACATAGTACTACTTTGTACTACCATTGATGGATGAATGTTATCTCTCCCATCTCCATTCAGTGTCCCCCATACTACATCCACACTATATACAACTAGTAATATACAGAGTCTCAGCCACAACAACCACACCCACCAACCAACATCTGCCATTGAACCAATCCATGATTCCATCAAACAAAGAACTTATACCAATCCACTCTTAGAATTGACCCATCAACCCCAGTAGCCCTACAACCCCAATCAACCCCGACCAACCACAACCGCTGCCGTCACCAGCCAATCTTGGCTCCGCTCAGGCCACCGCTTAAGAAAATCCTCCGCCATCATCCATCCACCTTCACCAACTCCAACCTCCGTCACCTCAATCCAATCCCAACTCACTCTACAACAACAGCCCAACACAACACCATGACCCGACCACAGCCCCTCCTCACCCTCTCCCGGAGGTACCTCACAACCATCGTCACCCCCCGAACTTCGACAACCACAACCAGCCGCCTCCTCCGCGCCCCCCAACCCCAACCAGCACGCCCTCATCTCCGCATCACCACCACAACCCCCCTCATCCGCACCTACCACTCAATCCACTACCCCTCCCCCACGCACCCCTACACGAACTCCCAAACGACCATCCTCAGCGCCGCCCTCCACCACGTCCCAACCCACGGCTTCACCCGGGACGCCCTAACCCTAGGCGCGCGCGACGCCGGCTTCCTCGACGTCTCCGTGCAGCTCTTCCCCCGCGCCGAATTCGACCTCATCCTCTTCTACCTCGCCAGTCGTCGGGGTCTGCTCCGATCGAAAGTCGAAAATGATAATCTGCTTCAGTCGGCGCAGCCGCAGTCCGTGGATGATAAAATCAAGGTCTTGATTATGGAGAGGTTGCGGATGAATGCCGAGGTTAGGGAGAAGTGGGTTGATGTATGTTTATTCCCCTCTCCTATTGTCCTTCTATCTATGTGGTTTGTGGGGGTAGATTGGGGATAGGTATGCTAATGAGGTGTACAGGCACTCGCAATCATGTCCCTCGGCGAAAACATCCCCATGTCGTTATCTGAATTGCACGCGCTCTCGGACGATATTCTTTCGTTGGCGGGGGATGTATCCGTCGATGCATCGTGGTATTCGAAGCGGTTGGCCATCGCGGCGGTGTACGCGTCGTCCGAGTTCATGATGACGCGGGATACGAGTGCGGGATTGCGGGACACGGAGGAGTTTCTGGGCCGGCGGTTGGCGGATGCCAGGGCCGTGGGGGATAAGTTGTCGGGCGTGAAGCAGTGTTTGGGCTTTATGGGGACGACGGCGGTGGGTTTGGGGAGGAGTTGGGGACTGAAGATCTGAGCGGGTGCATCATGTGAGATGTGCTGGGCTTGGAGTGTACTATTATTGCTATTCGTTTAAATGTATGTATGTATGGGTGTCTCTTGCTTGCTTTTCGTCTGGTAGTGATTACTACTGTATATGTACAAATACAACGGGGTCTATTAGTAGGCCTGGGCTTTGGCAATCTCCCGCATGCGATGCTCCAATTTCTCCTGCCAGCCCTCCGGTCCGAACAACTCCCGCACGGCTTTCCGGTTCGGCGCCAGATCCCACCACGGCTCGCGAGTTGACCGCTGGCCTTCGAGTCGGGCCTTCCGCCAATGGGTCCGGAGATCGTGCTCGCGCTGGTTCTTGATCGAGCCGAGAAGACTGCACGTGCGGCGATTAGGTTCCACGCCCGTGACCTCCATATCGCGGAGCAGGGAGACCACACCGGGTAGATCATGACACCCACGCCAGTAGAAGTAAATAAACTCATTATACAGACCCGTCGACCCACCCAGGACCGCCGACGCACGGCCCATGGACTTGATCGTGGCGCGGAACTGGCTGATCAGCTGCGAATCGGGATGATGCAGATTCAGCATCTTGAACGCAACGAGCAGCATCTTGGGATACAGTTCCGTCACAACCGGTTCTACCGGCACGCAGGAAGGTATAGCGAGAGGAGTTCTAGGGGCCTCATCACCGGCGATATCGCCCTTCACGCCTAAGAGTCCCTTCTTCTCCTCGTCGAAATGTCTCAGGATATTGAAGATCCGGTCCTTGCACACCTCCCAGATCCCGGTGTCACCCTTATTCTCATCAATGGCCTCCCACAGTGCCGCTTCGATCTTCACTGATTCCCGCATAACGACCGCCTCAATGGCCCGGTCTATCGAGATCTTCTGCGACGATATCATCTCCGCCATCTCCTCGTCCGTATACTCGCCGGTTTGGAGCTTCTCTTCGATCTCGGTACTCGCTCGCATGGCTGTGGCTTCGCTTTGGCGCTCGGCAGCCCGCGCCTCCGCACGCTTCCGCTTCTCTTTCATGTCCTGGAGTACCGAGTCAAAAATGGCGGAGATTTGCGACATCTCGTCCATTTCTTCCTCACGGAGGGTGGGTTTCGCGCCCGGAGTAGTGGGTTCGGGCTGTGTCTGGCTGCGGCGCTCAGTGCCGAGTTGTTCGAGCAAGTTGCCGAAAATTTGCTTCTCGCTGCTGGTCATGGTGAGGGGCTTCTGGGGAGTGGTGGGCTTAGTGGTCGTCGGCTGAGGGGTGACGGCGGCGGCTCTCTGCCGGATGTAGCTTCTGCGGGGTGCTCTAGGCTTCTCATCTTGGGGCTCTTCTGCCTCGTCGGCAGCGGTATTGGAGGTCGAGTAGTGCTGGGTGTGGCGCAACGAGGAAAGAGATGCACCGGTGAGGGTACGAGTTTGGTACAGGAATGGGACGGGCGAGTTGCGAGCGGCGTGGGTGAGCCATGACCGAGAGATTCGGGCACTCATTTTGTGAAGGGTGGAGGATACAGTCAGTCAGCGAGACTGTGAATTATCTTTCCTTATCTCCCCCGGACTCGCAGTGCTTTCATCGATTTGGTCGAGGCGAAGGTAAATCGTCGCCGAGATTCTAGCGGACGGGCCAATCGAGGCCGCTTGTCCCATTAATCAAGACCACGTGATCACGCGGCGCTTCGAACGCGCGAATCCGCCGCGATGGCAAAAGCCCATCCTGCGCCCATCGAGCACCATTGTCCATTCAGCAATCCCGGTGTGCAGATATCCCCTCAGTGGAGGAGTGAACAACCGCCAAGATGGTTAAAGAAGAGATCTCCGAGTTCGAAAAGCAGCGGCTAGCTAACATTGCTGAACGCGATGCGCTCCTCAAAAAGCTCACCATGGAGGCCCAGTCCTCCGGGCTATTCCCGCCCAAGATGCCCAAGCCGGCCGCGAAGGATCAGTCTCGGTCGAAGAAGAAGGCACCCGTGAAGAGGGTCAAGGAGGAAACTCCGCAGCCGCGCCGCATGTCCTCCCGGCTGAGGGGTATCGCGGCGGAGAGTGAGGTCGCGAAGCGCAAGGCAGAGGAGGAGAACGAGGCGCTGCAGGCGGCGGAGCGCGCAAAGCGCGTTCGCAAGTCGGATAACTTCTCCTTCAATGAGATGGTGGTGTATGGCCAGAAATTATCCGGGGATAGTCTGATTGGGGTGGATGTGGTTACGAAGGGCGTCGCAATCCCTTACCAGCGGACATTTGGCGACGACGATGTCCAAAAGACGACGGACAAGGATCTAAAGGCGCTGAGGAAGGAAATGAACGGATTGAAGCTCTGGGAAGCATGGGAACCTAATCGTCTGTCTGCCCTTTCCATCTCATCCCCAGAACCCCCAGCTAACCATCCATCCCATCAGGAATCAAACTCACCCCCGAACGAATCTACTCCATGACCTTCCACCCCACCGAATCCAAGCCTCTCATCTTCGCCGGCGACAAACTAGGCCACCTAGGTATCCTCGACGCCTCACAAGAGAAGCCCACCTCAATCAAACACGAAGCCAACGACGACGACGAAGACGAAGAAGACGACGACCCCGACCCGGTCCTCACGACCGTAAAACCACACACGCGCACCATCAGCGCCATGCACATCCACCCCTCCAAACCCACCACCCTCTACACAGCCAGCTACGACAGTTCCATCCGCGCCATGGACCTCGAGAAATCCACCAGCACAGAACAATACGCCCCGGAATCCACCTCCTCCGACGAACCCATCTCCGGAATCGACATGGCCCTCTCCGACCCCAACGTCCTGTACTGGACAACCCTAGACGGCGAATTCGGCCGTCACGACATCCGCACCAAATCCAAACCCACCGTCTCAACCTGGCAACTCTCCGAGAAGAAAATCGGCGGCTTCTCCCTCTACCCAACCCAACCCCATTACTTCGCAACCGCCAGTCTCGACCGCTCCATGCGTCTCTGGGACTTGCGCATGCTCCAGAAGAACAAATCTCAGGACCCTGTCCCAGTCGGCGAACATTACAGCCGACTTTCTGTCTCGCATGCTGCCTTCAACAGCGCCGGACAAATCGCGACGTCATCCTACGACGATACGCTTAAGATCTACGATCTGAAAGCAAAGGGCATCTCATCCTGGGAGAACGGGCATACGATTCCCGAGGACGAGCTAGGTCCTGATACGATCGTCCGACATAATTGTCAGACGGGGAGATGGGTTACTATGTATGTCATCTTCTTTCCTCGAACCCCCCCACACCACCACGTTGTCTCTCTCCCCTCTAGTCTCTAATACCCTCATCATCCCGCAATCATCCTGAAAATAGTACTAACGAAACAGTCTCCGCCCCCAATGGCAACAAAACCCCCAATCGCACATCCAGCGGTTCTGCATCGGAAACATGAACCGGTTTGTGGATATCTACAGCGGCGCAGGAGATCAGCTGGCGCAGTTGGGTGGAGACGGGATCACGGCAGTGCCGGCGGTGGCTGTTTTCCATCGCAGTAAGAATTGGGTGGCGGGGGGTACGGCGAGTGGGAAGATTTGTTTGTGGATGTGATGTATTTTATAGGATTTGTATTTATGCTTGGCGGGGGTGTATACTTATAGGTTCGTAGCGTATAGTATGTATGGGATGTATGATGAAATGTTGGTAGCAGTACTGAGTAGTAATGGATATTATGGATGCAGGAACGGTCTAAGGTGAGTACTCATTCATCTATGCCCAGAGGAAAGGTAGACGCTATTTACAAGAATCAAAATCATAGACAACCAGCAGCACCCGCTGTCTACAATCCATACATCATCCATGGAAGATCATATCCGGCACTCTGCTCAGGACCTCTTGTTTTCCACGTAAAAACAGCCATCAGAGCAGGGTATCAACACCATGACAAATGCTTTCCAAAAACAACCGGCGGAAGAGGTGGTAGGGAGAACGAACGTTAAATCATGGGCACATGCGGAGGGAACAAGGAGTCGGAAAATAATGTAAAGGCAGAAAATTTACACCAGAAGATGCAGCGATTTCACGTCCGGAAATCAAGCTCTCGTGTTGTACACAGAAGTAGCTGCCCGCAAGGTATGGCACCGCTTTGCAGGAGCTTCGATGAGATCCGTGAGGATCAGATAACGGGCGGGACAGCCGTAGAATGAAAAGGCAGGTTTCTTTTGGGAGCCGCGAGCGGGGACCAGATGCTTGGAATCACCACCTTGCCCCAATGCACGGGTGTGAATTAGAAAAGGAGCATGCGCGTCATGACTCACTTCGCTGTTCCTCACGCGATTGCTGGGCCTGTTCCCGATCCTTGGCTTTCCGCCGCGACGGAGGGACAAAATCAAAGAATCGGTACTTACTCGACGTCTCTCTGGTAATGCTGGACCGGCGAGACTTCGAGGGCTCCTGGTCAAGCGAGTAGGTAGAGGAGTTCTTCGAGCTACCGGTGCTGTCCCGAGGATCAGCCCACCGCGGTATTGAGAATGGCACTCGACTCTGGTCCCACGTGGCGGAAGAAGAGCTGGGAGGTGTATCCTCATCCGCTTCAGGCGCGTAATCGGTAGACCGACGGGGGAGTGAAGGCCTCGAGGTGAAATAGCCAATCGAGTTGCGATGGCTGCCCGTAAGGGATGTCGACCCCGCAACCGCTGCCTCCGTGGCCGGACTCGTAGGTTTGGAGCTCTCATCGTAGAAGGTCACTGATCGTTCCATCGAATCAACCAGCTCTTCCCATTTGACTTCGAGACTTCCGTTGGGACGCTCGGCTTGTTCCGCACGGCTCAAACATTCCTTGGTGCGTTGGTAGAGACGCAGGGCCAGCTCATGGAATTTGCTGACTGCCGGATCGATTTCTTCCAGTTCGCTCAGCCTTTCCGGTGCTATTTCGAGCCAGATGCTAATCAGGTTGGCAAAGCTCCGCGCATGGTCAATGAGGAAAGGAAGGCTAGGGAATCCTTCGCGGGAGGTTGGGGGAAGGCGACCCAGAATTTGAATGGGGGTGGCATAGGAGGGCGTGACGATTGGAGCTGGACGATCGGCCGGGATAGCGCAAATGGAATCCACAAACTGTTTGAAGTCGGCGCGATTGCTGACCAGGAACTTGTTCATCGGTTCCATCCAAGGCTCCTTGCTGCCGAAAGTAGTCATATTGGCCAAGCCTTGCAAAGCCTTCGCGATCAGGGTCAGGGTGCGTTGGGCGCGAGGGCGCGGGTGGTCTGCGTGTATTAGAAATAAACCCAACGGACACAGAAGAGGAGAAATACCTTTAAGCAATCCAAACAGTTTCGGATTGAGGATTGCCGGACAAAAGAACCGCAGGAAGAGAAAGCCTGACACACTACTGTAGGTGACTGACCGAAGAAAATCACCGTACCGATCCTCTGCGCAGGCTCGGATGTGTCGAAAGATGAGCCTCAGTTCGGCCGGGCATCTCGACGCGGAGCTTGCAATCGCTTTCCAGACCGCGGTGCTCAGGTTGACAAGATTCCTCCAGTTACGATCGAGATCATCTGATCGGTGTACACGGGAGGGATCAACCTCGCACTCCGGATCCGTTTCGTCAATATCGCGTAGCCGCTCCCCAATGGTTTCTTCCAAATATTCTTTCCCCAGGCGACGCATATGGTAGTCAAGCGCCTTGGTGAGCAGAGAGTTCCCTCGGAAAAGAAGGTTCGCCTCGACGGTGGCAGTGCGGCCCATGTCCCTGACGAGGACTTCTCTTTCTTGGCCGGACTCACGGGAGTCATTGGAATGGATTCTTGTGGTATACCTTAGCCTGTTGGCGGTCGATTCCTTGTGCAACCCATCAATCTCATCCTCTACCAACGCCGATATCCACTCGACGGTCGTGCCCGACACCTGGTAAATATTCAGAAGTGCATCGGACAGCTGATTGAGTTCTGAGGACATGACTTGAGCCATGTTGATAGTGAGGCCGTTGGTGAAGGAATGCAGGATTTCAGACATCGGCGTATACTCATGCGACATGAGAACCACCGTCTCCTCCATACGAGCTCGCATGAGCATCTCACCCACGGGTTGATCCTTGTCATCCAAAATCGGCCACCATTTCTCGGTTTCCACCCCTGGCTGCAGATCGTCCAGCTTCAAATCCACCCTGCCGAATGTAGCATCATGAGAGGACAACTCAACATCGTCTAACAAGCGCGAGGGGCTGCCATGGTCGTGACTCAAGGCATAGGAGCCATGGGCGATCAGCGTCCAATCCTTTTGTGTTGTATTGATTGTTTTCACCAGTATCGAAACCTGGGAGAGGACAGGCGGAAGATCACTAAAAATAAAGTCTTCTCGCCAAAACGGGTTGGCCGTGCGATACTTGACAGCTGTTTTAGCCCGGATCTCTCCGTCAAGAAGAACCTCAGTGTAATAGTCGCTCACGGCAGAGGTCGGGGTGGAGTTGCTATGCGATCGTGATTGCTTCCGGCTTCGGGGAGCTTTCTCAGCGGCTTTGTTTCGCAGTAGTTTTGCTTCCGTCACTCTCACATTGAGCACCCTCTCGATCCTAAACATATCTGCCATGGAGGGAGGAGCAGCGTCGGCCGACCCGGACGCACTTTTGGGATCTTCCTCTGCAGGAGTTTCAGGGCCATAGAGCTCCGGTATCGTAAAGGCGCGCAGGAGCACAAACCACACCTCAAACAGGACTCGGCTTTCCAGGGCTAGGTACACGGGTCGAGTGATACCGGACGCTGAGTGAACGGCATATTGGGGATATATGGCGATGCAAAATTCATCTTCCAAGACCGAAGAGTGCAACTGCTGCACGGCACAGCGGGAGAGCTGGGAAAGTTGAACGCATGTCACAAGCGTGATGTCGGACTCGGTATACAGCTTGAACGCGCCATTTTCCTGCAATGTGCAACTGACTCTCAGCCAGGACGCAGAAAGAGCTCTCTGTTGTCGATATGTTGAAACCCGCCGACCAGAGGAAGGTCGAACGCCAGAGGCACTGGGCCTGTCCCATAGGAGCATCTTCCCGACCTTGATGATCGCTGCCTCTTTCTGAACCGTGCTCTCGGAGTTTCGCCGGCGATCAACCAGACGGCGGTCTCCTATCGCGACCGATTGGGGTTTTGTCATCTTATTCTGAACGCCTTTGGGTCGGATCGGTTGCCAGCATAGTAAAGCAGCAAGCCAGGAATCGAAGGTTTCGCTTACATGGGGCCTCAATTCCACCCCCAGCCCGGATGTGAATGTTGATACGCTGAGGTAATTTGTCCGTAGTTCGGGATCGACGAGGGAGCGAACCTGACACCCACGAAGATCGGGGATCAAAGTCTTGGCCAGTGCGGGCTCTCCCTTGGCTTGATATATCAGACTTCCCGTGGCAACGTTGATGGCGCAGTAGCCTGATGACCAAGCGGTCGTCGATGCAGTCCGAAACGAAAGAATGCCGTGCATCCTTCCACAAGTTGTTTTCATAAGCTGCAGAATTTTGGATGCATCGGTACTCGACAGCGGGGAAGACGCTTGGTTGGCTGACACGCTCGTCGCTAAGTTCGAACCCCCCGGATGCTTGCTTAACCGTGGACGACCAAGGGACTGACTGAGATAGGTGGGGGACTGGATCGACGGATAGCCAATAGATCCCGTTGGCTCATCCGGTGTTTTTGGCTGGGGATTTGAGGTGTTGATAGAGCCCAGGCGATTCCGGGCTCTGAAAAATGTGTTGGGGGAGATTTCACTCCGCTGATCGTCCAGGGTAGTGGTCCGTGACCGCGCGCGCTGACTTTTCATCTCCACATGTGTATCCTCTTCGTCGCCTGCCGAGTGGTAAGAGTGGTAGTCGCGACGGGATTCTCGATCGGAGGCTCTTGTTCGGGTGGCGGGACGAGGGGAAGCTGCTGCACTTGATGCGAGATACTCCGCCTCCGAGGAAGGTGAGTGGTTGCCAGCCTCAGAATCCGGGGTTACTGTTCGAATGCCTGTGTCTCTGAAGCTGTCGGGATAAACCATCCCATGACGGTCCTTCGAGGAAGATTTCTTGCTGGGTCGCCGCTCGACAGGACGACTGTATATTCCCTGATGGATAGAGTTTCGTTTGAACCCACTCGAACTTTCCGGCTCCATCTTTTATTCCCAACCACGCACGACGGAACCGGCAGCAGCGGCACTCGGGAGAGGTCGCTACAAAATACACGGGACGCAGACAGACGGGCGGAGACACAGAAACTGGTGGTACACTGCGGGATTGTTACCTTGCAGCACGCTGGCACCCAACGTACGCTGCGCAACCGTCCTCGAACAATTGAGGGTCTCTGTCGTCCAATGGGTCGCTAGCTGAACGCATGGAGTCCGGGGTGAGGGAGGGAGGTAAAGTCGCACATTCGGTCGAGGCCGTGGCGTTGTGGGTGCTGGCGATGGTGAGGGGGGGCCGTTAAACGATTGTTCGTTCAGGGGGTGGGAGGATGGGTGGGGGGGGTAGTATTGTGGTGTTGACGGTTGTGACGACGATGGCGGTAGCAGTTAGGTGAGTGGGCGGGAAAGCGCAGCCAGTGGAAGAAAAGTCGAGGGCCAAAATCGCTAGCAAGTGCGGCTAGAATCCAATCCTCCAACAATCCAGTTACGGCGTTGTCGCTGCTAGAAAGGCATCGTCGGGTATGTTAGCTCGGAAGGAAGGAAGCGATGGAGTAAGCGGGTTTGAAAGAGTGCAGCAGCAGAGGTAGCGGTGGTGGTGGCAGAAGTACAGCGAAGAGTGGTTAGGTAGATAGTTCGGTCGGCACAAAGGTTTGGTTCGACCAACCGCAGCGTGATATCATTGGAATTTGGCAAGAGAAGCTTGGGATACGGGGAGAATGAATTGGGAGGGGGATCACACACCTTCATCAGTTGAAATTGACCCTTATGTCCTAGTTAATTAGCCACCCTCTGCAGTGTATCCTGAACCGTCGTAGTCGGGGGTGCGAGGACTAGGCCGATGAAAGGATGGATAATTGGTTGACGGATTGACGGACTGCGTGAAGCCAATTACCCAGACGACGTGCGTTGTGAAAGCTGCAGATCCCGCATCAGCATGGATGCATTTTCTGTACGACAGACGGGGTCTGGTCTGGTCGGGGGGGTGGAAGGTGGGTGGAAGTAAGCGAGGGTCGAGAGGGAAAAAAGAGGGAGAAGGTGGAAAGTCAATGATCAGCTGGAGGAGAGAGAGAGGGAGGGAGGGAGGTGAAAGCGGGAGGCGGTGTTGAAGTTGTGCAGCGGGACGGAAGAAGGGCCAAAAGAGGGGGGGAAAGAGAGCAGGAGACAAAAAGGTGTAGCTTTGGGGTGGAATGGAAGAATCAACGAACAAACGAACAAACCGAAATGCCACGATCTCGATAGTCTACTCACGTTTCACCCTGGGATCAGGGATGCTGAGAGGCTAAGGGCCGGGAGGAAGGCTGATGATACGACAATGGACGGACCCTTCCAACTCCCAGATGCAGGGGAATTGGACAAACGCCCGGTGATCTCTCCGATTGACGATGGTGGTCTCTACTTGGGAGTAGTAGGAATCCTTAGTGAGTTAGTTGCTTAGCCGGGGACGACTGGAGGAAGGCGTTGGTGATCGTTGGGTTCCGAATTGACTGGGCGCAGGTAAGAATAATGTATGGAGTCATGGACCACCCTGAGTCCTGACCGACCCTTTCTTTGACTTCCCCTAACTGTCTACTACTACTACTAATAATTCTAAGTTCCTCCCTACGAGCATGGCCTGATGTTCGCACACGCGCTGGCTTTCATTCACAACCTGCAGTCTTCTGGACCTGCGTTATTGTGAAAGAAATGGTAATAGTCCAACCTGACTAGTTGTCAATTGAACAGATCGAAAAAACGGCAAATAAAAAGAATTAATCCTAATGATGATTATAATAATATTAATACTCCGTAGTAATCATGATCATATTGAAAACTTAGACCGCGCGAGAAAGGAAGAGGGAAAAATGTTGGGTTCAGGCCCTGGGGCTGAGATCCACCGTGGGAAAAGGCGTGTGTGCCTATGAACCTCCTATTCCGTCTTCCTGGTTCCTCGCGACGCTCGATCTATACAGGAACAGCCGGGTGGAAATACACAGGCGCATTGTCATCAATACGGTTCTTCTAGCTACAATTGAGGCCTATTCCCAAGGCCCTTCCTGGACATATCATCGAATCCCCATATATGAGGCATTGTTTCAGGTCGGTAATAGTCGGTTCTCCAAAAGTCAAGCCTTTCTGTTCATTGAGCCGGATGAAGTCAGTCGAGAGAGTCCCTGGATACTGAGCGTGAGCCATTGAACCCGATTAATTAATTAGCCGGATGAAATGGCAAGGCCTACTCAACTACGTGATACTATGGAGTATGGAGTACGGAGGACGGAGTACTAGGTATTTAGAATTAAGATACGTCAAGACGAGGACGTGAGGAAGCGGGTCAAGGATGGTCGATTATCATGACCTTCCAGAAAGGTCCACGAAGACACCACCTCTGGACTAATGTCGAACCAGCCCCGATAGTGGTAAAATTTCTTTTTCTCCCTTTCTTTCAGACTTCCCCAGCCAGTCGCTCTCTTGCAGGTCCTTGCTTTTTTTTTCCCCTTCCGAAACCGACTAGCACCCCCGCCTCTTCGATTATTCTCTCTCGCTTCTATCTAGATGCAGGATGTCGTACCAAATCAAACCATGATAATATCGGTAGCACAATGATCAGGCCGACCATTTCCAGAAGAGACCCTCAACAGGGTACGGCAGTCAGATCCGATGGACTAATCATGATTATCGCCACTGGGATCCTTCCCGCCTCCCCTGTAGTACTACCCGACATTAGATTATAATAGATTGTCATGGCCGCTGGTACGCTCCGAAAGTGGTAGCATGCCTACGCATGACTAGGCTCACATCATGGCGGATAGCAACGATCGTGTTCTGCACACCGTTGGCTGTGGCCAAGTGGTTTGCGGGTCATTAATATCAGTAGATTTAGACGTTAATATCACTGCCGCATTGCCTTTGGCCAGGCTAGTCGTGGGCACTACTCTAGGCACTGTAGCCTAAGTGGTTGGTAGGCTAACGCCGGTTTCATTGGACAAGAATTGCTTCCATTCCACTGTATTGAACTAGTGGGATGGTCAGCGTCCACCTGGCGGACGTGAATCCCCAGACGCAGGCATTTGAGGAACAAAGAACGAGACTTGTCTTCGTAAGAGTAGCACAGCACTTTGAGACCATGGTACCATCGTTTCACTGCATGTGGATCTTTCGGGTAACCAGTTGATCATATTCGGGGGAACCCCCGGGCTACCTATCGACTGTTTCTCGCCTACTTGGTTGTTGTCTGCATGGGGAACATCGATTCTCACCGGCCGGGGGACGGAGTCAAGGCGACAACGCCAGCCTGCGGTGGGACAAGAGGAAATCCCGCAGAGGCCAGCGAGGCACCACGTATATTAGAAATGAGCCCCGAGTGGGCAGACGGCCAGACTATGACCTTCCAGAATGGACACCCACCCCGCACGAGCCACACCGGCGCTCAAGGATCTCTGGCGCTGGAGCCAATCAGTGGTCCCCTTCGGCGGCTCATCCCGTCGAGCATCCCACTTGGGCTGACTCGTGTCGTCAGAGACTCGCCTGCGCGCTGCGTGACTCCGCGGCTACAGATCACGTGAAACCCTGTACGTAAATCATCGGCCCGCATCAACGCTTGTCCGCTTCCGCTCACATGACCCCAGATAAAAATGCCCCAGGCAGCATCAGGGATCAGAGGGTGCTTGCTTACCGCTTCCGGGTCAGAGCGTACAGCTGACTGACCGCCTGCATCATCGTAGCTTATCACGAGGGTCGGCGGTCATCTCCTCCTCCAACCGGGGGCTGCTCCTGACCCTTACCGACTTGACACCTCAGTCAACCGACCTTTTTCAGTAGATAACGACTAGTTCCATCTGCGCATCCTATCCTCCTCCTCTTTCCGAATTCCTTGACTAGGTCAGGGGCCCACTGATCCTTCCTCTTCCCCTATAGATTCCCCGATACAGGTTCCGAACCGGTGCCGCCGTTTGAACTACCACCAGGGTGCTTCTCTACTCCCTATATAGCTTTTTCTACCTGCATGGCACAGAAGTGACCTGAAGGCACGGCTCTTACGGCCGCTATAATGTACTGATGATTCTATACTCCATCTCTTACCCAAATACTCTATGCCAGGATGATGACCTCAAACCTCTTGTCCCGTTTCCTTCCTCCCAACGGCTCCCCATCAGTATATGAGACGATCCGGCAACATGATTCTCACTCCGACTCATCCGATATCGAGGAACGCGCAGGCATGTCACTGGAAGGTGATCACAGGGATCGGTTTAGCGAGCATGAGCTGGAAGATGCTCTAGCAGATGCTGGGAGAGATGATTCGCCCGGTCCGAGCGATCCATTCCTCCCCTCTCGGAGTCCACCAAGGCAAAGGGACGATGACGGCTTCCTCAAAGCTGGCTCTCGTCGTCGCAAATTCAGCCGTTCCGCTCGGATACACGCGCCCTCACCACGTCACAAATTCGATGATAGCGATGATGATGTTCCTGCCTCTCTTCTCGTGGAAGGAGGCCAGGACGAAGATGATGATCTGGAGTCGAAGCTTCCGCCACCTCCATCTTTTCAAGAACCCCCGAGCAGGGACCCCCCGCCCAGACCTTCACCTCGAGAAGACCGAGCTCGCTGGGAAACGACCCGCGAGCGATTGCCGCTACACGATACAACTCGGAGGGGCCACCAGGGGACTCTGTGGTCGGCGGGATACCCCAACTTGGCCACGGTAGATCCTAAAGAGAAGGCAATGTGGATGTGGGCAAATGTTGAAAATCTGGACAATTTCTTGAAAGATGTTTACACCTACTACCTGGGGAATGGAATTTGGTCGATTTTGCTGAACAGGGTCCTGAGTCTCTTGTATGTCTTCCCTTTCCCATTTCTTAGCCTGGCTTGATCTGGACTAACAAGTGTCACACACAGAACCTTTGGGTTCGTCGTAGGGTTCAGCATTTTCCTCACCAATTGCATTGACTACCGCAAGGTACGCGGAAGTAGGACTCTGGACGACATCCTTATCCAGAGATGTACAAAGCAAATGTCCATGTCCGCCACCTTCTTGCTGTGGCTGCTTTCTGTCTTCTGGATCGGCAAGGCTTTCCAGTACCTGTTAGATATCAGAAGGCTCAAGCATATGCATGACTTCTATCACTACTTGCTCGGAATCTCTGATGCCGAGATCCAAACAATATCCTGGCAGGAAGTTGTCAGTCGGCTGATGACTCTTAGAGATTCTAACCCCGCAACTGCAGGTACAGTCTCTGCGAAGCTTCGCAAGTTTATGGGGAGCCAGTCCAAGCAGCGTATGGATGCTCACGATATCGCGAATCGGCTGATGCGCAAGGAAAACTACCTGATTGCTTTGGTAAATAAAGATATACTAGATCTGACGCTTCCGATCCCGTTTTTGAGGAACCGACAGTTGTTCTCTCGGACGCTCGAATGGAACATCAACCTCTGCATCATGGATTATGTCTTTAACGAGCAGGGCCAAGTGCGGACATTGTTTCTGAAAGATACCCACCGACGCGCTTTGAGCGAGGGTCTGCGGCGCCGCTTCATGTTTGCAGGCATCATGAACATCTTTGTAGCCCCGTTCATTGTCGTTTATTTCATGATGCACTACTTCTTCCGCTATTTTAACGAGTACAAAAAGAATCCGTCTCAGATCGGATCCCGCCAATACACCCCGCTGGCCGAGTGGAAATTCCGCGAGTTCAACGAGCTGTGGCACCTGTTTGAGCGGCGTGTCAATATGTCTTACCCCTTCGCAAGCCGCTATGTGGACCAGTTTCCCAAAGATAAGACGGTCCAGTTTGCCGGGTTCGTGGCGTTCGTCTCGGGGGCTTTAGCCTCGGTGCTGGCCCTGGCGTCCGTTGTGGACCCGGAGCTGTTTTTGGGATTCGAGCTCACTAACGACCGGACCGTGCTTTTTTACCTGGGTGTCTTTGGTTCCATTTGGGCGGTTGCCCAAGGGTTGGTCCCCGAAGAAACCAATGTGTTTGATCCCGAGTATGCGCTCTTGGAAGTGATCAATTTCACTCATTACTGCCCGGGCCACTGGAAAGGGCGCTTGCATAGTGACGACGTTCGCAAGGACTTTGCCGTGCTGTACCAGATGAAGATCGTCATCTTTTTGGAAGAGATCCTCAGCATGATCTTCACGCCATTTATCCTCTGGTTCAGCCTGCCCAAGTGCAGTGACCGTCTCATCGATTTCTTCCGGGAATTTACCGTGCACGTCGATGGAATGGGGTATCTGTGCTCCTTTGCGGTGTTCGACTTCAAGAAGGGCACCAACGTGATCTCCCAGGGGGATACTGGTCGGCGCGAACCCGCACGGCAGGACCTTCGCGCCGACTATTTCTCAACCAAGGATGGCAAAATGCTTGCTTCTTACTACGGGTTCTTGGATAACTACGGTGCTAACCCTCGCGGCGCCCACCCCTCCAGCAAGCGCCAGTTCCATCCTCCTCCCACTTTCCCAACTCTGGGATCACCGTCGGCCATTGAGATGGGCAACTTCGGCGATCGACTCGATCAGACGCTGCTGCGGCAGGGCCCGGCAGCTGGGCTAATGGGCCAGCAATCTGCGTTTGGTGCACCTCGGTTCGGGCCTACAGGCATGGGCGACCATGCCTCCCCGGCACCGTCCATCCTGCTTGACCCGCATCATCAGCCGTCGGCGTCAGGGTTCCGTTCAACACACCGCACTAATATCTATCCGCGCTATAGGGCCTCGCGACCGCCTCCCACCATTTCCGACCCCATCGAAGATGAAGACCCTCCGGCAGTCCAGGCTCACGGAGCTGTCAAGTCACCGGCTGCGGCTGGGTCGAGCGGGGGTCGCATTGGTAGGAGTGACAGTAACTTGGGGGATTCCTGGCGGATGAACTTGATGGGAGAAGGGGACGAGGACGAAGATGAGGGAGGGGACAACGTCGACGCTCTTGCTGGAGGAGCGGGCGTGCTGGGACTCATTCAGCAGTTCCAACGGGTAAACAAGGACAACCGGGGACGCACGACGGTTGGTATATAACTGGGGAAACGTATGGGGGGAGTGCGAAATCTTTTGTCTATGCCTCTGTACAGTAGGAATTCCTGACTACGGGAGGCCTTGGGATCATAGCCCCGACAGTCATTGGAGAGGCACGGACGCTGTAGTAGAAACCTAGTATGTAAGGTATAGACAAGCTAGTATCTTTGACATCGGTTGCTATTCCCTCTGCGTGTACATTAGTCGTTAAGGTTTTCTGAGTTGTCTTGCGGTTGGACTCCGTCGGGTGGGCTGGTCCGCCGGCTAAATGGATGGATGGTTCAGCTTATGGCCGGCCGTTTGACCCGATCTGTCTTCTCTAGAGGGGATGACCCCTCGAGCACGGAGGATGCTCCTGATGGCCCTGTCCAGTCGTCGGTCAGTCGACCCATCTCTTCAAAGTTCAGGGTCTGCTCGCTCAAGCTCCGAAAAGGCACGTTTCAGGGTCTTGATTTCGAAACGAGGTATGGAGCATATGATGTCCCCGCCGGCCCCTAGACTCTAGAGAAGGGGGGCAGTATTTTCCTCAATCCTCTGGCGGTGACAAGCATCGACGCAAATCCGGCACACATTTTGGGGAGCGGAAATCATCTTTGCTGGGGTTGAGTTCGGGACGGGTAATCCTCAGCTGATCGATCAATAGAAGGGGACAATATGATGGTTGTGCCCCTGGATAAACTCCGGGCGCCGGGAGCGACCAGCCATGGACGGATTAGCAGCAAATGCAAGATGCAGAAATCATCCTGAATAATACCCACCCCCCGCCCGTCTCGGTAATTACGGGACTCCATCGGGGGGGATATAATTAGAAACCCACTATGGATCCAGGCCGTCCCCTGCAGCCGTCGCTCATGCACCTTTTCTGTTGATGCCATCAATTGACTCGATGGGAGAGCATCCTGAGGATGGGCATGCGTAGAGACATACGTAGGCCAGGGAAGCAAAACGAACGCATGGCGGCAAGTTGATGGGTTTTATAACCATCCAGTCCAACCCGGGCCTGACAGGCGATCCTCCATCTTTTTTTTCCCACCATCGCCGCTGCAAGTCTGGAACCAGCGCCCGACCGGGCCTATCTTTGCTATCGACCTGCTGATCCCTCCGTCGCGGATCCGGGGATCTCCTGTGGCCTCGATCGCCATTGAGTTTGGCCTCGTTTCTTTTGCGCGATGCGCTGGACAGACACTATTGACCCTCTGACATGGATCTTCCCCAATGGCAGTGTCCAAGAGGATGGGAAGGATGAATCGGAGTATTCCTTACCCCGGCCATGAAGTCAACCCATTCATCCGTTCACCCATTCATCCAGTCTTTCATACATTCATGCATTCCACCACTAGATAGATCATGGGGTCCTGGATAATAAGGAACGGACGACCTCCTGAACCAGCTGGACTAGCGTCAGATTCTTGGCTGAGACTTTTGCTGCTGGATGTGACCGGCGGTTGCATCCGCAGGCTGTTCAGGCGAGTTTCCATCCATTCTTTTAGTTCCTCACAATCTGGATGCAGCATTATTATTGGATCGCACGCGGTCTGGCCAGTCCCTGGCGGAGGACTAACTGAAGAGTTAGTAGGTTGATTGGACTGAGGGTACTTTGGTCGCTCTCCGTCTGTCTTGCTCCCCCTCTCCACTGCAGTCAGTCTCCAATGTCTTTCCAATCCAGTCGGGTGCTTTTTCTCTCTTCCCTCCTCTCCCTTTCCCTTTTCTCTCCGCCATCCTCTCTTTCCCTGCATCAGTCATGACCTAAAAGAGGTCAACTCTCCGCCTCCTCTCCATTATTGATTCATTTCGTCCACTCGTTTGGTCCACTTTTATGTTGGATCTCACCCAGTCTGTCGTTAGAGAATCTGCCCCCCTTCCGTTCTCCGACTCATCGTCGTCATAATAATAATAATCATCCTAATCCACTTCCCATTGCTTGGGAGTTCTCCATTCCTGTCTGGTCTTCGCCCTCGGCTTGGAGGCTCCCTTGGGATCTCGTGATTCTTCCTGTCCCTCCCTCCTCCCTCCTCCCTCGTATTCCTCCTTGGACCTCCTCTTCCATTTAACTTTCTTTTCTTACTTTCTTTTCTTTCCCCTGGCGATTCTCTCGTTTTTAATTCATTCTTTCTTGCTTCTCGGTTCCATTCGTTCACCATGCTTCGAGCCCGACGATACCGGGTTCTCCTGGTATTCACAACCATCTTTGTGCTCGCCTTCATACATTTCGCCCGATCCCGAGAACAAACACCGTCCGCCTGGAGTGCGCCGCCACCGGTTGATCGTCATCCCGCGTCTTTCTCTCTAGATCCCCCCGCTGCCGACCAGGTCGACCTTCAGGACTCCCCTCCGATAATTGCCCCTCCTTCTCCTCCGGCTCCCGAAAGTCTCGAACAGCATTTCACCGAAGAAGTAAAGGACCCTGCTACGGACGCTTTATCTGACATCCGCCCATCGACTTCTGCTGAGGTTTCCAAACCATCGGAGGATGCGTCGGCTACGGACAACGAAACCCAGGGCGAACCTGGTCCGCTCCAGACCACCCCGGGCTCTCAAAGCCAAGGAATCTCGGAAGTAGAGGCCCCCTGGCCACACCCTCACTGGAAGAAAGTTCCAGAGCAATATCCTATCGCATCTGAGGACTTGATCCGATTGCCAGCTGGCCAGTCCAAGGCGCTCCCAAAACTGCAGGCAGAGTTCAAAGACGAATCGTCCGCCGACAAGATGAAGCGTTTACAAAGACTGTCGACCATCAAGTCTGATTTCGAACATGCATGGACCGGCTACAAGACCTCCGCCATGGGCCACGACGAGGTCATGCCTCTGCGAGGTGGATATCGCGATCCTTTCAATGGCTGGGGAGCCACGCTCGTGGACTCCTTGGACACCCTTTGGATCATGGGCCTGAAGGAAGAGTTCTCCCTTGCCGTTGATTATATCAAGACAATTGACTTCACAACCTCCAAGAAGAGAGATATTCCGGTCTTTGAGACGACCATCCGTTACCTGGGAGGTCTACTCGGAGCCTACGATATCTCGGGGCATAAGTACAATGTGCTTTTGGAGAAAGCCGTTGAGCTCGCAGAGGTTCTGATGGGCGCTTTTGACACGCCGAACCGGATGCCAACGCTGTTTTACAAATGGGCCCCGTAAGTATAATTGCACTTTCTACGTCGCTAGATCTCTGAGTCATGCATGACTGACATGTGTCTTCGCAGGCTTAATGCGGTGCAACCTCATCGTGGGGATAAGAAGGCCGTACTTGCAGAGCTCGGCTCTCTTTCCGTGGAATTCACCCGCCTGGCTCAGTTGACAAAGGAAGATAAATACTATGATGCGATTGCGCGCATCACGAATGAGCTTGACAAATATCAGGACAAGACTCAATTTCCCGGCTTATGGCCAATGAAAGTTGACGCATCCGGGTGCAAGAAAACCCCGACTCACCTTGAGCATGAGGTCCCTCGTGGAAAATCGCCGGGAGAGTCCCCGACAAGTGTTCTTCCATCCAAAGCCCACCCAACAAGGCCTGCGCCAACTGACGCCCAGAGCTATGCGGAGTTCCTGCAGCCCCGTGATACTCGGTCACTGCATGATGATGCTCAACCGGCTGAATACGGTGGTGTCTCGGCTCAAGGATATCCTAACTCGGAGAGCGAATACCGTGCTTCTTTCGAGAAGCAGGCATCTGACGTGCATTCTGACGTGCAATGCCATGAAGGTTTGACCGCCCCCTTGTCAGAGAATGAGAAATATGGCTTGGGTGCCCTTGCCGACTCGACCTACGAGTATCTGCCCAAAGAATATATGCTCCTGGGTGGTCTGAACGAACAGTATCGCACCATGTATGAAAAGGTCATCAAGGCAACGCGGGAGCGACTTGTCTTCCAACCCATGATCAAGGGCGGTCGCGATGTCCGATTCTTGAGCACTGTCACTGTGCCAAAGCAGCCTGGCCGTACGAAGGTTGCATATGAGGGCGATCACCTGTCCTGCTTCGTAGGTGGCATGGTTGGCATTGGTGCCAAATTGTTTGGCATTGAAGGAGACCTAGATCTGGCCTACAAGCTGACCGACGCCTGCGTGTGGGCGTACGAATCCACGAAGACCGGAATCATGCCGGAGCAATTTTCCTTGATCCCTTGCAAAAAGGGAGAAAAGTGCGAGTGGAACGAGGCGACCTATTACAAGGCTCTGGATCCCAACATGGAGGAGCGCCTGGCTCGGGCAGCTGCACGCAAGGAAGAGAAAGAGAAGAAGAAGAAGGCGGAGGAGACATACGAGGAGCCTGAGCCTGAGTCTCCCAACTCGATCAAGAAGTCCCATGCCAAACGGGAGCGCGGCAACTGGCACGTCGTGGCAACCCCTGACGAAGATGCGCCGAAAAAGGAGGAAGCGGTGCCCGAGGCCGTGGAGGAGTCGGAGGAAGAAAAGGTTCCCTCCCACGAAGAATTTGCTTCCGCGCGAATTCGGAACGAGCGTCTGCCCCCGGGTGTCACCCGCCTCGTGAATCGCAAGTATATCTTGCGACCTGAGGCAATCGAGTCGGTTTTCATCATGTTCCGCCTCACCGGCGACAACTACTGGCGGGAGAAAGGCTGGGACATGTTCGAGGCGGTGTCCAAGTACACACGGACGGAGCTGGCCAATTCGGTCATTGAAGACGTGACGGTGGAGAACCCCAAGATGCTGGACGAGATGCAATCCTTCTGGCTCGCCGAGACGCTGAAATACTTCTACCTGCTGTTCAGCGACCCGAACGTCGTGAATCTTGACGAATATGTGCTGTAAGTGCTGTGATGAGTCGACTGGGGGAGAGATATCTGGAGGCTAACCACCCTGACCGCAGGAATACCGAAGCGCACCCGCTGAAGCGCCCGCAGTACTAATAATGGCTTTGTATGCATGTGCATGTGCAGTATACGTCTATATTGCTGTTTTTGATGCGTTGTTTGAAAAGTACAGATACCACGTCCCCGAGCACATGAGTTGATTGACCCTTCTTAATTCCCCCTTTCTCCCTTCTTCTGTGATGCTTTCTTGTTATTTCTCTAGCTGGCTTGGGAATAAGAGGCTGATATATGGCGATCTGTAAAACCCCGGCGGTCGGGCTGGGAGGATGTTGTATAGAGTAGTCGAAGTAAACAATTAATAACCGCGAGCGAAGCCTTGCCTGGATCTCTTCTTATTACCTTGTACTATGTATGTAGCGCCTGCCAGCGGGTGCTGGCGAATGACGTACGAAAGCCCCGGCCGGTGGATCGCCGCAACTCCCCCGCCGCCCAGTTGGCCACTTTCATCCCATCCCAACCATCCATCACTTCTTTCTCTTCGCTTTCTTCTTCCCCAGCACCCCCGCAGCATCCGCCTCGTTTCCGCTCTCTCTCTCCCTCCGGAGCACCGTCTAGCTACTCGGTACGGGCGCAAGACGGGATGAGTGCAGGGACACGACCCGCCCGACGAGGACGACTGAGCTGTGGGAAATGGACTTTGAGGTCTCCTTGGAGAACGAGCAGCAATTCTGGGACGGTGAGTTTTGCGCAGCATGACCCTTCCCCTTTCCCTGTCGACAAAATTATTTGCTCTTCTTTCGACAAAGTGCCATGTTCATAGAGCCTCTGACACTAATCGCACGTGCCTGTTTTCCGCTCGCAGAAATCCAAGATATCGTTTCCTCCCCTTGCTCCTCGGAAGACCACATCGACAATGCGCTCCGATCTTATCTGAGCCTAGCTACGAAGTACAAAGGTCCGTGATGGATTCTCGTCGAATACGGTCACTCCGGTGTACTAGGAAGGAACTGACCAGGGTGGAATAATCGATTAGATGAATATCTTCAGTCCGAGTTGGATGTCACCCGATGCTCGTATAAATTGCTAGCGTCGAATATCTTCGTCGCTCATACGGACTATGTTCGGAGGCAGATGCTCTATGGATTGCTGCAGGTATGCGATCAGGATATGGAGTACAGATGTGGGTTCTTGTGGCTGATGGTGTTGTTGGTACATAGGATGACGACCCAGCGACTCTTCACTTGATCGGATCATTTTTGCTCTTCGACGGCCGGCAGCATGATGTGGCGTTTCGGATGATGAATGAGGAGGGTTTGTTCCCTCGGTTGTTGGAGCTTCTGCAGGCCCGGAATAGAAAAGAGGAAGAGGGGGTTCCGGCTGGACTGCATCGACTGCTGATGGATATGATGTACGAGATGTCGAGAATTCAGAGGATTAAGATTGAGGATTTGGGTGGGTGGTGACGTCTTGCTGTTTATCCGGTCTGCGTTGTTGACTGAGATTTGGCAGTTCTCGTGGATGATGAATTCGTCAAAGGCCTCTTTGACATTATTGAGGACCTCTCTTACGATGTCAATGACCCTTATCATTATCCGGTCATTCGTGTTTTGGTGAGTGGATGTGTCCGGCTTTCAACGGGGTCTGCTAACGTTCGGAACAGCTGGTTTTGAACGAGCAATTCATGATTTCCGCGCATGATCCGGTCGACGAGCATTCTCCGATGAATTTCTTGACGAATAAAATCATCAAGATCCTGTCGGTGCACGGCAATCTGTACAAGACTTTCGGCGAGAACATCATCCTATTGATCAATCGTGAAGGTAGCAGTCCCCATCGCAGTTCAGGTCCAAGTCTAACCTACGATAGCGGAAACATCGCTCCAGCTTCTGACCCTCAAACTCTTGTACCTCATCTTCACTACCCCAAGCACCTACGAATACTTCTTCACAAATGATCTGCATGTCCTCGTCGACATTTTGATCCGAAATCTTCTGGACTTGCCCGAGGAGGCGTCCGCTCTCCGACACACCTACCTGCGCGTGCTTTACCCACTCCTGGCTCATACGCAGTTGAAATATCCCCCATTCTACAAGCGGGATGAACTCAAGCGGGTCCTTCGTCTTCTCGTCCACGGCCAGCTCGCTGATGGCGGGCCTGATCGTGAGAAGATCATGCACTTCGACGAGGTGGACGAGACGACGCGAAGACTGGTTCTTCGCTGCGCCACCGTCGAATGGTTACGAGATCCAGAGCCGGAGAAGCCGTCTCACGATGAAGATGCTGCGCCGGCCCCCCCGGCCGCAGATAGTGTACCTCCCGATGTTGAGTTCGGAGTCCCATTGGAGACCACTCGGACCCTTTCTCCCACCAGCACGGTCGACAGCTCACCCGAGAATATGTCGCCTACCAGGCTGGATGGTCCAGGCTCCAGCTCTTGCAGAGATGCGCACCGCAAGCTCAGCCAAGCGCAACGACTAGGCATGCACCTCGAGCCCGCGTCTTCTTCCTCCCTCAGTGTCCAAGAAGTAGCATCACAGCACGTGAAGCCCGGTGTCATGACACCCAGCCGTAACGATGCTCGTGTGTCCACAGAAGGCCCAACGAGCCCGTCAAAGTTGCCGGGCAAGCCTAAGATCAAGCCCCTTCCTCCAAGGGCAAGACGTTGGCGCGGGAGGCGAGAAGACGAACAGGCAGACAGGATCCCTGAAGACGCACAATCTCAGCATACGAGTCCTCTTGTTCCACACGCAACGTTAGTGGGCGTCAACCACGTCGAACGAGCATACTCCACCGGCACCGTACCACCGCCCATCGCTGGTCACACGCGCCGTTCTGCCTCCAACCCACCCCCGGCCGTTCCTCCACCCCGACGCTCAACAGTCCCCCACCTCCACGCAGGTCATGGAGTTGGCCATCACACCATTCCTGTCACTAGCCACTGCACTCCGCTCACCAGTCCATCTCGACCTGCACAACAACAGCAACATCACCACAGCATCAGCACACCCAGTACATCAAGCACCGCTCCACCTTCCCAACCTGCCGCCAGCACAAACACCCTCCATCCCTCAAAGCACGGACAAAAACCAGAACCCCCTAAAACCCGCCGTCGAGGCCGCACCCGCGGCCCGACTGATTCTGCGGATAAATCCCTCCACACGCCAGATTCTCCCGGGGAGCATCTCGACAGCGACCAGCAGCAGCAAAATGGCCACGCGGGCAGTGAACCCAAGTCCGATGCTACCGTGAGTGTCGAGGAAGCCCTGCAGAATGTTTCTCTCGAGTGAGAGAGAAAGTAAGGGTGGCTCATTTCATATTTTCATCCCACATAATTTGATCTGAAGTAGCATAGCATACCACTATCTAATCATCGTCATCAATTGCATCAGCATAGCAGCGTGTTCATTACTTACCCTTCTTATCAATCATTAATGATCGAACGTGATTCCCCCGTACTCCGTACTCCTGGCTTATGGAGTGAGAAGACTAGATACCATAAGTAGAAAGTAACAAACAACAAACCCACCTCCCCTTGATCAATCCACTCCAATAAGCAGTAGATCCACATCTCCCAACTCCCTACTGTGTACTCCGTACTCTGTAGTAAGCAGATACTAGATAACTACAACATAGTACACATCCATCAACACCCCATCCCTCCTCCCTGAGTCCCTCCCACTCCCATTCCCACTGACCTTTACTCCCACTAACCTTACAAACCACCCCCAAAAGCCCCCAAAAGAAGACACAACCAAATCCCCACTCCAGACATATTACCAGTCCCCCCCCCACCCACCCTATACACCAAGAGAAAACAATCTAACCCCATTCTCGGCCCCGAACCTCACTAACCTAAACAAGTAATACTAATATCACGCTGCGGGCCCACGGCAGAGCCAAGGAAGGTAGACGCTCGGAACGGATAATTCTGGAACTGGAAGTGGAAGGACATTACCGAAGTTGGGACGTACCGTCCTACCGAGATCTAGGAAATTAAAGAACTAGGAACTAGGAAGGTATCTAGATCTGGGTTCCCCGGTTCCGGACCGGGTTTTGCGTTCCGTGCTCCGTACCGGGAGATAGACTAGGTGGCAGTGGCAGTGAGAGTGGCAGTGGCAGTGGCATGGCGAAAGTACTGACTAGTACGTAAGTACGTATGTGATGACGACGACGGCTGGGGGGAGTAATTTACAAGATCGTGGAACGGGAGGGCGCTAAAATTGTGGGTTAGGGGGCTAGTAATTTGTATTGTAGTTATTGCAACACAGATGTGTATCTGTGTATGTATGTACAGAGTGGGAAATACTCAAAGTATAACGGCCGCTGTGTTTGATTGTAGAGTACGGAGTACTGGCATATGCGCAAGCTGTCGTGGCTGCTGGACTGGATACCAACATATTCGCATGTCTCGGGCATATTGACAGAACAAATCTAATAGAAACATGTGGAGGACATGATCCAAGACACGATCACGGCCGGCGCGATCAAGCATGTCTATGTATGGGATGTCAGAATCGAATTAGATCGCCCACCCAGATCTACAGTGGAACAATGCTAGTCCCTAAGCAGTCAGTGTTTATCGATGCCCCAGTATTTCTCCGCTCCGTAGGTACCGCTGGAGTCTTGCTTCCACAGATCGTCAAAGGCTGTGAAGAGAACCAGTTGATCCGACCCGGAGAAAGTCTGTTTTAGACTCGCAAGAGCCTTTTGCTGGTTCTCCGGCGACGGCACCGCCTTGCCATTGGCCTGGCCAGCATGTGGCCATCCAGACTCAGTGATGAGTGTTTTCTTGCCACGGGCAGCTTTAGAGATCTGTGTGGCTTGATTCTTAACATACTGACCGGCTTGGTCAGGAGTGTTGTTCGCGTCGAAGAAAGCATGGCAATTGGCGGCGCAGTAATCGGATACCACGCAAAGCTCGGGGTGTTGTAGCATCACTGAAAAGGTATCAACAGTCACCACGGAGCCTTTGTAGCCTGCAGCACGGAGCTTTTTACGTGCGGTATTCACCGCATTGATCACATCGGCAACCGAATTCTGGCCCTTGTTAACCAGTTCGTTGCCGATTGTGATTGTGTGGAAGACAGACCAGTCGCCGGCAGCGGCCCCGGTGATATAGTCAAGACTGGCGGGGAAGTTCTGTAGGTCGAAGACGCCGGCGAAAACTTTCAAATTGCGTTGCCGGGCTGCCGTGGTCACCTTCTTCGTCTGGTCACAGTCTATGCCGTATATTCGTACAAACGCATATTGTGTGAGCTTGTCCAAGTCTTTGTTAACCTGGTCTTGGGTCTTGCAGGTGCCATCATCGTTATACGGAGAGTATGAAATGCCAAAGCGACGATCATTGCCGGTTTGCAGATTGTTGCTCGGCTCAGGAACCGGGAGGGCGGGAGAGAGTAGGGAGGGCACCTCGTCGTCGAGAACCGGTAACAGAGGTGGAAGTTCTGTAGGCGACTACTTGATGTCAGCTGAATTCCAACCCGGCGGCATCCTGTCTGACACTCACATCGTTTCCAGTTGCAGTTGGGGCCAAAGTATTGTCCACTAAATCATTGTCAAGAACATGCCCATCCTGGTCTACCCAAACGATCACGTTTCCAGCTTCTGCATCACTCAAAGTAGCAAGGTCGCGCTTCTCTGCATGATTGTCTGCATCTTTTCACTCAGTCAGTCAAGGGTCAGACACTATTACATCCTTGCTGCAGTCATACCATGAGGAAGTGCATTAACAGCGAAGCTAAGCAGCAGAGCAGCAAGAAGGTGCATGAGGCGCTTCATTGCTGGTAAAATGCAGACTTCTCGATACTGCACCTGACACAAAGACAAGGGCACTGTCACTAGCGAGAAAGACTGCCAGCAAGGATCAATCAGGCAAAGCTGTAACAGACAAGATGGTTGAAATCTGCTCTGCTGGACTTCCAACCCGTTGATATGCCTCCCCTAGTGTTTCGTTCCTGCTGCGACACCGCCGTGTTGATGTGCATAGTGAAGGGGCCCTGCCCTTCATTCTGCGCCAGTATTTGTGAAGTCAAGGGAGTGCCGCTATCCTGCTTCTAGACAACGATGTTTTCCAATGGATTAGGACTCAGTGGAATGTTTAATCTCATACCTGGGCAGATCCCTTGGTTTCGGGAATGCGCCACGGCCCAACTAAACCGTTCGCCACATAGGTTCAGAAGACACCGACTCGATAAGCTAGCCGGGGAGTGAATAGTGACCCCTTAGTGCTTTGACGGGGACCCATATTTTGCCCTGTCTTGACTCGAACCTGCCAAAGAAGCAGACCCCTGTATATCCCTTCCTTCGCGGACAAGGGTTAGGGCACAGCGCGCGCCACGGAGACCAATTGAACAAAAACACCAACTAATATTAAAGAAATGTAACGTCTAATAATGTCCACTTTGCCCGTCGCGCGAAGGCATCACGGCTGAATTGGGCAAATAAAAATATCTGCAGGATAATAATGAAGGCATGAGGCCTCGACCACCCCATATTGCCCCTCTAAAGGAAGTATTTGGGCCGCACCAGTCCACAGTGCAATGTGTTATACAAGAAAGTGTGTAGGAAGGTGTGTTATATCACCGATGGAAGGGAAGGGGTTCAACAGATTAAAATAGGAGCAACAGGCGTATCATTGGAGCATTAATGTTCATGGCCACTTTCCTGTACAGGGCCGAAGAGTGTATGAAAGGCAATGGGAAAGGGAAAAGGGTTTTTACTTCCTCTTGCTGAGAACTTTCGTAATCGCGTGGCGGATGGTCGTTCCCGCTTTTTCGATCTCCTTTCTCGTCAAGCCGATTGTCACGCAAACCTTCAAGGCAGGCGGGACAATCTGCTTCGGCTCGAAGTTATCCTGGAGAGTCTTCAAGCGGCTGATGAGAACACCGTTTGCGAGACACTGAACCAACGGTCAGTTTTGATGGTACAAAGATCCAAATTTCGTTGTGCAGGTATTTACCTCATCGACTATATCTTGCAGCAGGAATTGCTGGTCGTCAAGGGACAGCTTCTTCGCAGCCACCGCCTCAGGTTTGAGGACCAGAATCATCATGGGGTTCTCGGGGGCACTGGTACAGTAGACCCAATCACTACGAGGATCCAGCTGAGCCCACATAGCCTTGGTATGCTCCCGCAACTGTGCCACGGTTTCAGGGCCGTTCTGAAGAAGGTTGATCGTAGCACTAGCAGTCGTCGACAAAAGGGCGGGGAGAGCCGCAGAGAAAGTGTATGCAGCAGCGGAGATACGCTGGTGGTGGACGATCTCCTCCGAGCCAGCGCAAAAGCCTCCTCCGGCAATCAGTGGGCCGGCCAGCGAGCCCACAATCATGTCAACCTCCGCCGCATCAACATTCTGGTGCTCAGTCACACCACGGCCAGTCCGGCCGAGGACGCCGAAAGACCAAGTTTCGTCGAGGATCAACCGGAACTTGTACTTGAGCTTGAGCTCAATCTTCAAAGCCAGTTAGTATATGCCACCTAAGTAGGATGAATAGGAGAAGGCACGTACAATCTTGGGCAAGTCAACCATGTCACCATAGGATTCAAACAGGCCCTCCGTGATAATGAACCGTCTGGTCAGTGGTTTCCTCGCTTGTTCCTTGGTAACCTTCGCAAGGACTCTCTCCAAGTCTTCCATATCATTATGCTCGTACCAACGGACGATGCTCCGGGAGATCTGGATACCCTTGCGAATAGCAAAGCTCACACCCTTATCCGCAACAATGATATCGCCACGCTTCGAAAACGCAGGAATGACACTGGAGATCGTCGAAAATGCCTGCGCATAGATAATGCAGGATGCGGTACCGAGGAAAGAGGCGACATCGGCCTCGGTCTTCATATGGACATCCTGAGTACCATAGAAACCGCGGGGGCCACAAGGACCGACACCGTAGTTACGAAGAGTCTGAATCGCTTTTTCCTTGAGGGACTCGTTCGTGTTGAAGTTGTAATAGTTGTAGGAACCGAGATTGGTAACCGTCCGACCGTTACTCAACTTGGACTTGGGTCCGACGGGGCTACAGGCACCAATAATTAGCACGCATTCTGGAAGGGGGACAGATCGCAACAAGACATACCCAACGATCACCGTTCGCTTGTCAACCTCCATCGCTTCCAAAGGAGTTGGCTTTCCCACCAGCGGCTCTGGTGTCCACTCATCCACCAGATCATCCACCTCATCCTCGGAAAGTTGGACCACGCCGGGTTTGGTCGAATACTTCGGGGCAAGCAGGTAGCGGACTGCAAACAGGAAAAGAAAGAGTTCGACAGCCGATCGGATAGGGTCATTTTGGTAGCTAGACTTGACATAACGAAGAAAAATCGCTGAACCGGGGAGACGGTGGAACAGGTCTGCGAGCTCATGGAGGTGCTCCGAAAGGAGACGCTGAGTCTCCTGGATATCCATGATTGAAGAAGAAATCGACTCAGCGCTCGTGGCGCAAGAACCTGGAGGCAATAAAGAAAGGGCACTCTATGCTCGAATCAATAGCATCAATCAGTACAAGGCAGGACGAGGGAAGGCAGCGGCATGACCGGAGGATCGAAGCGACACGGCAAGTCCAACTTCCGGGATGGGCGCGGCCCCGGCACGTGACTGGGGCTGGCTCCTTGCAGGCTGCCTCTAATTGAGACTAAGTACAGAATACGGAGGACTCCTACAGTGAATTGATTGTAGGATTACGAATTGCTATTCAGGCAGTGGTCGATTAACAGCTGGTGGACGCCGGAAGGATGGCATCGGGATCTGCAGATAAGCTCTCAAGGTACTTTGAATTAAGTCAACGGGAGGACTACAGGCAAAGCAGCCTTCTAGAAAACAGACAAGGAAATGATGGCAGGCGGATGCAATGGGGCGATACAAGAAAAGCTGGCAAGTCTAATGACCGTACATAAAGGACTGGCAAACACCGATACAGAACAGTTGGAAGAAATTGAACCCATTAATGTTGGCAACTGAAGGAGCATACACGCAGAGTTTCATTCAAGAAGAAAAGTATGAGGAAACGAGAAAAAATAGGCAAATGTATGAGACTCGGCAGCGGCTTCAAGACGCTGGTTACTTTATACAGCTCGTTTCCACGTTCCATTTCCGAAAAAAAAAAAAAAAAAAGAAAGACAAGTACAATGTATCGAAAAACAATTTGGGACAAGATTAACCTCTTAAGAAGATGCAGACGCTGCAGACGGGGTCCAAGCGGAGTAACCGACTGGAAGACCATTACCAGTGTAACTGGAAATGGTGTCGTTGTTGTCCGTATCCAGAGGCTGCAGGAGGTTCATCGGGATTTTGCTCGTGAAGGTGATACCTTCGTCACGAGCAACCAGGGGTGCAATGAGAAGGATGAGGAACAGAACCAGCATGGTAAAGTACAAGATCGCAAAACGAACAACTCTTCTCTTGCGGAGTTTGGACTGCTTCAGAGAGTAGATCGGAGGGCGGATTTGGCGACTAATTTAACATTAGCAAAGAAGCCACGGTCAAGCCAGATAGTGGGGGCTGAACTTACCTCGGCCGCAGCCAGAAAAGAATAACCGAGTGGAACTTGTCAACGTAAGGCATGCAGAGAGCGGGCAGCATGATGAAGAGCAGGAGATGTCCCAGGACAAAGTCACCAGAGAAGTATCCCAGCTCCGTAATCTTACACAAGAACTCTCTGCCAGGCTGAGAAAGCGTGTGCCAGCCCATGCTGTACCATTTTCCGGTCCACCACGCGATGTTGGACTGATCATGCTTGAATTCTCTGGTCAGAGCAAGGGAGATGATGAGCTTGTAGATGAACCGTTGGATGGCAGCTGCAGCAATCATTCCGAGGACCATACGGGGCCACGACCAGCTCTCAAGGAAGAACATGACTTCGAAGATAACAAGCAAAATGATGACCGCAATAGCGTGTGCAATGGCGGCGAGGACGGCACCGAATTTCTTGCAGCACATGCTGAAGATAGGTCCCATACAGCAAGCCATGGCAAAGAACATCATGGAAACACCGGCGTTGATGGCGATAGGTCCAAAAGCGACAATGGCAATCCGAACGACGGCGTTCGAAGCGCGAGCGTTGTCGTTGGAGATACCGGTTCTCGAGTTGATGTAGAGGTAAGGAACCAGACTCACAGCAACTTGAATCAGAGGGACGACGATTTCACTGACGAAGATGTTGGTAAACCGGGCTCTAGGAACATCACCAGACCCCTTCTCGGACGGAACACCGAGAAGCTTCCGCTTGTAACCAGTGAGACGAGTACGGGACAAGCGGCAGAAGGCGATCCAGGAGGAAGCGTGGGAGCGCGAGTTACCACGAGAGAGCCATCTGATGTAATCGCGGTAGTCAATGAAGAAGTCGTGCCAGGCAAACTGGTGCGGGTTGAAGAGGAAGGGGGAGATGCAAAGAGCGAGCAATGAGACCCAGAACCAGATCAGAGCCGCCGTCCAGACGGTGGATGTCGCGAAGAGAAGCATGAGCAGGGAGCGAGCACCGGCATAGATGGAAGGTCCAGCGAAACGGGAATAGAGGACGCCGAATGGAATACGAGCCGTCGCAAAACCACGTCCAGTACCAATGTAACGAGCACCACCGAAGGAAAGGTTCTGGTGGACAGCGTTGGCATAGATCTGACAGACGAACACTTCGAACATGAAGGAGAAGGAGCCGAAGTGCTTGGCCAAACGGGTAGCCATGCGCCAGAGACCTCTCTCAGTCAATTCCTGGACAGCCAAAGGAACGAAGGAGATGAAGAAGACGATGAAGATGGAGATGACACAGCGGTTGACCCAGTTG